GCAGAAGTCAGTTGCAGAGTGCGGTTATTTTTTCATAAGTAGCAAGCAACCCTCATTGTTTTCATCTTGGTATTGGTGAGGAACAAAGCCGGCGTGGCGTGGTCTCATCAAGTCTTTGTGACGGAATAGGCGGAAATGGTTTCGCGTTAGGGAGAGGGACGAGGCTAAGGGTGACGATTTATCACGAGGCGTTGGTGGTCTATCTGACTTGGTCGCTAATTACTGTTTTTGCTGCTTCGCCTTTCCTGATTTATAGCACATCATTTCTGTATATGTATACTAATAAGTAGGAAATGGCATCTTAACAGAATGATTCACGAATATGAGTCCTGACTCCTGAATAGTGATATGTGTGTACTTTTGCAAATTTAAAAAATAGCAATGCTATTCTTATTGTCTACAAATGCCTCTGTAGGTAACTTCCCCTTATATCGATATAAATCCCCATTCGAATTTCCTGAGGTATGGTTACTCAGTAAGTTTCTTCAGCATATTAAGGAAATTAGTAGTTGTTAGATACTATTTTCCTCGTTTAATTAAGATTATAAATACACGCGTAAGATCATAACTAAGAAATATATAACACTTCGTAGACAAATACATACCTACTTCTTAGCCTAGGTGAGTTTGAACTGCGGCTTTTCTAATAGTCATATAATAAACCCTCAGCTCAATTCTCACACATACCTAATATTAATATATCAAGTTACATATTAAAAGAGTTCATCAGCATAAGCGAAAGGAGTAAGAAAGTAAGCATTGCTAACGTGTCTTCTATTTCATAAGTCAGCCACTAATACCGTAGCTACCGAAGAATTAAGCACCTACTAACCTAAGCAAGTGTTTACAAATATTGTATAGTCACATCATATATGAATCAACACTTGCCTAACCTATAACATAGACATCACAACGAACAAGCACCATCAAGAATAAAAAGGGAAATAGTCGAAATTACTATCTTACTAAGCTCAGGTTCACCGCATCGCACCTATCCTCTGTCTGTACTGGACTGTTCATTCATACCATCGCGATCCCCGCCACTCACGTAACTAACACAAACATTCATCGATGGTACTACTGCTACTGCAAAAGCCATTCTCGTTTCGTTTCATCCATCCACTCACTCACCCCCTACCGATCACTGAAAATACCTATCGTCCGTCCCTAACTAAATCATGTATTCCTTCTCTCGACCGTTTCGTTCTCGTTTCTTCTCATTCTTACACCGCCATCCACCGTCCATCAACAACACCACTCCAACGCCTATCGCAGTTCAAGGCTTTCGTTTTCTCTGCATGTCAGGTTGAATGCGGCATCGACTTATCGGGTAGGATTAGGACACCGGTCATCGCAAGAGAAGATTGCCAAAGTCGAAAAGAGAAAACCGATTTGTTCAGGTAAATTAAACCGTTAGCTCCGTGTCAAGAACCAAATCCCGCCTAGAGCGGCCCATTGCCATTATCAAGGAAAGTCGTAGGCGAAAAAAACTATTTGGCCCCCGTCCAGGAAGCTTTGGAAAATTCCTCAATGTCTCATATCTTTCTATGCCATGAGTCATATCAAGTCGCCGTGCCGTGCCAGTCGGATCTTAGAAATAGAGGTGGGTAACAAAATTATGTATCTAGGAGGTGGTCCATCGTCGGTCATGCTGCTTAGAGCTCGTCTAAGCAGTGACCAGAGGCTCCTCCTCATCCTCGGATTCCTCCTCAGAAGATTCCTCCTGCTTCTTCTGGAAGGTCTCTTTGGGGGCCTTAGGGAAGTCAGAGTCCTTTAGGTTGGTCTGAGGAGCAGGCTTTGACGCAGCCTTAGTTTGGCCATGGAGAATTTGCTGGGCCTTGGCGGTGTAGTCACCCACGTATTGCTTAGTGATCTCAGTCGCCTGAGAAGTGTGCTTGCTAGCAACTTCACGTAGCTGCTCAGTTTGGCTGTTAATTACATCAGAGGCCTGCTTAAGGTAGTGGTCAATGAGTTCCTGGTTGGTGGCGTAGATTAGAGGCACGAAGAACAGGAGCGTAGTGGAGATTAAGGCAAGACCCCAGTAAGGGACAATCTTAACCAAGTAGTAGGAAAGGAATGCTCCAATAGCAGCCTATCACCGTACTGTTAGTCAGATGTACTAGAGTATAGCAAATATCGCTTATATGGGGATACATACGACAGCTGAGGCGGTGACATTCTCGGCAAATAGGATTCGCTGGGACTCAATAACGAAGAAGTTAAGGAGTTCATGGGCGTCGCCGATCAAAGCATCAAGTGTCTCTCGGGGAATGGTGTAGTACTTGCGGGGTCGGAACTGGGTAGTAAGACCGTTGCCAAGGACGGCTTTTCCGGCAACTTCAGCAAGGATGGTAACGGCCAAGGCCATGTATGAGAGCTTGAAGGTGTATCGGATGACGTCGAGGTATCTAGCCACGAAGATGGCCGAGACAACAGAAGCGTAGGCGATGGCGGAAGCTCCTATGACAGCTTATCAGTATGGTGGTCTGATAAGAAACAAAGCGGTCTAGAACTTACGAGGGTTGTTCCATGACAAGAGCTCGGAGAAGAACGAATGATAATGGGTCAAAGGTTGACCGGTGGCAGCGGCCTGCGAAGGTGTTTGCCGGGCATTGGCTAAGTTGGAAAACTCGGCAGATGTCTTTGCAGTCTGGTCTTTGACGTTCTGGGCAACAGGGCCTAAGATATTGGTATCAGCCATAATAATTCTCCAAGTAAAAAATGTATAAATATTAGGGATAATAATTTACATACCGCTTGCGATCTGGTTGTAGGCAGCTGTAGCATCTACGTCAATAAGGCGTTAGTTGCTATGTTATAAACGGACCGACGGGGCCGACGGAGCCGAGGAAGGAAGATGGTAGTTGTGAGATAACTATACATGATAAAAGCCAGTTAGCAAGGTGTTCTCCGAAGCGCGGGGGGAAAATAATAAATCTTTGGATTAGACTTACCTTACTGCCTTTCAAAGAGTCAATAGAGCTGCCATTGGCAGTAGGATCATTAGAGGCCATGATGAATGATCTTGGTGATACAAATTGTTATGTTGGTTGTGTTATCGTAGCTAAAGAAGATCAGATATGTATTCTATTCGGAATGCCGGATGCCTTTCTGTTCCAAAAATTGTGGGTGAGCTCCAATGTTACTTGGGTCCGAGTGTCAATGGAAATGGAAAGTGAAGCAAATTACGTACCTGTTCTTAAGGTCTATCGGCGATGTTTGTATGTTGGTGCTGGTTGTTGCTTGTTGTTGTTGTTGTTTGGTAAGTTAAGGTGTAGAAAGTTTAAAAAAAGAGAGAGGTCAAAAGCAACAGAGAGATAAGAAAGTTCTTTGGGACTTTTTTTTTTCTGCTACTTGTTTGGTGCGGGAGGAATTTCAGGTTTATTGGTAGGGGAGGTTAGTGGGATTGAGCGATCTGGTTGAAGCAAAGGCCAGGCAAATAAAAGGAGTGATTTCATCAAGACTAGCCCAGCGGAGCTGCTTTTACTGCAAATGTGGCTAGTGCGTTGGTCGTTATGACGCCACGCCAGGGCCAGCATGATGCACCTGCCTGACCGACTGACACTAACCAACCAAATCAACCAAACCATACAAACTATCACCTAAAAACCACCCGACGAACCACTCTACAAGCAGGTGCTACAGTGACAGCCACACCTAAGGGGAACTCGCGTGCTTCTTGAAGGTTCCTCCCTCTACATACTTAGATACAATGTTTATACATTATACGCTACCCGTTAGTTGCAGCAGGAAGACGTACCCCGAAGTTGCTAGTTTATAAGGTAATATCCTTTGCAATCCCATCCCGTCAAACGTCATGCTTCCGTCCCGTTAAGTCACGAATTTAGAATTGTCAAACACGAGTACTATGTATATCCAATCACTTGAGCATATGTAGGTACATGTATGTATTAAAATAGACATATGTCTTATCTCAAATACAACATAAATTATTTAACCAAGTCCAACTTCAGTTCTATCAAACATTATAATAAATAGTAGTTAACAATTATTACTACTAACTACTACAAAAAAGAAGTAGTTGCATTGTTCTATCGTATCTCGTGCAACTCATTTCTAATCCGAAACATCCTTCGGGAAACTCGAGGGCCAAAGCCACCCATGTCGTCACTCCGCAATATATAAGTCAAAACCTTGCATGTGATTATCCGCTAAGAAGCACACGACCACCTCCCGTTCCATGCCATGGCCCCAGATCTTCTGGATACTAGATAGAATATAACCCGCCCGACGCATCCTACCTTAAGTGTGATGGAATCCGAATGACGCATTCTACCATGAGCAGTCATCATCATGGCCTTGAGATCATGCTTACCTCGACCTCGTCATCACTATGGTAAAACACGGTGCCTAGCGCGACCCGCCTATGTATCTAGGGCCTAGGCTGTCTTTCACCTACATGTAGTGGATATCATCGTGCCGTAGTCGAGAAGCTAACAAGATCTAGATACATACATAATACGGGTGTTCGAACTATTCATAAGTACTACATTAAAAGCTCACTCAAAAACTCAAAGTCTCAAGGGCGACAGGTAGGCAATATTCTATTTGGATATCATGATACTTTACTGCTAGCCATAAAGCAAAAGCAATCCGCAACATGCCTTTCCAAGCTGCCACTCTTCGGCTCTGCGCGGTGTAGGTATTCTAAGCTCGCGTATACCTTCTCAAGCTAGGCAAATGTCGAATAGCAAAAGAAAAAAAGCCGCCCAGCCAACCCCCGTCTATATACACCGGGCCGGGATAAGCACCTAGGTAATTATGATAACTGAGATAAACATAATGTTCCGCCGCCCTACAGATATATTCTGTCCTGATGAGTCGACATAGAAATGCATATTCTTCTTCCACCCATCCATATGATACTTGCTTCTAATATTAGAAGAGCTAAGCCCAAGACATTCACCATCCACCGCGCAGTGCCATGCGCTCGCTGTCTGTTCCCCCCCGGTTTCCCACTATCAAATGCTGGACGATCATTATCGTCGCCAGCCCCAGAAACTACCATTATTAGTGGCAGGTGTCGCTGTCAATGTCGGTGTGGTGGCAGGAGCACTCTTAGTACCATTGCCTGCTTCTGACACTGTAGCCGTGAACCGCCCGATCATCCCCATTGCAGTCGAGGCCACTGTTGTTGTAGAAGAATCGGCTGGACCAAGCCCGTAAGCCTTTCGTAGGCTCTCGAGCTTCTGCTTGTACTCGTCGGCTTCTTGACGAGCCACTGCTTCAGCAGTTTTAGCTTGTACCAGCTCTAGAATGAGTGCATCATGTTCGCTTGATACGAGAGGCTCTGTTTGCGTCCTTAATAATGATCCGGAACGCTGACCAAAGGCCAACTGTGTGTTGGGTGTTGACTTGCTACGTCCGAGCTTGAACTCCCGGAGACCACGGCCAGCCCCGCCACCGGTGGCGCTGTTAGCAGTCAGGTTATTTCCCGACGAAAACCACCCTCCAGACTCGGGCCCGACCGTCTCAGATGAAGCTCGCACACGCATAGTATGGACCTGTTTCTCAAGACGTTGCTTATCCTGGTGGAGGTTTCGAACATGAGTGTGACTTTCTCGAAGTTGCTCTCGTAGCGTGTTCGCCTCCTGTCCAAGTTCTTCAATGCGCCGATTGAATTCTAGAGATTTGGACATCTCGATTTTGAGATTATCTTTAGCTCTGGATAGCTCGTCACGGAGTTGTGTCTTTGTTAGCACTGACGACTCGGAGCGCTCGCGTCCTTCATTGCAAAAGCGACCCTCAACTGCTTCTAGCAATAGAGACAGCTGATTCTGAGCAGGTGCCTCTCCTCCGTCGCCTTCATCTTCTGTTTTGTCATCGACATCTTTATTATTCTCTGTAGTCTCGGTCGTCTCGTTGTTGGCCTTGTCTTTCTTCAATCCATCCAGCAATGACTTTACAGCCTTCTTGTCCTCATCCCTTTCCTCCCTTTCTTGTTGAAGCTGCGTAGCTAATAGTGCATGGTTTCGTTGCAATTCGCTAAGGGCGGTAAGGAGATCTTCGATCTGAGTGTGCAGATTCCTGTCGGCGGCGTTGCGACTAGATTGTTGCTTTGCAACGACTGGTGTTGATTCGCGAATTGACGAATCGTCAGCATTAGAAGTAGAATCGCGAGAAATAGTAGTAGCGTCGGTGGATGCCGAACTAAGGACGCTAGAAGAACTGGCTTCCATTGAATTCAATGTCGAGGCCAGGCTCTGTTTCGATGCACTTCGGCGTAACATACTTAACGGTCTCAAAGGTGCGGCAAAACCTGGAGAAAGAGTTCCAGATTTCGGGGAGGAGATGCTCGTAGCCCATAAACGTCCCAAAAAGCGGGAGGCAGCTGTGGTAACATCGGCCGTTCGCGCGGCATTGGCACTGGCGATCTTTTCCTCGCGATACCCCTGTTCTAGTTGTGCTAATTTCTCTCTCGATACGACCCCAGATAAGCTAACGAAATCATCGACAAATTCATCGGCATTGTAATGATAACAGTCCCACAAACCACGAGATAAAAGGAGCTGCATGACATCCTCCATCTCAGTACAGGCCAAGATGCGGCTCTTGTTCTTTCGCATAAGTGACAGGGCTACCCGCATGATCGTTTCCGACGCACCTTCGGCAAATATAACATCGTAGATCCGAAACAGCATTGGCAAGGGGCATGTTACCGCAAAAAATGAGAGGAACCACTGTGAAACATAGGCTGGATCAACTTGGAGATCCTCTAGATGGTTCGATAATGTGGGTAAATGCTGTTTGAGTAGTTCTCGGAACTGATAGATACGGACATGCAGACCTGACAAGTCGGGTAAGAAACACGATCGTAGGTCATAATATTCCATCAGCCTATTCTCGAATATATTAATTAGCCAAGTCACTTCTCAAGTGCAGAATTGGAAAATAGGTACTTACCGGACTAAGACGCAGAAAGCTTGACTATCCGGCATGTGCATCAGCAGAGGGCCTACTAGGAAAGCAAGTCCTTGACAGTATCCAATCTTCGTATCGTAGAGACTAAAACATTTGAGAACTCTTCCAAGCATTCGTTGACCGTCGCCGTCTGGGTCTCGGAACATATCCACGCCAGGAAAGCTTCTACCCAGGTCCTTGCCGATGATGCCTTCATAAGGACTCGACTCGCCGCTGAGCCTTTCGAATTCCTCCAAGAGATAACTATCGCGGGCGCTCGCCATACTCTGCCACACAACCCCTCGAAGCGGAGGTGGTACTCCTTTTCGAATCTTCTTAGATAGTAAAGTAGGAAGTCGGGCAGCCGTCTGCTGATAGTCTTTGACGAGGGCCATATAGAATTCGAGATCAGTCATCGGCGGGGGAGGGAGAACAGAATATCGTAGAGCTGTAGATGGAGGTGCGTTCACCATGTCCCGCATTTGTGCCATGGATGGTGGTCTCGGCCGGCGGATTGGAGGTTGTTCGACTACCTTTACTTTGACACTTTTTGGATTTGTAGCGATTTTATTATTCTCTTGTTCGAGTCGTGCCAATAGCAATGCTGTAGACTAAAATGTGAAGAATCATGTTAATATCATCGTCGTAGTAGATCTAAGCCTCACTCAGGCCAGTCAACCCAGTTCTTTAATTTGGTATGCAACATACATTATCGTCTTGATCTTTGACTTCTTCATCTTCAGTCTTTTGTAATTGGTCCCAATTGACCTCTTCTGTATCCGAGTCTTCCATTAGATCGTCGTCAATAATTTCCTTCTCTTCTTGTATAGTTGTTGTAGTTTGAATGTCCTTTGGTAGAGATTTAGGACTAGTAGGTGATTTCAAATCATGTACTTGAACATCTTCCATGTCGCCTTCCTCTACTTCCATTACGGGCGGTACACTTGGCGCGGTTGCACTTGTAGGCGTACATTCATGTCCCCAGATGCTCTTTCTAAAAGGCAAAGGGTTCAACGGAAGGTCCGTATTCACCGATAGAGAAGGAGGCTCCGATAATCGAACCGTCACCATCGAATCGTGTTCCGGCATCCTGCGTTCTTCTTTCTCTACTGGGGATTTAGGTGATTTCAGTGCGCTTGAGTCTGCCAAACTTGGCGCCGTATCGACCGGAGAACTTTCATTTTTCTGCTGGTTCTCAGAATTCCCCTCCATCATGCAAATTCTCGGGATCGAAACGAAGGTGGTCGGTGGTCGGTAGTCGGTAGTGACTGGAATGGCCGATCTACACTCCAGTGTATCTTGTCTCTTGTCTCGAGGGCTTAAGCTGTTATCCCCCCTTGACCTCAGAATTTCTTTAGTCTCATACGACGGTGCATCGACAACGAACAGCACAAAAGCAAATCGAACGGCTTCGAAAAACGGTGAGAGCGTCTAGTGCGAATCGAGGTAACGGCGGTGTATTTTACACGCATTAAGACTCAAAATGGGTTCGTTCAAACAGCTACAGCATCTACCAGCCTTCGGGTGCCGCCCGCCAAGGAAACAGGGGGAGTCGGGGACAGAGTGGGCTCGCTTCAGGGATTCGGGGATACAATCAGCTTAGACGTTTCCCTCTTCGGTTTGTCTAGGGTAGAAATCGTTACTTAATACGATGGGTTTGGTCTAGAAGGGGATATTTCAAGTTTATGCAATGGTAATTGCTAGTCTGGATGTCTAGGTAGGGGCCTGTCAGTTTGCCTGTCCTGCCTGTGGTGGATATAACTAAAGAAAACATCTGATGGTACGAAATAATAGTAAGGAGTGGATAGGTTAGGTAGTCTAGGTACCTATAGTTAAACGATTAAACGAAGACTGGTGAATTATGTTATTATGATTATGATTATTATTATTAGTTTAGGTAAAGGAATTAGTTGGTTAGGGATATAATGAGCGAATAAGAAACAATTCAAGACGAAACACGAGAAACACGAGAAACACGATAATATCAATTAAAAAGTCTAACAGTAGAAGGAGGGCATTCACAGGCGGAAGGAGGGTAAAGAGGGGGAACCCCCCCTAGCTAAGGTCTAACTAAGACTAAATTCCCCTATCACGTTAGGTTGCATCCATCCCGTATCATCGGTTTAAATGAGTTACACCAACTTTTGACGCGTTTATCCAATTAGAAGCATGAATTGGTTACTAATATGGCCCCGTCCCTGCATTAGTCGCTATTTAAACAATCTATTTGACCCTGAATCCCAATGATCCCCCTGGGTATAAATAAAATATTCAACTCGCCATTATGTATGAATAAGCCCTATCATATAAATATAAATTATATGAATTACATTCCTATAATAAACACTTTAGCTCTCTTCATTGCTTACACGTAGATATCTCAAGTACCTATTCACCTACCTACTCAAGATATCTACCATCCATCCAACTACATGATATCGGTGGCTGGTTATGGAGATAAAATATGCACAAGCTTGCTTCGATGTGAGAGGCGGTCTAGCATATAATGCACCTTATATATATGTAGTATACATACCTACATACATGAACCAACCTAAGTCTGCTCGTCTGCGGTCCTACCCCTGTTTTATACATAAGAGTTCCAGAAGCGACTTACTCTGCATGATTGGATTATCTTAAAGCCGCTTTCTCGCATAATCCCGCGACATTAGCGCATAAACGTCCCCACTCAACCTTCAGTCGTGCATCTCAATCTTCTATCATGTGCTCGCTTTATCTTACTACCACTGTCCACGGAAACCTAAGCTCAAAACTTAGCAACTATGTATTTAAACCATTGATATCTATGTAGACAAGACTCGACCTTAGTGGGTTATAATTGTTAACATGTAAAGCAGTAGTTGAGTGATGGCAAGGGAAACCAGCAGCATTCCCACTAAGAGCATATATCATTCATATAATACTTATCAAATATAGGTAAATAATAGACGGCATGTATCATAACCTCTCCATAGGTACTTACATAAATAGCCATTATATATATCAAACCTCTCGTCCGTTCTCCATCACTCAATTCAAATTCGCCCCCTAAGTCTTGCCTATAACATTTCGTCTTATTCATACATCTAGCTTTATGTGGAGTGAATATGATATACAAATGTAAGACGATAAAACCCGAAAGATACCTATTCGGCACGAAGTTTTAAAAGCTTTTGACCTTATGCGAGCTATACAGTGTTTTTGACTCTGGTATATACCATATCTAACGAAGGTAAAGCAGCATCCCATCCTAAAGAGTAACGCCGACGCCCACAAATGTCTCTTCAAGGTCCCAATATCCACCACGTACCGTTGATCTTAGCGGGGTATTTTTCTATACAAAGATACAACGTAACGTAAAATGTCTTCGTAAAAAGAAGCCAGTCCATCCAAGTCTGAAACTTTCAAGGTCCGTATACTATATGCCCTCAAAAGTCGACCTATACTCAACTCTTCTTGAAATCAAACGCTTTTAATCAGGTTAAATCGTTCTAAGGCCCGGCTGTTATATTCATGATAGAAGCTGGCGGCGCTGAAGTGGCCATCTTTGGAGTCTGTTGCCCTCCTGGACTAGGTTGGCCAGGCGTTCGAGAGCCAGGCCTTATCGCATTCGCTTGTTGAGCGTTCTGTCGTCCAGACGAGGTCGTGATTGTTGGTTCCTTGTTCGGGTCAATGCCTGGGTAAAGAGCCTGAAGCTTTTTATACAATTCTTGAATGTATTTGGCCGTCTCCCTCCGGTCCGGAGCTTCTTGATTCTCTGATCCATCCGGGCCCAGCATCATCCTTAGCTTGATACTGGTATTGAGTGGTGGCGGTTTTAAGTAACTAGGACATGGTCCAGCTGTGACATTGCCTTTCTTATCGGCCAATGCCGCTAGATACGTCAAGTTTGTCTGGAGTCTTCGCATACAACTATAATTATAGGTCAGTTTCCGTATCGTGTCTGATGCCGTATCCGAACTTACTGGAGGTAGTCTTGCGCCAGCATATCTTCCTCGGTTGGCTTCTTCTCCGGTTCGCTTGCAGTACCATCAGTGCCATTAGCGGACGCCCTCTCCTTTTTCAATATCTGTTGCGTATTTTGTATCTGCATAGCCTCTAACAATAACTCGTTGTTAATCTCCAATATTACACCAACCCGTTCCTTGTCTCTAGAGTCTGGACCGGGGCTTAACGGTGTCGACCCAGATGACGCGTTACTGGGTCCGTTATTTTGAGCTGATATCGGGAACGTTGGGGTTTGCGGTGTTGGGATATTATTAGGTGGTGGTTGCTGCTGCTGCTGCTGCTGTTGTTGTTGTTGTTGATGTTGCTGTGGTTGTTGCTGAGGCTGCTGCTGCGCATTATTCGGCGTCTGGTTTTGAGGGGTGCTATGCGCATTTTGTGGAGTTGACATTGGGTGTTGCTGTGTATTCGGCGCGTTATTCGGAGTCGGAGTATTCTGACGAGGCTGGTTTTGAAAAGATCGTTGGGGTGTAGGAGTTGACATTCCCGGTGTATTTGCTGGAGGCGGGTGCATACGCTGCATCATCTGCTGCTGGTGATTCATCCCGGGATGCATAGGGAAACCAGACATAGGCATGCCGCCCCCCATCGCGTAGTTAGGAGGGATATTCATCTGGGGCGCGACGGAGCTAGGGACACCAGCACCATAAGGCGAGTTCGTGTATGGTGGTTGGTAGTTAGGCACTGTATAAATTAGCGAATCAACTCATCGGTATAATAAACATTATCGAGTAAGGCAAATAAGCAGCAGTAGCTATCCCCATGTCTATTGGGCCAGCAAGGGAGCCACAGAAGCACAGAGACTACACAACCACCGGTGTCTTCCGCGCTGGGAGATGATGTGTGAATCTGCTATCAGCCGCTCTAGACAGTAGCATGGAAGATTACGGGGAATAGGATGTGGCTAGGGAGACAAAGAAGCCCGACGGCAAGGAAAGGTGCTTACTCGGACCATTAGCCGCGGCCATGTGCGGCATACCGGTATTTTGCATCATTCCTGCAGGACCAGGACCTGACATCATGTTAGGGGCGCCGGGGAAAGCAACACCAGCCTGCGTACCCATGGGAAACTGCTGATTGTACATCGAGACCTGGTTAGGATGACCTTGACCGGGCTGCAAATGATGGTTGTGAGAAGCTGAGTGTGGGGCGCCGCCATTGTATTGCGATCCCGCAGGAGGAATGGCATTGGGAAGACCATAGTTGCCTGCGTACATGGCTCACGATAGGCTAGCACCACGGCTGGCACAGCTGGCAGGGCTGGGCGGCGCGGGCGTGACGTGGGCGAGGGCAGATCTGGGACGGGACTCGTTGGGGCTCAGATTTGTTCACCACAACAAGCGAATATGGTGTGTCGCGCGTTTGTGTGGGGTGCGTCCGAAAATAGCAAGGGTGTATGACGATGAAGTGCCAGCTATGCACCCCGAAACCCTCACCCGAGCCAAACAACGAGACCTTGGTGTCACTTTACTAAACGTTAAACCTTGAGTCAAACTGCTTCAGGCCTATAGCAGTAATCCTTTCTTTTCCAATCGATTGGTTTGGGATGAATGGCGTCGACTTGGGACCGAATTGATTACCCAATTCGAAATCCGCAAAGGGGGTGTACAGCGCGATTCCAACGTATGTATCAACGTATGTATTGTACCTTAATCGGCGAGAGACAGGCACAACGCATCAGTACCTTGAAAGATACCTAGAGATATTGTATAGATGTAGTAGATGAAGTAGATGTAGGCCCGAATAGTTCTGATGTACCTATATTGTACCAAAGCAACTGTACCGTGCGTATAGGGCAGAAAAAGGCTAACGCCAACTAAGTTCAGACTTCTCCTTTCTAGAACAGACGTTCTCCGAAGTTCGTTTCCTTCGTCCGTAGTATTGTCTAAGACGAGAGCCAAGGATTCGTTATGAGGATGAGCCAAAAAGCTAAGACAGGTAATAAGAGCGGGACCACAGTTCTGCGTAATAGGCGTTGGATGGTGCTAATTCGCCAATCTGCGAATATCAACAGTTCCCGCGTGGGCCAGCTAGGTTGCCAGGACCAGTAGCCAGGACCCTAGGTTGTGAAAAGACTGTATCGTGTGTAGGTACCTCTCTAGGTCAGGTATGTTAGGTACGTACTGCGTACACCAGACACCAGACACCAGATGTATCGAAGGCCCCTAACGCCTGATCTTGGAGGAGCCAAGAGGGCGCGACTAGAGAAAACTACTAATAAAGGTTTGGTAGGGGGGAAAAGGCTGTGACAGGACGGCCCTATGCAGTTGTAACAAGGATTTGGCTGTGGGACGTATGTATGGCACTGCGGGATGGAAGATGCGTCAGAGTAATGGATGCTTGTGTTCCCATCAGGCTATCAGAAAAATAAAACGAGGGTTCGTTCGGGGGGTATTGTGATCTGTACCTCTTCGTAGGTAGCAATCAATAAATTTGGGCAGATTTGGGGCACACAGGGCCGGTGGGTGCGTCCAAAAGATTTGTGACTGGAAGATATGCGAGAAATAAGCGGAAAATCAAGGAAGATAGAAAGCAAATTGAAAACGCCTTCTAGAAAGGTGCAGGTGCTGTCGGTGCTGTCGGTGCTGCTCCCTACGGCAAGCGGCAAGCGGCAATTACCTCTGTGCAATTATTAACTTTGTGCAATTACCTGTCACAGGCCAGCTAGGCATATGGAAGTGGGGGCCACTAAATTGTGCTTATCTGTGCGTATCCTGGTATAATCCACTTTTATATATGCGTCTTATCCTAATTCAATCATCGACTTGCTCGCATACTCCTACCTAACTAAATGCTATTAATGCTAACTTCGACTTTTTACGACGGCCACTATCCGATACAAATTATTGGCAACGGTTTTCGTCTTAGCAGGTCTTATGCAAAAGTCCAATTAGATATCCTAAGTTATCTCAAGTTGGTTCAGCAAGCAATATTCCAGAAACCGAGAACGGAAGAAGTTATATCGAATTGTGACGAGTCATGATCAACTCTAGAATCGTGGATTTTTTTCTCTGGGACGTACCACAAGAAATATTTCTGGACAGATACTACCCAAATATAAACTCCTTCCAGTTCCTGCCCAGTTTTTCAAGCCCCTCACGGAGTTCCCATCCCTTGACCTTACATATCTTCCTGCATACTTGTTCTAGATACTGGTCCATCTGCTCACCTGCCGTGTGTAAATCACTCTCAACTAATATACGATCATCAGGGATGGCGCGGATTGCCTCCTCGGCTTTATCTCCACCTCCCGTGCTCCAATTTATCACAATTGAGAACGAGAAGAAAACCTTTGCTGGCACCGAGGGATGAAGGTATTGCCTAACAACATCAACAGGACCACTGAAAGAATGCATACAAATCCGCGGGGGGTAAGGCTTCGGTCCCTGCTTAATGCGACCCTGTTTCGCTGCCCTTTCTTTTCTTCTGTTGATAAACGTAGCATAATCTTCATCTTCATCTGAAGATGAACTAGAGAAATCTTCCGCCCCTTCAGCAATCTGTTTCCTCTCTCTTCTTGATGTTACTGGTCTTTCGTGTCCTTTCCAGAGTTTGGATATGGTGTCATAAACCACACCATGTGCCTGAACTCCGTGGACACTTACCGCGCGGCCCATCTCACCTGCGAGCCGCAGCTGGGCTTCGAGAATTCCAGCCTGGTGGGTTATCTGCACTCGGTATGGGCTAAGTGTTCTGCCTTCGCGGCCGCCGGGCGTAAGACCCGCATCGCGTTGAACTTCGTGGGTCGATGTCCAGCTTTGGGGAAGCCGAAATGCTTTATCTAAGCCAATTTCACCAACGAGAGCAAGAGGATATTGTTCCAAGCGGGACTTGGTCTCCTGCAGAAAGTCGGAAAGGGGCCGTGGCTCCGGAAGACCCTCGCTAAAGGATACATCTTTTGATGAAGGCGACGGGGTTAACACTTTATCATAGTGTGAGATTTTACCAGATGGTGTTCCATCATAGGTTGGGTCAGCAGAGAGATCGTCGTAGAATTGGTAAGAAAACCACGGGTGCCAACCAAAACAAGGAACTAAACGGTCTTCTGCGGAAGACGACGAGATAAATGAGTCCGAGTCTTTAACGCCAAGCTTAGAGGCCACATTGGCCACAAGGTCTTGGTCTTGGGATCGTGTTGACATGACGGTTAGAGCACGTGCTTTCATGTCCGGTATACTTGCTACCGACGTCATCGTGTCGGTTGGATGACAGTGGGCGTCGAAGACTCCAACGTCCCAGGGGAAAGGTTCGGAGACATCCGATCCATCGTGCACTGATGGTTCCGACGCAGCGGATAGCCCTTCCTCGCCTAAATGTTGACACATCGCCTAGGTAGGTAGCCAACCTTGAGGAACTATTCAACTCAACGTCTTTCAGTTTCTAGCTTGGTAAAGTAGGTCTCTAACATGCAATCATGTTTGAGGGATCCCTTGCGGCGAAGAGGCTAAAGTACCTAAACAAATGGGCCAAGATAACGAGGGAATCCCCGATATCGTAATCTAATCCAGAAGGATGCCCGAATTTTGCCGTCAGCAATATTTGTGTCCTTAGATCGCCGGATTTGAGATTTGACGTTCGCGTATCGAGAAGCCCATATATTTAAACTTCAAACCAGCCGTTAGTAATCTCGCTATTTTTTATAGACCTGAATTTAAAGCTTCAGGGGCATCATCTTGCTGATAAGAAGTGATCGAATAGCAAACAACATAGCTTATAGCTGTGACTCACATGCAAAAGATTCAGATAATAAGCAGGGTCCTATCTAGAAACGTAGTATAAGAATTAAAAGGCTGATTCAAGATACGGTTTTCGTGTAGGTCTGGCCTGATCCGGTACGATTGCTCTGACAACTTCTGATCTTCTGATAGCTGGTTGTGCCTTGGTCCCGAAAACATTGACATTCGCCAATGACTGCGTATCTACACTTAATTGATGAATTATTTGAGGGGTTCTATTTTAGGTCTCGTGACGTCAGGTAAGATCGCCGCCTTATCCCGTTTATGATAGGGTAGAGTATCGCGCGCATATATGTATGTTATGTGCATACAACATGCATTAGGTATACTAGTCCTATCCACAGCTCCGTAAAGCCGGGGCGGAAAGGAGGTTCTAGCCGGAAAGGCATCGCGAATTAGTGTCGATCGATTACCTAGGCAATGTAAGTTATTGGAGGAATTACATCCTTTTACCTTATCAAATAGACGGGTATGCGCCGTAGACGTATTTATAGAGTCATGGATATATATTTATTTCGTTGATAATATTCGGTATTATACTTGGCATTTTAGTGTTATCAGTTATCAGATGTTTGAATCGCCCCCCGGAGCAATTAGAAAGTTCCAAGGTTCTAGGTAATGTCTAATGGATATTGAAGTATTCAAGTACCTTTACTAAAACACATCTTAACTGGACACTCGGCATGTGAAAGTTGATTGCCGATATACCTACATGCATGCATGGAACTTACAGCAAGCAACTTAGAATCGAAAGTTTCCATGCTACACCACACCCTCCCTCTCATGATCGAGACTATATACGAATAGAGTGTCTTAGTCTCGAGTTTCTTCATGTCTTATTACATCTTCTCCGTCACTCCCCCATATGTCTCCTCATCTGTGTTACCCTCCGCCAGCACACATCCTGATCCTTTTCTTTTCTTTCCCTATCAGGTTTTCTAGCTCGCCCCCAAAGCTGACATATGCGCCAACACAAATAACTAAGACATTCTGAATTGCCCCAAATCGCAATAACAATGTGACACGACAAATTCTTCAGCTCGTTAATCATCGCTCAAGTGAAGCGAACAATTTCGCCCGATACAGTTCGCAGGACGCCTTACAATGGCGGTCTTTAGTCCACTACAATTCTTCATATTCCCATTCCTCTTCTTTGTCGCCCTTCCGCTTGCCCTCTGCGCCGGCTTCACGACTATCTTAGCATTCATGGTCTTGTTCTTACGCCTATTCCTCGTATATTTCGACGTCGGGCTTGAGACTTTGCGCTATGTGTTAGTAGGCCATACCGCACATTCTCGGTCTATGGCACATCGACGGACTCCTTCGGGTACCCCGCCGCACTCGCCAGAATCCTCTCCATCATCTTCGCCTGAGGCGCGGCATAGGCGCCGACGCAGCAAGATACATGGCAGCTTTAGTAGCGGCTCTGCCACGCCTATTAGCAGCTTCGATGGTCTTGCCCTGACACCCACCACTGGGCTCGAAAGGGACTTCGAGGGTGTGGGAGGATGGAGATTAGATAGCGTGGATGTCGATGCGGATACCGCGAACCAACAGTGGTACAGCCTTAATTCGCGGCTCGAACTTCCGGACCGACGCCATCATTCCAGATCACATAGCGGAGGTACTGTGTTGCCAGGAAATAGCGGGTTAGGCCTATATATGAAGGGTGCGAGCGCGTCGACGGCTTATAATCCGGAAGGACTAAAGATATATGCATCGCCCAATAGCTCAAGATCAAGAACACCAACAAGTAGCAGGCCACGCAGCTTTACTAAGGTCGACGATAACGAATATTTCCCCATAGTAGAGAGGAAGCATACTAAAAATAACCGGTGTTAATAATGAAGAGGAGGATACAACACGTTCGAGAGTTGTTAACAAAATGGTTTACTAGAGATAATCGGTTTATGTAAAGATTGTCTTGCTGGATAGAAAGGGTTGGCGTTCTGTAAAAACTCTTACGTATGGGTTCGTGGGGGAAAATCAGGAGTATGGTCTCAAGGTCAGAAGTTATGGACAATAGGTCTGATCTTGATTATCTGGCAAAAGTGGGATCTGGCGCTGGTTTGTATCACAACTCAAATATGTTTTATAAGTGAATTAGTATGTGTATAAGACTCGACATAACTTGTGGTATTCCAACAATTAAAAACGCCTAACACCGTGCAGTAATTTTCATAATGTTCATCCCACATAAGCCCCCCTGAGTTAGAGACTCGGCTAAAGCTCTAACTCTAGAGCGTTTGCCAAAAATAATTAGCATAGAAGAAGCGCGAGAACTTCTTGTCCATATTTATAACATGAACATCGCCCTTGCGATCGTTACGCACAATGGCTCTGGAGAACTCGCCGTCCTTTTCGTCTCGCTCTAGATCGATTCCTAGACTCCGATACACCTTTAGACGTAGCAATACCTCGTCATCGACTGGATCCCTTCTCTTTGCTGCGTCTTCGGGCGATCCTTCTAGTCCCTGTAATTCTAGTTCCTGCAAACGCGCTGCTAGATCGGCCTGTTGGGATGATAGACGTTCTGCTTCCATCTCTAAATCGGAGACTGCTTTCGCGATGCGGAATTTCTGGGTATCGAGGCGCGAAATCTCAGATGCGTGGACGGATGACGAGTGCGCTGATGTGAGCTCTTCATGTTGTGCCTGGAGTGTGTTGAGAGAACGGCCAAGTTCTAATTTGTTTATGTTAATATGAATTTAACGATTAATCGGATGATAGGGGTATCATACTCTTCAGCGAGGTTTCAGCTTCTTTGATTCGGAGCTCTCGGGCTTGATTTAATGTAGACAGAGAGTCACTGATGCGCGAAACAGCGAGCTTATCGGGGCCGATATTAAAATTGTTGATTGTATGGTGGATGAGCTAGATGGTGTCAGTAATTTGAATTTGAGATAGAGCAAAAATGGAGTTTTATTACAGTAGCAGGGTCCTCGTCTAGAAGCATCGTGACTGTGTATATTGATTTTATTCTTCGTGTTATAATCGTCAATAAATCCTAGGTTATTCGATGTGATTTTGATTCTTTTTATAAAGCAAAAAGTTGGGATGTCGAGAAGTGAACAAAACAAACCGCGGTATCACCAGGACGACCTAGCGCAAAGTACCTAGGTACAAATATGTATATATCATGTACCCCACCTATCGTTTTGCGTCATTAGCGCCACAAACATAGCCCACCTTCCGACAGCCTACAGGTGATGACTTGAGAGCTCCCGCCACATTTGGAGGCAGCCGTACTTATTAACTTTGCCGTCATTAGGATATATTCTCAACAATACTCTCGTTTGATATTACCTACGAATACATATCCACTGTACGACAAGATATACAACTCGAGCGCAAGTCACATACCCTATAGTGTGTACCATTACTACGACTCTTTCTACTTGAGAAAAACCGCACAATCCGAGCTATACACTAAAAATCTGCTAATACCAATAAGATGACGGCTCTACCTTGTGAGTATGCCTGTCTATTGCGCTCGGCCTAAGTCGCTCAGGAAATATAAAATTGCTAAATTATATTGTTTTTCTTAACTATAGATGCCGTAGATGCGGAAAGGTATAATTCTCTATAATTATTCCCCCGCTTTGACTTGTCAACTAAATTTTTATTCCGATAGCCCGCTGAAAGATGCGGAACTCCAAACGTTGCGCGCACAATATGAGAAAGAGGGCGAGATGGCCGGTATCCAAACAAAATTCAACTACGCATGGGTACGTCGATATATGCGGTCTCTCAAGAACTACCTCGCAGTATACTCATCATCTTCTATAGGGCCTGATCAAGTCGAATACTCGAAGCGATCAACAGTTAGGTGTGCGTCTCCTCTCGGACATATTTCGAGTATCGCCCGACCGCCGACGTGAATGTCTCTATTACTTAGCACTCGCCAACTTCAAGCTTGGAAACTATGGGGAGGCAAGACGCTATAATGATTTGTTGCTGGATAAGGAACCTGCCAATCATCAGGCGGCAGACCTGCGCAAATTGATCGACGACAAGGTAACAAAAGAGGGCCTTATGGGTGTTGCGATCATAAGCGGTGTCGCTATCGCGGCTGGCGTGGTTGGTGGAATTCTGTTCCGCGGCAAGAGGCGGTAGAAGCTTGGCGGAAGCCTCCGTAGGGAAAACTCGGAAACATGATAGATCACCGTAAGAGGTTGCTAATGCGGTTATATCGAACTGATGGCGTTGTAACGGCTGGTGAAGGGGAGCCGTATCCCTATCAATACATGTTATGGTAGTCTGCCTAAGACGTAGGTGTAATCCTAGACGGTCGAGGCAAGGGAACGGTTTTACTAAAGCACTGGTGTTTGGGATCTAGCGTCGTGGCATTAAGCTACAGTACAAGTATGTCGATTTATATATAAATCACTCAGCTCTATTTTTGATTGGTGTCAAATCTATCGCCCTTACGAAGAGGAATTGGTGGTTTGCGTAGTGTTGTTGATGTTGATAATATCAGTATCCAGACGACCTCGCGTGACCTTTTTTTTTTTTTTTTTTTTTTTAAAGGAGTGTAAACAACTTTGAGGGGCTAGATTTAGAAATAGGCATCTACACTTTCACTTGACTCACTAGCAACCAAGTATTACAAACAAGAGGTCTAAATAAATCAGTACAATATTTCAAGCAAACCACCTTGAATTCTAAAGTTGTCGAAAGAGTCTGGGTAGTTAATGTACCTAAGTACCTACGTACTTAAGGGCAGTGTGTGCCCATACTGAGGTCCTGAGTCAGGTACCTTAGGTAATGCGCAGTTCTATGAAAGGTTACATAATCAAACTCACGTCCATAAAATGTGGCTGTTCAGTACTTAGGTACACTGTGTGTGGACCTCACTTGGACTTTCCCATCCACCATGCCCCGCGGTACGTGTGTGGGTACTTAGGTACATGTACGTGTATCTACCTAAGGTGAACATTAAACTTTAGTTAAAATATCCACCTGTAAATGACGAAAGGAACTGGGCAACTGTCCGTTGCTAACCAAGTCACTTCAAAACCTTAGTCTTAAGCTTCTTGAAGGCGCATTATTTAACAACAAGCGCTATTAAAGCACAAAGACCTTTTTCGACTAGTAATATAAATAATAACCACTTCCGATCATTGGATGATTACCACAGAAGCTAGAGTAAGGAGACGCTTGGGGATTCTGGCAGGATAACCCTTGGTACAAATGGACATCAGATCTCTGATCTTCTAAACTTTCCTGTGGCAAGACAAATATTCAAGCTTCCTTTTTCCAACATCTCTTGGAATTTCTCTTTGCCTTCAACCTGCCGACATACACAGGTTCGACATTACTTATATGATCTTCCGTGACATCCGCTGACATATTCATAGCTGGTGCTTGATTCCGAGGTGCGCCACATTTAATACTTTACACCTTACACCTTTACAATACGACTCATCTAAATTGTTCAGCTGCTAACTAATGTATAACAGCTGTCGCAGAGCCTACCTTTGATATATTTCCTACTGTTGCATTTCGTACACAAACTCTAGGTCTAAAATCTGCCTTGTCAGGTATATGATCAACCTAACGTTGCGGCTTGCATTACAATCTACCACATATCGGACTTCAAACACCCCACGTCAGCCTCATCCAACCTCACCCAATTCAACCGACTTTATTACTTTAGTCGCCACTCGCCTAACCAACCTAAACCCTTTTTTGTCTGGACGCGATAGCCTCAAAGGGACCAGAATCGTTAAGCGATCGATACGTCTATTCTACAGTTTGATTTGTCATTCTGGCGTTCCGAGCCCTTCGAGCAGCCGGCCTAGCTATTGGCCTCGGAGTCACTGCCCTCGTCGCCTATCAACAGTCTAGACAGGGCCAGATGGCGTCTAGAAACCACCATTTAGACGCGACGGGCGATCGCGAGGTAGTCTTCTGCCATAGCTGCAATAACGAGTGGTACCAAGATCAACGCCCGGATACTTTAGAATGCCCCCAGTGCCACAGCGATATTACAGAGATAGTATGTTGGTTTGAAACATTATGTCAGAGTATCTCACTAATTAGCAAGTAGGTTTCACTAGGAAGCGATCCCCGTAATTTAGACGACAACGATTTACTACCTGGTTTCGGGCAGCACCGTCGCTTTCATCCCCCACACTTCGATTCTGATGAAGACCCCGACGAGGATGATATTGAGGAACACATACTTCATGGTCCTGGAGGCTTTTATGGCCACCGATCTATATTGCGGTCCCCCGATAGCCAAGGCCTTAGAACCGCCCCCCGAACGGGTCCCGAGAATCCCGACCAGATCATGCGCAGATTCACAGAACTCATATCAGATATAGGAGGAAACCCCTCCATTGGTCGGTCCGGTCCAGACACACTATTCGGGGGTAGTCAAGCCCCGCGAGTTACGCTTCAGAGATTTTCTGGTCCCGGCTTCACCGGTGGTGTCAGTAGTGTTACCTTTACGTCCAGTTCCGCACGAGCTCGGCCCGATCCTAGCCATGGTCCCGGATTAGGCCCTGAAGATCCGTTTCAAAGGTAAAGTTTCCTTTCCTGATATTCAACTTAGAGTATTCCAAGGTTTATATTACATTTATATAATCTTTGTTTTGTGACTTGCTAATATATATATATGACAGAGTCTTTGGGAATATAATGGGAGACCTAGGTCCTCCACCCATGGGTCGCGACTCTCCAAATGGTTCAAATCAAACTGGTCGGGAGGGCAATCTACGCCAGCCAGCAGATTTTTCGCTAGCTCTAAGCCAACTAATAGCGAGCCTCATAAATCCTCACACAGCTCACGGCGATGCGGTTTATTCTCAGGAGGCACTGGACCGCATCATCACGAGTCTCATGGAGGCAAATCCGCAGTCAAATGCGCCAGCACCTGCTTCGGAGGAGGCTATTGCAAATCTACCAAAGAAGAAGTTAGACGAGGAGATGCTAGGGCCTGAATTGAAAGGCGAATGCACTATATGTATCGACGAGGTGAAAGTGGGGGACGAAGCTGTTGTGCTACCCTGTAAGCACTGGTTTCACGAACAGTGCGCCGTCTTATGGTTAAAACAACACAACACGTGTCCTATCTGCCGTGCGTCTATCGACGGCGAGGCTGCTGGCCGTCCCGTTAATGCAGCCTCAGATGCACAGCCTGGCTCGTCTGGTACTTCGTCTCAGCACCGTAGACGGGATGATGCTCCGCCAATAAGTCGCCTAAGATCCGATCAAACTAATTCTTCAAGCCGAGCGTCAACATTTAGACGAGACTCTAACTCGCCCCCGACACACACTGGAACAGCCCCGGCCAGGGTTAGAAGCCCTTCCCCTTCCAGCCGTCGCTCGGCGCAAAGCGATAGGGCACGTGATGGAAGAGGTTCTATCGGCGGCCCATTTCATTGGATTAGAGATCAATTCAGAGGAGACAGACGCTAGTCAATATATACTTGCTCGATCCTTTCAGCCTTTCGGAGTCTTTTACTGCGTTCGGAATTAAGCATTTTGATATTATTTGATGATAAGCCAAAACACAATAGCGCAGGTTTGGCGAGGATCATGGTATCCTAAGTTTTATGAAACTCCACAAAAAGGCTACGATCTTATGAATCATGTGGCCAGACTCTTTTACCATAGGAATAGCGTGTTCAAAGGGGTTTAGGGGTCGCCTAGACCACATCCCAGTATCTCTGCGCGGACCTTCTTCGATGGATCATTTCTTTTAGGGGCTTACTAATTGCCTAGGCCGATGGATAATGAAGATTACTCGAGAATAATGAAGTATACAAGCCTGATAAGGAGGTTTGGAACGAGCCTATTGTCCACGCGGCTTTCGGGATAGCAAAAGCAGATTAGGGGCCTTCACTGAGTTAATAGATCTCCATGCGTTCATGAATATTAATTCTGCGGTGAATTAACGCAACACAAGTCTGCATTAAGAAGTCTTTTTTTACCTAGGTACCTTGATAATTAATATGACATGATCGTTTTCGTATCTTCGTATGCCTAAGGTTTTTTCCCTTGCGGTATTGTGTGAAATATGAGTAAAGATTTCTTAATTAAGATATATGTTTTATTACTTTAAGTGAATTTTTCCTGTTTTATAAGAAATAGTAAAAAATAAAAAAATAAATCATAAAAGAGGTAAAATCTTATTAATGTTTAAATGACTTAGGGGTAGATTCAGTAATAGACCTATTAGAAATAAGTGTATAAGATGCATGTAACACTCTCGTGAAGATATATATAAAAGCTTAAAAGACAAGTAGTCATAGTTTAATATATTCTAGTACCTATTCACCAAAGATATAATATTTGATAAATACTAAGTATGGTGCGGTGTAAACCTTAGGCTGTTATGTTACCCGGGGGGTAACCTCGAGTTCTATATTATCCAAACTTAGTTCGCCTACATTTCCCCTAAACAAATTATCAATTAATTAGGCGATTCCTTCACAATACCTTTAAGACCTTTGAAAGAATACAATGGGAAATATCTGAAACATGAAAGGGCCAAGTCATCTAAGATTGTGTTTAGCGACATAATGAGATTGATTCTTCGCACAATAAAGTTGTCGAGTCTCTACGTCTTGTGTATAATGGATGAATCTTTTATTCATAGTGTGTGAATAGCATTGTTCTATAATGTCGTATTCTATCAAGGCTTAGCGCGTTTCAGCGCGAGAAGTGTCTTTCATCTATTGTTTGCGGTGTCTCTATATCTAGTCTACACTTCGCCCCGGGGTCGCCAGATATTTTTACGGTTCAGGCAGACGATGAGTAGTGAGCGGCCATCATACTGCGAGCTACGAAGAGTCTGCCTGCCTTCTCTGTATATATTATCAGCTACTTCATATATATGGGACGGGTTTCGTTGGTTTTTATTTTTATTAGGTAAATGGAGGATATCCTAGGTCTGGCGTAAGCGGAGTTTTAATGACATCTATATCGAACGTATACGACTAAGAACGGAGAACAAAGGAGGTACGTTGGACGTTCCCACACATTATATGTGCTTTTAAAGCGTTGAGGTGTGCAGATATCTCGGATGGTACGTACAAACCTACTGGACATTAACGAAATCAAACGAAATCATTACTATCACCAACTAAGAACAAAGAAAACCTTACAACTACGAAGTATATAAACAACAAAGAATTGGAGAGGTTTGAACCCCTAATTATTTTTTTTTTCTACGGACTTTTCTAAACTTGGCTTGGTAAGTTAATGCAGCACCAGCTGATTATACTCACCAGAAAGATAAAACAATAACAAAGAAGCAAGATAAAGAACAAGGAACAATGCCTTGTAGATCCATGGAAATAGGTTTGCATAAGAGTCCAGCTCCCGAACCCTAACTTATCTCTCAGTACTCACCCAATGACTTTGAATAACAACGTATCAAGGTCGGTTGGTGGCTAATATCATAGAATCGCACGTCATGTCTTCGGGTATCTTACCAATGAGCGTAGATATACAATGGCGCGCTAGGTAAAGATTACAGGTTGGTTTACTAAAGCCTGAGACGATCTCCTAACCGTTTCAATATCCTTAGAAACGAGTCTTGCATAGTTAGGAGATCACCTTTTAGATCTGTCCTAGCTCGGAACGTACGATATTACATTACCTTGTCATAGTCGAGATTGAGTAGAGAGAGTAGTTCCAGGTACGTGCTCACCTTTTCCACCGAGACAAAGCTGTCTCGAATTTACCGCCGGCACAGCTGCCGGTACGGATAAGCGACCTGCCGAACGAGAATCGGCGTAAAGGTATCGAGGATAATATCAAAGTCAGGACTATTACCGGTTGGATTGGTACTAGTGTAGAAGCGCCCGTCGTGTCCCAGGAAGTAGTACTTGTCGCGTAGGAACATGATGCGAGCCAGCAGCTCCGGACGGAGATCCCAATGCCCGTTGGTTATATGCACGCCGTCGCGCTCGGCGAGCTCGTACAGAATCCGAGAGGAAACCCTCTCGCCGTTCTGCAGCGCCATCGTCACCCGCAAGCGCATCTCATCTACATGGAGCGTCTGGCCATGACTACGTATGAATCGCTCTCGCTGCAGCCGCAGTTCCTGTCGTCGCTGGTAGCGCGCGGCTTGCTGGCGCTCCCACTCGCGCCGGGGCGTGCCTGTGCGCAGACCCATCATCCTGGCGATGTACGAGAAGGTTGCGTGTCTGATGCCGTTTTGGAACGGGCGTCGAGACTGGTTTGAGTTAGATCGAGATTGCATGATTGCGGATAAGAAGCAAAGGGTGTCAGTAAGTCTTTTACTTTTCGTACAAGTGTACTTTTTAGTTCGGCGTTGGGGTATCGTTGATAGGAGTATGCTATCTTGGTATGATGCTGGAAATAAAAACTCCAGATGAAAGGGAATCTGTCCATGTATATATAGATGAAGGAAACGTAACAGGTACACTATCGTTATTCCGGAAACTGGTGATAGTTTTTGGAGGAGAGGCTTTTTTGCTAACATAGCGGGTGTTCTTTGACTTCAACTATGGTAGTGGACAATAGTGTTGTGAGGTTGGTATACGATGAAAGGGGACAAACGGGTTGTTTGGGAAGAACCTTATATACGCCATGTATATATCGTTAGATCTTCTATTTTTTGAGCCACACTTTTCTTGGGCAATTATGGACCGGTGTCTGGTTCTTTACGATGGAACGTACTATTTTATTCATGAGACATACCTATATATACACCTATATATACCTAGGTCGCGTTGAGGGTATCTTATAGACTAGGCGGCTATCAAGTGATAGGGGAAGGGTTTGGAATACGGAGGATTGGTTGGGTTGAGTTGGCTTTTGGATAACTTCTTACTTTATGGAAGGTATATACTCTCACATAAAGTGGTAATAGAAAAGCATAGCCATAATGAGGCATTGTGTCTTATTACCTTAACGAGGGAGTTGGTTTCAAGTTACAATCTAATTACACTCTTTATTAACATCGCAGAGCCGTGGCATTAGTTGATTTTATTTTGTTATAGGGGTCAAGAAGACGAGTCAATATCGTGCAGTCTTAAGAACAAGAGCCTATCTAATAGCCATTTGAAGCCTACCTACCACCCGGTCAACAGCCATTGGGTACCTCAGATACTATCTGCCTCTCTCCAAAAAGAAAGGAAATATCTTATTTCGAGGCTTTACTCAGCTCTGGACCTAAGACTTAGCGGTATAGATTAGGACTCTTTCCAGTGAGAAAAGAGATGACAAAAAGAAACTTCCTCTCAAACACCCCTTTATTTCGCATAGTCCTCGGTTAAGCGATGATGTGGAAGCTTGGATTTTTTGCTTCTTACGACTTACGGGATAAGCTTCATCTGTTTGCTGCCGATATTTAAGAGGCCTAACTTCTACTACTTTTAAAATGCTAGGTCTCCCAGCGAATACCACGTCTCTAAGGCTACTTATCTCTCGATTTTCATGAGATTTTATAGGTGATGATATATGAGTATTAAACTCATCAATACCATTATGGAACCCCATGGAAAGTGCACCATTCATTTATGAAGGGGTACTTAATCTTCAATAGAAAATAATAAAAAGTCAATTCTTATTAAAATGGAAATAACCAGGTATATTTTCCTCCAAAAATTATGACATAGGGTATCACTCCAAACTAGCCCATCCTAAGATCTTTCCGCCCTCAGCAAGCAAGTAACCAGTATCGTGGGGTGGTTGTGGACATACCAGCTCTCTTATTTCTTAGACTCCTTAGCAGCGGTGCTTTGTGCGAGACTGGTTGAGGCACTGGTGCTCCCACTTTTCCTCCGCAGTATCTTTGGCCCAGCGGAAGTGGTTGTAGTGGCAGTTGCCGTCTTGGATACTGGGTTCCATCCGTCCTTCTCTAACTTCCATCCCTTGGACGAATTGTTGTCTGCCATTCTCTTGGTAGAAAGGGTATGTTGAAGGGGGAAGTGATCCGAAATGGTAGGCGATGTCCGTTGGAAGGTGGTTTGTGAGGTTGTTGTGGTGGTGTTATTCTAGAACTTAGAGGCTAGGTTAGAAGCCTGGCCGATGTTTTATATAGAGCTCTGTGTGAAGCAATATTCATGATTAATCTAAGAATATTTTAGTGAGATAACTCCAAGGTGTTACAACAAACGTTGTTTCGAAGTAAATTGAATGGAGTGGTTATCTGTTTTCTAGTTGCAAAGTCACAGATATATCTACAGACTACATCATGACTTTTAACGAGACGAACTTAAAAAGTATGGAAGCAACTTAGTTATTCTTTAAGTAACTAGCTCTAGACTATGGAGGTTAGTGAATATGTATATTGGGAGCACCCATTGTTATAGATGCGTCATCAAGAATACTGTCAAGTTCAAATCGAAATACCAAGTAGTATTGAATCTTAGTTTGGTTCATCTAGTGAATAGGACTTAAGTCAACAAGAGAAAGCAATCTTCTTGAAACATCTAACTATGCATATTGTCTTTATAACTGATATGAAAATTATTAGATAATTTTCGGACTATTACTACCTTACTGTAGGCATTAGTGACATATGTAATGAAGATATTTACAATAAAGAAAGGAGTAAATATAAGCCACAAAATGGCTGTGTAAATATATGTGATGACTAATTAGAGAACAACCCCTATTCTTGGAACCCAACCTTTGGGGTCTTCCATATTGGGTCATGCTTCCAGCTTGCAGGGACTGCATATAATACAATTAATATGGTAGTATTGCATATTACCCTGGACGGTCCGTATTCCTTTATTTCTTGATTCTCGACTATGTGATCCCGACGATAAATTGATTAGGCAATATATCCCCGTATGATTAAGAATAATTCTATAAATACGCGTATCGTATTGACTTACACGTATAGTCAAAAGAAGGGCGTCTCGGAAGATCGGCAGAGATGAAGATAATAAACTCATATATGTAGAAGTACTTGTTTGTTAAGATTGATTGTGTAAGCTGGTGCTAGTGACGATATGTCCATGTAACAACAGCCCACTCGCTTGCCTCCAATCAGTCTGGACATTTTCTGTCAGATATCATGAATAGGTGCGTCGCCTCGACCTTCTTGTCGAACTCACCAGGCGTCCATGCTGCACTCCAGCTTTATATTACTGCTTGATGATACCCCCGTAAGCAGCCGCCTCGGGATCAGCCAATGCGCGCGTTTTTTTTTTCGGTCGAAATCGAGCGTCTAGAAAGATGCAGGAAGCACCACACAATGCAGTATTATCTTACTCTTGCTTAAGAACGATTTAATATTAAAGTTGGCATTGCTGGCGTAATCTGAGGGTGGAGGTTAAGATAGTCTCCAACGCCGCCACTCGGAAGCCCAACCAGAATGCACGTACGGTCAGCAGGGAAAGCCGGGATGCATCAGCATTGGCGTCTATGCCTTGGCCCTGCCCTCCCCCCCGGAGTCGATCGATCGCGGAAGCCTAGCCTTGTCGGATACCAGCGATAGTAGTGCTCACTGCTAATCTGAGCGGACTACCCCGGACTGGGGGGTGAAACAGTTGGTCGCGGCCCAACGAGGGATTTCACATCCCTCCCAACTTGCTACCAATACCTTGGACCGGCCTCGGCTGTCAATATGTGACTGGTTCATTCGTAGACCATCTTACTTGCATATCCTTGGGCAGGGATCGCTGTTAAGCTTCCGATGGATCGCTCTACTATCCGATGTGCTGGGAGTTGATATCTCTACCTTAATGCATCATCCTGTAGCCGCGCACCAATGATCGAGGCAGGTCGAGAAGAACCGTTCGCCCATACCAACGGCACACCATAATCGGAGTCTTCATTAAAGCAGATGTTGGTATACGAAATGAGCTGTTACTCTTAACATGATTGGATGTTGTTTTCTATGAATCATCCTTGAGCTATTCGCAAGTGTTACAAGTAAGGACCCTGGATTGTATCAGAAGATATTGCTATACTTGCTTCTACATCACGGTCCCGAGATGGCTCTGTTGAAAACCCTGTCCCGAACTTTAAGCTGGATCTTGCATAACGTAGTTGGATCCTCTTGGATATATGGCTCCTATGAAGCTCCCCCCTGGCCATCTGCTTAGACTTCTCCAATACTTCAATTGGTAGATAGTCTACTTGTTGGTCAACTAAGATGAAGCCATCTAAATAAGACAAGTGAGATACACCAAGCCGAGTTAAGTAGGTAGAGCTTAAGAACTGATGATCAATGAGGTACTCTCTTCTAGCTCTGACTATTGTGTTAATATGCTGCCTCTTAATCCTTGACAACTTGAAGACGCTTACGCAAAGGTATCCGACCGTCTAACGATTCATAGAATTGTCCTAGTTGGCATATTCCAACTAGAGGACCAGTCACCCTATGCTCTATAGCCGCGCACTGGGTTGCCTTAGGGTAAAGGTCAGGCTCGTTAGGTCAATAGCTCTTCTATGCTTCCCGAATGTTAACAATTTCACGATCATGATTGCTGTGACCATCTCATCATAGTGGCAAGGCGCAGATAATCATAGAGTTGTCTTGCCTTTAGAATCTATAGAGCCCGCAAACTATTCCAGATCTTGCCAACGTCTTACCTTCACATTATTTATCGGAGCCCGAACGGCCGAGCATACCAGCCAGACATATTCACCGCCGTCGTGGCAAAAGACTATAGACGGAGCCATCGCTGTCTCACACACCCTCTTCATTACCAATTCCTTCCCAACTAGGAAGACGCCTAGCAGTTCGAAAAATTCGGTATTTATTAGAGGCGTTATCGCATGGTTTTGAACCATGACTGCATCAATACCGGAAGCACAATTATTGTTACACAGCGGTCGAATTTGGCGTTGAAGGTCGTCTATAGGGTGTAGAGATTTTAAGTTGTACATAACAGGGCGCCATAGCGGTGAAATATCGGAGCTGAAGTTCTATGGAGATCCCATTTTTAATGAATTGAGTTGACGATGGTGATTCTCGCGAGGTTGGGCTAGGCCAGTAATTGTAATGCAGCTCATCCACTTCTCCATTTTGAATATAGAAGTTCCCAACTCCGCACTTAATTGAAGACGACGTTGTAACTTGATTAAGGCAACATAATGCGATCGGTCAAAAGCTGCGAAGCTGTTTAGAAATCGACGAACAAACTTTGACTTGGAAGAAAAATGTTCTATAATACCAGTGTTTTGTTTTTAGAACGCTGAGTAATGTCTATGTCTTATATTATTCGTCGATGCACTATGTTTAGTCAACCCGACAAATGCAGAAGAGATGCAGAACGTCCAAAATAGGCAGCCCGACCTTACCATAAGGTCGGCTCACTACCAGACCACTACCAGACCCTCGGGGACGAAGCCATTGGTTCTTAGTGCTTAGTATCTGCGAGGCTAATACGATCCCCATAGCCATATTAACCAGACAAGGTAACGGGATTTGACCAGGCTGACGAGCAAAGCCCGTTAATAAGAGTCGAAAGACTCGAGAATAACTCTAGAAAACTGTACCTGTCAGATCTAGTTGTTCCACATAGACGCCTGCATATGATTGTACATACTTCTATACCCATGATATGCATGACTAAGGTAGTAACCAAGTTTTTATATTAGCTTATGAAATAAGTCGCATGGAATCGGGGATGCAGGTTGGGGGGGACATCTTGGGGGAGCATCTTGTAGAAATCTTACTAATTATCTTAATAGAAAAGGTCAGAACTTAAGCCGTGAAATCTATGACAAGGCCTGCGCCCTATCATATTACGACGCCCTCCAATAAATATTGACGTAATCTCGTCCTAGACTGGGTTAGCACGAGGGTAACTGTAACTAGTGTAGATTTAACCCCCTAGGACTCAAGGATTGGATGTTGGATTCTGGGGATGGGGCCGCCACCGCCTAGAGTTACCTAACTAGAATAACTATACTATTATTCGTTATTGTTATTGTTATTATTATTATTGAATATTCTGCCAAGTTCTAGTATTAGGTTTACTTTGACGACAAGAAGAATATATCCCCGATCACCGAGTAACAATATCCGAGTAACGATAACTCAGTCGGTGATAACTAAACGGGTAACATGTAACATCCTAGTCCTTGTCTTCCGACTTAGCCGAGGTATACCATGAATTTACCAGATAATAGTTAGTTATTACCAAAAGTCATAGTTAATGTTTAATTCTTGCTCACGATACTATGTAATAAAATGCCCAAATATTTAGAAAGGCGACCAATAAACCGGCTCATGCTGTCATCCAGTTAGTATCTAGTTTAGTCAGTCGATTAGTTAGTTAGTCAGTCAGTCAGCACGAGTTGTTCGGCATTTCTAATCGTAGCGGCGTGCCTGCAGGTTCATATCGCCCTCCGAGTTTGCGACTTGTCATCCATGATCCATCAAAGATCCCTACCACTTCCTACCATTTTCCTACTCCGCGGGCTGACCCCTGTCGAAGCGGCACCCCTTCGGCACCTAAAGAGCTTAGCTAGACCGCTTGCGGGGGGAATCCGTCAGGTATCCAATTAATGGACCGTACAAGGTACAATACCTTGAAGTTACATTCATTAGTGTAATACACCGACATGCGCCGGATTTCGTAAACTCAACTTACCTACAGTGCTATCAAGGTCAGAAGTATCTCACTACTCGATGTAAACACTTTCATACGTACGAGTTACAAACAGGCTAAGGCTTATATCTCATGTATGTATAGACCGGGCATGACGTGACGTCCCAAGAACTGCAGCAAGTGAGCCAAGGAGCTGGGCGAAGCAAGCCATGCGATATTCTACCTAATGTATGAACTTGCATTGGTTGTATTATTACAATATACCTATGATACAAAGTCCATAGCTACCTAACCTATTGTGTATAATAAGATGTATTTAAGTAGCTTACCACAAATACATAAACTTATTAAGGAGGCGAGATAAAAAAAAATACATAATGTACCTTGGAGTATGTATGTGTATGTGTGTGTCAACTGACATATCTAATATGATAGTTACATTAAGTCCATATGATACTCTTTTAACCCTATTATTCATCTCTATTCCTTATTATTCCTTATTTTTACAATAGCTTTAAACTACTTAACCTAACCTAACTTAACTTAACTTAAACCTTGCCGTTAAATCGTGCCGAACTCTTCCCAGTCTTTTCCCAAATCGAATTCCCCCAGTCGATCCTCTTCGATTCCCCAATTTTATTTTTTAAATTCCTTGAAGAACGGGAACCAAAAACAAAAAAAAAGTCTTGGCTTCTTCCCTCAATTGTCACTTTATGTTTCTTTATATCCATCCATTCCCAATTTCCGCCAACACCCCCAACCTTGTCTAATTGATCAAGCCTCATTAGACGATCGGCTCTTATTCCCGGATGCGCCACCTGCAGTTCTGTGTTCAGCCTCAATTGAATCCTCCCGGGCAGATTGCAGCCATTGCAGCATAGCAATACCCGCGCCCTAAGATCAGAGAGACAAGAGCAACGCGCATGTCGTCATCTCAGGTTCCGACGGAATTGTTGTACGGCAGTGGAGGATACTCTGGAAATTCTGCCAATTCCGCTGCTTCCGCAACATCTGCTTTGTCGCCAATTACAATACTTACACCGACCTCAGCGAGTACACTTTACACCTCACCCGATTCGGCAACTCAACCTTTTTTCGGCACCAAGTCTGAACCTGATGATGGCGACGGCACGAGTAGTGGAGGTAGTGTTACCGCCGTACCTCCGTTCTCCGAACCCTTAAAGAAGAAACAGAAGCGCAACAAACCAACGCTATCGTGTTATGAATGTGTTGAACGAAAAACGAAGGCAAGTAAATGCTACAATTCTAGCAATTAAATAAAAATAATTTCCGACGCCACATTCTATATCTATTCTACATCTAGCCAGTGTTAGACCAAATTGATTTCCTTTTTTTCCGATGGTTGCGTCAGTATCACGTAGCACTACGGAGAAATAATGCGCATCAAATCATTTTTAACCCCTTTATGCTTTTTTCTTCTTTTATTATTATTTCCCATTGACTAGGTCATATTTCGGGAGAGAAAATAATAACAACGGGAAACTAACGACTAAATTATAAGCCGTTGTTGAAATAAGTTTCTACAAAAAGAGGAGGAATAACAGTATAACGTTAAAAGTAATACCTCGGGTTATGGAGGGATTTCGACAGAGCATCAGCATGCGTTATGTTGGAAACGAAACTGGCGTGACTTAGAAGAATTATCTTTCTACCTTCAATCGACTGCTATGATTCTACATCCGCAGCTACTAACATGTCCGGCTTCGACTTTAGTGCGATCGAGGTAGACCTCACTGTTTAGCTTGTAAGCATACTTACAATATTCGGTTCTCTTACACGATCTTATGTTTACGAGACCCTGTCAGGTATAAAACGACAAACAGAATGCAAATATGCGCACGTGGCAAACCTTCTCGAGTAAGCCGATATTGTTTACTTTAGAAACAATTTTTCGTTGAAAAGGGGGCAACGCGACTAACAAGTCTTAGAGAGACATCACGATCGGCCACTAACGGCCGTAGGATGACGAAACCACCGAAGAAGAAGGTGACGATGAGTGGGATAAGACCTTCGATTCCAAATATAGCAGATAGAGGTATTCCCATCAGTCGGATGACATCTCGTGGGTCCGTCGCGCTGTCAACAGGGCTCATCTCTAACGTTTCTCTATCCCACCCAACAGCATCCAATGTCTTTGGGGTAGGCTCTGAACATCCATTTGCCAACTACTGGACTTGCGAGGGCGGGCTCCCCGAGGTCATCGGGGTTCTACCCGACAAGTTGCAGACCGATATCCTCATCAGCCAGTACTACGACTGCGTGGACCCGGTCTATCCCATAATTGACCGCCATGCGTTCTATCTCGAGTACGAACACTTCTGGTCCTTACGAGATTCCGAGAAGACCGATGCCGCTTTCGTAGGCTTGCTCTTCACTATGATGGCTTTGGGAACGCAATTCGTTATGACGACGAATCCTAAAGATCGCAAGCAAACTGCCGAGTTCTACGCCTCGGCAGGTAATCAAGCGCTGCGCATGTCTTCATATTTAAATACGGCTTCATTACGTTCTGTTCAAGCTATGGTTCTAGTTGGCTATTTCTTGATAAACGATAATCATGCGTCAGACGGTTGGGCTTTTTCAGGCTTGTTATGTACGTGAACCCCCTAAGTGCCCATCATCCTCCCCTTTGCGCTCTCAAATAGGGGCCGAGATCAATGATTAGGAAAACCTCATGCGTATCTAGCACTATCTATACCTTGCAAAGGAGTTGTACCAGGGTATCGCACAGATGGCATAACCGGAAAATTACTAACTCTAAGCGTTACAGTGAGGCAAGCTTATGCGATGGGTCTGCATAGAGATCCAAATATAGGTAGGCCGAGGTAGCTATTAGTGACGGTGCACTCCGAGAAGCTGATGAAAAAACTTCTACCAGTGGTTCCCGGCGCAAGCGAATTCGAAAAGCAACAACGGCGCAAATTGTGGCAAGCCGTCCTCGTCCAGGATACCTTTCTAACGGTGCTACTCTCGCTACCCCCCAACGCCACGCACACGGACGTCAAAGTGGAGGACTTCGTCGACGACATATCCGGGTTCGGCGAGTCGAACCCAATCGACACGGCATACATCCGCGGGTCCTGGATGCTAGCAAACCTAGTGCAAGAAACCATCTCCAGCCCGCGCTCTCTCGACGTGCCCATCTGCTCCACGCAGCGGCAGAAGTCGAAACTAGTGGCGGATTTCCGCGCCGTCTACCGCTCGTTCCCTGACGTGTTCCGGTCGTGGGACCAGGAGAGCATCGCGCAACTCGCGTGCACGAACAAGCGCGTGGTGCGGCAGACGCTGTTTCTGAGCAGCAATTACTACCACAACCTCATGCTAGTGCACGCCTCCGAGAGCCCCGACGTCCCTGTCAACATCCGCGCGACGCTCGAGGCCGCGCACGAAGCCATCACGTGTTTCTTCGTGCTGTGCACGCTGTTCGACCCCGAGGCGAGGGTGTGGTGGGTTTTCCACCACAGGGCGTTTTTGGAGGCCTTGTGTATAGGGAGCGTGCTGCGCGAGGCGGGGAGGGATCCGGCGACTTCGGATCAGTTCTTAAGGGATCCGCTGTTTGCGAGGGCGAGGGCTGATATAAGTACGTTCTTCCCCCCTCCCCCCAGGTCCAATGCGTTTTTGGGTTCTTGCTGTTTTCTGTTTGAATGCTAACGGGTTTCCTAGCGCGTATGGTCCAGATCATGAAGATGATGGCGGATGGCGAGTGGGGATCTGATGACGCGAGGACGAGGGTGGCGGTTTTGAGCGAGTTTTTGTAGATATTGTGGTGGGTGGGAGGTGGTAGCTATGAAGATTGGTGGTAGGGGGTGGGTGAGCTTGTATATAGACTCTAATGCACATTATGATCATCGTACCTGATATATAATTATCGTTTTGCATATAAATCATAGTTCTTTGGCATAGCAGCTTCATTTATCGAAGGTTAGGGGGTTTGAAAGTGGAAGCCTACCTACGTATATGAGATAAGGAGTTTTGGTAATAGGGGTAAATGCGAATATGCGAATAGTCTAAATTGGTACGCATTGGGGAACAAGCCGTCTGTATACATACGGCGAGAATTATCACAATCCCAAGACCTATATCCTCTTGGCGCGTCTTTTAGAGGCTAATTATCAACTATTGCCTCTACTGGCAATAGTTTTAAGCTATGCTGATACCATTTATACCCCCATGGATGAACAAAGTCCAAATGATCGATCAGAACACCACCTTTCCAATTACACGGCCTTGGTGATTCATTATGACAGAATCCATCATTACGATCATCGAAGTCCAAGTTAAGGCGGCCGGTAATGACCAAAGTGCTTAAGTCGAAAGAACATCGTCGGAGACGAGGGTGTTTGAAGTCCTGTAAAGAGCAACTTGGAGGACTCCCATCCATGAAATTATCATCCAGGAAGGGCTAATTCATCAACACACGCCCCTTTTCAAACTCCCTTTCCATGAATTCAGGGAACCCGCTAGTCGGGGGTGCGTTTGATTTCGACATTGTTGGTTGAGATCCGGTGGTAATGGAAGTAAACAATCGATTTAGACTTGAAGACATTGGTTAAATGCCCTTATATAAGTGGAACTAAGTCACATGAAATCTTTCTTGTTGGCAATACATCGTAAACACATCTTCTACAACGACGGACATGACCTATACTAAAAAGGGGGGTTTGAGAAAAACAGCCTATGTGTCATTTCACAATGAGGGAGTACCACCAGTTCGTCTTATCTATAAAATGCCTCATAATACTATTAGTTTCGAAGTCGAAGTGCGAATGTAGATCCTATAGCTATAGTAACTAGATCTCGACTCAGGCACTTACCGCCTCCGTACGCATATCTAAATAACAGCTATATCATATCCTATAGGTATCTGGAATTTACTACCCGCCTTAAGAAAAGCGACGTCACTGCTCCTAGAGAAATGAGTCGAGTATAACAGGAAAGACGAGTCAAATCGATGAACACTATAGAGCTTGATCAACTTAGGTGCCTGTTGGTGCTGATAGCGGGAGTTAGTTGGAATATATCCAACAGCCATATCATGCCTAGTACATATAGTCTTTAAACCAACAGTAGTACCCGGCAAATATGACTATATCTACACTCCTGAGGCTTAATCCGACGGCTTAACACACGATCTTAGTCTCCGTGAACTAATACTGTATCACCACCTAAGATCATTTCCTGCTCATGGTGATAAGGTTGGACACTACCAAGGACGGGCTTGTTTCCAATAAGGGCTACGTGGTGATATTGTTGGTGACTCCTTCTTGCATATGGTTGGACAATTATTCATTGGGTAGGTAACATTTACCATACCAAGAACCACTTAGAGGCTCTTGACAAACTTTTTCATGCGAGCCAGCCGGCTCTTTGCTCTCTAACGGTATAGAGTGGGCGGGATACTAGATTTTCTAGATCATATGGTTATACTAAACATACGATTATCCTATATTAGGTCTAAAAATGTCTCTTATCTAGGTAGGGCAAATACGCGAGTAGTCTTAATGTATGAGGTTGAATGGAACTTAAAGGGGGATAGTCTAGGAGACAGGAATAATGAAAGGCCTTCGGAAGAGAGTAATATGAATCAACTATCAACTTTAAAATCATATACATATAGTATATTGTCTACATAATTGCAACCTCCCTTTGGATTTGCAGCTGTACCAGATGTCTCTCGGGAAAGGGGGTCTTAACAGCCAATACAACAGACTTAAGTGAAGGAGGCCCGGAAAGGAATCAACGAGCTTAATTCACGAGTTAGGCGATGATGATAATAGAACTGCTTAGACACCACGAGAGATCCAACACTAGTTCCCCGATCTACTCGGCTATGTATAAGTCGTCACAATCCTGACCCCTCTCCTACGTGTCTATCTATATACACATCAAACCTACCTCATCGACACCAACATGCGGAATATACGACGCGAAGGACCAACCGAAACACTCACCTAATCATCACGGAGTAGCCCATATAATTCCTATTCATCTAAACATAAACCAGAACGCCGAGTTACGCGTCGAGCCCTCGTCACAGAGAAAATTGCCCGAACCTCCTTACCAACCGCAGCATCAAGCTGTCGGTAGATAATTAAAATCCAAACCAACAACACAACATCACATCCCAAGTGCTCCCCGCGTGTGTATGAATCTCGCATTTGCCATAACATCGACGAGACCGATTCCATCAATGCATGTAGGGACGACACCGCATTTAATCAATCAGGTAATCGGTCAGTCCTCACCATGCCGCACGGACCGGTCCCCGTCACCACACCTGGGTACCTAACATCCTAACATAGGTATCCTCGCGAACTCACATACATAACATCTCAGATCTCGGAACGGCCTCCATAAAGGCAAGTTCACCGACGCCCACAGAACCCAACCCAACTCTACAAAACATATATATCTATCTTCGGTTCGGACAAGCGGATATCGACCTCCAGGAAGAGCGGAAGCTATCCATCACCGAACCGAACCCAGACCGAACCAATATGTTACAGCAATTTGCTTTTCTCGGATCTTTCCTTTAATCCCAGCTGGCTCGAGCGCAGCCTCCCTACATAATAATAGGTCCCAGGTATCTTAGGTACCTAACCTAACCTAATATATAGGTATGTTACAATATAAGACCTATAATACGACGTACGGGCCATACATAATGAGGCGAAAAAAAAAAAGAAAAAAAGAAAAGAGATGACCGTGAACCACATGTGGGTTTTACGCAACGCACCGCACCGCACCGCATCCCCAACCTCCTGAGCGCTGAACTCCGCGTACTCCGAACATACACATGTAAAGTCCCCTTACATTAGGCACACAACCGAATCTCGGTCAACGTCCAGACGGGCCGAATCGGCATCGCGAATCGAAATCGATATTGTACATTAATAGGTACCTTGATATGTGACACGGAGATTTATTTCTGTTCTTTTCTTTTCTGCATAAGCTGAGCTGAGCAGAATAAAACTCGTCGTCCCTTTACATATTTCCATGTTAGGTACCTACTTCTTATCCTCGTATGTATTAACTAACATTATGCAAAAAATTTCATCCCATCCAATTCATTCATCCAATTAATACGGTGCCCGCAAAATGCGGCCGCACTTTGCTCGCCACCAACGGCCCTTCCCGTCGTTCCCCTTACTTTAATTCTGACGGCTCGTGGACAAAGCTTCGATATTTGTGGTTTATTCGTAGATCATCGATAAAACGTGAAACGTCGATAGAATCAAGACAACTCAATCCGAATACAGCAACTTATTCATCATCATAAACGTCATAACCATGCAGTACAGTTTAACTAGTTAGATATATTATTAGGCTTCTTGTAGTCTCTTATGTACCAGGGGTTTTCAGCCCCCCCTCCCTCAAAACAGCATTAACTGCTGTGTCACCCTTATTCTCCGAAAAACCCCCAGCTGCTCATTATGAAAGGAGTGGCCGTATATCCGGTATTATTTGACCCACCCCCTCCAGATGAAGCTGAAAGAGGGCATATTGATAGCCTTGTATGCACATATTTTGTTCGCGGCCGTGAGTCCCGTAAAGTCGTGATAGGTGTAAGTAGTCACCATAGTAGAATGATCCTGAATGTATTCAAACCCCGTCTGGGCTGTTGATGTTAAATATCAAAACTTCCCCCTGTATCCAACTCCAAGCACATTTTAAGACTCAAAACATGTGCATGCTTTTTTCTCTGTCCGCACCCCACATGAGTAAAATAGAAAACTATATATAATTTTCAAGATGACATCTCATAATTTAGGGGGAAGTATATAGTCCTGTCGCAATAGCATCCAATAAAGCTGTCATTCTCTGTAAGCCAACTCCGTTGCGATGCTGCATGCGAGTAAACAATTTTGAATGGTTGAGATGTGGTTTGTATATACGTAAACGACGGTGGTAGGTAATTGTAGTAGGGAGACTGCTTAATCTGCTTAATGCGCATGAAGCATAACAAAGCAAAGGGACCTCGTCATTCTAAGACGTGGGTCCATCTATTTGCCCTGTCGGTTTGGAGATCGGCTGGTAGTCGTCCATATCCTGTACCCCTTCGTCCTCCACTTCAATAACATTTTGCTTGACGACTTCTTGCTTAGGAGATGTCTTTAATGCCGGCGTGCCCATACTCTTCCGCATCGTTGTGGGGCGATAGCTCCGGGACTGGATGGGCCAGGGCGAGGCTAGCTCGGGAGTGTTTTCCGTTTCAGAACGTGTTAGTTCCTTGTCGGCAGCCTCCTTCGTCAAAGCAAGGCGCGCTTTAATCTTTTCGATCTCTTCGGCGCAGTCACCGTCTCGAAGAAATTGATGTGCTCCTTGTTCACACATACCCTGAACGAACTCGAGGCCTTTGTCTAGCTCCTCCCAGATATCACCCCTGTCCTGGAATGCGCCCAGTCCGCCATTAAGACCTGATCGAGTCACCCGCGCACTCACCCTACCGGCAACTACGTTTCGTGGTCCCATTTGCCGAGTGCTCTTGAAGCGGAGCTTGATATCTTCCGCTGACTCTTCCTTAGCTTGTATGCCTGTAGCGTCGGCGGCGACGGCGATGAGATTATCCCTGGGCTTTAGTTCACCATTCCCACTACCCGGCCTGTCCTCCTCGTCATCATCGGGCATCTCAATCTCGGCTAGACGTCTGATGCGGGCCACTTTGGCAGCCATCTTCGCTTTACGCATGGCATTGCGCTGCATCGACACGAACTTGACTAACTCCTCAAAGAATGACTGTACATAACTGTCGTAGTATACGATGATCATATTCCGTGACCTATAATTTTGGACGGCGTTCTCGGTGCTCATCATGGATTCGGTCTTCGGCTTCTTCCGAACAACGGCGCGCGCTCGTCGCTGTGCCGTTGCCATAACCTCGTTGGTCTGACGTTGAAGGGAGGTGTTCGATCGTGGCTCACTCACGGGACTCGAGGGTACCTCAGCAGCACCGTCATTTGGCTGTCGAGGTTCATTCGGGGCTAGGGGAGGTGGCGTCGAGACGCGTATCGTGTCTAGTATTTGGCCAGGTGCGCCTTCATCTCTCGGTCTTAGAGATTCTGTTGACCCCTTATTCCTTATAGATCGAGCTGAAGACTTGGATTGGTTCTCAGGTAACATAGCCAGATCCTGCTGGCGCTGATCGATTTGTCCATTGAGTTCCTCGAGACGTTTAAGCCAGTCGGGAATGTTAGTAATCAGGGCTTTCAAAGAATCTGTCGCCATTCTGGATAGATAGATATGAATGTAAATATGTTGTATTTAGTTCGAGATTGAAGCTAAGAAGCAGATATGTGACCGTACCCTGACATCAAACTCCTACTTGGGAGGTAGAGGAGTCGGTGAGGAGGTGAACAGGGTAGGTAAAAGGGAGGTTAGGCGATTGTTAAGTTGATATGCCACTGGTCATGACATCTAGCCAAGCCCATGCACAATGGGCACCTGAGCTACCTAACGAACTCGACACTTCCAATGCTACAATTTAGACCTGAGCAGGCCAATTCGATGTCTCGTCTCTCGAATATTAACCAATTAGAAAATTGTTTAGTCGATGTAATATAAACGTCACAAAAACTTGATCAATTGCTCTTCGAATCAAGAGAAAGGATGGTTAATTCAGGCGGATATGGCGGGGAGAAAAAGGAAGAAATCGGATCGAGTGGAAACAGAGTTGATATCGAAGGAAGATTATGAGAATTGGCAGTTCTGTGGGGTATCGAGATACATATGCTGGTTGGTTTAAAAGCAGTTACGGTACGATTATTTCTGGGCTTGCCTTCCCTAGGATCCATCATATCCATAGGTCCACTAGGTACGTTTGCTTTTGGTACGTACATACTTGAGATATCCATCCATGTAGGTACTATATTATTGTACCTACCTATCTACTATAATAATATTGTACTATCAGATTAGTTACACTATCTTAGTCTGGGGCTTTGCCAGCCGCGGCATGTTAAGTGCCCAAGGAAGCAGGGGACTAATTGTTAGGCTAGAGTCAATTGTATGGAAATAGGTACTTAGGTACGTATATACTTGGTCGGGACTCCACGGCAAACTGATAATGTAATATGCTACCTAGGTACACTAGGTAATATGCTAGGGTACATTTAGTTACCTTACATACCTATATAAGATACATCCTAAACAAGAGCTAGTAGATGCAAGACTAGGGCACCTAGCGGTAAAGAACCCTTGTCCACTGGCGCCCGCCTGCAAGTTCTTCTCTTTTAACGGGTTGATCGGCGACTAATTAACGGGCTGCCGTTCTAGTTTATTAAAAAGCGACTTTGGCCCTCTCTCGAAATATGGACGTTCTCTTATTTTGGACATTCTCTCCTGCCCGTGCTGCCCGTGGTAGTAATTCTTATGGGAGCGGCTGGGGAGATGTTCACATTCGAGTTACACGAAATCCGTGAAGGAAGCAAAAGCTGTATTGCATTTTGCCACTTTTTTCGGCCGTCGGTCAGAAAAGGGAACGTCCACATGGCCGGTGTAGTTTATGCATTACAGTAGCGAAGTTGAAGGAGGGTATCAACGTGTTTATCAACGTGGCCTTAGTGATTGACCTATCTGAGTAATGTGAGAACACAGCTTGTTCCTCAAGATATGTCTCCATTCTAAGAAGTAGCTAACCTCTCTACATACATACATTCTCACCTGTTGCTGATATAAAAACTCGTAAGGGTCCGTTAGCAGTTTTGGGGGCATACCACTCTACATACATACAATAAAGCGTACGTGCCACATGCAGCACGGTCTTCTTTGCAGATTAGAGGCGGGAGACACGCATCCGTTACGGGATTTCATGTAAATAATGAGACCACAGTGGAGAAGACAAGAAAACTCCCATACTTTTTTGAAAAATAGTCTTACGACAAGACTTGGGCAGAGACCTTTCGGACCCCATCGGAATACGCCACTGCCAAAGGGGGGGAATTCTCAGCCTAAGGATAAGCCGGCCGCATCTGCCTTGGATCAAGTTGATCAACAAGTTGCAGTTGACATTTGGCGATTGGCGGCAGCTCGGCGCCGGTCACCATCGACCATCGAGTTTACTCGTATGGGGTCCATGACAGGTCGCAAAGTTTTTACGCTAGCTAACACGATGCATGTCACTGCACACGCGGGACCGTCTTTAGCGGTTGGACACTACTGTATGTAGTGTAGTAGACGCTGGGGGCGTAATGTGGTATGAGCGTAAGAGAGGACGGGAATAGCCTTGTGTCGTAGTAGTAGTGCACATGTAGCTGCGGCGTAAGATGGAGGGTGACCGGAGATACAGTGCCTAAACAGGATATAACAATGAGTTGGCTTGCATCGAGAATATGCTTTCAGAGATCAACGAGACATATCACTTACATCTACTTATATGATAGGTTATTTGTTTGCCTGCTGTCCTCGGTATTTTTTGGTGGGATGGAATTGAGAGCTGATAATAAATGTGATGATGATGTTTTAGCCACAAGGAGAAATATATCTGCTCTATTATTGTATATAGTTACTTTGTACACTAATACATATGAAACTGAATATCATTTATTAGACTCATTCATATACATAGTATATCTTGAAAACATATTTACACAAGTACCTCACATATCTCTTAACCTAGCCCTATGTACTTACGATATTCGCATACGTACATACGTATATACAGCCTCTTACATCACCTGAGTATTCGTCGTCGTATAATATAAATTGTAATGCCGATGCAATTGCCCAATGTGGTTGGGGAGCCATGCATATAGTTGTCTTTGCATATACATGAATTAAGCGGTGAATATGCACAGTCCATCCTACCGATCGAATTCGTGCCATACATATTCACATTCATATCGGATTGGCTTATGCCTGAAACATGACCTAGCAATACATACATAACTACCTACATATAAAGTGCGTACGTATGGATTACTTTGTTACCTCTTCGCTGCTTCGCGTCAAACCCCGCTCGAGAATCTAAAGCTTTACCTACCTATGTAAGCATATTATACACTTTATATTCGAGTTAGGTATATGATAGCACGATTCGCTTCATAAAAGGTTTATAAAAGGGTATAGTTATATGATCATCGAAACGATTTACTCGTTAATATTAGTTATACCATCTAAGGTAAAAATTGATAGTTAATTTAATAAAATAAATCGCAACATACATACAATATTTATAAGACTCAAAAGCAAAGCCCGTTTTATAAAGAAAAGCATTCCCCGAACTTAGATCACGATGCCTTTTGCCTGCCGCCGGCTCGCAGTGGGGGGCAATCAGTTTATTCGCAAACTCCCAAATAAGGTATGTACCTAAGAAAAAGGGGTTGCAGTCGGCTATGCACATTCCATATCCGGAAGCAAAACAAGGCGACAAAAGCAAGCAGAGAGATGTTCGGATAATTACTTGAACATGTAAATACCGGATACTGGTACGTGCTATTCTAGGCCCCAGCCTCATAATAAAACATGTATACCTACATACATATATCGCCAAGACTCAAAAAGACTCAATTTATAGCGGTCAAAATACTTTGAACTACATACACTATATACATAATATGTAAACCCAGCCCCTTCTTCTCCTTCCTCTTCCTTGTTTCTTTCCCGCCCCGCCTCCCTCGGGACGGACCCCGGCTTCGAACACGTGGGAAAGTCACGATGGTTGCCCCCCCCTCTCCCCCCATGCTTGAGACGGAACGCCTAAAAGCTTCCAAATGGAAGCATTTTTATTCTTCTTCTCCCCCACTTTTGACCTTCTGCGCTAAAAACACCCGTAAGATGCTGTGTGTTAGATCCGAAGCCTAGCACTCAAGGGTTGAAAACTCCCGTGCCGAGACCATCACATCCCTTAATACTATGTATATATAGACTATAACTAGTTAGTAGAAGAACTGAAAGAAATATAACTACATCCACAATTATGTTTTATATAATTCGTTTCGAGGCCAAATCAACGAAACGGAATATCTAGGTACCTATCTACCTACATGTGTTAAGACCTGCGAAAAGAAAGCATCGGTTTTCTGAACCATAAGCACTAGACGATCCTTCCCCTAGGTAGATCCTCAACTCGATGTCAGAGCTACCTATCCTGCAAAGCAACAGTACAACGACATTCTATGCCCACCGGACATGGTGCGACTAATTTCACTCGCTACCTACCTAAATCTTAACAGCAGGGGAAAACAAAATAAATGTGACAGCGCGACCAGAGAGCAATTTAAAAAATCGCCGTTTTTTTTACCCCTGCCTAGCCTCTCACCCACGAGGTCACAGAACCCGCATGGCTAAATAAATATGGGATGATCCTATGTAAGTACCTATGTATGTATGTATGCACCTCATATTCCGCACCTACATTACGTAGTATGCCGAAGAGCAAAAAAAACCCCCCCAAAAAAACCGCGATGGTTACCGGAGTGCAAGGTCTACTTTAGCATACGGCATCCCGTTCGCGGATATACTGATTGCCATGTGTTCGGCCCGGGAGGAAACATTTCCTTCTACGTATTACATCACATGTTCGAAACTTGCAGGGCTGTGATAGATCTGGTCATGCCAAGACTCCTACACACACACACACACACACATGTATGTAGGTGCTTATGTGTCTATGTGCATACGATAATGCCCATAGGTAAGGGGGTAGTAGTAATACCTCGGCAAGACGGAGCTACGCATTATACACCACTATGCTGTATGTAGGGTCCACGACCCTTCCTCACCCAGGTGACCAACAAGGTAATCAGATATGTAGATATGTCATAATCGACGTTTCCATACCACCGAGGCGTACGTAGCCGCCGTAGACTCGGTCTCTTCCTCCCGTACCAGCTACGGCCACACCTCCACCTTCTCCCACCCATCCTCCACCAGCCCGCCCGGCGCCGTAGCCTCCGACTTCCCTCCCACAAACGTATACAGCCACCTACGGCCGCGTTCCGGATCGCTCAGATCCGTGCGATCGACGCCTTCCGGCACGATAACCACGACTCTGAAATTCGCCCTCGCGACCTCGTCGTTCAGATCCGTCACCTTCTGCCCCAGCCTCAACCTATCGTCATCCACCGGCAGCGCCACCGGCGTGCCGGAAGGCGGGTTCCGGAACGAGCCTCTCATCAGGGGACTTAGATTGCCGAAGTGCGCCGTGACTTCCCGGGTGAAGCTCCAGTCCTTGCCGTCGCTCTTGCGCCGCATCCGCGCTGTCAGCAGAGACATGACATGCTTCCCCTCCGCCGAGTCCTCGACGTCCGGGCCGAGGACATACGCCTTCCCGCGGACGCGCCACTGCGTGCCCGCCTCGCCAACCCAGAAGACAGCCTCGACAGGCGCGCCGCCGCCCGAGCCCCGGAGTTCCTCACCGGTCTCCTCCACGCCGAAGAGCTCCGCCATCTTATCCATGCGGCAGTCCGTCGTAAACGTCGGGAAGTCCGTCTCGTAGACGTCCGGGTTCAGCTCAGCGTCGTTCTTGGGATTCACCTGTAGCCCCGCGAGCAAGCCGCGGAAGACGCACGTGCGAGCACGCGGCGAGTAGACCGTACCAGACGGGGAAGACGTTTTCCGGATTGTGCTTAGAGTGAACTCCGGCGATGCCATCGTCTGGACGTGTTCTAGGAAGAGCTGTCTCCAGGGCGCTGGGCCTGGAGGAGATGTTGATGTTGCCATTGCGCGGTAAGTGAGTAGTAATTCGCAAGCAAGGCGATCTGTAAGTCGTACGAGTCGCGGGGAAGAGATGATTGGGCGGTAGGCGAATCGGATCATCAGCCGAATAGACTAAACGTGGCGATTACATTCAAAAGGTACCTGGTTCCCCCTTCAAAGTAAATTATGGTATATGGCTTGTCAACCGCTAGAGATAGATTGATAGTAATTGAACATTTCTATTGGTGCGTTTGTGTCTACGGAATACTAGAGGGGTTAATTTGATCTTGGAGAGAATATATAAATTCCATGATGACGTAATTACTCTCTATTAAAGACCAAAGAATAAAGACTAAAGACACTAAATCTAATACTAGACTGCAATTAAATTTAGTCTATTCTCTTAAAAATAACAACTTAAAAAGGTTAAATATTGCTGTGTGGGTATAAGAGAAGACAGGCTAGACTTGAAGAGTTAGACACACACCAAACCAAGACGGACACACACGCATGACGAAAATTAGTATTAACTATATAGGTCTAGGTACACAACGTACATACATACGACGTACGCATATACATACAATATATACAAAATATAACTAGTACAAGATATACATATATACATACATCCAAAACAAGCTTCGTAAAAGTATACAAAGCATACATATACGCCTATACCAATACCTTTATACAATAATCATGCACTCATGAGCGGCGTGAGCCTAAATAGTGTCTAATGCAATGTTCCTATCTATATGTCGAGTAACTTATTAAAACCTTGCCAAGGATGGTTACGAAGTAGCTATCTAAACTTTTTAAGCTCCTAGATGTGTACCTTACGTTTCGTCGGTGTATATAAAAAATAGTGACTACGGATGCGAAGGCGACCGGTACGCGGAAATATACCGTTCTCAACCCGACATGACCAAAGCTAGCAGGGCCATTCGGCAGTACAGACCGTACCTCATCTAGAGATATATTAGTAAATATTTCTAAGCCGTGAGAAAACTTGTTCAAACACTTACCTGTCTGAAATAAGCTGCGCGGTGATCGTAGTCAACTTCCTCCGCAACTTCTTCGTTCCTCGGCAGGGGATGTAGCACGCGGGTAGTCTGCTTCGCATGCTTAAGGGTCGCGTTATCGATGCGGTACGAATTCTTGACCTTCTCGTACTCTTCAATGCTGGGGAAGCGCTCCTTTTGAACCCTAGTGCAGTACAACACATCACTCCTTGATAGAATCTCCGGGGTAAGCTCCTCAGATTCGCAAAGTAACTGTCCAGATTCCTTTAGGAGGCTGCGAACTTCCGCTGGCAGTGCTAGCGACTTCGGCGAAACCAGCTGAACTTGGACCTGGTAGTGTCGTAGTAGATATACTAGCGAGTGAACTGGTCGTCCGTAGAGGAGATCACCCACAAAGGTAATAATCAAACCTTGTACAGTACCAAGCTCTTCACGGATCGTGAAGAGGTCAAGGAAAGCTTGCGTAGGGTGTTCTTTGCTTCCATTTCCACCATTGATGATAGGAACCTTGCTATACTTCCTTGCAACATCTACCGACGTTTCTTCCGGATGGCGTAGAACGATAGCATCGCCGTAACACTCAAGTGTTCTGAGTGTATCTTGAAGCGTCTCTCCTTTCTGAACAGACGAATGTGTTGTGGTGATAGGGATTGTCCTGCCACCTAGTCGTTGCATAGCTGCATCGAAAGATGCCGAGGTACGTGTCGATGGTTCATAGAACATGGTGCATAGAACCCGGCCGCGTAGGATATTAAGGACGCCTTCTCGATCGACACCGAGGCGCATCTCTTGAGCCACAGTGAACAGCAGATGAAGATCTGATCGCGTGTATTGCTTTACGGAGAGCACATGCGAGCTTTTGAAGGCGGAGGGTTGCATAAGGAGGTCATGCAGGGAGTCAACGAACGGTGCTCGTGCAGGTCCCGGCAAACTGAACTCTTCTGCACCTGGCACATTCCTTGAAGCAGGTCTCTGGTCGTCTGCCTCGCCGTCAGTCAACCGCGACATCCCCACTGGTTTCCCAATGTTAGAGAAGCGTCGAGTCCGGAGAGCATCGAAGGGATGCGTTTGTTGGGGCATAGGCGGCGACATAGGTGCAGGCATACTGCCATGAGTAGACATATCCTTCCCGAGAGGTGCCAGAGGAAGAAGTTCTCCATCGAGGCAGACCGTCTTGTTGTTGAAAGTAACCCTCTGCACCGCACCACGCATGGTCTTACCAGCAAATGGCGACCACGACGCTGTCTTGGGTATAGTGTGCGGGCGGTCAATTTCAATCTCAACTGAAGTTCCGACCTGTTCATGAAGCTCAAAGATCTCCTTTGGATTATCGTACAGCCGCGTCTTGACATCATCCAACGTTAACTTGCCTTCCGTGACAGACGTCAGCAGAAGAGGCAAGGCATCAGCAATACCAACTGTAGGGTCTGCATCAGATTGAATAGAATGCGCAAGCTGATACGGGAGACTTCCGATAGAGAAGACATCAATCGTGCTAAGATGATCCCAGAGCGCCTGCTGGTCGGCGGGTGCAGGAAGATACTGGCATTCGGGGAAATCCTTCCGTGATAGGTACAACGAATAAATCGACACGTCGCAAGTGACACTCAGGCCTTTCTCCTTGCTAAGAGCAATGAGCCGGATATCTTCCTTAGTCGTGACACTAGTGACATGGATACGCCTATTGTGAAGGCTCGCAAGTAACAGAATAGAGGCGAGGTCCGTAGTCTTAGCATCGGTCAAAATAGGCTTATGGGTAGGCCAAGAGTCGAAATGTGCAGTAACCGCGGCGACCTTGCTAATATTATCTGACAAATGGTTAAACGGGATAAAGAGCGATCCAACCTCGCTGGTTACTTGGCTAATTTGGTCGGCGTTACTGGATGTGGCCGACACGGAAAAGTTGTAATCACAATAGCCTCCTTCTTTGTTACTCTGCTGAGCAATCTTTAGTGTCCTTGCGTCGGTAATGGAGCCTTCAATGCCCATAGGTATAACTCGTATCATGCTGAAGCCTGAGGCGATTGAAGCTTTTGTAACAGCCTGAAGGTCATTGCTGCCCTGAGCACCAATTCCAGGTACGAAAGCAGCGATGTTGATCAACCCTGGAAGAACTATCGTGCGATGGCTTGTCTGGTAATCACGGTTGCTGATTTCTAATTCGAAATACCTTGCGATAGCCTCGATTAGAATCTTAGCATTTTTCACGTTCGTTACCAGCGGGATCTGGTAATCGACAGCCATTCGTCGGGTCTGATATCCTTTGCTCATATAATTGGCAGGGCGGCGGTACTTGTTGTTTGACGGAAGGTTTATGTAGAGGTTAATCATGTTCTTTGCCAGATGCTGCGTTAGTGAGAACTCAGATCTCTGATCATCTTCCTCGTTGCTAAGGACCTCCAAGAACTGGACAGGAATACCGTGTTCCTGAAGGAAGTCCGCAGTACCTGCAGTAGCAAACAATTTATATCCCATCTTCTGCAATTTCTGGACCGATGGGAGCATTTCTTTTTTATCCTTGTAAGAACCAATTGACAAAAGGATATTGCTCTTCGGAATCTTGAATCCGGTTGACATCAACGCCTTGAGATATGCTTCATATTTATCCATGCCGAAGCAAGCAACCTCTCCGGTGGAGGCCATCTCTACACCCAAAACTGGATCGGCACCAGACAGTCTCGAGAAGCTGAATTGCGGGACCTTCACACCGACGCAATCCGGCTGAAGAGTCGTTGGCGGGTATTCAGTAAACGGAACTCCCATGATTGCTTTAGTTGCCATCTCAATTAGGTCAACTCCCATGACCTTCGACACGAAGGGGAATGAACGCGAAGCTCGGACGTTACATTCAATAACCTTGATATCATTGTCCTTTGCAATGAATTGGATATTGAATGGGCCAGTAACGTTAAGTTTAGCGCCAATCTTCCGGGTAGCCTCTACGATACGTTGGATTGTAGTCGGCTCAAGATCCTGCGGCGGCAGGATAAGAGTCGCATCACCAGAATGGACACCGGCATTTTCGACGTGTTCAGATATAAAGTGACCCACGACAGTTCCGTCCTTCGCAACGGCATCCATCTCGATTTCCTTGGCGTTCTCAATGTACTTTGTAATCACCACAGGATGCTCACGCGAAACCTCTGCAGCCTGTTGCAGGTATAATGCGAGATCTGCCTCAGAGTACACAGTGTTCATCGCAGCACCTGATAAGACGTACGAAGGTCGAACTAGCACCGGGTACTCGACCTTTCGGCAGAAACTTCTCGCATCTTCGAAGCTTGTAAGCTCTTTCCAGGTTGGCTGGTCGACAGCGATTTCATCCAGCATACGTGAGAATTTGTAACGGTTTTCAGCCCTGTCGATCATCTCCGGCGACGTTCCCAAGACTTTAACCCCTGAACGTAGCAATGGCAATGCGATGTTGTTGGGGGTTTGACCGCCCATAGCACCGAGAACTCCGCTGGCGGATTCCATTTGATAGATATCAAGAATGGTTTCCAAATTGATGTTCTCGAAGTACAAACGATCTGCCTCGTCATAATCAGTACTGACAGTCTCAGGATTGTAGTTAACCATGATGGTCTTAAAGCCAGACTCCCGAAGTGTGCGGATCGCTCTCACTGAGCACCAATCGAACTCGACGGAGGAACCAATGCGGTAGACGCCTGATCCGAGTACCATTACGCCATGATCATTAAAACTAATGTCATGTGTTGAAGCATTATATGTGAGATAGAGGTAATTGGTATAGGCGGGAAACTCCGCAGCAACAGTGTCAATCTGCTTGACAAAAGGAGTTATGCCGAATTCTAGCCTCATACGTCTCACTGCCAGCTCATTGGAGTCCCAGAACTTTGCTAATTGGCGATCGCTAAATCCAAGTTGTTTGCCTTGGAGAAGTAAGTCTGGGCGCTCGGAGATTTGGCCGGTGGTATATGTGGCCATTTCCTTGCTAAACTGGCTCAGGCCCATCAATTTGTGCAAGAACCATTTGTCAATCTTGGTGAGCTCCCATATTCTATCCACTGAATAACCAGCGTGCATAGCATTTGCAATAGCGAAGAGACGCTGGTCAGATGGAGTTTGTAGCTCGTCGTCAATCGACATAAGCGCCTTAGTTTCACCAAAGCCAAGATTGTGGAAGTCAATAGCTCGAATTGCCTTCTGGATAGCTTCTTCAAAGGTTCTTCCGATACTCATAACCTCGCCGACACTCTTCATCGACGAACCGAGTTGCGTAGACACCCTAGTGAACTTCTTCAAGTCCCATCGGGGCATCTTGACAACAACGTAATCTAGAGAAGGCTCAAAGCAGGCGCAGGTTACCTTTGTGACTGTGTTCTTGATTTCTTTCAGCGGAATACCAAGCCCTAGTTTGGCAGCGATAAACGCGAGGGGATACCCCGTTGCTTTAGATGCCAATGCGGATGATCTTGACAGTCTCGCATTGACTTCGATGATGCAGTACTCCTTTGAAAACGGATTCAAGGCGTACTGGATGTTACACTCGCCGACAACACCTAGATGGCGGATAACATTGACTGCAGTCGTTCGTAGCATGTTGTAATCCTCATCTGATAGCGTCTGTGATGGAGCCACAACGATTGAGTCGCCCGTATGGATACCGAGAGGATCAAAATTTTCCATGTTGCAAACAGTGATGCAGTTATCTTGAGCATCTCGTACGACTTCGTACTCAATTTCTTTCCAGCCTTTCATGCTTCGCTCGATCAGCACCTGTGGGCTCGCTGCTAGAGCTTTATTGCAGAGGTCTAAGAGCTCGGCTTCGTTGTTAGCAAACCCGCTGCCCAGACCACCCAGAGCATAAGCAGCTCTAACGATGACAGGGAAACCAATGTCCTGAACGACACGCATGGCCTCCTCCACGCTGCTTGCAGAGGCAGATTTGGCGCACTTCTCGCCAATCGAATCCATACTGCGAGCAAAGAGCTCTCGATCTTCTGTCGTGATGATAGTGTCAATGGGTGTGCCTAGCACCTTCACACCGAGGTCTTCGAACTCATCTTTGAGCTGAATACCGACCTGGAGAGCGGTCTGACCTCCAAAGGTAACGTATATAGCATCCGGTCGTTCGTAAACAATAACTTTACGAACGAACTCGGCAGTGACGGGAAGGAAATAAACCTTGTCAGCCAAACCTTTCGAGGTTTGGATCGTTGCAATATTAGGATTGATGAGGACGGTATAAATACCCTCTTCCTTCAGAGCTTTTATAGCTTGACTTCCAGAGTAATCAAATTCGCCTGCTTGCCCAATGCTGAGACCACCGCTTCCGAGAACGAGAATCTTTTTAACATTGACACGCGGGTGCAATAGCTCGTTTTCTTCGGTGGTGCCGCCGGGGAAGCTAACTGGAGAATCCAGAAGCGTTTGATCCTTGGCGCAATTGACAATGGTATTTATAAAAACGTCAAATAGGAATTCAGTGTCGCGAGGACCAGGTGTACTTTCTGGATGAAATTGTACGCTGAAGTATGGCTTGTTGACATGCATGATTCCCTCATTGCTACCGTCGTTGGCGTTCACGAACAATTCTTTCCATTCCTCTGTAAGTGTCTTGGCGTCAACTGCGAAACCGTGATTCTGCGAAGTGATATGACACTTCCCAGTAACCATACTTGTACAAGGGATATTATGTCCTCTGTTACCAAACTTCATTTTTGCTGTTTTGGCGCCAGCCGCTTGAGCGAGTAGCTGATGACCAAGACAAATACCAAACACGGGTGTTCGGTTAGCCTCCATCGCCTTGGCAATCTGTTCTACGGGTTCGCGCATAACGGCAGGGTCACCAGGTCCGTTCGAGATGAAGAGACCATCGTATTCGGACCCCGCGCCACTAGCAAAGTCATGATTCCATGGGCATACAAGTACTTCAACGCCTCTGTTCAAGAAGCATCGAAGTTGGTTATTTTTCATGCCAACATCTAGACAGAGTACACGAAGAGGGCGTCCAGAGGGATGCTTTAAGGTTGTGGCGGGATCCGGCTTATATAGTTGGGGTTGTTTGATAGAAACTGCAAGCCAATAAGCATAATGATATTGACAGTCCGTCTATAGGGAGCACCTACCCTCTGCTACGAGATTTTTTGTGTTGGGATTAACCCAATCGATTGAATCAAAGTAAGGCTTCCAATCCTTCTTAATTTGATGGCTTACAACACCATTGGTGGCTCCATTTGTTAAATCCTGCTTTTGCAGCAGCATTCGGCCTAACATACTACCTTCTTGTCGAATACGTTCCGTTAGGGCCCTTGTATCGATACCATACATAGCAGGAACGCCCTGCTCCTTTAGCCATGCTCCTAGGGACGAGGTCGCGAGATAATGCGAGAAATCCTCGCCGGCATAAGAAGATACGACGAGACCAGCGATATGAATCTGGGAGGATTCGAAATGTGCAGGGCGGTCACGAAGTAGTTCGTCCATGGTTTCCCTAGAAGGCACACCATAGTTTCCCACGAGTGGGAATGTGATTACAAGAATCTGGCCACGATACGAAGGGTCTGTTACCGACTCTGGGTATCCCACCATACCAGTTTGGAAGACTAGTTCTCCAGCGATGCTCTTCTTAGCACCGAAGCTGTAGCCTTGGTAGGAGGAATGGTCTTGGAGGTCGAGGCACATGAGGCCTTCATCCTCCGAGTCGACCATCCGCGCAGAGGCGGGCTGATAATGGATTGGTGCCGTCATGTCGACTCGCGCTGGGAGGGAGCTCGAGAGGGGTGTCTGAGTCTACCCTAGGTAGGTAGGTTTGACGATAATGACTAAAAATATGATGGAGGGGGAGGGGGAGGGGCTGTCTAAAAGCAGCAATTAGGAAGCTCAGGGGCAGAGCTTTCTAAGGCCGCAAAACAGTAGTCTGATCAATATCTCATGTCGTCGTAGAGTACAATTGACAATCGTATGATAATTGTAAGAATTGTGTAGTGTGAGAAAAAAAAAATAAGTTTGACCGAAGAAATTTTCGAAAATTCATAATGTACACCAAGCAATTTTTTTTTCTTCGTCCCTCCTTATTCGTACCTACGTACAAGCTCCCGCTCTAAGTGCTGCCAATTGCAATGCGGTGCTACGTAAGAGTCCCGCCTCGAACACTGTGGGGTCCAATCAGTGACGAGTTTCGTGAATCAAGCACTAACGGGACCAGGATCTGGACCATAAGTGCAGAAAATCCTGCCTTCTAAGTGGCTCATGCATTTTAGACTCGATCTATATTCTGAAGTATTTGAGTACCTACATGTGTACCTATGCACATGGGGGTCACTATACATAAACTCAATTAAATTTATTTCTATTATATAAGGTAAAGCTTTACTGTACGATGAGATTTTCTGGGCTTGATGACTAGGGATTTGGGTTCCCAATGAATCAGATACTTTGACAACATTTAAAACATACCTGGTCCTATGTAAGTAAGTGACTCAAATAAAGTATCAATTTCTCAGTGGCGGTATTGCCAGCATCATCAACTTGTTATTTGTTTCAAGACAGTATATAAAACAATTTTCTAAATTGTGGATTTGATTCATCCGGCACATTTTATAGCTTGAGGAATTAGACGAAAGAATGTAAATAACACTTTGCCAACAAACTAGTGGGTCACATTTAAGACGATTGAGAACAGAGGACAGCGGATGATTCAATACTGCAAGATGTATCAAATTGATGTGGATTGTGAGAAAAGATCATTGATAGACGTTTTGACCACCGTTTGCAAGGACACTCAAGTAAGGATTTATATCAGGAATATCTCTAAAAAGTAATAACCACTGTATATTAAATTATGCCCTTTGGAGCCACGCACAGGCTATTATAGGTGAGAGTAGATTGTTGTGCCGTCGAAAGAGAAGTTCAAAAGCTTCTCTAGAAGAACATCCACTACATTAGGTAAGATGTACCCGCATACCCATAGTCAAAACTGCATAGAAATAAACATCTAATTATGTAACACAGATATTAAACTCGAGTTAGAGGGTTAAATATGTAAGCCACAAAATAGTTGTTGATATCTCACGACAGTTCGTTATAATGAACATTGTCCATATGCTCAGTAGGAGTAACTACCTCCTACCTAGGTAGGTTACTAACATCATAGAATAAAGATAATTGAATTTCAAAGAGCCTTAACTTAATATAAGAAGGAAAATGTACAGTGAAGATTTCTGCTTTCTATTTACAGTATATAAAGTTCCAACCGCCGATCAACTTAAATCTCGGGACTTAAATTATTGGTGCTCCCTCTAAATGCCTACCTACCTAAGGTAGCCAAGCCCTAAGAGGTACATATATTTAAGCATTTGACGGAAACCTTTACTTGCAGATGCCACCATTGACACATTATGTATTAATATTTATATTTACGCAACATTTTTCTATATATCCAAGTTATGCTTAATTTTAATATGTTAGATTAACGAGCCGTCTTGCTGATTATTAGCCACTATGTTTACATCTTTAATTAACACTAAAGGTTAAACTTAGTCCTTTGAAATGATATCTTCTCCGGACAAAAGTACCGAGACTATTAAATCTCTTTGATTTAACGTTCTCGCCGAACCATCCTTATCCGTGCCTAGTTGCTACAACGGAGGTATCGAAATACTCTAAGTCTTGAATTCAATTGACACTTGAAACTGAGACACTGAAATGGTTAATATAGCGTAGAGTTAAGTTACCACTTAGCCAATAATATGCCTTATTGCTGAAGATATCGCCCAGGCTAATCTCGAGGGAAACTCTAAAGAGGCATGCTGGTTGGTGTTGTAAATATGATGTTGCCTTCAGGTCTTCTTGTGCTCTGTCCGAATGTCTTTAGTGGACTGAGCGTTAATCAGTGCCTAACATATTGAAATAATGTTATTAACAGAACGTCCGGGCTTCGAATTTGAGGGATTAACTACTTCCTTAAAATGGAGACTCGGCTTTGAACTATGTATGCTCGACCTTAGCCTTTTCCCGAGGAGTAGCTATGTCTCACCTCTTTGACCGATGCATTACGCGGCAATCTCCCATATCGCAAACACGAAATCCCATCTTAGGGATAGCCTACTCTGTAACGCTTGGTATCGTAGATACCACATGCATGCACTTTTGCGTGATCCGGAATTCCTAGGTCTAAGAAACGTGGGGTAAAGATATATCGTAGGGGTTGCGATGCAAGGTAACATGCTCGTCATGTGCCACTGCCGGCTATTTCAGGCTAGATGAGTGCAACCCTAAAATTGTGCCAATCAGAGAGAGAGAGCAGACTCAAAGATGTTTAAAGGAGCGGTGAATATTCTCAACGAGAAGATTGAGAGGGGAAGAAAACGTTCGTCTTTGTGGTATATTCTACATGGCGAAGTTCGGTGGTACGATAGACTAAGTGCGCAGGTCTTAGTATGTACTCCTCGGAGATGAGGCACTGCAATTGTTTAGACCAATGAGGAAGCTCAGCAGAAGTAGAAGCTTATGGCCTCGACCATCCTTAAGAGTAGCGCGGCGTATGTATGTAGACGGAGACCCCTTTGTTGTGTAAGTGGCAAGTGACTTGATAGGCACATAAAAATAAGCGCGCTTAGATTTGTTACGAAATATGTCCTCGTTTTTCCTATTATCGTGCTGATATAATACTCGGAGAAATAAATTTGAGAGAAACATTCTTACGGCGCCGAGGTGGTGGGTGGCGGTAATATCGCTGTCGATCAATATGGTGAAGAAGCTCCCTCACCTCATCTATGTAGATGCTCGAGTTGTTCCGAGATAGCAAAGCCAATGAGCGGGTCTTGCCAACCATGCGGGATACCTTATCGGTTTTACGCACATACATAAATGCATGTGAGGTAGGTCAGTCTGCAGATCGATCATCCGCGCAAGTCGCAGTAAGCCGGGTAGCTCTAGAAAAACACAGCCGAAGGAGGTGAGCTTATACCCACACGAGGGAACATGTGAGATAAAAATGCATAGTTGCCAATGGTTTTAGAGGTGAGCGGTGTGAAAAACTATTGTGTATGTATAACTGCGCGCGGGGCGGTTGGATCGACTACCTACGTTTAAGTAGCGGAGATACATAGTTGGTTACATAGTTGGTGGTTGGGATAGATGAAACCTTTTGAGATAGCAGTGCTAAATGACCAATTGACTGCCACTTTGGTGGTATATAATGGCCCAAAGCGGTAACTTCTCATAGGCGAGGTTCAAGGTTCACTAGTGTATGCGAAGTACATCATCCCATGATGCAGCCTGCATCTGCAGTTTCCTGCAAGCGAGAAGCTGAGTCTGGAAAGGAGGGAGGGAGAACATATCTTAGGTAACCATGTAATTAGACTTTATGTAGCCATTGCATTCAATTGCATCCCGTCTTTTCTCATCTTACCAAATTTTGATAACTTATCTGGAACACTTTTCATTCCCCAAAATCATCATTCTGGTTAGAAAACACTTGTATTAGGTACAGGTAACATACCTAAGGCTCTACTGTCGTCATGGAATTCCTACTGCATTATAATTCGAATCTCGATTCTGCACCGCTTAAAAATCTAGGTACGCATTAGCTGCTACATAGTTACGCCTGACTTGACCTAAGAGACACTGGGGTGAGTGTGTCATTTGTGATTCATGAATGGTGTGCACTAGTTACCAGCGCCTCTTGCACGCAGCAGCGGACGGTTCCACTCAAGCTGGCAAGTTACTATACATGTGTACTTAAAGTTAGTCCAGGGTGGATATGCTGATTTCCTTGTCGGTATCAATATCAATGCTAGCAACGCTAGGCTAGTCGTGATCTTCGCAACACCCTTATCTTTTTCTCCCTTCTTCTCTTTGTCCCACTATCTTGTCTTTCCGCGCAACGCGGTCAAGTCTTGGTGCTGTATTACCTGTACACACGAACAAGCAAGCTAGGTTGGTCCGCGAACCTATTGTACTTGGCCTGCTTCTGTCCTCCCAATGCCTTTATATCTTTCCTAGCTGTCGGCCCGGAGGTAAGGGGGAACTGGGAACAACGATGGCCGCTCCTGCGAAGGAGATGCTTTCCTCGCTGCTATTGCGGTCGGGACAGGCCGCTCAGCACGTCAACTCAGCGCGTTTTGATTCAAACGATCATACCCCGCCCCCTGATCCCACGAGCCGCGATTATGGTCAACAACGACGTGCCACTGCCGATTTCACCGAGGCTGACGAGGACGAGGAGGAAGAGGAAGATGATGAAAATGCAGACGACTTCGACCTTAATGATAGGCGGCCTGGACGTCGATTAAGTCGACCCTTCCGAGAACCGAATGCGCGTAGAAGTTCGGCTTCGATCATACCACTGTTCTCCGCTACTTACCTTGGTATGTTTGCTGTTACCTTCTGGTGTATATACATTACATATTGAGCTCTGAACTTACAATTTGGATTAGATTCTATCCCAATTTATAATGTCGTTCACGCAATTAGAATAATTGTCCAAGCAAGAACTGAGACTACGTTAACATGGGATCAAATTCGATCACCCCAAGTTTCTCAATTTTTAGTCAAGCCTATGCAACAGCAGATCCGGACCCAACATTTTAGTCGTGTAACGCTATACGCTTTAATGGCGAACTGCCTCCAATTTGCGAAGGAGGGACAGCTATACCCGGGTAACGCAGGTACGAGTATGACACGAGCGAGGGTCTGTGAAATTCTCGCCTTGAAATTATTGAAGGAATACAGTACGAGGGAGCTTATTGATGCTTTGTCTTATGACTTCTACCCGCTACAGGGAGCTCCCGAGACACCGACGACGCATGTAAAGTCCCCCGACAGCAAGAACCGCCCATCTGTAGCCCGATCTTCGACGCTCGAGGTGGCTATCCGTGCTTCTGCTAAGCACTTCCTAGCGCATCCGCTCGTGGTTCAACAACTCGAGGCCATTTGGAATGGTGCTATTAGTTTCTATTCGTCTCAAGACAACCTTCATCGAATTATGTCTAAGCCTCCAACTCCAAATGAAAATGCCCAAAACGGCCCGGCGGGAGTTCGAACACCGCTCCTCGCCCACCAAATTGCTAAAGAACAACTGTCTCAACTACCGCTACATCAAATACCTGTACGACGAACGGTAAATCTGTACGACCCGCGCCAAGCTTCTCCTTTGAAGTTATCTCGCCTCCGCGTTCCTCGCTATAGACAGTTTCTATCAACATGCTCCTTGTTTGCCCTAATATGTCTATTTTTAGCAGTTCTGATAGAACGCTCCAGTCGCATTACCGAACTGGAACTGGTTTTCTGGTTTTGGAGTGCGGGTTTCATGCTTGATGAAGTTGTTGGTTTCAACGAGCAAGGGTTTTCCTTGTATATCATGAGCTTCTGGAATATTTTCGATCTCGGCATTCTACTGCTGCTCATCGTATATTACTGTTTGAGAGTATATGCCGTATTTGTCGTTGACCCCCATCGTTGGAATGAGATGGCATATGATGTTCTGGCAGCGAATGCCATACTCTTGTTGCCACGTATCTTTAGTGTGTTAGATCACTATCGATACTTTTCTCAGCTTCTAATTGCCTTTCGGCTCATGGCGGTGGATCTCGCGGCTGTCTTCATTCTTGTCCTAATTAGTTGTTCTGGATTCTTCGTGTTCTTTACACTCTCCAGCAACCAAAATGCCGCACCAGAGGTTGCTTACAAGATCTTCCAAATTCTCATGGGGTTCACGCCAGCTGCGTGGGATGTGTACGTCCAGAAGCACCCCGGGTTCTCCGAGATAACATCAGCTAACCGAGATTTTCAGATGGCCGGAGTATACTTTCTTAGGCAAGACGCTACTAGCGGCTTTTCTCATCATATGTCATTTTCTCGTCGTGTAAGTCTGTCTTTAACACAGAGGCCATACGAATCTAACATGGTATAGTACAATACTGATTACCGTACTTACAAACTCTTTCACGGCAATTGTATCGAATGCGAATGAGGAGCACCAGTACGTCATCGTTGTCAGCCTACTTTTTAGTTTTACTTACACCTGCCTAGGTTCTTATTCGCGATCAATACCATATCCATGGTCAAGAACGATGCAATGTTCTCTTACGTTGCACCAAGCAATATCCTCGCTTGGATCTTGACACCATTACGATACGTAATGTCTATAAGGCAGTTTGTGATTTTGAATCGCACGGTCATTAAATTGACCCATTTTCCTCTTCTATTTTGCATATTCATTTATGAAAAATACTTTCTCGCTCCGTCGATTTACGAACCAACAGATCTGGTCGAGCATCAAGGGCGCCGTAAGACAAGAGGAATATCATTCACCGACCTTGCTAGTAGGGGGACGGCCCTTTTCAGCCCAAGCATGAAGACACGTGAGGAATCGATTGCTGGGTTTCAAAAAGACCGTGCTCTGGAAGAGGTCTTCCGTCGACTTCCTGATACTGGCACAATACGGAGCCAGAGAAGACAAGAAAGGAGGAAAACGCAGACAGCTATCCGCAATTGGATGGAACAAAATGACGAGATTGGTGAGCGTCTCTCTCATTGGCCTACGATTGATAGTCGTCGGAGCCCTTCTCAGCGACGAATGAGTATGAGCCGTGATTTTCCTAGGAGGTCTAGGCACGTCTCCGACATTCGATCGGCTGCAAGTGACCCAGCCGACCTTGTGTCGAATAGTGGCTTTCCTGGCTCTAATGTTAGGGAACTTAACGGTCAAATTGATGAACAACAGGCACGATACAGGGACCAGACGGAAGCAGATGGCGACGATGAATTCGTAACGAACGATGAGGAAGAAGATGAGATGGTAAACGCGAGCCGCCGTGGCAGCAATGCCAGCCCACGAGAACATGAAGACTATTTTACGTCCTCTATAGACTTGAGGCGTGAGGTATTAGTGCCATCGTCTTTGGGTTCTTCCTCACACCAGCAGAGCATGGTCGTCACATCACCCAGAACTAGCAATACGCCTCGTCGCCAAGGCCTCCACAGCCGTACACTTTCCACAAATACAATCCTTTACGCCCCACAAGGACCTAACAACTTCGAAACAAGTCCGTCCCTGATCTCGGAAGAACCATTGGGTGCGAGCTCTCACCTGCGAACCAGCCGACTAGCCACAGCAGCAGAGTCATCCGTACCAAGCGGCACACGTTCGCCACGGAGGATCCAAAATAGACCGCCCCTGGTAACTCGGCCGAGACCGATCCCCGCAAGATCGGCACCTAATCGCTCTATCCTCTACAATGCTGTCCCGAGAAACCGACGCCTTTCGTCTGTTGATGGGGGCATCAGTTCTGATATAGGGTTGGATGCGACTAATGAATTTGGTGCCGTGCCGTCGTCGTTCGCAACACAAATGGCTATGGCCACTGGCCAGCTAAAGGCTCCGAATCAAAGCAGCCAAGAGCGCGAGGATTCAGATAGAATCAGCCGGTTAATTCTGGCCAGGATGAAGAACCTCGAAGAGAACTTTGCAGACGCTATGAAGGAGATTCGAGCGCGAAGTGCAGCGCCCACGGCACAGAATTCAGACGACGAGGGCGGTTGGAGAACTGGTACAAGCGGCGAAAGGCCATCGAGCAGCAAGAGAAAATCAGGGATAAAGAGCAAGAGTGAGGGAAGTCGACCAGGGAGTAATAGGGAACAAAAGGATGATTTGGAGACAGTTATTCCAAGGAGTCATCGGTTCAAGGGCAAAGGAAAGGAAGTCGCCGGGACAACGAGCGCTGGCGAGCTGGAGGGTGTGCCAGTGACGGAATGGCCTAAGAGGGGAAGCTCCGTATAAGCGGCGTTCTCGGTAGATTCTGCCAGGGCTCTTTTATTCTGTGGGTTGATCTCACGAATCATGCATTTTGGCGTTTTGGTTTGCCTTGGGGCTCAGAAGGCAACGGTAAGCAAAAGGCCTGAATTTTTGGTATGATACCAAGGGGGGGTGAGGGGGAGAAAGGAGGTGGATGAGAGCATATACCTATCAGTTATATCTGATCTGGCATGCGATGTGACATGTCGTATGACAACTTACATGTATTATTACGCAGAGTGGATTGTGCATAAGACAGCTTATCAGAGCTGGCCATTATTCATGAGGCTTTCCTAGATTTGTTTAACATTCTTTTTGATTTTATGTTTCATGTCTAAGGGTAATAAGAAACAGAAAACGCCTGCCATTGCGTTACCCAATCATAATATACGCATACATGTCTAATGATGAGGCTGTCTAGCCCTTTGTCGTGATAAATCATTGTGTCGTGAAGTTCCCAATTAACCCAGCCAACATTCTCGTGTCGTTCGACGAGGTACGAGCAATTGTTTCAAATATTCATGAATCTCATATGATGGTTGCTTTCTCCTCTCCAAATATATCTTAGGTCTAAGTTTCCCAAGATTATATTTCTATCTTCCGAAGCTTTAGATACCACCGCCGCTCCGATCGACGCTGACGTAGAAGTTGGGGTTTTCGGGTGAGTTCTTCTGGGCCTTCTCGTTGCGTGTCAGAACCGATCGTCGGTACTGGACCGCGACTGCGATGCCGGCCGTTGCGACGGCGGCGAGGGCTAGGCCGGGGTGTCGGGACCTAGTTGGCGTTGGGGGTTAGTCTGGTGAACTTTCATGTATGTACATGTAGGTATATGCTAATTATGGGATTGGTGTACTTACAAAGGTCCTCCGGTAGTCATTCTGGCTGCTCGGGTGCGGTCCATGATTTTTGAGTTGTGAGATTGCTTGAGCTCAGTGTTTGGGAATTATAGATTTGTTATAGAACGCTTCAAAGTTTGAAGCTCTTAGATAAGAGAGGTAAAGTTTTTGGTTTATTCTATTGGTAGCAGGATAGCTTTATACATAGGTAGGTAAGTAGCACGAGGACTGGAAATCAACGAGGCCACTTAGAAGAAGAAGAAGATCGCCGGGCAGACGGGCAGATTTATGTATGCAGGTTTAAGAGCCCATCTTTTTTACTGACCGCCACATACATAACATACATACCGGACGGAGCCTAGGTTAATTGATAAGGTATTCTCCAATTTTATGTCATACAAGGATAGGCTAGCTAGATTCCCCAGATTTTCGGGTAGGGTGGGCAGACGCTGATGAGGTCTCAGTGGTGCGATGTTCGTGCGAAACGAAAAAATTAAGGGAAGTTGGCGAAGCTGGAAACGGCGCTTTTGCCCTACGCTTGACCGGTTCGGGACAAGGGACACGCGAGCGAATAGGGTAGCACCTTATCGGGAGGATTACCGGAAAGCTTAGGTGTTACATTATGTACACTAAGATACGGTAGTAAACTTTGTAGGAGGGGCAGGAGGCAAGAAGGATGAACCGTAATGCGGGGATGGGTTTATCATTAATATGTACATAGGTACCTAGGTAGGTATCTCACTATTTACATACCGAGAGGCGATAACCTTTTTAAGATCTGACTAACCTAATCATTTGATCTTGATGCTATGTTGTTAGCTCACTGGCTACATTATGGGGCTGGGGGGGTCTATTGACATGGTGTCAGCATTGGTGTTGAGGGGTAGACATAATGTCCGCGGTGCGTCGCTTAAGAATCAGTCCCCCAGCTGATTGGCTAGTATATCTAATATGGTCACCCTTGGGGGTGGTCATATCACAAATATGAGGATGACCAGGTCTGAAATAGCTACCCTACGTACACGATTATATCTTGTTGTAATTGTATTGCTTTCGAAATACTGATATATTAGGAAAGAGTAGTCCCTTAGACATAGTCACCAACGGTAGTCACGGTCACCTTATCGATATATGTCACGTATGAGGCTATGTCAGGCCAAGGACACGATGTCAGGAATTCAACACGATGTCAGCCCAGGTAATATATTAAAATAAATAAAATAAAATAAAATAGAAGAATAGAAGGCCCTGTAATCTAAGACAGGGCCTTCAACATATTATATATCATATCGCATATAACACAGGCACATGTAAAAGTCAATTGAAAAGATTACGTTGAAATATCATCACGAGATTACGGGCTACGCATTTTACCACTACACTACGAGGTCTACGAATACAATTAAAGTTTATTTTATTGCAGTATATATGCATACTCCAGGCCCTTATTTAACCTGTATATACCCGGGTATATACCCGGGGCTGACATTATGTTAAATACCTGACATCGTGTTGAATATCTGACATCGTGTTGAATTCCTGACATCGTTGTGGACATAGTGGCTACCTAAACATCGTCAACAGGCCTGGTAATTATGGCAAAATAGACAGTATCTCTGACATAATAATACCTTGACATACTGTCTATTAGTACTGACTTGTAGGTACCTGTAATGAAATCTGTACAATAAGCCTTGCAGATACTATATCGACCTGTTGACATGGTCTTGACACGATGTTGGGGGCCTGTAATTATGTAACCACACCAACACCGTTGCTGACATAATGTCAATAGACCCCCCCAGCCCCATAATGTAGTTTAGGAGCTATGCAGCTATGGCTGCTATGGTTGATGACTTGTCAAGTCTCACAATTTATGTATAAGCCAAGCCACCGGCTAGGCAAAAACCTATAAGTCAATTTGAAACTACGTGTATGATTAATATTGCAATCAATATAGAATAATATATGTACAAACAAATCAACTAGCTGGCAATGGAAACACATGGCCGTCTTGATTGATATTATTGAAAATAATACTTGAGAGTTGGCATCTCTTACATAAGGTGTGCATGCATACATAGTGCTTGAGGACTCACCGTATAAACTTGGTTTCGCCCGTAAGGCTTATATGTTGATCTTCATCGCCCTGCCTCGTCTGCGCGATACCGACCAATAAGGATACCTACTTCGTATACACTAGATATAGGAGGAAGGTACGTCCACTGTGGCTTTTACTTGTAGAGGCGCAATTGGAGATGTAAGCAGTACTTATATATATACAGTTTGCTACTTTCAATTCTACTTATTTGTATGTAGCTTAGATGTACCTATACATAATCCATGTTTCCCGCGTGAGGCATGGAAGCTTGCATATAAGCAGGCAGTCGTCAGTCAGAATATCAAAGGAGGCAACCACAGCCTTGTACTTAATAACTTTTTTTTTAATATTTATTTACTAAATACTCTTCTACGTCCCTACATATATGTAAGGAGGTAGTCATCTAAGTAAACCTTCCCTATTTTACCTCTTGTCATTATAATACATAAGCACTGCGCCCAACTTACTCTAGGTATCTACTCATATCACGACAAATAACCAGCTCAGAGCCTTGCTCTTCGAGTAATCATGTTCTCACAACAGCTAGCTCAGCAAAGAGCAGAGTCTCAAGAGCTTCTTCCTCCTCCTACATCAGATCCTACTCCTGCCACTCGTGGCTCTTTAATTGATGCAGCTATCGACCAGTTACTAAAAGACCAGCCCAGCCAAGATGACGCTAACTACGTTTCTAAGGCTCGAGAAAAGTCAGATCTCACTAGACTTCTACATGTTCACGTTGAGTGTAACGATGGGGATACTCTAGTTATCGTTAATTTTCCCTCAGGTTATTTAAGTTGTGGGAGGGAAGAGGTAGGTCAATTTCTAGCATTATCTAAGATCCTGCAGTCTACGCCTTCATAAGCGCGGCAAATTTGCTTAAGCTTTCACCAAGACTATTTCATCTCATGTCTATATATCAAATAGAGGCCTATATTACTTTGTCTCTTCTCAGTGTATGTAACTAATCAACTTCTGTTATAGTGGATCTCAAAACGCTTCTGCGTCCATTCGGAGAGACTCCTTGCTACTGGTTCTAAGGTCTTCGCAAATTTATTGTCGCCCAAGAAACAAGCCCGCTTCCAGAAGAGATTGGAACTTGCTGGTGAAACTGTTCCAAAGAAATTCATTATTGATCTCACTCCTTCGACCGAGGGAGACGATCTGGCTGCCCAGCTCATAGAGTTGTCTTTGCCCCCTAGCGTTACCGACTGGTGGACATCAAAGGAGAGACTTGGTATATCACCATATCTGGTTTCGGGGCACGACGATCACTGCCCTCACCACGACGAAGTTCCTATAGACTGTGTAAAAAAGACGTCATACATAGAACAGGAATTAGGACTTAGAGAACGCCTTCCAACAATCGATCTAGGTGACATCGAAACGACAAAATCCAGGAATATCGACGATTATTGCCCTATCCGTCATCGCGTCAATATCGTTCGTCTTCTTTTAGCCATAGAAGGTTATGATCTGGTCTTGAACTCGGCATCCCGTGTCTACACGCTCACAAGTATTGCCGGCATACTAGACTGCACACGTGTTATTGTGAGTGGAAATATAGAATTATAATATTATGTTACTAACTTTGCTAATTATAGCGAGACTCCGTGTATACCTGGCTTTTAGAAGAACCCAACACCGAATTTATTGATATCAATGCCGAAGTTGCGTTTAAAATCGCGTGGACGTTGGAAATAGATAGTATCACCCGAGCCGCGTTTCGCATCCTCGTCGTTGAGAAGGCCCTGGATACTCTCGCTGCTCAACCCCCAGCACAAAAAGATCGATATACAGTATTCGGACGCCCTCGTGTGGATCTACCTGACGATCTGCAGACTGTTGTTCAATATGCAGCGCAAAGGCTTGCCGATCGTGTTCACCAAACACTCGCAATGTTCAAATCGGATCAGTTCTATGATGTGCTCGAAATATCGGAATACCGAAAGTTCGCAAATGTCGGCGAGATCATCCGCACAGCCATTTCTACCGGCTCAAGCCCGAGTAGCGGCCGGTCAACCTCGAAGACAGATTTCATACGCGATAAAATACTAGATAGACTACTTGATTCGTTCTCTACCCTTTATACAAAGCTACAAGAATATAAGGATAAAGTCATACAGAAGGCAATGTATTCCGAAGCTGTGTATGACCAGCAAAGCGCCTACGATCGCAATCGTCGATGTTATGTGGAACATCCAAGACGAATTCCTACTTCCCTTATCACAAATCATTTCACCTATGCCCAACATCTTCTAACCCCGTGGTTCTGGGTTCATCTGGCTTCGTATCCTATCGACTTCCTGGGACCGTGCTATCTCGTCGATTTTCTGACTCTATACGTGGACGATTTCAACGACAAACTAACCAAAGCGACACCCTACCTCGACGGAGGAGGTAGCTATGATGAATTAGCGATCCGTTTCCACCTAGAGGACTTTCGCATCGAGCTTCACGCTGCCCTGGCAAAATTATGGACTACCTGGACAAAACCCGAATTGGAAGTGCCGCTCACTAGAACAGAGCACATCATCCTAGCACTGTCGGAAGACGAGTTCCAGTATCTCCCCCTTTGGGCTGGCGGACTTAACGACGGGAGCGGCGGCGTTTTTCAACCCACTGTCCCAGACGCAGACCTGGGCCCCATTGGCCCCGGTCCAGCCTACCGCACGGGTAATACAGTGGCGACAGATACTTCGAGCATCTGCCAATCCGACAAGACTCCTGGCGAAGTCAGTACCGCCACCTTAACCGCCGGACGGTCCGTAAACGCCGTACTGTCGAATATAGGACCCAGCACCGTCCCCGACGGTACATCTGTATCTGTATCAGACAGCCGCGTCTCATTTACACCTGCAGCGAGCACGACCGGGTCAACGGCTACCCTGGATAGAGATGATAGCGACGGATATGAATCCGATGACAATGATGATATTGACGAGGAGGCCTGGTCTCAGGTTGAAGAGCCATTGACGTAGTAATAGGTATGTATATTTGAGGTATAGGGTATGGGGTACGGAATGTGTTGGCTGTATAGCAATAGAATAAAAAGAAATAGGAGCGCGAAGCTCTGGTAAGCATCTAAAGCATGATATCAGGTTAGGTTGGTTTATGAGGGTTAGGTTCATATCAGCTGGGAAGAATGATTTATGATGAGATGAAACGGAATGGGGGATACCGTACGTCTTCGTCGAGATTGCATAGGTACCTGCCTCTTAAGGTATTCAAAATAGGGTTATATGATGTGCGGCGTCGGCATAAATGGATATAGATGTGTTGTGATGATTTTTAGGGCAGAACCGAACCTAATAGCAACAAATATGTACTCCCCTTATTTTTTCCCATCACATCTAGATCACATCAAAAAAAAAAAAACAACAACAAAATATGGCAAATTTATATGTTTAGAAATGGGCAAACCCTCTATTCACCCAGGGCTTTCTGCGTCCAAGATATCTGAAGCGGGTATATAGCTGGCTAGCACACTAAAGAACCTCCAAGCAGGCAGTGCCCCCACCACATGTTCTGGTACAGGAAGCAGATCAAAGGTATCATTGTCAAAAGAAAATAAAGCAGATCTGAACAGTCCGTCCTCGTTAATTGCATCCCCTTTCCTTTGCTCGGCAACGGCATGTTTGAAAAAAGAATCCTCAGAAATTCTGGATACCATGAATCGGATATCCCCCTTTTCTCGCTCTGTAAACGCCAGTTTTCATGCTCATGAATGTACCCTTCATGCTGTGCGGTAATGCAGCACTTCCCATCCTCTATCCCTTTGTTTATATGGGGATGGTTGTCCGTGAATATGTATAGTTACGAGGGTATGATAGAGAAGTGAAAATTATGTTTATACCATAGAAAACTCCGGGGTCGATGATTTTCATGCATTCCATTCCATCTCAGCACCCAAGTCTGCCTCCACTGTCTCCATACTCTGTTTTCTAGGCCGACCTCGGGGCCTAGGCTTTGAATTGGACCGTATTCGCTTCTTTCGTCCTCCAGGAGCAGCTCCTGCCTTTCTCTTTCGGCCGCGGGGGTCGATATCGACCGCGTCTTCGTCACCTTCGGCATCCGTAAGTATTGACTCACCCTCAAGGTCAAATTCTTCTTCTTCATCCGGGACTTTGACTTCGCTGTCGACGTTTAGAAGTTCCACAAACGCCCTGCACTGCTCCATCATGCGTTCCGGCGTATCCAATCCAGACATGATTCTGGAGAGGTCATCCCAGACTTTGTCTCCGGTAATCCCTTGGGCTTTGATTGGGGTCTTAGTAAGATCTTTTGGGGCACTCTTCCCTTTATTGTTCTCGCGTCGATTGGAGCTCAGCCCGTATAATCGGCGTAGATGAGTACGTACCTCCCAAAGAAGAAGGAGGATAGTCGAGCCAGCTGCTAATTGGCAAAGTCGCTGTTGATCAACAGGAGGTGGCGCAGGAGCCGCTGACTGTTCTCCACCACTAACGGGTTCCTGGGAGATAGAGGCTTGGTCCATGCGTACCTGGAAGATTTCGGACTCGATAGCTTGGGCAATACCAGATCCTATTGCGGTTACCATCTTCTCCATAGCAGTAATTGTAGCCTGTAGCTCGCCGACAGTGACGAACTCGAAGAAAGCAATGTTCTCAACTATAAAGCGAGAGAACTCGACGTGCGGTGACAATGCCTGATTTATGGGAAGCTTTGATGGATCAAAATCGACTTGCCCAACAAGCTTCTCAAGGAATTTAACGCGACTCTTGGATTTGCTAATCTTCAGCACCTCGGTGAGGAGATGGAGTTTCGACGTCAACGATTCCTTAGTCGCACCTCGCGGGTCCCCAACAACATCACGTTGGTACTGGAAGGCTGAGTGTATGGCTTTGGCATACTCCCTTTCAAGCACGCTCTCGTATTTTTCGTGAAGCGCTCTGTGCTCATGATATGCGAGCTCTGAAATTTTAGGCACTGGGCAAGTCTCAAGTGTAATGAGAGTGACACCAGTCTCCTTCGGGTGCACTAAACCTTGCCGATTGATACTTGCCAATACCTCCATAGCTAGGAAGGCGTGATCATCGCAGGTCGATAAAGTAACGCGAGTAATGTCCTTAAGGAACCGCTGTGTGGTCGCGCTCGCCACATCATCAAAGCTAGTACTACCCATAACCTTCAAGTCTTTCTTAACGGACTCCTTGCCGGTAGCTGCCGATGAAGCCGCTTGCTCAGACCGCTGTTCCTCCATCAGGAGAAATTCCTTGAAAGATCGGAGAACCATAAACTCTAAAACAGGAATATGCTCGTCGAAGGCCTGCTGGAATGTCGTATATACATTGGCGGCAACATAGTTCCTAGGGTGGGTCTGGCAGATTAGCCCAATAGCATCTAATGCTGGTCGTCTCACATCCACTGGCTGCGAGGGATTTGCAAAAGGGACGAGAACGTCTACCATGAGTTTCGACACGGAGCCTTTCCACTTTGGCAGATTAGAATCGGATTTGAAACGGTCCTCGTGGCTATCTAGGTTGCAATGTTTACCGATCATCCCAACGATGAGAGAATATCGTTCAAACTGTCTAATCTTCGTTTTGTCAAGTGGTCCCTTCTTATTTATTAGTTGGATATTTTTAAGGCATGACAGTACTAGACGCGCGAGGTTTTCGGACGACTGGAGAAGTTCACTAATGATCCATATACAAGCTACAACGTCGTCAAGGAGTGCTCTGATGACTTTAGAGGTAGCAGGCATAAGGACCTTGCGAACATCGGAAAGGAATTTCGAATGCACGCTGGATACCTGTGGTAGTACACGGCGATATATGACAGCAACGGCCCTCGAAACTGCTAGGTCTTCACTGGTAGTAACACTGGCGACACTGGCGATATGAGGCTCTAATTGCCGGATATGCTCAAAGGTAAACAGCTTCGGGTCTGCTTTTGCGAATATCACGAGAACCTGGAAGGCGTCTCTACTAGATGGAATTGATGGATCATCCGATTCGGGGTTGTTGATAAGGTCAACTAAGTTTGCAACAAGTCTTGAACAAACTCTGATATTAGCTTCGACAAGTTTGGAGTCGGGTGATAGTATCGTCTGGAGGAGCTTATCAAGAACGAGTGCGGCATTTCCATGTTTAACAGTCTGGACCATGAGGGCGACATGCTCGGTGAGAGACTGTTTGAAAGCTACCGAGTCGTCCTCCTTATAGAAAGGCGAAATCCAAATTTCTTCTATCATCTGCCTGGCGAGTTCTCGTACTCCCTCGTCTGGATCTTGCGTACGATGTAACAATCCATTCGCAATAGTGCTCCGAGTTTCCTTGCTGTCGTTCCCTAAGTAGATGTCCTTAGCCAGCTTCATTGCTCGCTTCCGCACACCAATTCCAGAATCTTGGAATCGCGCTATTACGGTTGATGTCATCCTCTCCTCCAACCTAGGGCGCATGCTCATGCACTTTCCTATAAGACCAAGGGCTGAGTCGCGCACTTGAGGTGAAGGGTCGCTAGAGCATTGGATAATGAGCTCGATGAAAGCGCTATCACCGTCAAGGATAGTAGGATCAGTTTCGAGAACGTGATTAATGCTTTTGAGACTACGGCTGCGCACGGTTGCCTGATCTGTAGTCATAGATCCCATAAGTATGTTTAAGATATTTTTGAATGATGCACAGAAACTCGATCTGAGTAAGATGATCGAGTGGGAAAGCTTTGCGTGATTGGAGACCACGGACTTGAAGCTGTACTCCCGAGAGAGCCATTTCGGATCCTCAATCATATTACGGAGGCGAAATGCAATCCTCCCAAATTCGCGGTCTCGTTCCTCCGAATCTTCACCTTCAGCAGAATCATACCCAAGGCTAGCTTGTGATCCCCAATCCGTTATCAGATATGATATAGCTCCTTTAAGGTAGGGGTCGTCGCTCAGGCGATCTTGTAGATATTCTAAGACGACGCGATACGGCCCTAGCCAACTGACTGTCTTTTCCATCGACTTGTTACCCTCCAGAACATTTAGAGCTAGATCAGCTAGCCATCGTCCGAGTTCGTCAGAGTCACTGCCTTCAAAATTGGTGGCAGTCTTCCTGACGTGGGATCGTAATTTTGTTACAGCCGCAGCCATAACGCCAAGGAGTTCTAATGCCATGTTTCTTGCCGGCGCCGCATTTTTATCGCTATCCATCTGCTGGAACATAATGTACATTGTAAGCCGAAGCAACAGCTCTGCCGCAGGCCAATCCGGGGAATCTAGACATGTAGTGAAGTCTTCTATAAAGAGATCTAGTAAATTTCGATACGGGGTATCTCCGGACTTGGTCGATTTTAGTGCCCGTTTCACAATGAAGTTGACGACATACGTAGCATTGCGGTAAGCGCCATCGGTAAGAGGTTTTGCAAGAGCCTGAAGCTCCTGGATAGCTGTCGAGTGCTGAACTGCTGCAGAGGCTTCCGTCTTGATCGTATATGTAGCCTCAGCCTTCCTATTGATACCTTCAGCGGAAGAGATGGGGTCACTATCCTCCTCATCTTCTGCTATGGTCTGCATCATCCGGCCGCGAAGCTTCTCTTTGCGATCGTCCACCTTCCCGGCACTTGCTTGGATTAGTCGCATAATCAGGGCTGAAACAGGCTGGATACTTTTCCCTTCCGAAAGTTTGAATTGCCTTGCACTTTGCTTACCGATAGGCAGCTTCTCAAGGGACGTCAAAATCTCATTGAAAATGCCTTCCCTCTGGGGAGGATTCATGAGGAATATCTGCGATAGAATATTCATAGCTACCAAGCGAAGCGTATCAAACTTTTGGACACCGACAACCGAATCTTTCTCCGTATGCGCATTTTCAACGAAAATGAGACGCGATGCCACGAACTCAAGAGTATGCACGACGGTTTCGGAGAGGTCAATACTAGCTATTAGGTCTGACATTAGGGAAAAGACCTTTTGGCAGGTTGTGAATAGAGTACTAATGGCCTTCTTATGTATTGCAAGGAGGCGAAATAAGTTGCTGGTCGGACCGGTACTCCGTAGCTCAGCCGTGGGGATGATTATGTCCTCTATGACATTCCTGAATAGATTCAAGCCTTGTTGAATCAAATCTTCGGAGTACAATTGCTTTTCCTCCCGACCACCGCACATAATGCGAAACGATGTACGAGCAGCTTTAAGGCCCATTTCGATATCGTGAAGCTGCTGAACCCAAAAGCTAACATCGGTTTCACCCCATGTCTCATCTAGTTTGAACTCAAGTGTATCGGCATGCTTCAAAGAACCCTCGCTTAAACTTTGGATTCGGAGAAGGTCATCTAGGGGCGCCTGGCGGAAACATCCAAGGTCAATGGCTCTATTTATCTGCCTTTGAGCTTTATCATGCGCAGCTATCGTCATAGTAGGTTCCTGCTCATTTGTCAATATTACTAAATGTGATGCATACTGATTTGACAGGTGATCCTCGGCAGTAAATATCTCTTGGAAGCATCTACGCAAATCTGTAAATGCAGCATTGGCGAGTTCACGCTGGTTGAGCTCACCCCCAAGGGGGTCTTCAAGTTCTTCATGAGACGTAAGCTTCCTTTTCGCGGACAAGTGCGCAGGAGTATTAGGCGAATCAGGGACCACGGCAAATTCGTTTTTATTGAAGCTCGCTGCGGGTATTTCAATACTAATTTTACCCTGTTTAGAGGAGCTTGATGATGATATAGGTAGGTTTTGGCCCGTTACATCAGATGAATGCCCAGAAATTCCTAGCGGTTCGGAGGTTTCTAGAGTGGCATGCGTCGGCTGGGGTGTTTCGGATTTCACTTTGGTCACTGATGGAGAAGCCGTCCGTGGGACTTGCGAGGTCGAGGGAGCTGGTGTTTTTGGCGTCACAACTAAATCCGCAAGCGAAACTGTCTGGGACTGAGCTGGCATTGCAGGGGAGGGAGATGGAACAGGCGGCCTTGTTGGTGTATACATAGACGCAGCTGCATCTAGTTCCTTTCGTGTAGGAAGATGGACCTCGATCCGAGATTTATTATGAGCAACCGCCTGCGCATTTAAAGTAGCAGGATTGTGCTTAACAACCTTAGGTGGTTCTTGTCTACGCGCCTTGGGCGATTTCTTCGCGATCCGTGGCGACATATTGTGGCCATTGGGTGTTGAGATATTGGGGGTTTCGGTAGCAGAGCAGTGGAAGGATATAGACGTATTATCATAAACCATCTTCGCAAAAGGGGACATGCCATCGGCAAGACTTTGGGACGATCGCTTAACTAGAGACGTAGCTTTCGGCGCAGACTTGAATTGACTATAGTGATATTATATTAGTTAGCACGGCTGGCTACGCGTAGCTTGGAAGTCATTATTGCAAATAGATAGCGATGAAAATACTCACAATTTCGTGATCTTATCAGCCTTGAGAAGGTTCTGCACAAACTCAAGGCTTCCCTCAACACGTTTAGAACGGCCAGGATTCTCAGCTTCCTGGTTCAAGGCATCATAATCTTCTCTCGAGACTAGTCGGGTAAGCGATGGTGCGAAGGGACCAGATCCGATAATAGGATTGCTAATAATATCTTTTCGACAATTTAAGTTCTCGTTAGGTTCAGGTCACGCGAAGAAAACTTTGAAATTTGTGTGCACAGAACACTACAACAATAGAGAAGGAAGGAGCGACTTTTAGGGGCTGACTCACCTGGTTCAAACGGAAAGACCGAGGTGAATGGAGTATAAGGAAGGGCCTCATTCAACGTGAAGGGATTCGAGCTATTCTGTCTCTGGAGAACATCGGGATTGGCTTGCGGATAGACCTGCTGGTCGAAATGAGGCACCATCCCATTCTGATCACCATGATATGGGTTCGCCATGGTAGCTCTACCGACACCTTCACCGACACCTTCTTCGTATTATCCACGACGGCCAAGCTACTCGGTTTCCCGCTGCGTCGAAGCCGTTATGCTATCAACTCATTGCAGTCGTCTTTTTACCATGAAGAACAGGGTAAAAGTGTAGGTCGTAAATTTCGTTCCGTGCGTAGTACCATGAAACGAGTTGAATTGCGATCTCGAAAGTCGACGCGATAAGGATGAGGGTTGTTGGTTAGGGATTAAATAGGAAGTAAATATAAGAATTAAAAATGCTAGCTGGACTCGAACGAACAGCCTGATAGCTGCAGCCTTGCGTAACTCAGGGAAGTTTTAGGTAATTTGATTGTTCAGTTTGAAGAGCAGGTTCAAGGCTGCGACGGGACATTACCACCCAAAACCGGGGAACCTGCCACGCCTTACCACGCTTGCGCATTCCATTATGTACATCCTAACCTAACATTAATGGTAGGTCCATTAATATGGCATGTAGCTTTTATTTCTATTCGCATGTAGAGGTACATAGATAGGTACCTGACATATGTATCTAAATACCTGCCTAATGTACCTGCGTTATGTCGGCAGGTCGGGTAATTGACTGATCCATAATTTATTACATAGGTATCTTATCGATAGTGAAAACAATCTTAGATTTCTCGGCATGGAGCTGCTGCAGTGAATTCCATATTAGGTGCAGTTTGATACAATTTTTCTTAAAAGATTACCTCAATCCTACATTGGAAATCTAATCCAGGGTCTTACTCGCAACACCATCACGACCTCATTTGAAACAGTCGACGGCTCGTCTAACTTGAAAATGGCAGCTATTGGCTCTCTAGTTTTCTGTACAGACTGCGGCAACCTACTCCCCGTGTCTAAAGGCAATGTCAAGAATATCTTGCATTGCGAATGTTGCGGCGCCGAAAACAGAGGTTCGTTATAGTTACAAGATAGCCGACATACCCACTTGCTTTTTTCCATGTTAGTTAGTCGATATAATTTTCTAATGTGATGGCCAATAGACACAGCATCGAAGACGACCGTCACCCAAAGCAAGCCCTCCGATTTCCCCTCTGCGCTTCGGCAAAAGCTCTCCATCGTGCAATCGGTCGAGCGACACAAAATTCAAACGGAAGCCGTCGTCAACGAAACGTGCGAAAAATGCGGACGTACCGAGGTCAAATATTCAGCAGTACAGCTACGTAGTGCAGATGAGGGTAGCACTATCTTCTACACCTGCGACTGTGGTCATAAGTATGTTGTTCCTCTACATGATAATAAATTGGATACCGCTAATCGGCTTCCTGGAATAGATGGAACACCAACAATTGAGATTCTCTTAGTAGAGACTACCTAGTAGATTTCTCAAATAGAGGTGACGAACTCGAGAGCACATCTTATAAAATCAAATCATGCGTATCCTTTTTTTGGTATCCTCCAGCCAGCCCAGACGTAACGCCAGTTTCTAAACCACCCTCTATGCTACTACCTTTGGAGCCTCCGGAATGAGTGCGTACTCTGCTTGATTTGATTGCTCGTGGTCAGCCATGTCTAGAGCAACGATGATGCTCTCGCGCACGACTTTCTCTTCGTCGTGAAGGAATCGCTTCAAGGTTTCTTCGACGCCTTCTTCCTCACCAAGGCTTCCAAGCGCCTCCGCCGCCTCGTGCCTCACCATGCTAGCTTCCTTGAGGTTGCTTAATGCTGCGGTGAGGGCTGGGATCGAAGCCGGGTGGGAGAGCTGGCCAAAGACGAACGCAATCTCGTGGCGAAATAGGGCCGACGGGTCTGCGAATCCCTTGGCCAAGGCATGGACGGCGGGAACAGCTGTCGGGAGGTCCGGCGGCGATGCAAGATCACGGAGTGCAAACATGGCACGGTATCTGAGGAAGAGGGGTTGGCTCGTGTCCATTAAGCTCTTCTCTAGTTCTTGGACAGTCTGCGTAGAGTCGGGCATCGGAGGAGCTGGGTCAACAGAAGCGAAGTCGCTGTTTTCTGATAGTTAGGATATATATCCCTCATGCAGATAGTCAATTATCCTGCCAATAAATATACATACCTTTGGTGAAGCTTTTCCGCCTTTCGTTGTTCCGAGTTCTCCCATTCGATTCGGTCGATAGCAATCTCGCAGGTCTCCTTAACAGCAACGTCTTCTCCCTCACGATCACGATACTTGCGCAGAATCTCCAAGTTCCCAGCATCGCCAAGAGCACCCAAGGCCTCCGCTGCTTCGTGGCGGCACATGGGGTCCTCTTGCAGATCTGCTAGGACTTTCTGAAGGTGGGGGACAGCTGCTAGGTTAGCGGATTGGCCTAAACAGTAAGCCAACTCATGTTTGAGCAGTGCCGATGGCGATATGAAGGCGGCTGCAATAGCTTCGATAGCTCCGAGGGCTCGGTCATCAGTCTCGTGTCGTGCGAGATGCTTAAGTGAGAAGAGGGCACGGAATCGGACGGGTAGTGGGGTAGCTTCGGAGCAAAGAGATTCGCGAAGGCTCGCAATAGTTGCTAGTGTATCTGTATCGGATGCCATAATGAATTAATTTAACGAATTTCCGAAGTATAAGATCCCGTAGGATTCAACCCAACATACAAGGAAGAGATGACAAAAATAAAGTTCGATTTAAAGACCGAAAGTTGCGGAGGGAAATTTCGGGCATTGGCTTCGCACCAAAAGTTTCGTTATCAAGTAGCGCTGTACTACATATAGTATGTACGATAATGCAGGTAACCCCTCTATCAAGATCCCTAGAAAAATTCTCCGCACTACTTAGGTACATAGTACATAAGTACATCATGTACATGCAATGGATGTACAATGCATAGCGGATATCAGTCACCATACTAATTGAAGCGCTCTTTTCACACATTGGTACCTTGGTATATAAAACTTGGCTGACAATCGTCAATATCAAGGTTTCCTGGTGTAATGGCTAGCACGGCGGATTCTGATTCCGCCGATCTGGGTTCGATTCCCAGGGAGACCTTCTTTTTTCCTGATCGTCACGGTACAACATAACATACCTTGATTTCTATTTTTATTATTACCTAACTATAAGGTTTATGTTTCGTCCCCCTAAAATATGATATAGGAAGGTATAGTTTACAAGGTAAATTGTTCGTGATCGCTTGCACTTACCACTTGCCTCAATAAGTCTTGTAACTAATAGTATATGATTACTTAACACAAGTAGATCCGTGAGGTAGTTGCGCGGAATTACTTTATACTAACTACCTAAAGTTCGTACCTGCTGTTGTGTATGTTACGCCTACACTTTAAAAAGAGGGTACCGAGACTAGTAAAAAAAAAAAGAGACAGGCGAGCTCCGCAGCTTGTCGTACGGCAAGTCTTCTCATATCTCATATGAGATACCTAATGTATAGAAGTATACAACGTGACTCCCTTGCCATAATTAAACACATTTCACGTCCGCCTCAGCGTTAAAAGACTATTTAATTTTTACATCTCTATGCTTGTATTTTCCTCCCGATTTTTAACAACTACATACAGGATGGCTTTACACTCGAGTGTGGATAGTAAACTAATATGTGTGTAGCACCGATTCACCCGAAATAATACTTAGACAAGTTTGCGCTTACATTGATATTAGTCGCTCCCGCGGGTAAAGAGGCTCATGGACAAGCAGAACAATTTACAAGGGGTGTATTAACTCGCTCAGACCTTGATGCAACCTCACCTATTCGTCAGTTTCACAAGTGGTTTGCCGCAGCCCAAAGGTCCGGTCGCGTTGCTCATCCAGAGACTTGCTGTCTATCTACTGCGTCGCTGCCATCCGGTCGTGTATCTTCCCGTGTGGTTTATCTAAAGGAACTGGATGCCGAGGGATTTGTTATCTATAGTAACTTTGGTACGAGCAAAAAGGCTCAGGATCTTGCTACAAACCCATGGGCAAGCCTCACCTTCTGGTGGGAAGACCTTGAGCGACAGGTGAGGGTGGAGGGGAGAGCAAATAGGCTCACTCGCGAAGAGAGCCAGAAATATTTCGATACAAGGGTCCGTGGCAGCCGTATCGGTGCTTGGTCAAGTCGCCAGAGTCAGGTCCTAAAACCGACAAGGGGTGAGGGGGATGAGGAGGAAGATGATGGGCGAAAGATACTCGACGAGTGGGTCAAAGAGACCGAGAAGAAGTTTGAAGGAGAGGAAAGCATCCCGGTTCCGGACTTCTGGGGTGGCTTGAGAATAATCCCCGAATACGTGGAGTTTTGGCAAGGTCGACAGAATCGCCTGCATGATCGGTTTGTTTACGATAAGAAGATATCTACGGAAGAAGGTGTCGAGGAATGGTCTCTTGAGAGGCTTAGCCCATGAAGATGATAGGATCATATCAACCATACTTAACGATCTGAACTGTCGCTTCTTTCCATTTTCCGATTATACTCACGTACAAAGCATCTTCCTTTTACTCCAACTCTATTATCAGCCGGTCTCTTGGCTCATGGCTGACCTAAAGCACAATTGCATCACTACTGAAGCATACTACGCATACGACTCCTATATGTACTAACCCTTAAAATGGTTAAAGACGAGGTTAACTATTTAATTTAACTCCCTACGAATTTTGTTTAAAACACTTGAAACCGTACCAATTGATGTCACACCTCAAACACAACAACCCAATTAGATTGCTATCACTAGAACGGAGCAACTCCCACTTATGAGGTAGCTCCAGACATCGATATCAATTTAAACCAGAGATATCAGATATTCGTGAGGAGCTGTTGTGGCGGCGGAGACGGAAATACGTTAGAATCCTTAAAAGCAAGGTGATGGTCACTATGACGCCGAGAACTCGGCACCTAATCATCAACTATGCAGCGATCGCTATTGCAGTGCTGGATCGATGTTCATACGCGGAGCTGGAAAGCTTAAATAGACATATATACCCGAAGAATAAACCGATTCTACGCCAAAATGCAGCCACAAGTCTTCTACTTATACCCAGCCGTCCCAGTGCCCCAAGGCGGCAAAGTACTTTAGGTACATATGTATCTGAGGTATGTAACTGGACTCATTGGTAAGTACTCGTCAATTTTACCGAGTGATGTTCATCCACTCATTAACGAGATACTGCAGGATGAGAACAATATCTAATATAAAATTGTTGCCTTTCAAAATTAAGCTTGGGTAAGAATGGTCTATATCTCCAATGAAGTTTTCCCTCGCAAGCTTCAAGAGATAAGAGCAATACATGTGATAATGTTTCTTGAATAGGTACAGCTCAGTCAATCTTGCTGATACAATACTATACTCGGCTCATATTACACCTCTATTCACCAAGACATATCTGATAGGTTCCACTCCCTACATGTGGCGATCCCGTATGTGCAGGAAACTAAATCGCTACAGATATTTCACCTGCTTGCATATACCTCACATGCATGCGATTTGGGATCATCTGCTCTGAGACTCTGCAATATATCGAGTAGCACCAAAACACCAGAGTAGTGCTCTCGTGATCTCAACATAATTACTTAGGTTTTAATAGACTGAATCTCTGCTTCAACACCCCTACGGAATTCCGATGCATCTAGTCGAAAGCATACATAGAGACATCTTCTTCAGACGTGGCCCCGACCAATCAAGCACTCATTTGTTGGTAGCATAGCATAATGCAGGATCCAGCGCGCTAGAAATACAGACGGAATAGGCGTGTTGCCTCCAGATCGCTCAGGGTGTGTCCCTATAGACTACCTCATGGCGATGTCGAACCCAGTGGTAGTTGTTAGAAATCTAACAGTAATGAAAGATGTGCCCGGATAAGCTAAGGGGCTTGAAGGTATACTGTAAGTTTTTAACCCGTAGTCAATCTATACGCTGGTATCAATTCAAGAAAATATAGCTTTACGCCTTAATTAACCAGTCAAGTTAAGTAACTTTCTAATCCTTATTTTCACTTTTAGTAACTAATTAATTACACTCTATGCACGTTGACGTACCTAGCTCAACAGCCCCTAAGTCACTGCCTACCAAATCGATGGCTGCTGGCCAGATGCAGGCTGATGGAGGCTTTGTCGTTAATACTTACCGCACACGGGATAAGAGTTACTTTGACAGGCGCCCGTATCCATTTGGCCGGTTTCCTAGAACCGCGGATCATCGCACTTGGTGAACGACTGTTCTTTAACTTGGCTTCTTCTCGCGCGCCAATCATCTGATAGATCTCTTATAGGCACGAGCCGGCGAGGAAATAACTTATCATGGTTCTAGTAAGACGGTCTATCCACTTCTTATATAGTTACTCGAATTCAATTCAATTTCTTGTCTTTCCCCCAAGTTGACCAATATAGGCAGGAAATCTTGCATAAAGATCATTCCTTTGGGGCCTTGGTTATTATTTCTGACAGTAATGCCCAATTAGCCCCCTTTTATAAGAGCTGAGTATACCTTTAGATAAACGATATGTCATCACAAAGCCAAGCAGACCTTAACAGGATTCGGGATAATCAAAGAAGGTCTCGTGCTCGGCGTAAGGAGTACGTGAAGAGCCTTGAAGAACGCCTAGGGGTCTACAGGCGTCAGGGAGCTGAGGTTACATCACATATCCAACGAGCCGCGCAAAGAGTAGCAGAACACAATCAGAAAATGAGAATCCTACTCAATACTCTTGGGTTTAACGATGATAAGATAAATTGTTTTCTCCAAAACGGCAGCATCAATCCTGATGAAGCTATGACTTCCGATTTCCCATCACCAAACAGACCTATATACGGCAATCTTGATGCTAATATTATCGACTCCCCAACATACGACCAAGCGAAATCAGAACTCCTTTCTGCTAACGTCAATGAGCACCTTCAAGTACGCGACGTGGTGACCTTGGATCAGAATTCCACTGGCCTTGCAGGCACTGGATACTTATCATCGTCATCACAAACACACCCATGCCAGGCTCAGGGTGAACTATCGCAACATACACAAACCTTGAACGAACTGGTAAATAAACCCCATATTTACGCCAGCCAATACAACACAAGTGCCAGTCATCAAGATATCACCATTTACGAGCAGTCATTTGAGGCAGGTCATATGGCATACCCGTATTCAAACATATCTCATACTTCAAGGAAATTCACCGGCTCTACTGTAGTTGACGCTCTACTACCTGCTACTCTACAACACAACCAGACACATTTGGACTATGTCTCCCCTGCACACTACGGCGCGAACAATAGAGGTGATGCAAGCTGTTTACCATTAACCTCAAACATATCCTCCAGTCCTCAAGGCAGATGTTCATCTTTTTGAGTCCACTATGACTTTTTATTAGGTGGATTGCATAAGTACCTCTTTATAGAATCCGACTTGATGGGCTAAATCCTTGACAGGGACTGCTTTAAGTGCGGGCCACTCCTATATTCTTGGAACATTCCAGAGCTGCTGTCCACCACTACCAGCCGCATTTGGTAGTCTACATCTTTACAAAGTCATGCACCTTTGTCTCATAATTAGTGGGATAGTCATCTGCAAGCAACCGTAGTGTGAAAGCAAACGCCGGTGCTAGCCTAGTCGCTGTTTTCAGCGTGACAGCATGCAGGATTTATATGATACAAAGCTGAACATGAACTCTTTGTTTAGGTTCTTATTATTTACACGATAAAATAATGGGCAACGTAAATTCTCATCTGCTGAATATCAAAGCTGAATTAAGCATCAATAGTCTCTTCCTTGTGAAATAATAACACATTTTGAGCCACTTTTCTTAACTGGCTTGAAACCCATATATAACTTGACTTACACAGCACTAAGGTTCTATATCTCTGATCGGCGAATAAACCAACATAAATTTAAAAGCCGGAGTAGAGTTTGGATTGGATAGGAAGTCGATAGTGTATTAAAGCGGCTCCCGCCGTCGTCTTTTTCTCGCCACCCTGTCGTTATCAACTACAGCATACAAGATGGACGTACTTGGGGTAAGCATCCTCCACGTAAACGTAAACTAGGATAATAATTGAATTGGAAATTTTCTGACATTGTGAGAATAGGAGAATAATGGACTGGACCTGTCCTTCGAAACAAATGAATTCTTCCCTGGGGTTAAGATGCCATACCAGCCGACCCGTATCGACAACCCTTTCGGGGGAGATTTGAGTGAAGACGATGAGGACTCTGAGGACGTTGAGGACGTCGATGACACTTCAATGTCCGGCTGGGAGTATCCTCTAGCTAGCATGGCAGTGAGCACTCTCGGGACTCCGAACCGGGCGGGTGTTTGGTATGGGCAAGATAAGTCGATGTTGTCTATTAATCAAGAATTCCGAAATATCATCAATGAGTGTCAGAATTACTACAATGCCAACCCGGGGTTTGACGGATCCAAACATCAGGCTGCTCACCTCTTCGACTTTATTAAACGAGCCCTCTACGCAATCGGCTTAGAGAGGCATCTCCATCTTTTTGTGGCTCACGAGAATGTTCAAGCTAAAGATAACCCTATATATTCGCCTCGCTATGTGTCTTCCACATGGGTGGAAGACCCTAAAAACGTTCATTCAGAGGATCCTGAAAATGGAAAACCCTGCTTCAACGATGTCAGATGGCAAATGGGAGGAGGTCCTGAACCTCGAAATTGGGGAGGCCTTCGAGGCGGAGCTGCTCCGAGCCCTCCTGATACAGGTACTCCTTCATATAGGTCACTCAAGACTCAGACCCGTGATTTAAAGAGGCGGATTGGCGTTAGGTGGACGAGGCCGAGACAAATGTGGGGAGATGCTCGACTGCTTGCAAAGCTAGAATTAGAGACCATTCCCGAAAAACTTGAAGATCTACATGTTAAGGAGCCTATAATGGTGCCATCTTCGGCCATAAGCGAAGAGTTACGCAATAAGCTCTCGCGTAGACTAACTGATGAGATCCGTAAGCAGACAAGTCGATACGAAGCTGCCAAAGAGCATACCATGATCCCAGATATTAAGAACCTCTTATTACAGATTGACTTTGTCATCGACTCTAAGAGGGTAGATTGGCAAATATTTTTTCATGAGTGGGTTGTGAAAGGTAAAAGGGACAAATCCCGGTTTAAATTCCAGACCCAGAGTGATGGGGAGGAACGAATCGTTGGAGGGATAATGGAGGCTTTTACCGTGATACTCTGCAGTATCATTCGGGTTCTTTTACACAACAAGCTCCTAGATCTTGAAGAAATAACAATCAACGACTTAATTTCTGCGGAGATCGAATTTGTAGAAGCCCTGAAGAGGCATGAGGAATTATGGAGGGAGTGGGATAAATTCCAAATTTACTGGGGGGACGTCAGTCCGACTGAAAAGGAGGCAATACTTAGCCGTATTCGTTTACGAAAAGAGCTAGATTGTTACTGGGGTACGCTGATCGACGAATATAAAGGCGTACTTTTAATACTCGAGAGGCGTGGCTTAAGTGCTTTCCCCGAGCCAGCTCCGAGTACTAAAAAAAGGCCACTCGCAACTGAGGTAGCAACTGAGGTAGAAACAAAGCGATCTAAGCTCAAGCGGGATAATGAAGTCACTTCGATTCCAGAGGAAGACTCTATCCCAGAGGAAGACTATATCGAAGAGGAAGACTACAACGAAGAGGAAGACTATAATGAAGAGGAAGATTATAATGAAGAGGAAGACTATAACGAAGAGGGAGATTATAACGAAGAGGAAGACTATATCGAAGGGGAAGAATGGATTCCGGAAGATGAAGAGGTTATAGAACCCTCAGATACAACTGAAGCCGAGCAACCGTCGAATATTCCCGATCCTGGTCCTAATAGAAATGCCAATGCGGGCACCCGCCAATGTCTCAGCGTGCTCAACCAACTGCGTAGGGCATACGCAGACGCTCTCCAAACTTATATCGACTCCAATGAGCAGCTCGACGGGGGCGACCCGGGGGATGCACCGAGGATAAGAGCGAACAACGAGAACATCAGGATGTACAACCAGATGATTTGGAACTTAGACATGGAGATCGACAACTTGAGAAGCCAAAGGCCGGACAATAATATCGGTAACAGCACTACTCTAGACGGTATCGAGGTGCCGGCACCGGCCCATGAGCTTTACAAGCATACCAAGAGGCTTGAAGGCCAGAAGGATCTCCCTGTCGATGTTCTAAGCCTGGCACCTGGTAACTTGCCTGGCGACCACCCAGCGCCGGCGATCCCTAGGGTCCTCGTAGGTGGTCCGGTAGATCTCGGTGGTGACCCTCTGGATGCCGCCGGTGAGACGGACAGACCTGTTCAGACCAAGACGGAGGTTCCGACCAAGAAGGAGGTTCAGACTAAGAAGGAGGTCCAGACCAAGGAGGTTCCGATCAGGACGGAGGTTCAGACCAAGACGGAGCCTCAAACCAAGACGGAGCCTCAAACCAAGGAGACTCGGAAGACTGTGATTCCTCCTAGACCCCTGTTTGATCCTCAACCTCAACCTACACCCCGGCCCCAGCCTACACCCAAACCTCAACCTACACCCAAACCTCAACCTACACCCCGGCCCCAACCTACACCTCGGCCTCAGCCTACACCTCGGCCTCAGCCTACACCTCGACCTCAGCCTACACCCCAGCCCAAGCCTACACCTCAGCCCAAGCCTACACCTCAGCCCAAGCCTACACCTCAGCCTAAGCCTCAGCCCACACCTCAGCCCAAACCTCAACCCAAACCTCAACCCAAACCTCAGCCCAAACATGAGCCTACGCCTCAGCCCAAATCTCAACCTACAACCCAGCCTGAACCTCAGCCTCAACCTCCGGTTCAGCCTCAAGGAAAGGTCTATCCTCGACCACCCCCAATCCGACCTTGGCCTGTACCTGACACTCCGACTCCTACTAGGGATCACAGCCAAGGTCAGTCCCAAAGTCCCAGACAGTACCGTGCTGGCTTCCCCATCGTCAACTTGTCGGAAGAAGAATCTGGGGCTGAGAGTCCTGACCCTCCTTACGCACCTCGACCTCGTAACTCTCGCCCTAACCCGGTTAATCGCCGTTTGTTTCAGGGCCAACCGGGTCGTTCAGTTGTCGACATAGCCGTCGAGGAGTCTACACCGCCGCTTGGGCGTGTTCCCACTAGCACCACCCGTCCAGTTTACTCTCGCCGAAACCTTCTCAGGGGCCCGAGGACTAACGCGACTCGAACACCTCAGACCACTGTCCCAACACCTCAGACTACTATTCCAACACCTCCGACTACTGTTCCACCAGTTAAGACTACTGTTACGCCAGCTAAGACTGCTGTTACGCCAGCTCAGACTACTGTTACGCCTAAGATTGTTTTTCCGCCAGTACGGACTGTTGTTCCACAGCCGCTAGTAAACCCATTGAGGCCAAAGCATGCACCACCACCACCACCACCAAAAAATCCGGTGCGGCCGGTGCAGCCGGAAACACTGGTAGAGCCGGAGGAGCAAACTCCTGCTCGTGCTTGGACTTGGAATGAACTGCCAACGATGACCTTCGCGCAATATCTCGGATCGCTGCCGCCACGTCTCCGAGTCGACCGGGCTGCTGCAAAGGCAAACTACGACCTTATCACGAGTACCGTAGCAGGTATCAATAGCAGACATAATAGACCTGTAGATCAACAGAATGTTCAGCTCCAGCCCCAACCCTCTGGAGTTCAGACCCAGGAGTCATCTGCGCTATATTCGAATACCAGAAGACCAGGGGCTACCCGCCAATGGACTATGAATGATCTTGTGAATATGACGTTCGAGGATTATTACAATTCGCTTCCGGTAGAAGGGAGAGTGGATGAGGCCACTGCTCGTAAAGAGTTCGAAGCCATTCAAAAAAGTGTAAGCATTATCGCCGAGGCCATGTTTTACGGTAGAGTTGGCCCATCGACTGGATGGCCATCGATTACAAGATTTACTAAGTATGCGATTCAGGGCCCAGATAATAAGCCTCCTCAATCCTTTCCTTGGTCCGCTTACAAGACCCAGACTCAAAAGAGGACCATCCCTCACACCAAGGGAGTAACTGAGTCCAAGGTGAAGAAGCCGTCCAGCCCAAAGAAGCTTTCGAAATTGCCTCTGAAACATCCCAAATACTGGGACTGGAGCGACTGGGGCAATGTCGTAGACGAACGATACGAGAGATATCTAGAAGGTCTCACCGAAGAGGAAAAGTCTCAGTGGGAGAAAGGGGAGGAAGACTTCTACGAATTCAGACGAAGCGCGCTTGATAAGGCGATGCAGCAGCAAGATGCTGGCACCGCCAAAGATAGAGGTAATACCATTCTGACCCCTATTCTCGATCCTAGCGATAGCCAACTGATTCTAGCTGCTACTAATCAGGTAATTAAAGACGTCACTCAGGTCCCCATCGATGACGCCGGTCCATCTATATATACCGGCCCAATAGCCTACTCAGCTCGCATGCTACGCGAAGAAAATAGAAAAAACAGGGAAGAGCGACTACGAAAGCAACAACTAGAGGAACTCCAGCACAGCATGTCTACCAACAATGTTGACCGACCTCCCAGGCCCAACCGACGGCCCAACCCACAACCGGATGCTATTGCCAAGCAGAAACTTACCAAGGTCGATTCCCGTCTTCCGCCCCTATACGATAAGTCACGTAGTGGTAGGCGAACTAGGATTTATAGAGATAGACCCAGAAATAGAAACCGAAGGAACCCGGCGCCACCGCCAAAGGACACAAAAGACCCGAAACCGGCACCACCTGCGCCTAAACCTGCTCCTGCTCCTGCTCCTACTCCTACTCCTAAAGAGGAAACTAAGGCGGGGAATCAATCTAAGCCTACACCTAAACCTACACCTAAGCCTAGACCCACTCCTAGGTCTCGACCATCACCAGCACATGTACCTATACCACCTGAACCACCTAGGCCCAGACCCAGACCCAGACCCAGACCCAAACCCAAACCCACTCCTAAGCCTCAACCAGCTCCCAGGCCAGTCCGAGTACCAACACCAACACCACCAGCCCCCTCGCCCGAACCCAGCCCGGAAGACAAGCCCAAAGCCGAACCAGTCAAACACAAACGGCCACCAAAGCCGAAAGCCTGGCCCACGCCGCTGCCCTACCCCATCCCCACCGTGCAGCCCAAGCCAGCCGGAACCGTGCCGCCGCCCGTGATCCCGCAGAGGCGCTTCGCGGGGGAGGAAGAGGCAGCCGCAGGCCCAGGCCCAGGCCGACGCCGGGGCCGGGGCCGGGGCACGGCCAGGGCCCCTAGGAGGAGTCTCGGCCCGGTTATCCCGGGTGACGGCTGGCCCGACTTCAAGTACCTGATGCGGGCGCACCGGACGGCGGTGCTCGCGTCGCAGACTATCGCCCAGCGGGGGGGGCTGCTGGCCGTCCCTAAGAGCGAGGCTATCCCGGGCATGCCCAGGCCCGTGTTTGATAATAGGACGGATCGTAATGTTTTGATCTGATCGACGTCGTCGTGGGGATGGGATTTGTTGGGGGGGTATGGATTAGGGAGTATAGGGGGAGGGGGGAGAGGGTTCGACAATGTTTTTGAAGGAAAGGGGTGGTGGTGGTGGTGGTTTGGTGTCTAGGGAGGTAGATGGATAGGTGAGACTTGTGTGGGTAGACCTAAGCTAAGACAGGTAGGCACTTGCCGGAAGACAACAAGATGGGATGGATAGATGGGATGAATAGATGGAAAGACGGAATTTCGATGGAGACCTGAATGACGCATAACTAAATAAACAACAAGAAGAGGAGGAGGAGTTATGGAGTAAAGTTGGGAAGAGGAATAGATTGTACGATGGATAAGATAAATTGGATTGTTAGACTTGTGCAGGGAGGAGAGGGGGGCACTTACACATCTACACGGCAGAGCTTTCTTATTTCCTTTGTAGAATAAATCATCTCTAGTAACTATTCCTATTCGTAACCACCGAACCGTCTCGTCTCGTCCCATCCCATTCACTGAAGTGATGTGCAAATGTGCCAGTAGGCTGAACAGGAATATATCCTAATATGATTTGATTATATGGATATCTTCTCTGCATCTATTCTCATGAGAGACCAGAATACGCCCGCCTAGTCAATCATTAATCCGAAATCTGCTTTCTTTCTGTGATATGCCTCCGGAACTCCGCCAGGTATCATACCAAAGGGGGTAAAGCACTGTTGATGGTCCGTCTTAAGCGGAATGCTACGTCCGTTATTGCCAACCATTTCGTATTATACAATTCAGTTCTTACGCCGGGGGGTCCTATAGGAAGTAATCTGCCACTGGCTTCTTGGCAGGCATACCCCTGGAGTCTTGCGGTGCGGCCTGGAATACGCGATATCTCCTTGCTGGACCGTTCTTGAGCCTCTTCTCGCTCTCTATCATAACACCCTCTACCCCGCCGTCGCTCCGACCCACATCGCCGTTGCTGCGCGCGAAAAAGCTCTCTCCGGTCGGGTCCTCGGATAACTCTAGGACAGCGGCCACGTTACCGCATCGATAACAGTAGTTAGGCGCCGACCAAACCGTAACGATACTCGCATCGAACATTTCCTTGAAACCTTCCATGACGAGCTGGTGGGCGCGCGCAATGAGCGAAAGGTCGTTCTTATGGTTGAAGACCTTGACAATATCCGCGCCAAAGAGAAAGCCTGCGCCGCGTGGCGACAGACCCCAGCCGTCAATCTCATCCGGATCGGACCACAAAAGGTCGCACATGGCACCCTCATGAGGTACTTCTTGTTTGCGATCTAATAGGCGGATCTTATCCACCGTATCGATCAGGGGTGACAAACCGCCGTGTACACATAAAACTGCTCCTGTCGGATTGCCAATGGTGCCCCCACTAGAACCTGACGCGCCCGACCCCGGAGGGCCAGTCTTAGGTTGGGTCCCGTTAGGACTTTTCCGCTCGCGGTCTATAGATTGATCGCTGTTTCGTCTCATAAATCGGCTCATGATATCTCCATCTGCATTGCACACTTCAATCTCAATATCCTGTTGAGTATATTCCTCGCTAGGTGTCATCTCATTGGGAGGCGAGAGTGTATTTGACGCGTTAAGCACTATAGCTCCGAGAGCGAGATAGTCGAAAACGTCGCAGCAATACCTCCAAACGTTAGCACTGCCATATTTTCGAAGGCACTCGTCATAAAATCCATAAACTGTCGTTATTTGACGAGACTCGTGGTTGCCTCTAATCAGTGTCATACGATCGGGATAGCGAACTTTTAAACAGAGGAGTAGGAGAAATGATTCTAGTGAGTAGAAGCCACGGTCGACAAAGTCGCCTATATGAGTACACTTAGTCAGAGATGCTATCTGGTAAAAGATGGGTATCGCGCTTGGAATATGTACCCATGAAAAGGTAGTTTGTGTCTGGAGGATCGCCTCCAACTCTAAAGAGTTCCATTAAATCATGGAACTGTCCGTGGATATCACCACATATCTGCGCGCATTATGTCAGAGATATTTCCCGAGCTTATATTATCGCGTTGAACTAAAGCGTACCGTTACGGGAGCTGTGACTGTCACGACATTTCCTTCCTCGATCAAGAGTTCTCGAGCTTTATGGCAAAGTTCCCTAACTTGCGCCTCGGGGATCGGACGACATGCTCGGAGTTGAGCGATCGCTCTATATAATTACACATAGTTAGCATACGTCTTACACCGCGTCTATAACCATAGAGGGCGCCGTACTTATCAAGGTCGCTCATATCTACGGTTGGGAGGATAGGCTAAGGGAATAGGACCGAGGCTGCAATCGAAGCTAACGCCGAGCCAGGGGATGATTTTGAAATATTCGTATGGTCGTTTTCATAACATTATCAGGATAATTAGCAGGTCTAAGAAGTGCACATAGACTATTATTGTGGTTGTGATATGCGATATGGTTCTTCTCTATGCTATGCAAATTGGAAATTGAGGATATGAAGATGTTGGTTCGCGACAAGTTCGGTTCGTCGCGTGCGGCATCTTACAGTTGACAATCCAAAATTAGAAAATACTTTAGTTTACCTACACTCTATGCACTTTATGCACTGAGCGCGAAATGGCACCGGCACTCAATTTCTGAAGTCATTTTAGCGGGTCCCTCAATTATCTGCAGCTTCCCCCTTGCTAGCCGTTACTAACCTTGTAAGTGCACTTTACTCTTGGGTCTTGTCGTGGGTCTAAGGGATTATGTAAAATCGATAAAGTTATCTAGGTTAAGTCGTCCCACCCTTCCCACCTTATCTGGCAATTCCTCGGGTGAGACCGCGAATCGGGTCCATGGGATTTGACATTGAAGCTTGAAATCAGATAATTAATTCTTTGAATGCGCTCGCTACCTTAGACAACAGCAACGAGTATCGTAACCTTCACTCGTCCTCTTACCTCCAGCTTCCAATCGTCATGCCGTGGGACCATACAGGCATAATCTAAGTAAGTCCCTAGGTTAATTGCATCAATTGGCGATTTTCAAACCCGCACCTATAAAGATTACTAGGTTAGTTAGGCACTAACAAGTTTCTCAACTTATAGCTTTACTCCTCCTCGAACTTGCCCACACCATGCCGCCGCACCTACACCCGCGGTCGCGAATGACTTCCTCGCTCTTCGCCACGACCGTTGCAGCAAGTTTCTTCGTCGTGACACTTCCGCACATCCTGCCCTGTCCCGCGCCGCGGGTGACCTACGCCGACTCAGAAATAGCCGCAGACGGCACGAGGCGGCGGCGGCGAAGGAAACCCGAGCTAGCGGTCGTGAAGGACGGTATCGTCCAGTTCGAGAGTCCGACCGAGGACTTGGAGAGGGTCACTACCGAGACCGGCGGCATTGCTACGAGGGCAAGGAAGGAAAGAGAATGCCCCGTGCCCAAACCGGGCGGCGTCATTGGTGAGCTGATGGGGTTTAAGGGCAAGTCGAAAGTGGAAGAAGGAAAAGGGCCGAGTGGTGATACATAGAAAACAGCAAGCATCAAGTTGGAAAACAAAACCACTGGAAACTTTACACTCGAAATGTATAAACTATTACTCCACACTATGATTATCACCAATAAAAGATGAACTAACTCTGTATCACTCCGGAAAGTTGATAGGCGGGCCACTTGCTTTTAAAAGCTTTAGGGGAGATAGGGAGATAGAAAAGTAAGTGGCACAAGCATAATCGCATTACTCGAGACCATAATCCATTATTTGAAACTCTATCTTCGAAATAACACATATTTACAAGCTCAAGCATTCAACATGTTTCTCTCATCTCACTTGGTAGCTCGGAACCAAAAAATAATAATTATAGAGCAAGGACAGTTTCTAGCATCGTTGTCAGAAATGCAATTGAACTTTTATTGACCATTAACCGGTGGGTTAGCATCCGGCAACTTTGGTGACTCCTTAGAACTCCTGTCGTATTCCCCGTCCTCCTAATAACTATCATGGGGTTGATAGCCATAAAGACCAAGCCGTCCCATCATCATGATGAAGTTTATCCACCTCTCAATACTGCTCAAGATTTTGACCGTGTCGATGCGAAAGGCGACCGTTGCGAGTTCCTCGTTCCACATCAACTAATTAATGAAGCCGTAGACCTGCCTGAGTCCGATATGCCTCTGCATCCTCCTATGTCTGTACTTGCGGAACAAAGAAAACTAAAAAGATTAACGCAAGGAAAGTCGTAAGAGGATAATATTACAGGGAGGAAACGAATAGTAAAAAGGTATCACTGAACGTAATCGTAAGCGAAAGGATCCAAAAATGCTTCCTAGGATGCAGATTGCGGTGTCGGCACTTCTGTCTCTTCGACTTTCGCCTCGTCTAGGTCCAGCTTGGGCTTCTTCGCAACGCGCTCAGACTCGGATTCCTCTACCTTCATCTTCAGTTCCTGGTTCTCTTGCTCCATCTCATCGAGTCGCCTTTTAAGAATGTTCTCTCGCCTATGGCTATCCTCCAACTGTCGCTGAATCTCTTCACGTTGCATGCGCTCTGTGGCAGCTTCCTTCGCAGAGTTCTCGGCAGAATGGCGGTAGTTATCAGCGGTCTGCATATCTTGTTCCAACTGTTGCAATCGGCCTCTGTATAGCTCATTGACAAGTTCGAGCTCGCTAACGCGCGTCTTCAGGCTGGAGTTGGCGGCAATTAACTGCTCGTGAGTCTGCGGGACATCGGTGATCTGCTGGTCGCCGTTCATAGGGGACTGGTGGCTAGGAGAGCCATCGGGAATGGGGTACTGATTTAGAGCGTCCGACTGGAAATGATCCATAGCTTGGAAAGCAGTCAGATGGGGATCATATAGAGACGGGGTCGCTGTGCGCGACACGGGCGAATCTGTACCGTGGCCATGTCCGTTTGTGGCATTCTGTTGGTTCGCGCGAACGGCGGCAAGGGCAGCAGTTGCATTATCATGGTTGAAGTTACCGTTGGTACTGGCAGGGAGGCTTTGCTGCAAAGAGTTGTGAGCATTTCGGACATGATTTACACGGGCGGGGTTTAAAGGGGGCATGTTCCATACCTTTTTCTTAACCTGCATATCCGGGCGCATTGTCTTTACGCGATTTCGGCTCTTGATAACGTCGGTCTTCAAAGAAATCGGACGTGGTCGGCCGTGCAGCTTCAAGAACAGGCCGCAGGCGTTGCACAGGACAGATCCCGTCTCGTCGCGACGCCATAATGGAGTAGTTGAAGTACCGCAATTCTGGCAAGTTGGCTGCGTAGATGGAGTATCACCGTTAGCGCCTGCAGCCGTTGTGGGGTGTGAGGCCATCATTTTGAAATTGAGTAATGAAGCTTTCAGTTGAAAAAGGGTTATATCGGCGGATAGAGTATCGCGATGGGAGACTGGGGAGAGAGATATCGATAGGGAAGGATAGGTTGATTGATAGAATTGATAGAACTGATAGAACTGATAGACGGGAAAGATTGAAGAATTTCTAGAAAGTGGGTGCTGATAAGGTTGTAACCAATCATAGTTAGGTACAAACCTTGTCTATACAAGGGTACCTGCGATTTCCCAAAGTTCCACGTCCGAATTGAAGGGGGGGGCATTTCCACCTTTCATGTCAACAACATGTACAGATGTAGGCAAGAAAGCCTCCTTACCTGTACACTTATTGGTACATGATTTATCCCGCGTCGAAACCTTGGTAAATCAACAGGTGCAGAATGCAGCAAAATGCAACATTCCACTTGCCCTTCCACTGCATATATAGCCCGATTTCCAAAATATCAAACTAATATGCGCGTCATGCTCAAAAGGGAAAGGGAAAAAGGAAAGAAGAGGTCCACTACGTGCTGAGATAAAAGAATAAAAATTCAATAACTCACCAAATTACCCGACGCTGTCGGAGCGTGCGCTGCAGGGGAAGAATTCATTTGGGGAATTGGTGTATGCGTCGCTCTATATGTAATGATGATAAGTTAGAATGATAGATATCGACAACGTATGTACCTATGTAGGTAGGTAATGTTCGGAAAGGTATATGTTTTTTTTAAAGGTCGAGGTTGCGATTAAGTTGCCATAAACAGTTCAGTGATCGAGACTCAAGATAGAGTATGAAAGGGTTAACAAGTACGTGGAATCAAGTCAACGAGACCTGCACCATTAACAGGCATACTGACGCTTCCTAGTGACTAAGGTTACGGTGATAATGCCGTTGCCAGGTGTACACTTAGGTGTTGAATCCTTGAGATATCTATTTTGTTCTCTCTCTCTGGTAAGATACGCACGCAGACGCAGACGAGTCGTAACCCCCTTCTGAGATATAAAACCATCGCCATGACAACAATCTCCCCCTTTCACCCCACAAAATAATTTGGTATAAGAAAATCACGTATTTATTCAGGTGTGAACTCACCTCAATTGCGGCGAACTAGTTGCTGATCCCGCGGCTGCCAACGCGGAAACACCTGGAAGCTGTGCTACCGAGGCTGTCGTTGAAGAAGTCGAACTCGGACGCGATATTGGATCAAGGGTTGCCGGTAACGGCACCGTGCTTTCCTCCATGACTGATCTGATAGGTGGTAATGCTGGTGATGCCGTACGTGTCGGGATCGGTGAGGTGATTGGTGGCAGATTGCTATCTGCCTGTAATGATGCCAGTGTGGAGGACGCCGTGGTGGGTAAAATTTCAAGGCCCCGAGTCTCCTCGGGACGAACGATCGTGGTAAAGACAGGAATCGAGGGTGGATATTAATCGGCGCGAGTAACGAAAGCGTCACGCCTTGACCGCCAATAATCTAGCGGTATGAAAGCGACTTTTGATGTAGGTGGTTGCAAAGAAGCAGCACGCATAGGCAGATAAGTACCTAGGCACTGTAAGAAATGTACTGAAAACCCACTGTATATTGGACCGTAAATCGTAAATCAGAACGAACCGATTGGAAGCTTGCAGCTCAAGAGTGGAGCAACAGAGAGAAGACTGGAAAAAAAGAATTGCAACTCATAAAATTCGACAAAATAGATATGTACGAGTAGGTAACGTCATTCAGTCAATCAATTACTTTGAAGTAAGAAATCATACGGAAGAAAAAGGAAGGTATGTAAGTAAGATGGCTCGCGCCAGGAAAGAATGAAAAATCCCCTGAGCCTCGATGCAGGATAGACACGTAGAAATTTGATAAAAAAAATTATTATTGTTGTTATCTTAAGATACGATGTATATCCTGGTAAATATTATTAAGGGAAGTACATACTCCCCTTACTTGCTTTTTTTCGTTACGTTTATGTTAGGTACGTACATAGATTAGATTTTATTTTCTTGGCGGCGGGAAAACTGTTTCTAATCTAGACGCTAAGGATTTTTGAGATCATCTGGATTACAATTGGCTACCTTAATTCCCTTGTCAAAATACCTCCTAAGGTATCTTCCTATGTACTCCTGATCAGGTAAAGCGCTGTAACTGCATGTATGCAGTCTTGCATTTGTATAATAATTACACCGACTGCCACCTTGTGCTTTTCTCTCATTATCTTATATAATTTTCTATTCCATATTATACATATTATCTGTGGAGCAGCATTTATCTTTCCATAGATAAGCTACCTGTATAGACCGACTTAAAAAAGGGCTATAGATAGCCCAGAGTCCTTCTACTATGAATGTAGTCTTTATCAAGATAAGGTTCGAGAAACTACCTGTATTTTATTTCATTTACTATTTGTTCGTCTTTCAAAGTTTATTGGTATAGAATGATAATACCAATCCATGCCTTCAGTAGCCGGCATTATTATCACCAGCAGTGTAATAATGTATACCGATTATACAAGTGTTCTAAGTACTTGACTTTCACACACAGACTGTCACAGACAAACAGGTCATAAGAGTAGTGTTTCCTATGGACTAACTGCTCAGCCTTACAATCACCCCTATCCAGGCGAGGAATTCCAACTATATATCACAGAAGGAATATACAAGAAGCAAGTACCGAAGGAAAAGAGCACACTGAGTCGTCAATAAGGGACGCTCTTGTAGCGATGTCCCTATCACTATCTATAAAGCACACACCTATACTCAGAGTAGAGTTTATCAAAGCACAACTATAGAAATCTTATATCAAGCTACCTTCTATATCCCTATGTTCCCTCGTCTGAAGTAAAACTTATATATCTAAATAGCTTGAAGGGTTTTTAATTAATGACCAAAAGGTCAGGTTGGTACGGCCAAGCGAAACATTGACATTCTCCAAACCTAAGATCTTCTTTATTCCGCAACCTAACACAAACACACTTATGAAGTATCCTTAGGCCCTGGGGTTCGATTCCCCGGCTGACCATATCAGTTTTGTTTTATTTTATTTTTTTCGTTCTTTTTTTTCCCTACTCGTCACATAGTACCATACTTCCCAAATAACATCTATAGTACCGAAGAAGGACACCACGATAATTATTAAACGCGTAGCTCCTAGATGAATCGAAGGAGTTTATTCTCAAATTTTTTAAAACATAAACGAAATTGGCACATCAACAGGACTAAACAACCACAGTTTTTGAATATAAATTATATGATTTACTAAAGACAGTCTTGCATGACTGTTACATGTCATATCATTGATATTCCTCCTCAGTGTACTTTGGTACCCAAGCCAGTATCCACTCTAGCTCTACCACTGGAGGGGCTAAGAATCTCCATTAAAAAACTTCCGACTACCGATGTTTAAAGAAAAAAAAAAGTCCCAATCATTCACTATTGCCAATCATTTATCTTCATTTGCATCGCAAACCCAAGTTCTATACGACATCACTACCATCACGATGCCGTCTACACATAAAAAAGAAAAGCCATGGGATACCGACGATATAGGTCAGTATTCATCAAGTCGAAAACTTATTCTTTAGATTATCTAGTTAACATGACTATTAGACAAGTGGAAGGTCGAACCCTTCAAACCCTCAGATAATGCTGGTGGAACCTTTGCGGAAGAATCCTCATTTGCAGTGTAAGTGCATATAGCTGAAATCCAAGGTGTAACTATCGGATTCTAACTTATAACTAGCCTATTCCCTCGATATCGTGAAGTTTATCTTAAGGAGGCATGGCCTGGCGTGACGCAGGCGCTCCAGCAACAAGGCATCGCGTGCACACTGGATCTTGTCGAAGGTAAGGAATAGCATATTGCCTACTAGATCAGCGCTAACCAAGCGATGGCAGGATGCATGACGGTCAAGACGACGAGAAAGACATACGATCCCGCTGCCATCCTTAAGGCTCGCGACCTCATCAAACTACTAGCCCGTAGCGTACCTGCGCCGCAAGCATTAAAAATACTCCAAGACGATATGGCGTGCGATATTATCAAGATAAGAAACCTAGTGCGCAATAAGGACAAGTTCATAAAGCGACGGCAAAGAATCCTCGGACCAAATGGACAAACCCTAAAAGCTCTCGAGCTCCTCACACAGACCTATATCCTCGTCCAAGGAAACACCGTCAGTGCGCTTGGGCCTTACAAGGGGCTGAAGGAAGTGCGCCGAGTAGTAGAAGACTGCATGGCGAACATCCACCCGATCTACCAGATCAAGGAGCTCATGATCAAGCGGGAGCTAGCCAAGGACCCGGAGCTAGCGCACGAGAACTGGGAGCGATTCCTGCCTAACTACAAGAAGCGCAGTCTAAGCAAGCGCATAGTGCCATACAGGGTCACGGACAAGAGCAAGAAGGTATATACGCCGTTCCCACCAGCCCAGGAGAAGAGCAAGGTCGACATGCAGATCGAGGCCGGCGAGTACCACCTCGCCAAGGAAGCCAAGAAGCGCATCGCCCACGAGGAGCGCATGGAGAATCAGAAGGTCAAGCAGGAGGAGAAGAAGCGCCAGCGAGAGCAAGATTTCATCGCGCCGGAAGAAGAAACCGGGTCGTCGGAGAGGAAGAAAAAGAAGCGGAAGAGCAAAGACGGCGAGTAGGTGTTATAGTAGTAGTAGTGTTGTCGCCTGTACAAGGGGTTTTATGTATTACTACTTCCAGCCGTGACCTTTTTTCCCGAAAATCTTTACGATACCCACGAAATTCCGAAAGCACATCATCCATCACATCAAGACTTTCGGGCGGGATGCCCCCCTCCCTAAACGTGACTTAACTTCGTAATGCGTAGATGACAATTCAGGTACCTTGCTGTACGTAGCTACACGGTTCCTAGGCAACCGACCCAAAGCCGACAAGGTTAAAAGGCTTGTTAACAGTCCCTCCATCACTCCTGACCATTCAGATACGCTACCCAAAGAGGCCGTGGCTTAGTGGTTTTCATGGTAAGAAGGTGTAGATAAAATCCGTCCGCCGGGTTTTTCGATGGCGTTTCCGGGTTCGAGTCGGGCACAGGGCGGCAAGACAGGCCATCTTTGCTATGTTCAAATGTGCGCGGCTCGAAGCCTAGGGGCCTGCTTTTTTGTGTTTATTATTTCTTTCTCTTTTTTATTTTTATTTTTATTGACATTTGCTACCATCTATTGTTCTGATAGTATTAGGATTCCTGTAAAAATTTAAATTTTTTTTTTTAAAAAAAAAACCCTTATAAAAAGGTTTGCCTTAATCTATGCTTCAGGTGGATGATGATGATGATGATCTTACTGCAGAGACGACGGAAATGTTAGGTTGTAATACTCAATCTGAACCTTCTGACTATGGGTATTTAGCTTAATTAACCTTCCGTCGTACTAGGTAAGTTACTCTTATTGGGCTAATAGTACATACACATTGGTTATTCACAGTCATATCATATGCAAGACGGCTTAAAATAAAGAAGTGAAGACTCAAAATCGCAAGTGTATTCATTCCTAGGACAGGCATATGAGCCCGGAAGATAACGCCTTAAACACCAATATGCCTATCCGTATCTTCTTCGTTGGTATCACGTCTAGCACGGTTAACTACCCCCAAGATCACCCACGTCTATCCATCGACCACCATAGTGTCGTCTCCATCAAACGCCGATTCGGGTTGCTCGACCACGACTCCTCGGCCACGACCAGCTAATAATTCCCTTCGGATCTCTGGTCCGATCTTGTGGTGTCCATGCGTCAATAGGAGGTCCAGGAGGGCTTCTCGCTGGTCTTCGGTGATCTCGTTGCGGTACCGCTGCGCAAAGGCTAGAAGGCATTGGTGCCAAATCACCGGTAGCTTCACTTGCATAGCCGCTCGCTCACTACCTATGTCCATCGAAGCGCCTTCCCTAACGGACGCAGGATCCACGCTTCGAAAGCGTAGGAAGTGGAATACGAGGGAGTCGATGACTTGGTAGGGAAGAGCGTATTTCTTCTCTAGGAGGGTCTTGATGAAGACGTTCGTGGCGCCCCCGCCCTCCGTTCCAGCAGAAGCTTCCCGTGCCGCGATATCACACAGCCCCTTGATAGCCGCGCCGGAGTGCAGCACCGGTATGGAAACCCTGGCTAGGACGGCAGATATGATTGCGGCTTCTCTCAGGGTGCACGTGCCGCTCTCTACGAGAGGGAAGAGGAAGCCTTTGAACCACGCCGCGGGCTTATAAAGCGCTTTCTTGAGTGCATTAAATAAATGCACATTTAGCTTCTTCGTCTCATGGATATCTTCCCTCACGCGCTCGAGAAGGATCATCTCCATAAATCTTCGGACGACGATCGGGTTACTAGATACAAAAATCTTGGTAGCCTGGTAGCATGCGTTCGGGGTCCACTGGTCAGGCTTCGTGCATTCGATGATATCTTCCCAATGAGGTACCGTCGGCAGAATCTTGAACGGTTTGGGGAGTTGGCCAGACTTATACCTCGATAATATCAACCCGATTCTATATAATGTTAATAAGGCTAAACAAACTCATCGTATAATCCAATAAACCTACTTTGTATAGACTTCTACAATCTTCGGCGATAGCTCATAGTCGTCATCCACAGGTCCCAATTCTCGCCCTCCGTCGGGTCCAGCTTCGTGTTCCGCTATTCTCGCCAGAATCAAATCGGCAAGGTTGGTTCCCGGACCTTGCTGCTGCGCAGATGCTTGACCTCCCCAACCGTGTGTCAATAACGGATCGTCGTCCGTAGGCAAAAACTTGTTGAATGTGTCTAAGTCTTCAGGTTCAATCTCGATCTCCTCTACTATCTCCTCTTCGTCGCCCCATACTTCTTCGTCCTCGAACGCCTCGTTATCTTCACCATCTTCGTCAAACCGAGAATCGAAACCGAATGCATTGCTCTCCTTTGGCGGTCGCGGAGGTGCCACATCAATTTCTTCTGCTAATTCTCGGCCGATCTTCAAGATTTTCCTCGACGCCTTAGAGTCTATGTAGTTTTCTTGCTCTTCGTCGTCGTCGCCGCTTTTAGCCTTCCTCTTGGGAGCCTTTGCGCGTAAGGGTCCCGTAGCTACTAGATCATCTTCAAGGGGGTTATGCCGTCGCCCTTGGCGGACAGCAGTTGGTGTGGTGGCCTTGGGCATATTTTCGTTGGACTGGTAAAATTGTCGGCTCGGGATGATGAACTCAAGTATCACGACGTGGGGCGCAAATTAATTCTGTGAATGAATTTCCAAAAGAAATTCAAAATTTTTGAGGGGTGAGCGGAACTAATTCCGCCAAGCCGATTAGCGGATTAGTTCCCTCGAGGCTCAAGCTGAGGTCAGCTACGGTACGTACCTCTAACCAGGTGCTTTTCTTATCAATCACTTACATAATTACCTTATCGGTGTCTTACGGAATTAAAAAAAAAGTCTGAGCATAATATTCCTTCGGAAAAAAAAGAAAAAAGGAAAAAAAAAAGGCAAAATTTTTTCAACCACATCATGATGTGGAGAAAGATATAGCACGGCTAGAAATGCAAAAATAATGTCCTGGGTGAGGTTCGAACTCACGACCTTTGGATAGCCCAACCTATAGGTTGAATCATAGAAATTCATAGAATTATATGAGACCAACGCTCTGACCAACTGAGCCACCAAGACTTGTTTTCATCTTTTCAGAACTGAGAACCTGGTACTCCCGGAACCGCCAGAATTTGAACTGCCAGAATCGGAACTGGTAAAGATCCGAAACTGAGAAGTTGTATCAAAGAAATAGCTGTGGAAGTTTCCAAGGTGTTGAATGAATGTTTCAGAATTATCAAAGTTTATATCTTATACAGAAGTTGCGTCTCTTGATACTAGGAGGCTAAGTGGGGCAATCTCTAAGGTACCTGTCTGCCGGTTTCCATGTTAGATCTGAGACCCATTTCAAGATATACATAACCCCGGCTAAATGCATTTGATATTACGGATTTGTATGGGTATACGCATTACACCAAAGAAAAAGAAACCCACGTCATTTTTGTTAAGCCCCTCCATAGAGCTACTCAAACCCCTCCAACCCTATCCCGTCGCAAAATTCTTAGTTGATAAGAATCTACCTCCTAACTCATAACGAAAGAGACACTTAGGTTCGACATTTTATCTATATTTTAAATTATTCAAACATTTCTAGGATGCCTACAGAATTAGAGGAGGTACGGTCAAGAAAATTTATATCATCTCATTCTTGCTGATAATTTGTTAGTTGGTTGGCTTTATTGCCGACCCTAAACCTGAGATTCGAGCTCTTGCGACGGAGCATCTAGTCCCCTATTCGACGTCTCAGCCCAGCATCTTCAAGGTGGATAATTCTAAGCCTATTAAAAACTTGAAGCTCTTAGTGAAAGATCATCCGGTATAAATTATTTCCCTAAGATTTGAAGCAACTACGGATCATAACTAATATTACCAATAGAAAATTGCTGAGCATGTTATAACTATACTTATCAACCTTGCGGCTGATCGAGAAATTCTGGAAAGCTTAGCTACGGACGACAAGTTCTTAGATGAGATTCTAAGACAGATAATTGTCAGTAGAGAAACTCATGACTAGCGGCTTGATCCAGATCATAGTCGATCCGTTGAACACCCAGCTGATGCATGCATTAGATCGCAACCGAACCTAACGCAAATCTCCTTTCTATGCTACTAGCAAACCTTTCAAAATGGGACTCCCTAAAGAGGTTGTTGAACAAGAAGCAGCCATCGCCGACCGAGCTTGGATCAAACGAGCTGGTTTTAAATCAGCTAGTTGATTTGTTCGTTAAAGGCGCAGACGGATCGTATAACAAGAACGCAGATTTCGACCATCTAGCTTATCTCTTTGCTGATCTAACAAAACATGCCGAGGTCCGGCACTTTTTTGTACGGAAGCAAGAATATGATGGGGTGATACCTATCACAAAACTGAAGGTCTTCACTGAGTATAAGTCGAGCGTCAGGCGAAAGGGAGTCGCTTCTACTCTAAAGAACGTCGCTTTTGATATACCTTCACATCCACTATTCTTATCGGAGGATGACATTGATATCTTGCCATATGTGCTGCTACCGATAATGGGGAACGAAGAGTACGACGAAGATGAGATGATGTCAATGCTTCCCGACCTTCAGCTTCTTCCTCCTGATAAACAGCGCGATGACGACCCGAACATCATCCAGACGCACGTCGAGACACTGTTGCTTTTATCGAGTACTAGGGAGGGTAGAGAACAGATGCGTAACGTCAAGGTGTACCCAATCATTCGGGAAACCCACTTGCGTGTTAACGATGAAGGCGTTCGAGATGCCTGCGAGCGGTTAGTTCAGGTTCTAATGCGTGATGAGGAAGATCCGGATAAGGTGGATCGTGTCAAGGAAATTGGACAGGACGACCAAGACGGCAACGAAGAGGATGATGACCAAATCGTCGAGGTGTAGATCACACAGCACGCGCGAACTTATTGATACCCTATTGGTAAAATTGACCTATGCCTGCTGATAATTATTAGAGCCTATGGGGTTATTCGAGCCGTTTGACTACTTCTATCAAAACGGACACTGGTGGCCTTCTGAAATCAAGCCGCTCAGCTCGGATTCTCTAGTGGGTACACTGCGTCAAGATTATATGAGGTAGCCATAACCCTCTGGACTTCTTGGCTAATGTTATGCCCTGAAGCCGAGAGTTGTGGCTGACAGGTGGGAGGGTAGCATAAGTCACACCCACTCTAGATGGGTTCCGTTGCATCAGCCAAGGCGAATCACGCGGTGTTAGTCCGTCGTCCCTAGTTCCTTGGAAATCATAGCCCTCTAGAGTAGAGGGCTTATCCGAGCAGGTGCAGCAGCTAGCGTCAGACTTTCAACACGAATATAATACCAAAGTCGATACCGAGAACATTCTCAAGAAGGCGACCTCCACGTGAAATTTTGTTAAAGGTTCTAGCTACCCGCTCAACGAAAATAGTAACTCGATTAATCCACACCCGGGATAGTATCCTGTATCCAGCACGTCTAAACGCTGGGTCCTCGTAATTTCGAGGGTTGAGTAAAGCGGATCTGTGTTAAAGCAGTCTTCAAGATCGAGGGCTGAAAGCTAACAAACTCTTTTGTCAACGTGATTGGATTTGGCTATATGTAGGCCTTAATGTTATGAATCCTGAAACTTTTTTGTTCTACATACCCGAGAGGGAGCCGTCAAGTCATTATCGTAAAGGCTCGGAACGCTCAAAGATCGAGAGCGTGGACGAATTCTAGCACCTGATTGGTTCAACGGCAACCAGCTACTAAATATACAGAAACAGCTCTTACTCATTAGATGTTGCTAAAAGGCTATTTTAGTTAACATCTATACGATCCACTTGCGATTTGAAGCAAGGTCGGTCAGTCGGACAGTCCTGATATCTGCTCACTTGCGGAATCTGGTCTGATGGAAATTGAGAGCATCGAAAAAGTGTTACAAATTTTTAATAAAGCCGAGCCCAAACGAGACTACCCTAACCGAGGACCCCATCGGATACGTGCATGTAGGTTCTAGGGATAAAAACTTATAACATACCTACAATGATATGTTGACATAATTACGGGAATGGATAACAAGCATTTCTTACCGTCTTGTCGTCAAGCCTTGGTCTCTTAGTAAAGTCTTGTTTCGACTTCCTGATAGCTTGGCGATGTTTAGATCGATGTTGCCATAGGACTAAAATGGTTTATTTCAAAGGGATGGCGGTTGTAACATCAATCTACTATGTATGTGCATACAATCCCAATCCCAATCCCTTAAAGATCCTTGATGGGGCGTAGTGCATGCGAGGCACCATATGCGAGTTGCCCCATAATTACAAGGATTATAAGGAATACAGGGATATCACAGGGGATATTCGGAGCCCTTTACCTTTTTACCTTTTTTACTTCCCTGGCCGCCATGCCGCGACCGACCCGAATAAAACCCCACTAATTTACGAATTGAGGCGTCCTCCAGGGTTCTAACAAACCTTGACGAATCAAATCGTCGGAGCCTCAACATGTGCTCTAAGCTACAACTCTAATTCGTCTTCAACCACCAACGATATTTGCTCTGATTGGTTAGAGTTACTACTTATTCAACCTTTTTCAACATTTTCAACCTGCCACCCACGACTGCTAAGCCGCTAATATCGAACATCTAAAAGCTTTTCATCAGCCTAGCCTCGTTCCCGCGTGCATCAATCATGAAGGCGTAGTCAAGAAAATCGTCAGCTTCGGTTCCCCTTCGATTTAGCTTCTATGCATTGGGGTACCTCGACGTCAAAAAGATTTCGGTCCTTTTGGACGCTAAGCAGTATGCCCTTTGAAAACGTGCGCCCTTGGAGATCTACCATCTCGATTCAGACGTTTGTCCGCTAGGGGCCACACAGTCCCATGTATACGGAATACAGTCAAGTGTCTCCGTAGCTGAGCAATAGTCAAGACCAAATCTCACCAGTCTCGTCTGATACTCCCACGCAACGAATCGTCATCTTACGTGAAGATAATTGGCATATTCGCCATGTCTCTAGCCGCATTAGCATTTCGCGAGAAACAAAAGTAACCCAAGTAATATACAAGGAGAATCAAGGAAAGTAAAGTCTACGTATTCGCAGGCGCACTCGAGTCTGCCCAGTACATCAAGTATGATGCAAAATACCAGTGGTCCTTCTTATATATATTACTATGTGTAATAGGTAGTAGTTGGAGCTGCTTGGGGACACCGACGTAATGGGAGAATCACTCAAGTCTGGTCTGGTCTACAATATTGCACCCACATTGCAGAGTTACTGATCCATGCAGCCTGCCTTTTTATCTCATGTTAAACAGACTACCAATAGGCGTAGAAGTCCCGGAGGGGCCGCCCGGACTGGTGGGATTGTAATGCCTGGGTTCCCGTCCTACCTCTGCGTCAAGCGTGAAGTGTTAAGCATTACATACGGCCTATCCTCCCACCTTGTATATGTCCTTAACACTTGTATGTATGTACGTACGTACATCCCGCATGTTGTTGGTTAGCTGACTCGGTGTCCCCTGTCACAAAGAACTTAACATTATGTAAATCGCGGCCTACCTATAACTAGGATCATAGATTGGTAAGAAAAGATACAAAAGCATAGCACGTCCCTTCAGCTACAGACAAATTTACTTTTTTGGTTTCTGCTGTCAGCATCAAGTCCCTATCGGGTGACAGGCCCTTCCCTTGCTTCCATCTACCTATCTATTGCCTGCTTATTTTTTCCCTTCGCGCATAGATTTAGAGAACCTTAACCCTTGACCACCCAGATCAGATCGATCACCACAGAGCACGGACAACAGACTGCGCTCTCCTCATCCCGCAACCATGGCTGACGCCGCGCCCGATACGGCGAATCCAGCAGCATTCACCTCAAAGACTTCAGGCGGCAACAACGCTTATCACAACTTTCATAATGACTTCTTGCACATCCAAGATCCTAACGAACGCCGTCGTCTCGCGCTCGCTGAGATTGACAAGGCTCCATTCGGGTGGTACCATGTCAGGTAGGCATCCGTTCCCCGCGTTGCGGTAGTTACCTAGGTAGTAAGTGCTGCAAGAAAGCTAACTAGTTGGGATTGCAGGGCTTGTATCGTCGCCGGTATTGGTTTCTTCACGGATTCTTACGACATCTTCGCCGTCAGCTTGTTAAACACCATGCTGGGAATTGTCTACTATCCGGAGCTGGGTAAACTGCCTAACTCTTCTGACAATGCTATCAAGCTGTCGACGTCCGCCGGTACTGTTGTTGGTCAATTAGTTTTCGGTTGGCTTGCGGACCACGTTGGACGAAAGCGTATGTACGGTCTTGAGTTGATTATCATCATCTTCGCAACTCTCGGTCAGGCCCTTAGCTCCGGTTCTCCTTCGGTTAATATCGTCGGCCTCATCATCTTCTGGCGTGTCATACTCGGTGTCGGTATTGGTGGAGATTACCCGCTATCCAGTATCATCACCTCCGAATTCGCTACCACAAAATGGCGAGGAGCTATGATGGGTGCCGTCTTTGCCATGCAAGGTATCGGTCAGCTTGTCTGCGCATTCGTCATGTTATTTGTTACTCTAGGCTTTAAAGAAGCATTATCCGTTGCACCGACTACCACTCAATGTGACGGCTACTGTGCTATCGCCGTCGACAAGATGTGGAGGACTCTGATCGGTTTCGGTGCTGTCCCAGCCTGCATTGCGCTCTACTACCGACTAACAATTCCCGAGACTCCTGTAAGTCATCTATACTAATACATGATAGATAGGATTTTCTGACATTAGCGTTAGCGTTACACCTTCGATATTGGCCGCGATGTCGAAAAGGCTGCCGACGATGTCAAGGCGTACATATCTGGCAAGCGGGAGGGTCACCCTGACGACGTCGCCCGTATCCAAGCTCGCGAGGCTGCCCAGGCCCAGATGACCATCCCGAAGGCGAGCTGGAGCGACTTTTGTCGTCATTATTCTATCCCCAAGAACGGTCTGCTCTTGTTCGGCACCGCTGGCTCGTGGTTCATGCTTGATGTAGCCTGTAAGATACCTTGAGGTTCGATTAAATTTCGAAGAGATAGGCTAACAATTGAATGTAGTCTACGGTTTATCTTTGAATAATGCCGTTATTCTAGAAGTTATCGGTTATTCCACCGCTACCGCCAAGAACGTGTACGAAATATTGTATAATACAGCCATCGGTAACCTTATCATCGTCCTGGCCGGTGCCGTCCCGGGATACTGGGTTTCAGTTGCCACGCTCGACACGCTCGGCCGAAAGACCATTCAGATGGGTGGCTTCATCATCTTAACCATTCTTTTTGTTATCATGGGTTTTGCGTACAACCACATATCCAGCAACGGACTACTCGCCATCTACGTCCTCGCGCAGTTCTTCTTCAACTTTGGTCCCAATATGACCACCTTCATCGTCCCCGGCGAGGTATTCCCCACCCGTTACCGATCGACCTCGCACGGTATCTCGGCCGCCTCCGGTAAGATCGGCTCCATCATCGGCCAGGGCGCCATCTCCACCCTTCGGACGCACGGAGCCTACCAGGGCCACCCTGACCCTTGGATGGACCACGTGCTCGAGATCTACGCCCTGTTCATGCTCCTCGGCGTCTTCACCACTTTCTTCATCCCCGAGACCAAGCGCAAGACCCTCGAGGAGCTCTCGGGCGAGGATCAGCCCGCGCGCCCGCTGGCTGCCGAGGCTACTAGCCAGAGCAAGACCGCCGAGTCTCTATAGTTTTTTTTCTTTACGAAGTTTTTGTGCACTTGTTCGCGGATTGGCCGTGCTGCGGCGATGCTCTACGGAGACTATTGGTATGCCTGTCATGCAAACGGGGGCGGTCTAATCGGCATACCACGATGACACTGATACGAACAACATATGGCCCCTTGTGTTTTTGTATCAATATAGATTAATATACCCAGTTCAATCATTACCTACCTTTTTTTTCTTGTTCGTCTAGCTAGCTCTGGTATAGCAATTTTTATACAAAATTTTACTTACGAGTGGTTATGACCCTTATGTATGTGATTTGTTAATTGTCAAAAAAAAAAAAAGTCTCTGAATGGAAAAATAATTTTGAGGCTAGTAGGTAAGTAATAGATTATGTATAGTTGAGTCTATGTTGAATATGATTATACGTAAAGTCAGGTACTATTGGTAAAGCCACTCTCCTATCTGTTGTTTCTATGGAGTACTACCGGTGCTTTCACTTCATCTTTTGCAACTAGAGTTTGGGTTGTTATATAAATAACTAAATAAAAACTGCCAAGATTTATTTTATACGGCTGTTACGTCCACTTTAGTTTTATCTAGGTACCATCGAATTAGGCTTATAACACCATTTAAGACGTTTCAAACCGGACACCGTAATGTGTAACAAAAGAGAGAGAGAGAGAGAGAGAGCAGCAACACTCACAGAAAGCGACGTAGTCTTTAATATGCTTGGCCTTGTCAAACGGTGCGGGATAGTACCACGCGGCATTCGCAAGCTCCGTATCTGTATATATGTAGACGCAATGCCGTCAGCCTGTGCTGTGCTGTGATACCTGACCGCTCACATTTCCCCGTTAGTTAGGTTAGATCAGGTATGCAGACGTACCCCCGACTTTGATGGTGTAGTAGTCGGCGTCGCCCTTCCACCCGCAGTGCGTGTGCAGGTCCGTCTTGCTGAAGAACTCGGGCTTGAGGGATGCGGGCGGGAAGTACACGTTGCTCTCGACTAGCTCGTAGGTCTCGGACTCGGCGACTACGGTGTCGTTGACGGTGGCTTGGACGTGGCCGGAGGGCATGGTTTGGGTTTGTTTTTAGGGTTCTTGTGGAAGCTGGTGGGTAAGGGAAGGGTTGGAGGAGTGTAAGTAAAGTAAGAGGTAAGATTGGGCTAGGAAGAAGAAGAAGAAGAAGTGTTTATATGTGGTAGTGGTATAATAACGGTGCTGCATGGCGCTATATTATTATATCTACATGTATATAATACATAATGCGGTCATTAAAGATTACCTAGTAGGTGCTTCTCTACTATATTGCGGGGTAGTCAGCTTCTAGAAGGATTCTGTCACTTTTGTAATAGAGGAGTTGAATGGTAAAGATGGGATTATAGAAGAGGTACTTCGTACTTAGATACATTTTTAGTACTCTACTATATGCATCAATGGAGTATTTTTACTAAAGTGAGGTTGTGGGGTATAAGAGTACCGTATGCATACTATACTAAAATGTCTATATTCACTGTGCACTATAAAGAGCAAAAAGAGTAAAGAGGCCCGGCTAGCTGGTTCCACTAGCGAATAACGGTCAACATATTTCCAAGAGCCAGCATCTAAAAACCCCGCTAGATTTTCTCCCGACGCCCGAGACGGATCCACGCTGCTCCACCGTCTCCAGGCTTTCTCCAACCTCTCGGCCTTCGTTGCGACGCTAGAGGCTAGTCGCTTGTTCCGCTAACGAACCGAACGTCGGCAGTATTTAATCCTGTGAGAGCCTCAGTGGCTAATTTTATTTATTTAATCTTTATTCAATGTAAACATTCGGTGTGTCGCATTGATTGATTTTTGAACTTCTTACGTCTTTATTAATCTCTTAACTATATATTGTACTATCATTGTAAATTATCATCCCCGCCCCCCCTATTGAATTACGCTTTACTATATCAGGAGACGTGGTCTAAGTACGTCATTAAAGGAATTACTTAAAGCGAGCAAGCGATGGCGCTTTCAGGAGTTGAAGTTGCTAAGCACGACAGCAAGGAGTCTTGCTGGGTGGTAATTCATGTAAGTTGGTTAAATACAGAGTATCTCCCGCGAGGAATCCAATATCTCACTGACTTTAATATCTTAGGGGAAAGCCTATGATGTCACAGAATTCTTACCTGGTTAGTAGCTCAAAGCATTCCGTATATTAAAACCACGAAACTAAACTTATTTATAGAACATCCCGGTGGAATGGGTATAATCTTGAAGTATGCGGGTAAAGACGCGACTGAAGAATTCGAGCCTATACATCCCCCGGATACCTTAGACAAGTATCTGGACAAATCGAAGCATTTAGGACCTGTTGATTTGAAAACTGTTGCCAAGATCCAGGAAGAAGAGGATCCCGAGGAAGCTGAGCGGCAACAACGTATTGCGGATAAGCCGCTATTATCACAATGCTACAATTTAATGGACTTCGAATCAGTTGCTAAAAAGGTTATGAAGAGAGGTGCTTGGGGATACTACTCTAGTGCCGCCGATGACGAGATAGTAAGTTCTTACTCACACATAGACTACGTGAACATATCCTAACCGAATCGAACAGACGCTCCGAGAAAACCACGAGGCCTTCCACAGGATATGGTTTAGGCCTAGGATTCTAGTTGACGTCAAGAAAGTAGATTTCTCAACTACTATGCTCGGCGCCAAAGTCGACATTCCCTTTTACGTCACGGCAACGGCGCTGGGCAAGCTCGGACACCCAGAGGGCGAAGTGATATTAACCCGAGCCGCCAAGAAGCACAACGTCGTGCAGATGATCCCCACGTTAGCCTCATGCTCGTTCGACGAGATCGTAGATGCGGCCAAAGGAGACCAGGTGCAGTGGCTGCAGCTGTACGTCAACTCGGACCGGGCGATTACCGAGCGTATCGTCCGACACGCCGAGAAGCGCGGGTGCAAGGGGCTATTCATCACGGTCGATGCGCCGCAGCTGGGCAGGAGGGAAAAGGACATGCGGACCAAGTTCACGGATAAAGGGTCCAACGTCCAGTCCGGCCAGGAGACGGATAACTCGCAGGGTGCGGCGCGCGCTATTTCGTCGTTTATCGACCCTGCCCTCTCGTGGAAGGATATCCCGTGGTTCCAGTCTATTACCAAGATGCCCATCGTGCTGAAAGGCGTGCAGCGCGTCGAAGACGTCGTCAAGGCTATCGAGTACGGGGTCCAAGGAGTCGTGCTGTCGAACCACGGCGGTCGACAGCTAGATTTCGCGCGGTCCGGCGTCGAGGTTCTGGCGGAGACGGTGCCGGTGCTGCGGGAACTAGGGCTAGAGGGCCGCATTGAGATTTTCGTAGACGGAGGTGTTCGCCGCGCCACAGACATCATCAAGGCGCTGTGTCTAGGCGCCAAGGGCGTGGGTATCGGTCGCCCGTTCCTATACGCCATGTCGGCGTACGGCATCGATGGCGTCGACCGCGCCATGCAGCTCCTCCGTGATGAGATGGAGATGGCGATGCGGTTGATTGGGTGCACCAGCGTCGACCAGCTCAATACGTCGCTCCTCGATACGCGGAACCTCGGTAGCCATGTTACGGGTGTGCCGCGAGACCACCTCGGTCATAAGGTATATGACCCGCTCGTTACACCGGCGTTTAAACCGCCTAGATCGTCCAAGCTATGACTTGACTTGGGGGTGTGTGTCTTATTTCCTTGAAACGTTGATGATGTTCGTACTTATTTAGGATATGCTTGCGTAGCATCTATTTCTTGTCGTGTGGGTTTTCGGATATACCAGCTTGGCTTGTATGCGGGTTCAGATTGTATATAGATACATGTATGCTTGTGGCAAGACGGCTGTGAACTAAATTTAAATTTATTATTTAGCCCCTTTTCTTGGTATGGCCAATGAGTCTGACTTGTTAACCTATATTATGCCACTTATCTTATTTGACCTGGCCTCGCCTTTTTCATCTTGGACGTTTCACCCTTAAACCATTATATTTCATCCTCCTTGAATCATGGCCGTCACAATTTGTCTCGGAGATATTAATTTGGTTACTCGTGAGTGGCGGGTTGCATGGTTTCATACTGGATATTATTATCCTCGCTTCTGTGTATTCTGCTTTTCTTTTTCTTATATTCGTTTTTGGGGGAATGGAGGTTTATAATTATTCATATAACTATATCTCAATAATAAAGCTCCTATCCCGCCTCGGAATTATTTGGTATGGACCATCTTCGACAACAGGCTCGGAGCCTGTTCCTTCACCGCGTCAAGATTCGTAGCGACGAATGCCAAGTATTCGAGATCTGGGGTTCGGGCGGCACGGTAATCCATTCCGAAAGGGCAATGCCTACGAACGAAGTGCCGGCATATCTTAAACACTACTCGGGAATGCCGGTTTTCAAGCTCGTCCAGTTTCCAGTTAGGATATTTTATAAATCTCACCGGCTGCCATACCAAGAGCTGGCTTGGGTTCCGGATATTCTTACCGACCTGGGCATCGAACCGTATATGATCGGACTGTTGACACGAGGCCTGACGATGTTCGAAGCGGTGGAAAAGGAGAGCTGCGAGTTAGGGAAGGTTCTTAGTATATTTATGAATGGTATTGATTCACGTATGTTAGGTAAGTCGATGTTATATATAGCAGGCTCTAGCGTGACAATACGGCTCGGAGTAACCTTCTTTGAATATGTTATGCTCGAAGTATCACACCCACCGCTGACCTACGTGCTTTTTAAAAAGTAAAAAGGGGAGTCATTACCGCTAACCATGGTATTACTAGCATCTTATAACTTCGCTACGAAGTCTACAACCTGTCTCCTGTTTACACTAGAGGAGAAGGGCTCGAATACACAGTATGAGTGCATGGCGAAATTCCTGAGGCAGAGCGGTAGTCTTTATCAGAGTAGCTGCTTCTTACCGCTGCTCGTCTTGACGGACCATGTAAGCCTCGTCCTAGACGGATTTGGCACCTTCTTCGGCTACGATCTGCAGCACGTCAAGGAGACGAATCTCCACGATTGGGAGACTTCCCGAACAAAGCTCCGGTGGGCTAAACATTATAATCACCTAGCCCGCGATATCGCTGGCTACCTGCGGAAAAAGCTGGACGAAGATGCGACGGCGGGGACATCAACGTCGCCACAGGATATCGCTATCCATGCCGAAATAAGAGGCGCATTAGACGTGTTGGAGCTGACGATTAACCCGGCTGCTCGGGGTATTGAATGGCATTTGCAGAGGAACGAGGACCACATGGGACAAGTAAGCACCCTCAGCTTATCACTTGGTTTAGCGACGTCTATAAAGTCCGAAATGACCATCTAACAAAGACGTCGTTTCAGATATCGCGTAAAATGATGCGGCAAGACACAATGGCTAGTATCAAGCTGAGCGGGGCCAGCATCGAGCTGACCAAGAGGGCGACATTTGATAGCTCGTCAATGAAAGTGATTGCGGTGATGACGATGGTATTCCTACCGGGGATGTTCTTCGCATCGCTATTTTCGGTGCCGTTGCTCCACTGGGATTATGAGGGTGTCGTGGGGGATAACTTTTGGGTGTACTGGGCATTTACTATACCGTCGACCGTGCTGATTGTTATCTTGTGGCTTGTTATTACGCAGCGCAAACAGATGAGAGGGTTGTTCGACGTGGGGAAGTATTGTGTTCATGAGATAGTTTATAGTAGGTGAAGAGGGGTGGAGGTGTGTAAATTGTAAATTATAAATGAAGAAAGGTAGAATGTTGGTGTAATACGGTGATTATGAAATATCAATTTGATTGCGTATAGTACGGGTATTAAGTAACTGTCAAGTAGTGCGTACCATGTGACTCCAACTGTATTGTACACATGGATATGAGGTCACATCTCTGCGAAACTTGGATTATTTAACCTTTTCCTATACAACATTTTCCACAAGACGAGACCAAGATTGTAAAAAAAGAAAAGAATGGACATCGCCATCTCATATTTGTATCATATCTTAGTAACTTAAGTACCTAACCTAATCTAATCTTTCTAAATTCACTTTACCATGTCAAAACTTTTACCTAGCACGTTTCTTTTCCCAGGTGAGATTGATAGGTAGTAAGATTGGCAAGATTGGCAAGATTGGCACTATGATTAGCACCTGATAAAAAAGGCCAATCCCGGCTTATCAAAGCTTACCCCAGACCATCGGATTCATACATGACGTTAGACAGGGTGTGACCTTTACACGGCTGCGTGACGAGTCAGCACCGTCTTATTCGCCGGAATCAAAACCAGTCGAATCAAAGCTCCCGAGGTTTAAAAAGAACCACTTGAACGAGCCTCAAAAAAGATCCTTGTTGTGTAAACAACACCTACAATTCTCACCCATAGCCGGTTATCAACAATAACTTTTTATTACCTATCTACCTGTCCAACATTGTATCCGTCGCATCGAAATTATTCGTTTTTATTACGTCTACTTTCCGACCGTGATAAGAAATCCCGATATAGACGTAGCACGGCTTAAATACGACACACGATACACGACACACACACAATACAAGTGTCTCAGTACAACATCATTAATCTATCGTTCATAACCACCACTTTCGAGAAGGAGCATGACGATCCAGACCCGCAACCCAAACTTCCAGAGCCGAAGTCATTCATCCTAGCATTTTCTCCCCCTAGCCTCCCCTTCTAAGGCTCCCCAAGGCTCCCCCCAGGTTCCCCCAGCTTTCCAAGCACCTGCCATCCAAGTGCCCAGCCATTACTCGCATAATCCTCCACTAAACGAAACCTTCCCCAGTGGTTCCATCCTAATATATATCATATATTTTCCGACTTGACTCAACTCTAACCTGGGTTGACCCTCCATTACCGTAGTTTGACTACACAACATGTCTTCCCTCGAGGCCAAGATCGTCGTCCTCGGCTCTCAAGGCGTAGGTAAGACATCGTTAGTGACGCGGTATTGTAAAGGCGCCTTCAATCCCGCCCAGAATACTTCTACCGTTGGCGCTAGTTTTATGACCAAGAGGGTCTTAGACGGTGACACCGACACTGTCGTTCGATTACAGATATGGGATACAGGTACTACCCTAACTCTCCATTTGTTACTTGTCACTTATATTATATCTTAAACTAAATAAAATATGGAAGCTAATCTCACATAACTATAAAGCTGGACAGGAACGATTCCGTTCGATATCGCGGCTCTACTACCGCGGAGCTAACGCCTGCATCCTTTGCTACAGCATCACCGACGCACAGTCCTTCGCCGAGATGGGTGTATGGCTAACGGAATTACGCCGTAATCTACCACCTGATATCGTTCTCCATGTAGTAGGAACTAAAGCCGACATTGTCGCCCGCGACCCCACGCGTCGCGAAGTACCTTTCGAACGGTGCATAGCTTACGTCGCCGAGAACCTCGCTCCAGGCCTCGGATCGACACCACCGCCAACCGCAACACCCTCAGGTCTGACTGCCCTACCAATAGGACCAGGAGTAAGCCAGTCGAGCGTAGTAGTCACTCCCGCCGCGTCAAGCGCCCAGGAACCCCGTAGCCCGAGTAGTAAGCGAAGCAGCGGGTTCTGGGGCCAAGAAGTTGGCTGGGACGCATGCCACGAGATCAGCGCCGAGAGCGGCGAGGGCGTCGAAGAGGTCTTCCGGGTCGTGACGCGCAAGCTCGTCGAGCAGAACCGCAAGATGCAGCAGGCTATCTTAGCTGCCACCGCGACGCCCGGTACTCCCGGCTACGAGAGCGGCATGGATGGGGGATACTTCGACGGCGCGAATCCCCGCGGTAGCTTCCGCGTCGGTAGAGATCGTCGGAGTTGGCTATTTTCCTCCCCAAACTTCTCACCGGCCGTTACGGTGGAAAATCCCAACGCGGGCGGCGCAGAGCAGCAAAGACAAGGGGAGGAGCAAGGACGGAGAGGGAGACGCTGTTGTTGATGGCCTAGGTACCTATCTTAATGGGATTATGAGGAACTACGAAAGCATGGCCGATTCTTATTCAATAACCATCGTATCAAAGGTGGTCCTTCTACGGGCCTAGGGGGCGCTAGTCTTTTTCACATCAGATCAGATCACTGCCCGGTCTAGGCAAAAGAGGTTTCCATGACATTATATAGCCAAGGAAGGGGGGAGGGGTGATGAAATATCGTCTATCGACATCAAGTACGGCGTTTGGAAATGCATATTTAGGATTAGCATCCGGGTTCAGGTCTGGTCAGGGTTAAGTTAGGTTAGGTTAGGTTGGGCTGGTCTCGGATCCTGGAGTTTGTGTTGTATTCTTGTTCCTGGTCGCGAGGAGTATATCGATTGGTTCTTTATGAGATACGAATGGATTATGAATCGTTATCAGTTTTTTTCACTTGGTTCTTTACTGTTACTGTTGTTTGTTTGTTGGATTGTTGCTTGTGGTGCATTTGGCTGGTGATTTGCATGTGGTAATTCTGGAAAGGGGTATTGCATACCTAGGTATGTAGCTTGAGGAATAATTTTAGCGGTATGGAGTTATGCACAGCATACTTAATACGGATTACGACGAATATAATATATTCAAAGCTCGTGGAGAATCTGTACACAAGGAGTCCTTTATAAATACTAAGGCTTGATGCTAGAATTCAAATCTCGAGCTGAGTACCTAAGTAACCCATATCGTATCAGCGTTAACTCATCTATGTACATCATCTATTTCATAATATCCATCACCCCTTTACACAACGAACCTCTCATGCCGAACTCCCCTGTCCCTGCTCCTGCTCTTGCCTCCCCTTCTTCGACTTATCCACATCATCATCCACCTTCGGCAGCGCCGGTATCTCCACACCCATAACCCTGTACTCAAGACCTATATACGCATCGCTCAGAACCAAGATATCGACCTTCCTCGCTTTCCCGTCCTTATCGGGGCTAGGGAGGCGGAGAGTAGTTTTAGCCGTGGGCTTTGTGCCGATTTGCACGGCGTTGGTTTTAGCGTTGGTGTTGTTGGACTTGGATTTGACCTTGAAACCAGGGCCCTGGCTCCAGGAGACACGCTTTACGCCCAAAACCTCGTCTCGCGCGACGTCGCAGACGATGGCGAACCAGCCCTCCGTCTGAGGCTTTGGATACCGCGGAGCGTAGACGCGGGCCTCGCGCTCGACGACGGGGTTAAGGCGCTTGAGCGAGACGCTGAGGGACTGCGCCGTCACATCCTCGACTTTGATATTGACGTTGGGTAGGATGGAGGCCGCGCGGACGAAGTGGCTTTGTTGGGAGCTTGGGATATTGAGTTTCCGAGCGAGATCCTCTACCTGTGGTCGGGAGAAGCTGCTTAGCTTTTGGAGAGCAGTCTTGTTGTCTTTCAAATTATCGTGGCTGGTTCCCGGAAGGATGGATAGGGGCAGGTCTTGTGGCCAGCGAGCCGACTTGACGCACTGGAGTAGCTTGATCATTTCGAGACAGCTAGACAGATATCCTAGCTCTGTCAAAACATCAATTGACGCCTGGATGATACGAATAGCCTGGTCCAAAACACTGGTCTGATCACCGACGTAATCCGTAATAGGAAGATCGATGCGAGCCATGTGTGCTTGTAGAAGCAGGAAGGCTTTGACGTGAGGATCCCACATTGGCAAGTCGAAACTGCTACCCTCAAATGGGAGATTCTTCGATAATTCTGCATTAATAAGATCTTCGTTATGTCGGACAGGGAGCTCGTCATATTCTGTCGCGCGAGACATCCAGGATAAGACATCCAAGAAGCTTGCTTTTGGCTTTGCACTTTTAACTAGATGCCGGATCGTCTTATGCGATAAGTAGTAGTAACTCATGATCTTGCCCAGCGGTGTCGGGTCTACATCGCCATTAGGATAGATCTCAACACATTTCGAAGCAGCAAGTTCATCTAACGATTTGCTGACCATATCAATCATAAAGTCGTTCGCGAGTTGTTGGGCAGCAATAGTGTTATGCTCCTCGGAGGAGATCTCGAGACCATAGTACGAAGGATTCTTATGTAGCCGGCGGAAAAAGAAAGTCCAAGTTAGATAGTCGAGTGCATCTTGCTTAGTTGTAATCGTTTCGGCTGATACTTCAGCACACAAATGGTTGTCGAGTACGGTATGTAACGACGATTCGACTGGGAAACCAGTATGTAAGAAGTGCTTATAGAAATCCTTCTTAGAGTCTTGAGTGAAGATGCGCGCAACACCAGAGTTGTCAAATTGCGGACGACCGGCTCGACCCAGCATTTGCAATACATCCGTTAGATCCATGTCTTTGTAGCCTTCAATCTTTGCGTCGTAGAATTGTGTGCCTTTGACGACGACGAGGTGGGCGGGAAGGTTAACACCCCAGGCCAGCGTACTTGTCGCGACCAAGATCTGGATCTTATTGTTTAGGAAAAGCTCTTCGGCCAGCTGCCGATCGGATTCGACGAGACCTGCATGATGAAGTCCAATGCCAAAGTTAATGGCCTCCTTGAGTGCATCATCCTTAACCCTGCTAAGATTGAGCTGAAGATCTTCTTCCGACATATTGACGAATCGCCTGGGATTGTCTTCCATGCCACAATAGTTGATCAGGTCTTTCGCAGTCAGTCTTGTCTGCCGTCGTGATGGCACGAAGACGATAACAGGTTTATTAGGACTATGGGTTTTGATAGCTAGGAAAGTTGGCCGGTTCATAGATTGCATCAGGGGGCAGAATCCTCTTACTTCCGGGAACCCGTCGATGTATAACTCCAAAGGTACCGGTCGTACAGAGTGACGGAAGTTGAATAGACCTTCCTTTACTCCAAGCCAGTTGGCCAGATCTGTCGCATTCGCACAAGCAGTAGACATCCCAAGAAGTCTCACGGCATTATTAGTAGATTGGGCGATGTAATTCATACGAGACACGATAATCTCGAGAATCGGGCCTCGGTCACCGGCAAGCAGGTGAATTTCGTCAATGATTACAAGTGAAACTTGACGAACATATCCTCTAGTCTGCCAGCTACGAGATATACCGTCCCACTTCTCGGGTGTGGTGATAATGACATCGGCGTCCTTGATAGTTCTCGTATCTGGCGTGTTATCACCCGTCAATTCGACCAACTTGAGACCAAGAGGTCCAGCAAGTCGAGCGCCCCAGTCCTTTACTCGCTCGCGAACTAAAGCTTTCATTGGAGCGATGTACACAACCTTGGAACCCGGGCGCTCGCGGAATGCCCACCACATAGCCAACTCTGCTGCGACAGTCTTGCCACTACCAGTTGGTGACCCTAACAGAACATTCGCTGGTGTGTGATAGAGCGTGTGGAATATCTGCGATTGCATTGGATTGAAGTATTGAAACCTCTTCGCATATATCTCTTCCAAGCCTGCGTTGTTTAGGGCACTAATGGGTAGCGGTTGCAAGTTGAGTAGATCCGTATACACGCTCTCTGTATCTGGGCGAATAAGGTGCTGAAAAGAGACCGGGTTTACTGTCTCTGCTCCAAGCCATTTGTCCGACACCGCCCTGACGTATATCTGGTTTGGTAGGGGGTCCGATAGAGGAATTGTGAAATTGAGTTCATGATCATCGTAGAGCTTTCTCCTATTGAGTATGAAGAACTCGTGGTGGTAGATTTCAGACGTCTCGGAATTCTCAACCCATATATAGAAAGATTCAGATGTTCCGTGTATTTGGTCGCTCCAGGTGAATTCTGGAGTGATATAGAGCTTAATCCTCAAAACATCTCGGTTTAAAGGGGCAATCTCGGCTTCCACTGATACGAGTGGGAAATGGTCAAGAATCCTCCCTATCTTCTTGCCGGCATTTTGATTATGGACTAGACTACCAATTTCGGCATTCTCCATGTCGCGTAAAACTTCGATAGGGGTATCCTTCTCATCGATTTGGTTGAGTACCGACTTAGGTAAGTCAAATTGATGTAATGGGTGCTGGAATGGCCAGACACGTTTCTCGATAGACTTTGCGAGGGTTAGCAAAACCAGACATTGATGACCCCATCGTCGATTTAATGCAATCTGGAACAAGGCGCGACAAATTCGCCCAGACTGCTGAGCCACGTAGTTCAGATCATTTGACAACGCAAAGTCTTCCAGCTGTGCCCGAGAGATATAAGACTGCAACAGAATATTTGTCTTTGCTTGGGGCGTATCAATTCCACGACCGGGATCACAAAAGACAACATCCTCATTATGTCTTAGCTTAGTCAATTCGTCGGCTTCGCTGTCTCTGGACTGTATGTTGTCAAACTCTCCACTCTCGCTGATCATCTTTAAGTTGTCTGCTTCTGTTGCTTGAGGTTTCATTAACGTGTTGAAGATTTGTATACTTGTCTGCTGGATATAGTATTGGCTTGCAATGCGGCCAATATCTTTGCTTCTTAATTCCTCTGTGGACTCGTTGAAAATAATCATTTGACTTTGCTGCAATACTTTAGCTGCCTGGATAGCAAGCTGTCGTCGCCTCTGGACAAGATTTGGATCATCTCTAATCTCGGCCCATTCGATCCCGTAAGTCATAGGACTTCTCAGCATCCGAACGAAGAGATATGAGTAGCCGATCCATTGTACTGCTTCCGGGATGGAAGTAACAGTGCCTAGAGCAATCTCGGCATTTAAATTGTCGACTAATTTTGAAGAGAATTTTGATTCGATAGGTTGCTGCGCGGTAACTGACCGCCGGTAATGATCTAACTTGTCTTGTGTTGTACAAATCATACCAATACCAGTATCTTCAAACTGAGGCCGTCCAGCACGACCAAAAATTTGGAGAACGTCGAGGATACCTAAATCTATGAATTTTCCATCTTGTGCGCTATAGACTTGGGTTCCTTTGATAACAACTGCCGCAGCCGGTAAGTTAACACCCCACGCAAGTGTTGCTGTACAGCAGAGCACCTTCATAACACCCTCAGCAAACAGTTTTTCCATGAGGTTTCTATCCGATCGAGTCAGACCGGCGTGGTGTATGCCTAACCCCTTGGGCACTAGGTCCCTAAGCTCACGCGCCTTTGAGGACTTCATATCTCGGATGGCTTGCTCATAGTAAGGATGTTCCATAGCATCAAAAAGATCCGTACAATTGTCTTCGGTAGCTTTCTTGTGAAGCATTTTGGCGGTGAGAAGAGTATCTCTTCTAGAATGGACAAACACCATGACTTGATGGCCTTCGATTAGCATGTCTTTGACTTTTTCAAAAGCTACAGCGTCAAGATTATCTCTAGACTGCCTCGAACCAGCTTTGCCTTTAACCCCGATAAAGTGTTGCTCGAGGGGAACTGGACGAAAAGAGGCGTCGAAGTAAAAAAGACCGGCATATCTGTTGACTTTGAGGAAGTCGGCAACATCGACATAGTTTGGAAGAGTAGCACTAAGTCCAACAATGCGGATCAAGGATTGGGTACTCTCAACTTGACGCTCGGTACGCGCTACTAGAGACTCCAGAACAGCACCTCGTTCATCGTGAAGCATGTGAACTTCATCAATGATGAGCAATCGAACCTTTTGAACAAGCTCGGTATCTCCAGTACCTTTTCTTGTAACGACATCCCACTTTTCAGGGGTAGTAACGATGATTTGTGTTTGCACAATTTCGGATTTGGTAAGGTGCATATCTCCCGTAAACTCACGGCAGCGTATACCGAGCCATGCGAGACGCTTCCCTAGCTTATCGGTGATTTCCGCAGCAAGAGCTTTCATTGGGGCGACGTAGACGATCTTGAAATCCTGAGTATCAACAGCAAAATCTGTTGCCTCTGTGTTCTCAATGGGATTTGGCGTTACATATTGGCTAATCGTTTGTAATATTGTCAACATAGCCGCATCTGTCTTACCCGCACCGGTAGGAGCGCAGATCAACATGTTTTCGCTGGTTTTGTAGGCTACCGGATGGACTAGACTCTGCATCCTGTTCAGTGTCTTGTAGCCCTTGAATGTTCGCCGGCAAAGCCCGTCCATGTCGGATATCTTAATAAGTTTATGTCCAGGAAGAAGCGTACCGGTTTTCCCAGCAGGAACTATGAATTCCTCATATTTGTCATGCATTTTCCGCTCGGTACCATCTGGCATACCATACTTGCTTCCGGTATGGCTTAGGGTATTGCCTGCGTTATATGCTTTGTATATGTGCGGGTATTGGGTCTCCTTATGCATACTAGGGGCTAGAGTAGCATTCTTATGCTCAAGGTCCTTCTGTCGAAGAGCTTCATCTCTTTCAGCTTTAGTCAAGAGTCGACCAGTTGGCTTCTGTGTCTCCTGGGCGGCAAAGCCTGAAGTGATTTCATGCCTGCGAGATAACACTTCAATGATGAAGTCGAAGTCATCAAACCCAACAAGATCAGTGAGTGAGGATTGTAACTCGTCCTCGGACCGCTGAGATCCTAAGATTTCTAGAGTCTGTGTTTGGAAAACATCCGGGGACAGACCGTTCTTAGTAGCGATGTTAAAGCACTGTTCTGTGAACCAAGTCAAGCCGGAGCTTCCGCTATCGAGATGGCCATTGGATTCCTCTGGGAAATCGCTACTGTACAAGTCTTCCTCACTATCGTCTATGAAGTCCCAGACATCATCGCCACTGTTGCCTGAGGTGAGGTCTTCATCGTCTAGATCGAAGTCTAAGTCTAGTTCTGCTTGGACGGGATGATTCTTTTCAGGTAGCTTTAAGTTTTCGAGGGCAGTTTTCATGGCGGCAAACTGTTCACGCCATGTGGCTTCTGCCTCGCTCATAGAAGACGGCATTTTTGAGTATAATGATCCGTAGAGAATTTAGTTATAGATCGATCTATAAGTTGTTTGATAGATATCTCTTATACCAACTCTAAAATTCCCAGCAAATGATTTATTCATAAGCGTTTTTGATTACATATAAACGGGGTTTTGATGACTGTTACGCCGATGACTAGCTGCGGCTAAGTACAATACATCATGCAATACCTAAGTAAATCTCCTCTAGGAGGCAGGATTTAGGCATCGAAGTACCTAAACTTCCCTAACTTTCTTCTAACAACTACCTCCTAACACTAGTTCCCCAGAGTTAAAGCCCCGCTACGGACGCCACGGCCCCACCTAAGTTACTCCTATGTACATTGTTAAGGTCTCCTATGCAGGCAAGACCTAGCGGTATGCATAGAGGTACATATGTTAGGTACATGTGACAAAGGCTGTGACACCGACTTCAACTTTTAGATCCATGTCAACTTTCATATTAACTGTTTCTTGATATCATTGCATTCCCAACTAAACTTGGCTAACTTCCTTTTGAGACTGCTCCTTTAAATCTATCCTTCTATTAAGAAGAAAGTGAGGTTTTACATAAACCAGAAAATCAACTACCATATCCGTCCTACCACCAACTCTCCCGAATCCACCGTCTCTTATCTATCTGTCATCATGAAGCTGCATTACATTGGAGTACGTATATATGCGCCTCAACCGCCAACCTCGATTCACGACCACGAATATACCCAAATACCTACAAATTACATACGTGCCAACATATACTAACCAGACACCTTTACTATACAGATTATCCAGAACGAGAGCAAGCCGGGCGTTGAAATAGTCGCCGAGAAGGAGCTAAGTTCCTACTCGCGCTTCACCCGTCAAAAGTACGACCCCGATTAGCCCGCCTGCGATCCCCCTCTTCGCTTACCACACGGGTGCAAGGAAAGAGATGGTTAACTAACGCTGATCTAGCTATGGCGAATTCATGACTATGATCGCGAAGACGGTAGCAGAGCGAACAAGGCCAGGGCAACGACAAGATGTCGAGGAACAAGGTGCGATCACCATCACCATTACCACCATCCCCTCCGACACAAAGCAGGGAGAATACAAATAAATAAATACATAAACAAAACTGCTTCGAACAAACCCGGCTAAACAAAGCAACAGACTACACATTCCACGCGTACGGGCGCACCGAAGGCGTCTGCGGCATCATCATCTCGGACCACCAGTACCCAGCCCTGGTAGCGCACCAGCTGCTATCCAAAGTCGTCGACGAGTTCCTCGCCGCGCACCCGCGCTCGTCCTGGTCCGCCGGCCAGACCCTCTCCATGCCCGAGCTCAAGGACTACCTGGTCAAGTACCAGGACCCGCACCAGGCCGACAGCATCCTCAAGATCCAGCGCGAGCTCGACGAGACCAAGATCACCCTGCACAAGACCATCGAGAGCGTCCTCCAGCGCGGCGAGAAGATCGATGATCTTGTTGCTAAGAGCGATGGGCTTAGTACCCAGAGCAAGATGTTCTACCGTACGTTACGTTGCGTTGCGTTGCATTGCCTTTATTTTCTGTCTTGTTTCTACCCCGCCCACTCCCCCTTTTTGCTCTACGTATTGGGTACGGTGAAACGCTGACCTCCGTAGAACAAGCGAAAAAGCAGAACTCGTGCTGTGTTCTCATGTAGACACCCCACTACTATTACTTGCTAGCTATTGTAGCTAGTACTAGTTAAGCGACCTGGCGTGCTTCCGTCCCGGCATAGTGATGGAACTTGTATGTTGCAGGCTATGTACGGGGATGGTTATTTTATTTCGTCTATCTATATCCGTGGGCATTACTGCCCCAAGCACTTACGTGAACAAGAAAGTGTGAGTGAGCAGTCATTCGTTGGCAGGCCAGTGGGGGAAATATCGTCAAGGTAGAGAGAGAATGGGCTGAGCTGAGAGGGAACGGAGAATTACGCGGACATGGCTACATAGACATTCCCGACCGACGAAGGCGGGCTGGCTTAATACTATATGAATGGACAGACGCGTCGATACGGCATGGAGCTTATCATGGAGCGTATTATATAGGGGCATAGGTGTGTTGTGTTGTTCTAAGCCAACCAACCACCCAAGAACTAGATTCAGATTTTTGACTACCACGAAACTCGATATTGCCCCAAATTGCCCCTAATCCTACTCCCAGCTGGGTTTTCTTCCTATCTGCCATTCAACGGCTCCAGTCCAAAGTAGGGCGTCAAACGATTTACCGTCAAGGCGCATCGTGCGTCCTCTCGAATCCAACTCATACCTCTTCTTCCCCCATCTTCGTCTTTCTCTCTCTCTCATCAACATAGTAAAATGGTAGTAGATAGCTAATAGCTACGTGACAATGACGAGTCGCAGACTCTTTCCGTGATTATCTTTTTTCCTCCAAGGGGTATATTCCGAGCCAAAAAAAAAATCAATAAAATAAGTCCCCTCGCATTACCCTACAACCTGTCTATATGAATGTTAAAGTGTGTGTGTGGGTAATATCTAACGGGGAGGCGCTGCAAACGCTAGGTCGAAGAGAAGTAAAAATGCAATTTTAACAAAATAACTCCCTATAGGGTAAGCTGAAGTAGGGAATGTCGTAAGGACAGACATGAAAAATAAATACGATCCAGTTTGAACCAATGCTACGCCTGGTCCAAAACGACACGTTCACTCTTTCGATGGTAAGCCAGGGGAGACTGTGCTGTTGGCTCTTCTTCAGGAATAACCAGGGTTGGCGTTGCGGTCTTCGTTTCGGCGAGCCTCTCATTCTGCGCGATAGCAATCTTAGGAACCGGTGGCGGCTGTTTCCTAACTGAGACCTTATTTAGCGGCTTCAGCATCTTGCGCTGTTGTCTGGATATCGATATCTGCCTCGCGATCGATAGTTCGACGGGGTTCATGTTGGAACTATCTAATATATCGTCGTCGTCGTCGTCATCCTGGGACATCTGGCTTAGATGCGAATGTGCAGGTGACGCAGGGGAAGGAGATGGCTTTTTATCGCTTGTTGATGAGGATGCTGTAGTTGGGGGCGTAGTATTTGGCGGTGTTATCATTTGCCACTTGGGTTCTTGCAAGTATGAGGCTTTTGGCCGTAGAGGTTCCGACTTGACGATCTCAAACTCGGGAGAAGACGGGTCGGTCGGGGAATCCAGTATCAAACTCGATGTTTCGGAGCTGAACTGATGTTCCCTAGCAGCAGCCTGTTGCTCCCTCGCTCTGGCTAGAGTCGCAATAGTGAGTTTCTCCTGTGGATAACGATGGGCAGGTGGTCCTTTGCGAAGGTGAGAGTTCGGTTCATCGCTAGGCGGCATCTTTTGATGAGATGTAATATGATCGAAACTTTCTTTTAAAGGCGACCGAAGTTGTGCTGGAGAGGTGTTGGATCTTAAACGCGATGGTGAGTTATGAGATGTCTGTGCTGGCTTCTTAGAAGGAGCCGCAGGAAATAAAGCAAGTGATGGTGACATCCCCGCAGGGGATGACTCTCTTCTCGAGACATCATGATGCTTCCTCCCCTATTACAAGAATTAGAATGTGGAAACTGATAATGGCTTGTGTTGACTTACCCTATTATTTTCTGTAGACTCATTGGGGCCTCTTAGTTTCTGAACGGTGACTTGCCGTCGAGCTGATAATGAAGGCTGTGACTGTAAGACGCTTCCAAACATCACGCTGTATCTCTCCATCGTAATCTGAGGGATTTCAACATCTAACAGGGAACCGCTTGGAGCCGTTTTATTGTCTAACGCTATCGGTATTCTCCCGTGTGTTTCCCTACTCCTTTCTCTCAACGTCAACTTTGACTCCTGCGCCGAGATATCTCCCTGGTAAGGCATTGTTTGCGACCTGGATACAATAGGTTTATGCCTTGGCGCTCTTCGTGTGCCGACGGTGTTACTCCTCTCCACTTTCGATTCATACCGAGGTTGGGATGCTAAATCTGCCGGCTGTTCAGGTAAGGGCGTGCCTTTCTGCTCGCTCGCCTTCGAGTGCGAATGATCCGACGACTTCTTTCCAAACATACCGAACAACCTCCATTTCCCCGACTGCTTCCTGCGCAGAGATTTTTCTGGGGAATCAGCAGTGCTAACGCCAGATGCGTGTGAAGCCAGAGACACAGTTGACCCTTGCCAGGTCCTAGCCATAGACTGAGGCGTTCGCAAGTTCCCGTTCGCCGGATTCATCGTAGGACTCCCAAGTGCCATGCCAATTTCCGTAGGATAAACCTCGTTAATGGATTCGGGAGTAGGCATCCTGATAGTTGGAATATATATATTTTGTGGCTGTGATGTCCGCGGACTAGACTCTGGAGTAGGTAGTGGCCTTTGTGTAAAACCATACACCCTAAATTCCGGTCTGGCACCTGCTCTATGATTGATAAAAGAGTCGTCCCTAGAGACTCTCTTGTCATACTTAAAGCTGTTAGCTGAACTCTTCGAACTCGGGCCCCCAGAGGAGCTTGGTCTTAGTGACATATTGACTTCGGGTAGCGGCGTAGCAAGTAGAGGACGATAACATAAACTCGTGGTTGCAAACAGGTCCGGGTAACGCGTACTTCTATCATTACATATAAGAAAGTTATGGTAAGGCGGGATCTGATACACAACCCAGTCTTCTTAGAACGGGGTAGTCGGGGACGTGCGTAACGAACGCATCCGGGCTTGCATGACCCCCATCGGCGGTGGTAGTCTGGCAACGGCACTAGCCAGGTTGCATAGGCGAGAACTACGATCCCTGAGTGATTCAGGCTCCTTAAACTTTAAGGATATAAGCTTTGAATATTGAGAGACTAATGAAAAAGCGCTGATTTGCGATCATTACATACATAGACGGAGTTTCTAAAAACGGACTCAAGGAACTCTTAAAAGAGTCGATGTTTGAGTCGTCCGCCGTTTGAACGGAGGGTATGAGAAAACAAGGTGCGAGTTTCTTATGCCACTAGCAGCTGATCCTTTCGGACTCTGGGGGGAATTGATGTTATTTCCCGACATAGTACCCATTCGCATTATGGGCGGCCTACATACTACACACCATAAAGCCATCGGTTATGACACCTATAGCGGTCTGGGGAATTCCATCTCTCCTAGATAATGCTAGAATATACATAGATGTTATTGGTAGTCGTTTGAAGTTAATGGATCATGGGACGGTTTTTTTGAAGAGGGTGATCAACGCCTAGGATTCAGCTCCAGAATGCATTATGGACGGCGTCAAGGGTGACCCTTGTCTCCCTGGGTATTTTGCTAGTGACCGGGGTGTTTTTGGAATGACGCGAATGGATCCTAGGGGGAAAGGATAGAATTAGCGATGGTGTGGTGTATCAAACGCCAGCACCAGCATTGACGAGATCTTAAGCCCAGTAAGCTCATTCGTAGCTGAACTACTTAGGCTAGAAGCGCTGATACAGCGTGTCATAATAGGCAGTTGTGCTAGACATGCTAGACAGGTATTCAACCGAAGCGTCTATCAGAAGGGTTCGAGAAGGTTTTTTGGATACGGGGTTGTATTGTTTGCGGTGCGTACGTATTACCAAGGAATATTCTGAGGCAACGTTCCCCTTGGCAAATTAGCCCCCGTTTTCACCCAATGGCTCGATAGACAAGGAGAATCGACAGAGTCTCGAACGAGTTAAAGGCTCGGGGCTCAAAGCTGATTAAAGTATGCGGTGTAATTCTTTGTGGATGAGCAAGATACGGCAACGAATAGCCAAGACTAGGAAATGAAAAGGAGGCTCCTTTCATCGTACTTGCAGCGGTACATTGGATCCAAGACTGCATATTCCATATTACTACGTCGTACTTCTCCGATCTGATAGGACGGGAAGCATGTTCGACCAGCAGGGAATCTTGGTCCAACTTTCAACTTGCTAGATCCCTTTTACTTGCATCTTCCAATGGAACTGTTCATCTGCAATGGAACAATCCCCGGACCTTTTTTTGCTCATTTAAGAAAAAGTTCCAGTCAGAAGAACATCTTACTTCTAAGAATGTTCGAGCGTGTCGGCTGTTGTAAAATGAGCGATTACCAGCGAGACTAGATTCATATTAGACAAGTTGTAAACACTAGTTGAACAACGTATCACAACTTGAAGTCGATGTTCGATAAATTGACACATGGCCTTAATATTCTTTAGCAAGCTTGGCTAAATAAATTAGTCCCTCAAGTTTACTTCGTTTTTTCCTTTGAGCAATTTGCGAACAATTTGTCTAGGCTCTAAGCTAAATATCGTTAGATTAGAAAAGGGGTCTACAATTCCTTGCTAGTTTCATGATACCTAAAAAGGTAAACCCCGGTCTTTGAAACATGGAAGCTGCAAACTATCCCAGAACTGCCAGAGTCCGTCTTTAGTCTGTGCTGTTAATATGTACAATCCATCCCGCCTGCCTTACAGAACCGAACGGACCCGGGGTAATCCTTCCCATTATGTCACGTAGCACGGTTAACTTTGCCGGAGATTTTGTCTTCAACGCCGCAACTAAGCCTTGTAGTTATCACCTCAAGCACTTAAGGCTACGCTAAGGTCTGACTCTAAAAAAAATCAAGTATTATTTCGAAACGCGCGGTGGTTTCTTTTGAGGGGAAATCAACAAAGTCGATATTGATAGTTACATCGAGCCATCTTTACTTCTATAAGTAGTGTTTGCGATCCTCTCTGTCAGTGCGGCATAGAGATACGCATAATCCTGGGCGACCTGGCTTAGATCATTAACGATCGACATAGTTGATCGACCGAGACGATCTAAGTCGCATCGCTGTCCGCTCGAATGCTTAAATGGTCGACGCGGCTACACAGGGTTCAACTCGGTATCAAGGTTCCTTCGGGGACGGAACGGAGGTTGCGGCCATCGGCCTAAGCTGATGAAGAGATAGCCCACAAGTGTTATTAGAAATACTATACGTGGTAACACACGTGCCGTTGATAGAGGCTCCCTAAGAATTTATGACTTGCATACGAATACGTGTCAACGAAGCCGAAACGGCTTTAACTTAATATGAATGCTAAATTAGTATTGAATAGTTAGGTTAAATACTTATTTACCTACCTACCTAATATATGCCTGTTTTACATTCACACCTATCAGTGACGGTAAACTCTCATTTAGAGCTTTACTGGATACACCTAGCACTTTTTCGGCATGTCATATCTTAGCTATGTAAAGCGTATATGATTTCATATACGCCCTGTCATCTATTGCGAATAGTAAATAGCTAGTTATACTACTCTTGGATTCTGTATATTTTTAATAACAATGAGGTGCTGGGATCGTAGCGCAATGTGTTGATACTTAGATAATTAGTGATAAAATTGAAATAAGTTAAAAGTCTTGCCGATTTACAGTTCATAGCCCCAAGGCCAACTTACATATTACTTTATAATCATTGCCTAGGTAACTATAAGATATCGCGTTATGAGCTAGTTATCTGAGAAATATTAATGGGGTAGCTACGATAAATATTTTGAGCTAAATACAAAGGAAGAGCATAGGTACCTCTTAGTAGAGTTGTATATCTTATGCTACGGTTTACATACCAGGAGTCCTTTAGTCATCCTCCTGAGCCTACCTTGATTTGACGATGCATACACTACCTAGGTACATATTACACAAAAGAGGGGAGGTTTCCTATGATAGCTATAAGATATATAACATAACAATGACGTTGTTCTTACCGTAGTTATTCTATTAAAAGACACAAAGTTTACGGCCGCGAGTACCTAATGGGTAATGAAGGCGGTGAATAACATGTTGAGCAAATGGGTCTGACAGAGGGTGTCGGATCGTCTTCATGCGCCAAACTAACTGGCAGGGGATACACCGCTGGCGTTTAGAACCAATATATAGGAGTGATAGTGGGTTCGAAGAGCATATTAAAAAAATTGCGCCTTTCTTGGATTGGAGACAATATTTTCTTTTCCACTCGGCCGACAAACTTTTGTCGAGATAGATATGTCGGTGTATAATATAATATATTATATTGTATGTAAAGTCGATTTCGTGATTGGAGATCCATGGAAAGATGACAATAGTCAGATTGACAGATGAGACGGTGAGCTGTCTCATATAGATAGATGGTTTTACAAGATCTCGATTACATGAACATGCGCTATTTATCTTGCATAAATGTTTTTGTTTCGTGTAATACGCGATGATGAAAAGAGTTGAGTTTGTAATGTGTAATGTCACGGTAGGAATATACATAGATAACTTTTTGCTAAGTATAATCAATCGAGGACCTCGGTTCTCTTTCCAATTGGGGCCGATGTACGACGGCGGGGTGATGGGTTTTACCTATCATTATCAGCTGGCAAGCTACAGAACGTTGAGCTTAATGAGCTGTTATCGATGTTGCGTGTGGCTTGACAAATTGCGAATTGTTAGGTGGAATTTTATTAGGCCAAAGGGCGGGGAGGAATAGGGCCTGAAAAAGACCTGCCACTCAAGCTAGTTAGCGCACCGCCCCAGCGCAAATCCAAGCAAGGGTGACCTGAGTGGCCTGAGTGGGTTGACACCTGGATAATGGGCCGGCAGTGGGTTGGCGGGCAGCAGTAATTATGTAAATGGTAGGATAATCCAACCCCGAAAAAAAAACAGCCCCTCATTCATCAGACCGCGCATCCCTATTCTTTTTTCCCCTTTGACATCTGAAGCTTTAGACTGAATCTTCTCCTAAACACGCCAACTTCGCCATAATCCATCCTTTCTCACTTCCTCCTACTCTATTTTGCTTTTTAAGTCATCTGCACACCCAAACAGACAAATAACAAAGTCTAGTAACCATGTCGTGGCAAGGTAAACAAATCCCCCCCCTCCTTTCGTAACTACCTTTCAACCCCACCTTTGTTAGGGGACAGGGCTGATTCTTCGTCATAGCCTATGTTGACTCCAGGTAATTATCATCACCCGCGATCCGACAGCATCGTAGCTACACGCGATTAATGTACTGATCACTCCTTCGTAACGATAGCCTGGTCGGCAGCGGCCATATTGACAAGGCTGCTATCATCAGTGTTGCGGGTGATAGTGTCTGGGCCACTTCGAGCGGATTTACGGTATTTCTGATAACCCCTGTCTTTTATTCATCCCTCCTCGCCTAGTCGCAAACTACATAGATATGAACAATGGTATCGAGCACGTGGACGCATCATACTCTACATACCATTCATAGATAAGGGAGGAGCTTGGCTAATATAAGTCTTGCAATTTATAGATCAAGCCTGAGGAGATGAAGAACATCGCCAATATCGTAACTCAAAGTGCTGGCGCCGTCGAGAAGGCCCAAGCAGATGGTATCCACGTTGCGGGCGAGCGATACGTTGCCTTCCGGATTGAGGAGCGGAGTGTCTACGGACGACAGGTGCGTTAACAGGAAATAATTTCCTCTCCCGTCTCGTGGGCGATCTAGGAGTAGTTGTTGACTGAAATATAAAACCGCATAGGGCCGAACGGGTGTCGTTATTGTCAAGACAAAGCAGGCTATTATAGTTGGCCACTACGGCGAGGCTCACGTAGCTGGCAACTCGACCCAGACCGTCGAGGCGTTGGCCGACTATCTCATCAAGGCCGGATACTAGAGCGAGCGTGGATCGAGGAGTGATAGATATCGTGGGAGAGTAGATGCCCTAGACCGACTGGGAGCATGCTTTGGGACTGCAGAGCGAGAGAGAGAGCTTAGCAAATTTTCTGTTGGTGACATACTTGATGGGCGGCTTAGGCTGTTTCGTCGCTTCGAGACAACCATCCTCCGGGCCGTTCCCCCCCTAGATTCTGCATAGGCACAAATGACAATGGCCTTTTCTTTTCACATGTAGAAAAGTTATACAACGCTTTCTGCTCGTGGCGAAACAATTTTTTCACAACCTTGCAGGCTTATTATATCTTCTAATTTGCTTCTGGGTATCCCCGAACCTAGTTTGGCACTCCCCCCAAAATCCTCTATACTGTCATATACACAATATCATACAGAACCTCCCATTTCCGTCTTAACGCCTGTTCATGTGATCCGAAAATGTCATGGCGCTTAAAATCGTAATTAGACCATCCCTGGTAGCGTGAAATAAGGAGGTAAGTGTATAGTCCGGGCCGTAATTAGGGGCAAGTTAGTAAATAAAAGGAGGCTTGCCCCTTTCAAACGGGCAACTCGGCATTCCGTAGTCCTCCAAAGCCCGGGATACGATCGATGACAAGGCCAATATAAGGACCGACGATTGGGGCGTTTCGTGCAAAACTCGCGATCGTACCGAGGAAGTCTCCGAATAGTACCACGATGCCGTATAATTCAACACAGAACCCAATCAACGCCCATCGCATGAGGATTAACGTCAATCCCAAGAAAAAGGCCGCGGTGCCTTTAGCTTTCTGTTTTCGCGCGAAGAAGAGCAGTGTCTTCTGTGGGCCGATGATGATCGTTAGACCGATTAGGAAGAGGATCTAGAATCGTTAGAGGCGAGCGGTAGTCAGGTTGAGGAAAAGAGTAGCGTACATTGCCCATCGCAAGCCTGTGCAATCGCATGTTAGTATACTTGATAGATCGGACGAAGGATATCTATGCGCAAGGCGGGCACGTGGACACTTACATGGCTCGATCAAAGAACAGCATGACACCTCCAATCAGGAAGAAGCCACCTATAGGAACAAATAGACTATATCAGTTGCTGCTGAGGAAAACATAGGTAGCTATATGCTCGCGCATGTAAACGTAGATGCGCGGGCGCAAGAGCAAGAGTAAAAGCAAGCTGGATTACCACGTACCGCCAGAGCAGAAGGCGACCCCGATTTCTGTGCGCAGCCTCAATGGTTAGTCTATGTATGTAGTCCATTATATTGTATATAATCCAATATTTTAAAGGCTTCTAGGTCCGGTCTTACTTTGGGCGTCTGATAACCACATGGTGGGCATTTTGGAGTCGGCCGTCTAATAAGACGTGACGTATATACCTAGGAGGTAGGTATGTAAGGTCGGTAGGCAGACAGGTATAGTATAAATGGAGAAAGGGAGCCCCGTAAGCTTCGAGCTCTCTACCTAACGACGGGTACCTATTCGTGTTCGTTCAAGGGAGCGTAGGCGTAATTGGTATATCGAAGTTTTAGACCCTTTTTCTACTTTGTAAGGAAAATAATTCATTCGGTTTATTTTAGGTAGGTAAAGCTACATTGGATGCATCTGGAGACGGCGGACGGAGAGACACGAATCGCGGAATTGAAACAAGGACCCCTGGCATACCAGCTGTAGAATGTATTTGGCAGTTGACTAGCAGCTGCCAATGGGAGTATCCTGAGTATCCTAATTTAAAATCGATAAGGGAATTTTATTACTCTTCCTTTCCTGTCTTTTACAAAGTTACATATTTTCACAAATTCTTCCCGGAGTAGCTATGATAAAACTCCAGCATACCGTCAATCTGGCATGAATGATGAGTGAAATTCTAGTATATTCACTTACCACGTTAACTTATCGCTCCTTGCCTTATTTTAAGCATTGTCGGTACAAAAGCAGAGCTCAATAAAGATATTCACAGTAAGAACAAATGGTGAAAAATCAAGCTGATTGCAAATATCCCCTTTGTCAATTAAGCACTGGTGGACCAGCAATCTGAAAAGTCCTTGCTTAACAGACCACTAAGGTATCCCAAATATGATATCCTGCCGCGGCGTCCTTAGCTCACAAGCTATGGTCACTGAGATTGATCCTCCTCCATTCGATCTCGGTACCCGTCAGTCACAGGCGGAGAACAAAATCTCGTATTCCCGATCACGATTAAGCCGGAGCGTAACCTGCCATCCATCACCGAGAGGTGACTGATGCATAGGATAGGCTTGACTTTGTTGGCCGGACATTTCCCTATTATAATTACCACCTCTCTACTCGGTGACCTCTGTCGTAAAGTAAATATTTCTATGCCTTAAAAGACTCCTCCTCTTAAGCTTCATGTAAGAAGCCAAGAATTTTGATACGTCAATGGTCGGAATAGATATAGAAAAGCCAAAGTGACCATTGTTGCATTGTTTAGTAGCATATCTCGTACACCTCTCATATTGCCTATTCCCTCTCATTTTAGAATTGTATGCGCGCCTCTTGCCTCTAGATATTGCTCCGCTGCGCTCTGAGGTAGAGTCCGAATGAAGCCGAACACTTCCTTGCTGTGATACCGTAACCGACTCTTTGGGTCGAGGTAAGGGGCAGGAAGACCGGTGATATCGCAGTATCGCTTTGTGTGCGCGAGCGAAGGGGCTGACTCGATGTTTGTGTAAGTCGCGCTGGGCGCGGCCGAAACGGGTGCACCTCCGGCGCCATTAGGTCGCAGGCTCTTTTCTAGTACAAGTTTCGATAAACTACGCGAGGCTTGAGCGAGGTTCGGTTGCAGGTTCGAGTTGTTGCCACCGGCCGTCTGCTGAGCGGGCGTCGAAGAACCGCTGGTAGAAAGGCCGTCACCATCTCCCGGTGCAGGAGTGACGGTGCCGCTGTTGTCCTGCGGCGTGACAATTACAGAAGCTTCCTTGCGCGAGGCATCACCTATTATGGTCTTGATGTTCTTATTTCGTCGCTGGTTTGGTCGCCAGTGAGGGTTGCGAAAGCTCTTGTGGATGGAATGGATATCAAGCTTGTCGATCAGCTCTTGATGAGCAATCTGGGCTTCTGTGGGAGCAGCCATTGTTGGTTTAATGTTCGTGCAGATATATGAATGTCGCGAATAAGAGGTAGAAAGATGAATATGATGTGTCGTTCGATAATTCCGGTTACGTGTTTAAGATTCGATGTTGCTGCTTGCTGAGTCTTGGTTTCTGTGGATTAAGTTCTTAAGGATGATGATTGTACCTACCAACCCCAAGGCTGGTTCTTAAAACGGATTTTGAGGCGTCTGGGCCGCTGGGTAACGGGTAACATAGGTAGTACATATTTTTAGTGCAGTCCCATCGCACTGTCGTCACTTCCAACCTATGTACTTCGTATCCGTTCCATTTACATTTCACTAACAACATAACCAATAATTCATCCAACACTACCCGACTTACACTTAGATTCAAGTCAAAACTCAAGGCTAAATAAAATGGTACTATTCCTATCGCTCAATTAAATTCACTACGAAGTATTCTAATATATACCTAAATATAGGAGAGCCCTCACGAGCATCAGCAGAATCTTCTGCTATCCCGTATCATCACCAACGTTGTAAGTAACATGGCTCTTAAGCCCCGCCCCTAATTAACAAGTCCAAACGACTTATACAACGCTTATAGGAGAAACTCAACGAGTCTATCGTTGTCATGAACAAGAGCCTTCAGGAGATCAACATTCAGAACATGAACATTGAGCTCGTCGCTCAGATGTTCAAGAACTACCAGTCCAACGTGCTCTTCCATCTAGAAGGTAAGTTATATCTCAACTAAATTAATTGCATGTTGAAGCAGGTTCTAAATTCTAAACTTTGGTATAGCTACGGACAATCTGAAAGAGCCTTCATGAGATGGCCTCTCTTCAAATAGCTATGAGCATAATGAAAGCAAAGCTATATGGTAGATAGTAGATAAATGTTTTTGGCAGGTTACGTGGATGCACTGCTATGAACTCGAGCAATATATCTATATTAGGAAGCTTTCTATTTGCTTATAGGAAGACTTAATGTTATACTCATAAACCAACTAACTATAGAGCCTGAAATCTCCTAGTAGTAAAAACCCTCGTAGCATATTATTTTACAAATCCCGCACAATAAAAAGCATTCCTAGAGAACAATGGTGAAGACATCGTAGGTAAGTTACCCTACGCAAGTAAAAGCGCGAAGACGCGATATTCATACGTAAGAGCTACAATAACAGCCTTGTTAGTAGTCTTTTTAGTGAGCCCCACCAATGCTTATCGAACATCTTATCGAATGGCCTATCGAGGAGGAGCTAGGTGAGCTGTAGCTGTACAGTACCTAAGCAAGGGCACTTGTCAGCCTCGTACCTTCGAACAAGAGGTGCATACAACAATTTTACATTTCTTTCATCTTTTCATAGATAAAACGCACACTTCGCAAACTTTATCAATTAATTAATGTTTACGCATTATTCTAACACTATCCCAAAAAGAATATCTACAATACGCCATCATCCATAATAACCTTAACATGCGATACATCAGCTCTTTATAAATACCAAAGCTGCGTATTCCAATAAGATGGCGCCATCAGCGACCGACCTTCCAGCACTTCCTGTGCGACAGGAGAAGACTTATCCTCCGCCTCGAATTTACAATGTAAAGGAAACCAAGTTCGACAAGCCTACTTCCTCCCAACCAGATGGCCGTGAGGAGGCCTTAGCAAAACCTCCTGGTAGTGTCGCGATCGTCATCGACAATGGTGCGCCTTCAAAATACCCCTTATGCTATCAATATGCTAATATGGACTTATGGTTACAGGCTCATCCGCCGTTAGAGCTGGATGGTCATTCGAGTCGAAACCGAGATTCAGCATTCCACCTATTATGGCCAAATATAGAGACAGAAAGCTTGGTAAGACCTATTCGTTCGCTGGCTACGATTGTTACTCCGATACGACAGCTCGAGGGCATATCAGAAACGCTTTTGAATCTGGATCTGGCATCGTCAGCAACTGGGATGTAGAAGAACACGTACTCGACTGGACCTTTCTGAAGCTGGGCATGAACAGCGCCGATGGAGCTGTCGATCTACCCATTGTCATGACTGAGGCAGTCGCAAACTTGCCATATTCGCGGAAATGTATGCTACCCCCCGAATTTGTTCTGGCTTATAACCGGCTAACATGACATAGCTATGAACGAAATCATATTTGAATGTTACCAAGCCCCTTCACTAGCCACGGGTATCGATTCCCTCTTTTCATATCGCTACAATAAGGGACAGACGGGATTGGTTGTCTCTTCCTCTTATAGCTCTACACATGTCATTCCCGTTTTCGACTCGAAAGCCATGCTAGCTCAGGCAATCCGACTCAACTGGGGAGGATGGCACGCCGCGGAATACTTACTCAAACTCATTCGTCTAAAATACCCGGCATTTCCAGGGAAGCTCAACGCATCACAGGCTGAGCATATGATAAGGGATCATTGTTATATATCCAAGTCATACGACGAAGAACTGCGGTCATACCTGGATTGGACAGGATTAGAAGACCGGGATATTGTGATCCAGTACCCGTTTACAGAAGAGGTGATAGTCCAGAAGAGCGAGGAAGAGCTCGCTCGGATAGCTGAGCGAAAGAAAGAGAGCGGGCGACGGTTGCAGGAACAAGCAGCTAAAATGCGCCTAGAAAAACTAATGCGTAAGGAGCAGGAACTAGAATATTACAAGAAGCTACAGGAGAAGATTAATAATTCAAATAAGAAGGATGCAAAACGCCTTCTTGATGCAGAGGATATGAAAGATGAGCAGCAACTTGAACGCACTATCAAGGAATTAGACAAGTCGATCAAGCGTGCTCGGACGAAGGATGTGGGTGGCGACCCCGAGGAAGAGCAGGAAGCACCTGACTTCAGCCTTCTCGAAGTACCCGACGACCAGCTTGACGAAGCTAGCCTGAAGGCGAAACGACACCAGCGTCTTCTGAAATCGAATCACGAAGCACGGGCGCGTGCTAAAGCTGAGAAGGAAGCCGAAAAAGCACGCGCTGCGGAGGAAGAGCGAGCAGACAGAGAACGCCGAGAGAATGATCTAGAAGGGTGGCTAGAAGAGAAACGCGTAGCCCGAAATCTCACGTTGCAGAAGATGAAGGAGCGGGATCGCCTAAAGGCTGACTTAGGAAACCGCAAATCTTTAGCTTCTCAGATCCGTATGAAGTCAATTGCAAATCTAGCTTCAGATAATCCTCGAGGGAAACGCCGACGCGGTAACGACGACGATAACTTCGGCGCGAACGATGACGACTGGGGCGTGTACAGGCAAATTCAGGTGGGCGAAGGCGGCAGTGACGACGAAGAGGGTGAAGAGGATCTCGAAGGAACCCTTAAAACACTCGAAGAAGACCTGCTTCGCTACGACGAGGGATTCACACACGAACACACGTGGGAAGCGCAGAACGATTGGAACAAAAGTCTTCTACATGCGTTTATGCGTGGGCCGCGACCCTTTAATCCTTCCTCCCAGGCAGAAATACATCAGATACATCTCAATGTCGAGCGTATACGAGTACCGGAGGTTGTCTTCCAACCCTCCATCGCTGGAATCGACCAGGCGGGGCTTGTCGAGATCGCGGGTGATATACTTACACAACGACTCGGGGGTATACCAGGTCTAAACCGTAATGACTTCCTAAATGACATCTTCTTAACTGGTGGTAACACGCTCTTCGAGGGCTTTGACGACCGTCTCCGCCAGGGTTTAACTCCGCTGCTCCCCATAAACTCGCCGCTTAAGATTCGTCGCGCCGGCGACGCAATACTTGACGCTTGGAAGGGTGCCGCTCAATGGGTTGGAACACCCAGCTGGAAATCGTCTTTAGTGACGAAGGCAGAGTATCAGGAGAAGGGGCATGATTACATAAAGGTATGTTTTGATTTTCCTCTTTTTTTGTCATGACTTTTCTTCTTTGTACTATGACTGCTATCATATGTATACTTTACACAATGCTCTATGTAGCAAAGCAATGATCTACGCTATGTCGTCAGAACTGCTTTTACCTGTTCTACGTCGATAGCACAAGTCAGGAATACGATCAGCAGACAGCTCTCAGCCACGAGTGTAGATCTAAGTAACCAACACTACATTCCACCCCATTCCACCCCATCAGCGATCATCCTTACGAAAACGTGTATACAATTATCCCGTTCAGCTGATACAATACCATACGCTAACCCGTTTCCGCTTCGTCATAAATATAGGAGCACGATATGGGTAACTCTTACTCTTGAGAGCTTAGCCGTCGTTACACAAGCACGGTGCTCTTTACTGCAATCGACCTAGACGCGCTCGAGGTAACCCTCCATTCCCTTATTACCTAGCTTTCGGAGCATGTAATACACAACGTGGCACGTGGGTATATTATAGTGGTACCGAAATGCTTACTCACTTTATCTACGCTTGCCTCCTTTTCTGCAATATCACAGGGGATACGTAGGTATTTGGATGAAACGAAAGGAATGTATGTATGTATAATATTATCAGACTCAATAGTAGGCGATGATACTAGGTTAATTAGTTATCCCTACTTAGTTGAGTGTCACAACTGGGACCGGGAAGACGGAGAGGATGAGGATTGATAATGGGCAGATCCCGTAATCACTTACGGTACTAGCACTTCGCAGCATTGGCTATCTGGCTCTATGCCATATACCATATGCCCTCTTCCTTCGGGCTTGCACCTACGCTTTGTACCACGCGAACGGATAAGGATGGATGGATACCTTAGGTACCTAACCTAACCTTGGTATCTTACCTTCTTACCTTTATCCCTACCTACCTACCCTTACCACTTTCCCACCTATACCCAACAAACAGATACAACATACAGATACTACGTTAGCAAGCACGCCCACATCTGACGATGACGATGACGATGATGGAGAGGGCGGGACGGAGCAGGGTAATAATATGCTATGCATACTTTATGTAGGTACGGTACATAGGCGCAACGCCAAAAGAAAACAAAAATAAAATAAAAATAAAAACATGCAATGGGCGCCTGTGCTCGGAAGTACTATGCGATCGATTATACATACTACTCCTACTATAGTTCTTCATCTAGATCGCGCGCCCTTCCATTCTCCAATTCCAATTCGTATACATACCTAGCTTACCTAGGTAGATACCCAAATATTAGTACTTAAAGTAAGTACCTACCTACCTACCTAACCCAGGTATCTCAAGTACTATAGTTCGCTTCGGACCGGAGGTAAGTAAGTGATGCTTAGGTAAATACGACACATCAACATCCAACTTAACTAATACATAGCGTGGTTTGTCTTTGCGAAGCGGTCAGGATTAGTCCCATCCATCCATCCATCCATCCGTCTGCATGCAGAGTTTGGTTCGTGCTACTTAGCCTAGGTACATAGGTAGTAGATACATACATACACACATACAAGGTAGATAGGCGTTTACGTCCGCGTCTACGTCTGCGTTTGCGGTTGGGGTTGGAGTTACACGAGAAGCGCAAAAGAAAAGAAAAAAAAAGAATGCGCTTAAGTTAATTAAGTAAGAGAAAAGGGAAAAGGGAAAAGGGGGGAAATATATTCCTATCAAAAAAGGCATCACGAGGTATGATAAGATATGTCAAAATGACCAGTAGAAGGCAATATTATTATTTCATCAGTAAGTAACAAGGCTAGCTCGCATCATAGCCCTCCAAACGAACATGTCTCATTAATCGGGAAGGGGAGATGAGACTATTCGTTGGATTCGCTGTGATTTGACTTGACTGAGGCCTCGCCTGCAAATGCTCTGTAATTAATGTCCACATTTCTTGAGTCTCGACCTTATGCTGTTGCGTCGGTCTTCTGCTCCAACAGTAGGGGGACCTTTCTCTTGTAGCCAGACACGTTCGATGCTTCGAACTCTACCCTCAGACCAAGACTTCCTATCGTCTCGCCCTTTGTATCCCCAAGCTAAGCCAGGGGATTCGATGATAACCATCTATAGCCATCATAAAACATCAATTGCGGACAACCGTCGCAAGTATGGCTATCGCAAACCAAGGTATGATGCTCTCGAACGCCTGATCCGACCAATTCTTCGAAACCATGCGAGTCCATAACGCCACGATATGACAAATAAGAAACGAGGCTGGGGATCGCAACCTCTTATTTTGCCTCCCTTAGCTCCGTAGTTCCCAATCACCCACCACCCACCCATGGCGACGCGTTTTGATCCCCATAAAATACGTGCTCGCCCCCTTTCTCGTCGGATTCGGAAATATTCACATTTCCTTGGGAATTTCTGGGTTCGGGATAAATATACTGCTCATGGAAATCTTCTGTATGTTGGGCTCCTTCGAGGTCGGTATCCAAACCTCTCTCCTGAGATGACTAGGCTCGCAGGGATGAGGGGGCCGGTCCTCCCTCTTGTTGGAGCTGCCTGCGGATTTCCTCGGCTGTTTGCGAGTCCTCGGTAGACTCCGACTTATAAGCGGGTTTCGTATACAGACCATCCGCCGAAGGCTCTCTAGCTCTTAAGCCAGCTACTGCTGCCGCAACGTCCGCTAGAGTTCCAGCATTGGTATTATTAGGACCGGGCTCAGGAGCCGTGGTCGCGTGCGCACCGCGAGCACTAGTAGAGGCAGTAGCAGGGGGGCCAATATTTACATTGGGTGGTGGCTGGGGTAATTCGACCTGCAAATCTAAGAGGCGAGATTGTAGTTGAATGACGTACTCTCGAAGAGCATAATTATCGTTTTGGATCGCTTTGAAGCTATGCTCCATCTCTCCATAATCGCGCACTTGCTGCTCGAGCTTCTTGATGTAATGTTCCTTTCTTTGTCTAAAAGCACGCTAGAGAAAACAAGTTAGTTACGTAATTAAGCGCACGGATGAGTCCTGATATGGTGGAGCAGCCAAGCTAGTACACACGAGGCGATCTACACCGAAGATGCAAGATACTCGGATCTCTAAACCGTTTTTGATTACGGTAGCTCCAGCTCGCAAACCATGACAAAACAAGGGAAGCGCCCCACTCACCTGAGCAGCTCTGTTCTGGGCGGCTCTTTTCGATTGCGACAATTCCCGCTTCGCCTTTCGCCCGTCCGTCACTGAATCATCAGGATCATGCCCTAGGAGTCCTTGAGCAGCCATGTTGGCCACGGGAGACGCAGAAATAGGTGCGCCTTCGTCCGACGGAGGTGAAACTCCTCTCTGCATCATATCAGATGCCGGAACACCTGCAGAAGACGTTCTAAGTTGAGGGTGAATATGCGACTGCGTCTCTAAACTGGAACCGCCGTATCCATGCGCCTGAGGTAAAGGGCGTATAGGCTTAAGAGCAGAGTGAGCTGCAGCGACAGAAGCTAATGGAGACGGCGCCGACGTAGGTGGTGAGTGATTCAAATAACTCGCTCCCGGATCGATCTTTGCGCGCACTTCAGATTCCTCTATAAAAAAAGCAAAAAGATTATGTCAGTTGTCAATATGTAAATACCGGTAGAGGTCTGGGGTATATATCCAAAAATGGGGAAAAGAGACATAAAAGGTATCAGAGGTAGAGCCACGGAGCAAGTGAGGCGGACTACAGACCGAATATGTATGTAGGAAAGTTTGTCCAGGATGTAGGCGGGTATTTCGTAATGAAGGGATATGGGGACCGGAAAAGCAAGTGGATGGATCCCAAATTGGCCTTGCAACGCGACCCCGAAGCCGTCAAAAGTAGCAGTAACAGTAGCAGAAAACTCCTGGCGCCAGCATATGAGGTATGTCTGATTACATATTCGCAGTAAAAGGTGACCTCAAGCGACTTAGACGGTAAGGGCATAGCTGGGGGTGGTCGAGGGGGGGTGTGTAACTGCGCAGTAATGCGGCGTCACGGTGGGGAGGGGTGAACATAGAAGTACGGGGGGGTGGGGGTGTTTATTATTATTATTATTCTTTTTTTTTTTTTTTTTTTTTTTTCCTTTCGATGATGGTTGGAAATGCTTCTAGTGCAGCACCGGGCAAAAAAAAGGAGCTAAGAGCTAAGAGCTAAAGAGCTAAAGAAGGAGCGGCTACTTACCGTGATTCTGCATTTTGAGTATCTGAGTCAGCATCAAGATAACGCGATACTTGTGTCGTGACGAACTTGGTGCGACCGTATCTGTAATAACGAAATACGCGGAAACACACTGGTCTATACCTAGGGACGGAACCGTTTCCGTCCAAAACGCACTATTAAAGAGAGGAGCGCGCGACGGGCTCCGCTCGGAGTAAGGACGGCGTTTGTTGTTGCAGGGGTGGAAAGTCAATTTGGACACCGGGATAGATACTATTGTCTTGTCCCTAGGAGATATTTCTTTTTTATCGCACACCAAAGTAAAAGGGAACGATGTAGCTTGGAGTGAAAATAGCGCGAGAAGCCGTTGTGTTTAGTTGCTGATTTGGCAAACGACTATACAGTTGGTTGCGGCAGCCGTAGCGTACTAGTAGGTAATTGTATAGTACTCCTCAACACATACAGGATGAATACGTAAGGTAAGGTAGTGATGTTGTCGTTGAGTTGTTGCGGTAGGTATATCAATACTGCAATCCTGCAGCAGTACCTTGGAACTTTGGAACTTTGGAACCTTGGAACCTTGTGATCCGCGGTAGGGTCAATGTTTCGTAGATTGGTAGATTGAAAGATAGATTGGATGCGCCTGACGGAGTAGTTAACCGTGACTTGATTACTCAAGGTAGTAGTCAATGTCAATCAACAAGAAAACTTCGATATTTCGAAAGAGTATTCCAGGCGAGATTCGGATGAGTAACAGGGACAATAAGCCAATGCGAGAGAGCCCCCGGGTTTCCTAATCGTATAGCCTGTCCAATCTGGCCTCGGCAGAATTCAAGGTGACCTCAACGGAGTTAGGGACCCAATGATACCCGCGATTCCACGTGACTGGTTCTGATTCTATCGTAATGGATTATTCAGCGCCGTTAAAATAGATTAGGTAACAGCGTGGTTGGGTTTTTAGGCATAGGTAAATCTTGTCCCGGATGACGAACGCGTAGTGTATACTAAGGTAAGAGAAATATGCAGAAACAAAATACCTCGAGGAAAGTTTAGGAACAAGTCGCAAAGTAGTTAGTTTTTTTTTTTTTTTGGCTTCGGGACCGTGGCTTGTGCGAAGATGCTTGGATAACTGAATGAGTACCATGCACAGTGTCCAGAAGTCAAAAAATGGATACGCCGCCAACAAAGAAAAATAAGTAAACAGGCAATATAGGTGGGGTATTAAAAGTTATTAAGCTGCCTGTTGGCGGTTCAATTGCCTACAGTATGTGGACGGCCGAAATGTCCGAGGGGGATAAGACCTGACGAGGGTTGATCATAGACTTGTGTTTAAGGTGAGGTTGGTTTGTCAGCACTCTGCAGCTTGTGCAGCTTGTGTTCGCCTTAAATGTGCAACCGATACGTAACTACTAAAACTAGTGTGTAGTGTACTTCAGGTAGGTACCTAATGGTGGCTACCACCAACGCAGCCAAGCGTAACCCCAAGTGGACAAATGGAAATTAGAATTGTAGGGCTGTGGGGATGATAGACTTAATAGTCGACCGAGTATATCCGTAGCACGAAAAAGAAGAATATGAACATCGAGAATTAAAAAAAAAAAACTCAATTATCTTAGAATGCTTGCGTGTAATAGGTAGACAAGGCATAGGTAGCGAACTGCCGGCGGAAGAATTTGCTGCGTGTTGGAGGGTACCTACGATGAAATGGAGGTACCTGAATGGTTGATGTTCTCTCTTTGTAATCAATGTTAGTTTGTCACTCGTGTAACCTGACTAATAATAATAATAATAACAATAACAATAAACCACAACGAACGAGGAAGTTGCAAATTGATACCCAAAACAGGATAATAGCGATCCCAGGTAGAAAGAATTGCCTAAGGGCACTACGTCAAGTCAAGTTAAGTACATCTATATGTACCTAAGATACATAATGCGCCTAACATCTAGTAGTGGTTACACATACATACTTACGTACATAATGTACATGTTACATACCTGTATTATATCTTATTCATACGTATTTTCATATGTATCGACGATTTTAGTTTACCTAATGCAGAATTCAGAAAATCGGAATCCGCACCATCGGCCGAGGTGCTTCCTTTAGCTAAAGCCAATCGTTGCTATAACTGCACTTGTATGTATGTGTTCGTTAGTCTTGCCTGTTTGTGTACCCGCTTCCTCTTCCTTTCATCTGCCGTCGTACAGCACTACCTTACTTATGAAATGCCCCCTTCCCTTCTAGGCAACTCCTCCCAACCCATATTTTACGCCCGTACATATATACGTACATACTTTGCTTAGTACGAATATCTGTATGTATATCAAAGCGTATTTTGAAAGTACATATTTAAGGAGGTCCTTATGTTGCTCATACGAGATGTAAGCACTTATTAAGTCGTGTGTTGGTATAGAGACGGTCTACACATCTTACGATACTCAGGCATAATAACATTCAGTAAGGTATTATAGTATGTGGTTGGGTTGGGTGACGAAGAGACTAGTAATAAAGATCGGACTTTTTTTTACGCCTTCTCTTTCTTGACTTTGCATACTTTGTAGGCTCAGCATCGGGTTTTAGAACTCCTTCGGCTATATGGTTCTCCAATTATTAGATACACGCCCCGGGTACTATAAATAAATATGTATGGTACGGGTTTTAAGAGAAGCACACCTTGTTCTTGCTTGCAGGTCTGATGAAGAAAATAAAGCTTCGCATCTTCAACCCTTTTTTTTTTTCATGTTTGTACTATTTATTACATTACGTAAGGTGTCACAGTATGACAAAAGAACCTTGGATAAATGACGGCCGCTAAAATGCATGTCGTAAAAAAGTTTCATCAACTTTTCATTAATAACATTCAACTCGAATCAATGCGCGGGTTCCAACCGCGGACTTACGTAATACAACAGGCTAAAAGAGGTTGTCCTCCGAAGGCACGGTTTCATTACTAACATACTTCCCTGCTTGGTTTTTGAGCAGCCCAGTTATCGACCTACATTACATGTATATAGTATCGAGATGTACGATGTACGATGTACATATGTAATGTATGTCCACTATGTATGTATGTATGAACATGGTTCTATGCGATACTAAGTTGATTGGATGATGACACGATGGAACCTCGTTGGTCTAAGTACTAAAATGAACTTTCCGTAACGAGATCTAGTTAACCCATACCGTATCGAAACAGCAACATCAAATGGAGTAGGTCCGAAGTTTGGGAAGCCGGCTTAAGGCTTAAAGAATAATTGGAATTTAACTGCCTATCAATGTTAATCGTTCATATTAGTAATATTATCACGTGTATAATGATACAGTTAGGTAATCGCATAACTAATAGTACAATCTTACTGTACTCATGTATGTAATTCGAATCTGCCGATAGGTTCAACATAAAGTTTAGAGCCTCATATTAAGGTATAAGGTATCTAAGTACAGATGCAGATAAGGTGTATATGACTTACTTCTACCTTGATATATAAATGGGAATAATACCTTTAGTCATATACCTAACCTACTTAGTAGATCCACAGGTAAATATTCAAAATTTAAGGTAAGTATCTTTTTTTTTTTTTTTTGGTTTTAACATGACATCGTCCAATCCAACCGTCTTAGGAAAAATCGAGATTGATACGCCGGCCAATATATTCCACACCTCCCTGTTAGTCTTGGCGTTCCGCGGCGGTCATCGGCAACAAGCCCTTCTCCCGTCCGTCCTTTGCTCTGTTAGGTTCACATCTGATTTTAATTACGCGTCGTTTACGGCTTACTCTGTTTGCCGCCAACAGAAACATAAGGGTTTCAACAACTTAGACGAGCCCCAAGTTTACCCCAAGGTAAAGTAAAAAGCCGAATTTACATATTGTATAATTGCTTTAGTAATCCTGGTCGATCCCATCCTCCGCTTGATCCCGAGAATGCTGTATCGAACTTACGGCATACGTTTTTGCCTGTTTTACTTGTGTTATCAACATAATGCAATGGCCTGATAATCACTCGGCTTTTGACAATCCGTAGGTCGGTTGTTCATGATAACTAAAGGAGAAGGATAATGGAGAATCGAAAAGGATTTACGAGACTATCCTGACCCATACCCATGAACTAATTATCATCTCTATACCCTCAGTTAAAAAACAATATCTTAGGAATTTCGTTCTCGCGTATTAGCATCTGCAATGGCTTCCTTCGCCTATGGCAAAGTCTTCTGGCTTGCATCCGCCGTATGATCCTTTTGGGGTATGATCTTGAGTTTACTGCGCCTTTAACTAGAAGGTTAGCAACGTGTAAGCAGCCAGTCGTATTGATGCCTGAAATTGCTTTGTTGAATTACACCTCATACCCCAGCGCCGCAACACCGCTCACGGTTTTGAAGTTGGAGATGCAACTTAATGGCTAGGATCCTTATGTTACCTTATTCCTGTTAATATCAGCCAGCGGTTATCCTATCATATTATATAGCAGACCGTCCTCATAATTTGAATGCATGCCCAGTGCCCAGTATCAACTATATACTACAGGCGGCTTATCTCCTAAAATGAAAAAGTACTAATGTAGACATAGGTACATAACTCCACCTAGATCTGATTAGCTGAACATTTTACACCATTCCCAAGAGAGTATGCATTGAGTCTTTTTCAGTGTTTCATTCGTTAATATAAGTGGATTATGTACCAATGTCTGGTTCATATTTTAGGAGATAAGATAAACTATGTAGAGGCTGTAGGTCGGTTTCAGCACTTTACCACTCACGTCATGCCAGCATCATTCAAACCTACACTGTTGGACAAGATCAAAACCGGTCATTCCGACCAACATAAGATTAGTAACCTCTACGTTTTATACGGATAGCAACGAATACATATGTTACATCTTAATGTGGAAACGTATGTTCTCGGGCCGGAATACTGGAGATAAATCAACAATAGTAATTTGCCGACTAGGTCGTTGAGGTCTCATCGACAAATCGACAAATATTAGCTCAAAAGTTATACTCTATAAAAACAGTCGACCCGAAGATCTTAGACTTTACTATTCCCGGAAATTCCGATAGAGTTACTTAATATTGATCCTTGTCGTTGAGAGTAAATGGTACATGATTAGGAGCTTGCATCTTTCAGCTCGTCCCGCTGTCTTATTACATACCTAAGAGATCGTAACCCTGTCGGAGATAAAGGTATGATTATAGTTACTCGCTCATATACGTCGTGCATCTGTGAGCCAGTTGCACCAATGACTAATAAATCCTGAACAAGTCATCTTAGACCTTTGTAGGCCAGCAGCGCCGATTTGTTGGTCTGCAATAGAACCTAATTAGGAATGCGGAACGAAGGGGTCTCAAAGTGGCGTGAACGCGTTGGTGCTGACATTGCATATTATACATACATATCTGTGTATGATCTACCGACGCCCGTGCTAAGGCTATAGTTCGATATCGATCGCTATAGGATAATCTACTGTGTACTAGTTATGTAAATTTCGGGACTACCTCTTGTAATAGGTTATACGGCTCTCCCTCCTTGACATAGCAGTGCCCTTTACAGGTCTGGAAGTACAAACCGGCCCTATTATGAGCACACCTAAAAGTTAAACAATAGGATCGAAGAAACCCAAGATATTATGGAACTGGCTTCGAGATCTATACTAAACCCAACTCTTTTTTTTTATAATATTGCGCGGTAGGATCTCAGGTATTTTCTAGCGAGTATAACGCTTGTGGAAATAACCCCAACCACCGTCTACTCAGCTAGAAGTTTCGACTTCATTAGCTCCTATGGCCTACGGCGGAATAAGATTAAATGTATTGTAAATGTTTATCAACAAGTTACTTAGGCAAGGTTACGTAGCGGTCTTTGTCTTTATGTCTTTTCGTTAACATATATATTCTTTTAGCTGTTTTAACTTAAACTCAAGTAACTAGAGTTAATAAACTATTTTTTCCTTGGTTGGTTGGTTAATATTTAATATTCTACACATGATGACCTGTAGGAAATTCTTCAACGCTTCCTAGACAGGCTCAGTATATTGATGGTCAGCAAAGGATAACTCAGAAGGTGCTGACCGCCCCCCAAAAAAGGCTCGTAGGTAACATCATGGAGGAACTTGGGCGATAGTGTGCCCGACTAAGACAACCGCCAATGAAAGGCACCGAGTCTGCGAGTAAACGAGGATTGCTTTTTTTGCCTCAGCTAGCATAAGTCCATCAAATCCTGTTTAGTAAGACTATAGCCTAGTTATATCAACAAACTACGTAGCTAACAAGCTGGGCAGCTGACCTCAGGCGTAACAGAGCGTCATTGCAAAACTAAACCAGAGTTCGGTCGATCACGGGGCTTGAGTACAAATTCCTGCGCCGTTCACCCATGGCTTAAGACTAGGAAGCATAAATGAGTTTCCAATTTGAGCCAATATAGCTCCAAGTGTAAGAAGACTGCTTATTAGGGAATCGCGTGCCAGGAATACACCCTGGTTATTTGAAACTCCGGATCTCCTGCACTGGGGTGCATAATCCTCGGAGTTTAACGAACGCGAAAGCGATTTGGAATCTTAATAACCCAGGTTTTACATGTCTACCTGATTATACATAGTATGTAGGAACCTGTGGGTTAAAGATGGTAGGTAATCCTCATGCTGAGCCTCAAGGGCGTTAGTAATAAAGGAGCGAAAGCGAAACAGGATCGCATCCGATAATAAACATATAGGAAAGTCACCCAACCCATTCATTTAATAATTTGGACGCTGTTGGTTACAGGTGCAAAATTACGACCGGGAGTAAGCAGATGTAGCGTAGCCCCAGCGGCGGTGTAGTTGTCTTCCCATTTTCTCATCGGTAATATTAGGCTTACAGCGGGATGAGAAAGGAGATTTCCACGTGGGAAACTTAGGTGGTCCGGTCCGCGACATACCGGAAATTAACGAGTGGAGAGAGACCTTGCCTCCGTTAAAAACTGCTGTACGTAATTTGGTAAGATGAAAACTTGTCACCGCCGTCTCTGCTGACAACACAGCAATCGACGATAACGGGGGTCGGGACACGGACACAGATTTAGAAAAGGAGAAGGTTAGCCCTAAAGGGGTATGATAAAGCGACCGTGCCCTTATAATGGATGTACCCGGTTTTCGGCAACTTTGTAGTCTTAATCGCCGAATGTCTCGGGACTGAAAAGGGGTTACGTTGTATACTATTGCAAGTTTTGTGAAAGACAATAAAAATAAATTGTGCTTAACCTAAGATTTTAACATGAGGTAGTAAACTCTAACAATGGTTGTTACTTCCATGAAGTAGCTCAATATGAGGTAGCTGCCCGTACCTGTATTCTATATTACCTATACGTACATAGCTGGGAAGGTATGTTCAATAGGTACATGGATATACATACCTAAAAGGTAATCACAAAGCTTAGGCCACTTAAAAATTTACTTAGGACGACTCAATCTTCAACTTACAACATATGAACATATGAACGTTAAAAAATAAAACGTTGGAAATATTTTGTAGCAATTTGCTACGTTAAACCATTCATAATTTTTCAAAACTTAGCCAAGACTATACCAGGGTAGTTCGCAATCTGCTTCCGTGTGCATCCTAGAGCTCTTATAGGTGGCATATATGACGAGACTCTACACGTTACACCACCATAAACCATCTCATATTCTGCCATCTAATAATAGTCTGTGCCGCGCCTAATGTATAACCGGTACACGCGCCCTTTGCTTTACTACGCGAAGACTGCCGCTAAGGCACCACAAGTTACGAGCAGACCCGTCGGAGCGACACGCCGAGGCGCACAGGCGGTTGCAACCTCTCGCCGGTGTTCACTCCTGTATCAGGATCAGTATCAGGGTCAAGGTCGCCGAACTTTTACTACTTCAGCAGCGGTCATGGCAAACCCCGCGAATTCCCAAGCTGCTCCCCAGTTCTCGGCTGGCGTTGACGAGCCGGCTCTAACACGGACGCTAGAGACTTTGCTGGCATCAGCAGAGCATGGCGGTCGGTGGGTACTGATCGCTAGCGGCGAGGGTCTGGAAAGGAGCTTCAAGTTCAAGACGTTTGCGAAGACATGGGTGAGTCAGCCATACCATACTATACCCATTTCCCGCGTCTCCTTCGTCGTACCATTGGTTTCCCTTCTCGTCTACCTCTGGTCACGGCATTTGCTTTATTCGGCCGCAATCGTTCCCGAAAGTTCCCCTCATTGGGACAGAGCCGCTCTTGCATCATATCCCTTACCTGCACCCGTGTATGAGAGTCTGGGGAACATCGACAATTGCCGGTGGGCTGAGCCTGAATGACTGACTAGCTGGGTAACATGGCTTCCCGAATTATTCCCCAGATAGGTTTACCTTTGGGTGCTGCTAGCATGATCGGTCGACCTCGGGGGGCGTAAACATCGGGATATCGTAACTTCAGGGTTCCCGGCGGGAGTTGCACCTCATCAGTATATAATTTTCAATACTGAACACGGGAAAAGAAGCGCCGTGGCCAACCACGCAGCGTATGGCTAGTCACGAGAGAGCAATAAAGTCTCCTGCTGACTCCACACGGGACTTTATTCGCCAGTCTCGGCCCTCGACTGGCTTTTATATAGCCGAGTGCTGGATGAAATGGTGCCACCCGGTCCTCGGGATAGTCGATCCCGGGAAGATCTGACCTGACATTCAAAAGCCTATATGATCTTCACGACCGCATCGTCAAACCTCTAAACAAGCCCCAGCTACAAATGATAGTGTGGACTCGACTAATGGTATTGGTTCCGTTAGGACTTTATGACTGCAGTATCACTGCAGTGCAAGCTCAAAAACCATCACCCGGAATGGTCTAACGTAAGGTGCCCCCTACTGTACCCCTTTCATTCGTCCCTTCGTTTATCATATAAAGAATGGGCCCTACACACGTGCCCGCCCGTGTTGGAACCAACGTAAACTCTTAAACCAAAGCTCGTCAGCTTCGACTACAAATCTCCGCCGTCGTCTTTGGAAAAGGTGGAGAGCTTGACCGTAACAGACTTATGTTATCTTTTTTTATTACCAGATGGAACACATGAGCTGTCCATTTGCTGACTTGTGGAATACAACGGCTGACTCATGTGATTGTTATTATCACACAGGTCTATAATACGACGTATATCCGGTGGACAACGCATAATCCGAAGGGCCTCTCCGCCAAGGATGTCGAGCTGGCTGCGATTTGCGACGGCCTCGCTAGTGACTTTGGTGAGATTATCGAGGAGACTGATAGCTGCGAGCTAAAACGGGTGGCTGACCGTGCGGTCACCAACGCGGGTGATTGCTGTACTCCTAAGAAATGAAGAACAAAACAGATTATGAAGCTCTAAGACATCAGACCACAACGGAAAATAGACGTCCTTGAGACCTTTTATCTGTATGACCATGACTGACCCTAGGTTGGCTGATCTAAGTCAAGGAGTCAGATAGTATTAAATACGACCAGGCCGCTCACTATAAGCAGTCACATGTGCAGCAAGAAAATTTACGAACAGATACAAGCACAATTTCACCGTTATGGCCCGAAGGCTGGAATGTCTTGATAAGTTTCGAACGTTCCAATGAAGGACGTTTAGGTTATTATTAATCTATGATAGTAGTGTCTCTTCTCTTCGTCACAATTACAAAGTTGTATTAAGTTGGCCAGCCCCATGTCTATAGAATTAACGATTGTCGAAAATCGTAAAGTATCGTTCCCTTAGGTGCCGCGTCTTGTGGAATCGGGCAATATATCCTCCCAATGGCCAACAATCAATCTTGATGGCCAGGAGCAGGCATCAGGAATCGGCGGAATGCTACTAGCTGACCTACCCGCCGTCCCAGTGCATATCCTAATGTTGTGAGGCTATGGAGCCCCTTTACTCGGCCTTCTTGGCCTTGATAGACTTGAGCTTCCTCTCGCGGCGGCGCCTGGCAGCCTCGGGACCGGACTCGGTATCAAGCATCCAGTCCCACCATGTGAAGCTGGAGGAGTAGTTTCCAATGAACTTCTCGTGGTGGACGTCGTGGTGGAAGGCACCGGCCCAGAAGGGCAGGAAATGCCTCAAGCTCCAGGGGAAATCGTATCCACTGTGAGAGTCGATGGCCTGGAATAGACGGCCGACAATCCACATGTACATGGTGAATAGGTGAAGCTCTCCGGTTAGAGAAACCCAGACAATGGGACTTCCGACTGTTCCTAGAGCGAGGAGCATAGTTTCGATCGGCGAGGCGTATTCAGCAGCTAGACCGAAGGGGGCGGAGTAAGTGTGGTGAAGCTTGTGAATCATCTTGTACAGGGGGCCGTAGTGCAGTGCTCGGTGAAACCAGTAATGCCATGCATCTTCAACAACAAAGAAGACGGCGATTTGTAGGGCCATTGTCGAGAGCTTAGGGAAGGGAACACCGTAGTCCATACCGAAGTAGGTAGCGATAGGGTGGAAAAGCCAGATCTGAGGTAATTCGACGGTAACGTGACTGAGAAGGACGAGCGCGGCGCATTCCCACTGCTCTTTCCACGTCGGGATCTTTTGGTTTTGGATCTTGTAGCGGTTGAAAAAAGGGATACGGTCGAGAACCATATAGGGTATACACCGGCCGAAGTAGATGATCTCGTGCATGAGGAAACTCATGATACCCGTCGCTAATGTGTCGTTCTGCATCCATAGATACCAGGCCTAGGTTACTGAGTCAGTTGCTTGTTCGTACCTGGGACGGTCTGGAATTTAGAGGTAAACTAACCGCCCAAGCGCGCTCTACCACGTTGAGGTGAACATTATATTTCGTGACTTCCTCGAACACGTTTAGATACGTATCGGGATGGCTAAAGACGCCAGCGACAGTGGCATTTCTGCGAAGCGCGTTAGTTCCCAATTACAATTGCAAGAACGCGATCGAAGTTAAGGGGTAAAGCGAACTTACATCGTGGCCATGATGGCGTGGCGAAAAAGGGAATCTAGGTAAACCAACAACGATGGAACAAACCTTCCTATGAGTGAAAGAAAGACCCGAATGCTAAGGTAGGAATGCTGAGGAGCTGTGCCGACACTGGAGAATGTGAAGTGGAAGGAAAAGAAAAAAAAAAGGCGAGAAGATGGCTACTATTTGTTGTAACTTTAGAAAATAAAGGCGGTAGGAGGCGATAAGGAGAGATTGGAGATTTTTGAAATTTAGGAGATCCTAGTTAATTAGCAGACGTACGACCAATCATTCAAAATGCTGCCACCATAAGACCACTTAGAATTTGCTCTTCCCGTCCCGGCTCACGCATCAAAATGTGGAGAAGCTGCATCAGGGGAAACATAACTCTAATGCGCATTGAACTGCTAGTGTACATACTTGGAGTAGATGTGGCTATCGTATTCGTATTCCAAGCTGTTTAGTGGCTTAGTGTCACTAAAAATCTACATTAATACTCCAAAAATTTAGGGTCCCTTTCAGTTTAGGTACATGTACCTAAGTACTTATGTTAGTTAGTTGATCAGATAACTTTATCGGATAATCCACGGCGGGCCTCCGGCAGCCCAGCCAAATCACCTGACTCGGAGCTGTCCCTATCCGATCTGCTCACTTTTCGCTCTTACCCTAACCCAACCGCCAATTACCAAAAAGAGAGATATTGCTCTGTGCTTACCCATGTACCTTACCCTATTAAGTTTAAAGCAGTCAACGCTGAGAAGCTTGAATTTTGAATTGTACATGTAAATTTTTTTTTTCCCTACGCTATTACCTATGACCTCATCAAACAGGCACAACTCAGCAGTAAACATCGACTGACCAACGTTCGACTTGTGGGAAACAAAATACGCATCCGGCACACCGCAACCTCAAATCGTTTCATTGTAGCCGTTTCCCAAGATCCATACGGTTACAGGTATACATACATACATACAGGTAAGGTTGAAGGAAGGTTGTATTTGGATTTTCCTAATTGGCCCGTCAGCCTAACTCGCATCCAAGGTCCCGGCAACTTCCCGGTCAGCATCGCGGAGAGCTTCCTTTTCGATTGCCTAGATAGACCACAGTTTACAAGGGTTCAACAAGACCCCGTCATGATATGAAGAATTAGACAAAGTCGATTATGTCCGGCCGTACATCCGAGCATCGACCCATATAATCTCTCCTTTTTTTTACAGAAGATTTGCACGTGTGGTTTAAATTCCAACAAAAAAAAAAGAAAAGAAAATGTCCCTAGTGGCTGAGTAAGTTTTACAAAGAATATCTTTCCATTACCAGTGATGATAATGTGGCTCAGACCTTGTTCAGTCAAGTACGGAGGTTGGACGCGCAACTAGACCGCATCCCTTTTAGCCACTTGACGAGCTATGACGCCACCCAAGCCTCGATAGACTTGGATAGTCCTCGTGCGAAAGAACTATTGAGGATCATCAAAGCCCTATCGGCAACCTCGGGATCGCAAAGTGCACCCCCCGCACGGTATATCCAGTCTCTCCTATCTCAGTCGGAGTTACTATCGGACCATACTGAGGAGATATCGGCAAATCAGTACGAGGCTGAGCTCGAGTGGAGATTGGTTAGCAAGGCAACTGTGCAAACATACGGTATCATTTTGGATACGCTGTTAGATCAGATCATTCCCCTGAGTGACCATATCTGGTACTGGGATGATGTGCTGTCGTCTCCGACGAATAGCAGTATATACCTGGTGCAAACTTCCCCTATACGAGTCTGGGCTTGGACCAGGGAAATCTACAAAGACAGCAAGACTAGATTTCAACAGTACACTAGCGGTGGCACATCAGTGGCTGGTTTGGTGAGTGAATCTAATGTAGAGTCGATCCAGGCTGGAGCAGCTCAACGATGGAGCAAATTCTACAATATCGTGCGGGAGACCATACACGAAAGGTCGCTCGCCAATGTGCAGAGGAAGATATTATCTCCCGTTGCTTTTTGTCGATCTGAGGCCCGTAAGAAGCAAGCTAAGCTGAAAAGGCTCAGAGAAATGACTTCGAGTGGCCTGGGTGTTTTAATCGACGAAGGTCTCGTCTTCAACGGCAACGGAAGTGATGATGGTAAGAGTGATATGATACTCTCAGCCAATCAAGAATGGAAAGGCGTCGTGGAGCGAAGTGTTGCTCTAATGGACATGGTCCTCAAGGACGTCCTAACATTGGATGTCAGAGTTGCCGATTTTGAAGATAGAGTCTTTGCTGGCGTTGAAGAGGATCCTGAGCTGTCAATCCTGGCTGATGAAGACGAAACACATCGCCCGGCCGTAGTGGCTAAAAGGCTTCAGGACTTACTGACAGCTCAATTACCGCAACACCTTGGAGAAGCGGAAAAACTACTAACAGAGAATGGACGACCGTCAAGATTTGTGAGATACTGGCTTCCTGCCACTGTGCTTCTTCTCTCTTCGTCCACGATTCTCCGCATCTTGGTCAATAGAAAGCAGGAGATTCTGCAGTGGGTCAGTGACTTTGGTGTGACTGTTCGTGACTTCTGGTTCAACTGGGTTATCGACCCTGTTCGAAAGGTTGTTGGCACTATCCGCCACGACGACAATAGCGAGATTGCTATCATGAGTCGGGATAGTCTGAAGGCGGACAGGGAAAGCTTAGAGCGTATGGTTGTCGAATTTGCTCTCGATAAGCCGAATATCGCAACCGGCGCCTCGTCAATATCAGAGTCACAGGTTGCCGAAATCAGAGCCAAGGTCCGGGAGGGAGATGTGACACCGATTCTTCGCGCGTACGAAAAAGACCTACGCAGCCCCTTTATGGGCACCGTGCGAGGTGACTTGGTCCGAACGTTGCTCATTCAGGTTCAAAAGACAAAGGTTGACATCGAAGTCGCCATGAGCGGCATTGATGCCCTTCTGAAAAGCCAGGAACTTGTCTTTGGCTTCGTAGGTCTAACACCTGGTATTCTCGTGTCCATTGGAGTGATGCAATACCTCCGTGGTGTATTCGGAGGCAGAAAAGGCTTCCGAGAGCACCGGAGAGCCGGCAAATGCGTCCGAGTTCTACGCAATATTGACCGCATCTTATCCGAAGCCACGCCGTCGCCCAACAACCTCATATCCTACAAGGATCACGGTCTCCTCGTATGTGAGGTTCACGTCCTTCGACAACTTGCACATAACCTCCTCCCAGCCGACATTGAGAAAGATTTCTTGGAAGACCTAGATGACCTTGCTAATCTCAAGGGCATCCAATCACAGCTGCGAGCTTTGGATAGAATACGTTGGGCATATTCTAAGTGGTTGAAATAATTGCACGAATCCAAAGTCGCTATTGGAACATTTTAGCGAATGCATATGACGGACTAGGGGTATTATGTCTTATAAACTCCGGAGTAGTATAACAATTGTCTATAGTTGTATCAAATAAACAGCTGAGATGTTTAAATATTATTATGGGATTCGGTTGAAAAAAGAAGTACAACATATGTAAATATGAGACATGCTGATAAGCCCCTTTTCTACCTGATAATGTGTTTCAACGACTTCAAGTAGCTCTATATTGAATAGATGCATAATATGCATAGTAATCTGGACCGTTCCCTTGGTACCTAATTCGTGCCCACCATTTTGACATAAGCCAGGTACGCCGGCAAAAGGCAGCCACGTATTTCCTATCATTGAGCTCCTTATGGAAGTACCTACAGTAAGTACTCAGGGGTTATAGGTATTCATACACTAAAAACTAACCGCTTAAGGCGTGATAGCTCTGCTTTGATTAATGCGATTTAGGTGTTTATTATGTACCTACCTAAGGTACTTAAGGTAGGAGGTACCTATAGTAAATCACCTGCCCGACCTGGGAAGGGTTGAGGCTGCCTCGTTTGGGCTAACGACTCGATTAAGTTGTTAGGTTGTAAAAATGCACACCGTTGCTTAGGTTCGTTGATTACACGTAGTTGCCATCTGAGTAGATGCATTAGGTAGTAAATATATACATAGGTACATGTATGTATATTTGGTAGACAGGTATAGGTACCCTTTTTCAAACTCAATGTTGTTTTTATCCATCTTAAAACCTTCAATATTCAATTGAAGGGCTCTATCTTTCCGAAACCATAAGCCTTGTGCACCCATACTCCTGTATGCTAGTACAAACCGAGTTAGATAGTTTTTTCTACTCCTATGCCAAGAGTACATACATGTGCCACTATCATTATCATTCCCATTAAACTCCATTAAACGCTACCAGCCTACCGCTACCGCTACTGCTACCAAAAAGCCACTATTAGCATTACTGCCAACCTCTGACGACACGTCGTCTTGTTTAATATCTAACCGAATAATATCAAGAAAACTCGAGGAATCGCGTTTACGTCAAAACTATTCTTCGACAAAGAATACGATCGATCAAATACCCGCCGTAGCTTTCTCTGCCGTCCACGACGAGCGACCTCTACAAAATGTCGGGTAATCGAAACTACGACTTCTTAGTACGTTCACAGCCTCCCCCTTCGAGCCGCATGCTACGGTTGGAGAGATGATATATCATCCGATAGTTTAGTTATCGAGGTCTCTTCAAGCCATGGCTTTCCCTTCCGTCTTATACTAGCTGTCAGCCTATAAGCATTCCTAAGTATACTAATGACGGTCTCGATATATAGATTAAACTACTCCTAATCGGCGATTCAGGAGTAGGCAAATCGTGCTGTCTGCTTCGGTTCAGCGAAGACTCATTCACACCGTCCTTCATCACGACTATCGGCATCGACTTTAAGATCCGCACGATCGAGCTCGATGGTAAGCGCGTGAAGCTGCAGATCTGGGATACTGCTGGCCAGGAGCGATTCCGAACTATCACGACGGCTTATTATCGCGGCGCGATGGGCATCCTCTTGGTTTACGATGTCACAGACCAACGATCTTTCGAGAGTAAGAACTCCTAATTATTACACTAGCTATATATATACTCTACACCCTCCATATGAAACGAACAGAGAGGCGTTAAGAGGGGCTCAAGTGAGCCGTGGGAATTATCGATAACGGCTTGCTTATATCACACCAACATTTTCGAAGCTCCACGCTGACCCGTGATACAGACATCCGAACATGGTTCGCAAACGTAGAGCAGCACGCCACGGAAGGCGTTAACAAGATCCTCATCGGCAACAAGTGCGACTGGGAAGAGAAGCGCGTGGTGTCGACGGAACAAGGCGAGGCGCTTGCCAAGGAGCTCGGCATCCCCTTTCTCGAGGTATCCGCCAAGAGCAATATCAACATCGACAAGGCCTTCTACAGTCTCGCCGGCGACATCAAGAAGCGTCTCACCGACATTAGCCCCGCGCAGCAGGCCGCAGCGGCCGGTGGCCAGGGCGTCAACGTGTCCTCGGGACAGAGCAGCGGCCTAGGCAAGTGCTGCTAAGGGCTGGCGGGAAGTCGTTCGAAGCGAGAGATAATATGGCGATGGTAGAGAGAGAGAGTAAGGGCTAGCCACCAAGCTGGGTAGTCAAGCTGGGAGAGGTGGCCTGGCACACATTTCATGTTATCAAGCGAAAGTTTACTGTAGACCAAGGCATATGACTTATGGAGACACCCCCGAGGACCGAAAGAAGCACGAATGTTGTATTACCTGGAGGGGGACGGGGATAAGCAGAGGAGGAGGAGTTAGCCAGAAAGAAAGAAGACAGCAAGGGTAAAGGCTAGCTTGCTTCACGATAGACATTCAGAGCCACACATGACACAACACACAACTACATAGGAAGAATGAGGCCTGGGGGGCTTAAGTGAGGGCGATACTATATTGGCGGAGTTTGGTTGATATGGGTCTAATACATTTTCCAGTCATCGTCGGTTCTTCTCTCTGACCAAGTACATAAGGTACATATGCTACGATGAGCCTTGATGCCTGTATTAGGTTATACGTTCTTCTATTTAGTATTGCGTAGAATGATATGTTACTAATGAAGACCGAAGTACTTTCAAGGACGTAAGATAGGGGCGTGAAACATGACTGCTGGTTGGCTTAAGTGGAATATATACGTAATATAATCATCACCATAGTACTGAGGTATTGAGTATCCTAGTCTCGTCCCATGTTACTGGTTTATCCCCCTCAATATCCATACGTATCTTGAACTGCCGCCGGTGCCAATACCTCACGAAGCGGTGCGCCTCGGCATTATCCACGAACGGAATGATGAAGCGGGGATACCGACGATACCCCCTATCGTCTGCCATAGTCGATTCCTTAGCCTCAACCCCTTCCCCTTTCACGTTCTCTTCACCTTCAACTCTATCCTCACCCCCCGTCACCCGTGCAGCCTGGTCCCGAAGAACTTGCTCGAAGTCATTAGCGTCTTTATCCTCTTGCTTGAGGATGCTTTTCCCGAAAGGCAGGATACCGTTCTCGAGATCGGTCACCCGCCACGGCAGATTCCGATCCTTGCCGTCCTCCTCGATGGCCTGCCGCAGCCAATCAAGCGATATGCGGCCCCCGTCCACGGAAACAAGAACCAGGTGCTTGGACCCGGCGCGGTCGGCCAGCCGGTCGACAAACGCGACGCCGCCTATATCCAGCTCCTCGATCCGCACGCGGCTGAACCCGCTCGACACGTCGAGGTAGTACCGCTGGCTCGGCGGCACCAGGGTAAACGCCCGCAGGTCGGCCGCTACGTCGCGGCTGCTGCCATCTGCGGACGGCAGGCCTGGGGGCGGAGGCACCGACCGGGAAGACCCCTTCCTGTGATGCGCCCCCGGCACGTACGCCTTGCCCAACTGCCACAGCCGCTCCACTTCGTCGCAGTACGCGGCTGCTGCTGCCTCCCGGTCGAACAGCACGAAGTAATGCCCGAGCGGCTGCAGGGTGTCCGGGTCCCGGGCCTGGATGACGCGCGAGATGCCGCCGACCCAGCCCTCGACGTGGGCGCCTTGCGGCCCGAGGCGTAGGAAGTCGCTCTCGGCGAGGTGCTTGCTAGCGGCGGAGAGGATGAGCATGCTTTTTGCGCGCAGGGGCACGTCGCCAGATTTCCTATTGCTATCGTTTTCGTTGTCGTTAAGCTCGGTGTCGGGGGAGGGCTGCGGAGGGTCGTCTAGTAGATGCGAGGCCCAGGAGGATTTGGGAGTGGCATTTTTGCCGAGGGCTTTGGCTTCGTCGGGGAAGAGTTGCTCGAAGAGGGAGGGGCGTCTGGGTTGTGGTGCGTCATCTTGGTTGCTGCTGTTGGTCTGGGAGGATGTTGAGGAGGGGGAGGGGTGTATTGGTCGATTGGTGGTGCTACCGTGCAGCAACGCCGTATGGGATAATCGCCATGCTGCTGCGGCTACCGATCGTGAAGATGGTCGGTGGAGCTGTCGTAGGAGCATGAGGCGACAAGTTGTGAAGCCCAGCGCATTGCAGTGTAGTGCAGATTCGAGTAAGTCGAAGCTGGGAGAGAATTGAAAAAGTTGGAGCTGAACTAATTGATCTTCTTTTTTCGTAGGGCTTAGAATTTAGAAAGGAAGTCGCAATTCATACTGTATTATTTCTAGTATAACACTATAGAACTAGCTTATAGAGTAGTAGAAATAGTTTTAATTGGGTTGTTGGTACTACCATAATGACCCACACTGTGCTTTTAACTATGCAGTTTATCCCACAAGAGACGTAACTGCGATATCTTCTCATTCATCTGCACTTTACTTCATGATTCTATTTCATAAATGAATTCTTCTAAAGAAAATAAAGAGAATATACCCAGAGGTTTATAACCGACAATGAGCAATACTATTATAATTAGTATCATCAATCATACCCATAAACCTACTAAGAGCGGCCCGCCTGGTTATTGACTACCTAAAGATTTTTAAGTTACTTAAAACCTCTTATACATATATCTATAACACATACCAGCGATGGGGAAAGACGACTTCAAAGTTCGGCTACAGCCGCAAGACGTAGCCAACCAGAAAAATCCCACGTATAAAAACGCAGCTAAAATATTTATCCATCCCACCACTTTTGCTCAAGGGGGCTTCACCACCGCACATCTCTGCAATGTCGAAACGGATGGACCTACTCGGTGGGAGGCCGTTGCGTGGCCGGCTCCAGATAAGAATGTTGCCAACAACATTATCTCCGTTAGTCGAGTATTTCAGAAACTGGCCGGTCTAGAATTAGGCCAGTTCGCTAAGGTTACTCCTGGCAACGGGCCGGTTCCTGACGCCGGGGTGGTCATCATGAGAGAAATAACCCCGGATCCTCTCCCGCTACCTGCTTCGGAACAGACTAGGTGGCAATACCATCTTGAAAGTCGATTAGGTGAGTTACCGAAATCTTGTTCTTTACACTTAGTAGCATCAAATCATGAGCTAGTTTATTGTTGGTGATGAACACTCCTAGACCAATACGAGGGCAGTGTTTATGGGTTCATGTATAAGTGTATACGGCAGAATCACAGTATATTTTTATTGTTGTTAAGCCTAAGGGCTGTAATTCCTTATATAATTTGTTTTTTCAGCCCCTATTCAAGTATGACTAGTCTAACAACATCAATAGAGGTAGCTGAATTCATCTTGCCGAGCATGTCATTTGATGAAATAGTCTTAAACGGGTCAAGACGTTCGTTTGTGGTTATATCTGTAAATGGCAGAACTGATAGTGTTGCCAAGTACGCTCCCAGATCTACGGTCGTCGAGTTTTTCAACGAAGACGCTGTCCAGATTAGGGGTAAATTGGAAGTTAGCCCGCTTCCAGGAATGAAGCGCCAAATAGAAGAGCTTAACGAATTCTTCAACGACTTCGACGTCGAGTTTGAAGGATATACTACACCAACTTACTCCTGTGGAGTCGTTATCTATGGAAGTCATGGGACAGGGAAGTCGATGTTACTTGATCATATCGCTGCGACTAGTTGGGGTAGAGTCGTTCGACTAAGTTATAATGATAAGCCGTCAACTATCCATATCTGTTTTAAAACCGCCCTGGAGCAGCGCAGCCCTACCATACTTTTATTAGATGATATAACAAAGTTAATAGGCAAGGAGCAGTCGAATCGCCAGGTTATGGTTGAGACAATTGGCGAGGGGCTTGATGCATTATCGAATAGGGCGCGCCAGCAAAATAGGAGACCGCATGTTTTAGTCATTGCTACCTGCCTTGACTTCTTAAACGACATTCCTCACGCCCTTCAACGACCCGGCCGGTTCGAGGAACATATTGCTCTTCCTGTCCCAGATGCACAAGGACGCAAAGAGATCATCCGTTATCACAAGCCAACATTCGACCCGGATCTGTTTGATCAATACGTATCAGATCTTGGTGACCGGACGCATGCCTACACCGGCGCGGATCTACGGAAGGTTCTCTACCGCGCTACAAAGGCATGGAGGAAGCGAGTGGGAAGCCCTTCCAAGACGGAACCCTTGATATGGGACGATGTGACGAAGGGGCTACATGAAGTGCGGCCTACAGCTATGCACGATATAAATCTTAAGCCGCCTACTGTGCGCTGGAGTGATATTGGTGGCTACGAGGAAGTCAAGGTTGCCTTACAGAGAGTGCTCAGGCGTCCTACGGTACGTTTTAAGCTTCCTATCTAACATCATAAAAAATAGCTAATAATGAAAACCAGGGTCCTCGTGCGAGGATGTCGAAGCCACCAAAGGGCGTTCTTCTCTATGGCCCACCCGGTTGCTCCAAGACCATGACCGCCCAAGCCATGGCGACAGAATCCGATTTCAACTTTTTCGCCGTGAAAGGAGGCGAGCTTTTAAACATGTACGTTGGCGAGACCGAGCGATCGATCCGCAACCTGTTCAAGAGAGCACGCGAGGCTAGCCCTAGTATTATATTCTTCGATGAGTTCGACTCGATCGCAGGATCGCGGTCGGGCGGTAGTACAGGTGGAGGCGTGCAAGCGCTCACCACGCTACTTACAGAAATGGATGGGTTCGAGCGCATCGGTGAGGTGTTCGTGCTAGCAGCAACGAATAAGCCAGAGCTTCTAGACTCGGCATTACGGCGGCCGGGCCGCTTCGACGAGCTGATCTATGTACCGCTACCAGACGCTAAAGCACGCGAGGCCATTTTTGCCGCCAAAGCTAGGGAGTTGGGTTTCCCGGAAGATGGGACTGTTGATCTACCAGAGCTGGCACGCCAGAGTGAGGGGTACTCAGGGGCAGAGGTCGCACGAATCTGCGACAAGGCGTTCTGGGATGCGGATGAGGACGAGGGAGTCTCGGCTATGGGGGTGCTGCTTACGGCGATACAGAAGACGCCGAAGTTGGTTACTAGGGATATGCTGGATCATTATAGGGACTGGCAGGAGAAGTTTAGGTCGTAGGGGGGTTTGTGTAGCTGGGAAGTGCATATTCACTTGGGTATATGACATCGTTTTGTGATAGATAGGGGGCTAAGTGCCGGAACTTAGCATGATGTCTTAGGAGTTACATCTGTTAACACTAGACTCACTCATATATTGATGATATGAGGGACCCATTAGTGGATGTATACAAAATGAAGATGTGTAACTTCTATGGGAAGTATGTCCCAAAATTCGATAGTTCAAATGGAATGGTATGAATTTACACGTGCCTCTACATCGCCAAGTCATAGTATTGGCTTCGTAATCCGCGTCACTTCTTACGATATAAGTCTGGTTATGGAAAAGCGAAACTACTAGGCAAAGTAAAAAAGGGGGTGAAGGGTAACTTCGTTAATACTCAACCAAGAGCAGAGATGTCTAATGTAAATAGGTGTAAATTGCAAGTTTATCAAGGTAGGTTACGCAATTTATCATCAACTTATACATGTAAATGTATATTCCGTTCTTTATTAATTCTCCTTCTAGATCTTCTCTAGTTGGACTATTGGGGGTGAAGTTGACATTTTATGTCATTGTTGCGCCCTCCGATATTCCGATATAAAGTCGTACAACTAACAAATCGCCCGTTTTTAACCCGAGTCTGGACTACGTTTTTAGGGGGGGTGGAGCAAAGTTGCCAAGTCGATTGTGCATAGGAAAGAGGTACCTTACTTAATGTACTATAACATTGTATGGAGCTTTCCTATACTATAAAATTGTTGTAGTCCTCAAATTTAATTTTTATATTTTATAGATTATTTCATTGAGACTGGGGATTTATTTCTACCACCTCTGGATTTGAATATAACTAGGCAATTTCAACCTAAGCAAAATGGACTCTAAACAATTTCGGGAGGCGGCTATATCGTCTATTGACGACAGTGAGTCTTCTCACTTTTTAAAGTCTCTACTCACGGCGACTAAATCGTTCTAGTCGTCAAATACTACGACACCATCGAAGAGCGCCGTGTCGTTTCAAACGTCGAGCCGGGTTATCTGAGAAAACTACTGCCCGAAGAGGCCCCTCAGAATGGAGAGGCTTGGGCTGATATCCAGAAAGATCTCGAGTCCAAGATCCTCCCCGGCATAACACATTGGTTCGCACCCTTTACTTATCCATTTATTTAGTCGCCGTCTAAAGAGAACTATGAGATTGATGAGAAAGGGAAAATTATTAGGCAGTCACCCAACTTCCTGGCATGGTTCCCCTCTTCCAGTAGCTTTCCGGCTATGCTTGGCGAGATGTATTCTGCCGCATTCACCGGTGCTGCTTTCAACTGGATCTGCTCACCCGCCGTCACTGAGCTTGAGACTATCGTGCTTGATTGGCTAGCTAAGGCTTTTGGCTTACCATCTTGCTACCTCTCTACTGGACCTACTAACGGTGGCGGCGTCATCCACGGAACCGCTTCTGAGGCTATCGCCACTGTATTAGTAGCTGCTCGTGATAAGTACCTGCATGAGGCTACGGCGCATATCACCGATGAGGAAGAACGGGAGGATGCCATTGCTATCCGCCGCAGCAAGCTCGTAGCCCTTGGTAGCGCCGCCACCCACAGCGCTACTAAGAAGGGCGCACAGATTGCCGGCGTTAGGTTCCGCGCCGTCCCCGTACACGCAGCGGATGGCTACCGGATGACAGGCGCCGAGCTGCGCCGGGTCGTCTTAGAACTACGTGCCAAGGGCCTCGAGCCCTTCTACCTGACTGCCACCCTTGGAACCACTGATACGTGTGGGATTGACGACATGGAGGGTATCGCGTCTGTTTTAGAAGAGCTAGCGCCTGCAGGCCCAGGGGAGATTTGGGTGCACGTTGACGCAGCGTACGCAGGAGCCTCGTTAATCTGCCCCGAGTACCAGTATCTTACGAAGCCCTTCGACCGCTTCCACAGCTACAACACAAACTTGCATAAGTGGTTGTTAGTAAACTTTGATTGCAGCACTGTGTGGGTGCGCGACCGCAAGCATCTGACAGACGCCCTGAGCGTTTCACTACCGATCTTACAAAACCAGCACACAGACTCCGGCCTCGTAACTGATTACCGCGACTGGCAGATCCCGTTCGGGCGGCGGTTCCGGTCCCTCAAGGTCTGGTTCGTGATACGCACATATGGCATCGAGGGTCTACGCGCACACATCCGGAAGCACATCAAGCTTGCCGAGACGTTCGGAGAGCTCGTCAAGACGCGGCCGGACCTTTTTGAGATCGTGACGGGCCCGCGATTTGCACTAACGGTGTTTAAGTTGGTGAAGAAGGAGTCGACGCCAGAGGAGCAGAACGAACTCACCAAGAAGATGTACGACGCCGTGGTGGAGGAGGGCCGGATCTTCCTGTCGAGCACCGTTGTCGGCGGCGTGTTCGCCATCCGGCATAACCCTGCCACGCCTTTGGTAGAGGAGCATCACGTTCGGAAGCATTTCGAAGTCCTAGTTGAGGTAGCTGAGAAGACACTTGCTTAGGGGTAAACTGCGAGAAGAGGCATAGTTAAGTAGAACTGCAATTTTTTTTAGAAACGTGGTAGATAGAATACTAAATAAACTAAGTCTAGATATGCGTATGCTATTTCATTCCTCATAGTCTCATGAATTCTTATATACATAGATACCTGAGGTATCTGAGTGCTACGTCCAACCGAACTGTAGCAGATGAATCATCGTAATAAAGCAACCAGAGGATATATCGTGTTCGGAGAGTAGTAAAAATGGTAGGTAATTATTAACCAACTACCAGGAGTCGCGACGACTTCTTCTACCGCGGTACTCTCGCTCCCATTCTCTCCTGTCGTCGTCATTGTACCCCCTGTCGTACCGGGATTGCTCGTAGTACCGGTCGTCGGTGATATACCTCGGGTCCTCGTGCCGTCTCATATCAACCGATTGCACGCGGTCACGATTGCTTCTCCTGCTGCGCTCGAGGTCCGCCGTATCCTTTCCTACGCTGTGATCGCTGCTACCGCCACTTCTATGTTGGCTTCTCCGCCTATCCTCGCTGTCTCTAGTGCTCTTGCTCTTACTCCTCCTGCTGCTACTGCTCTCGCCGTCTTGACTCGAAGGATGATCATCATATGAAGTGTCACGGTCTCTTCTTCGACGGCGACGATCATTGTTGTTATTGTCTCGACCTTGTTGTTGTTGTTGTTCCTCGCGCTCCTTTCGCTCCTCGTGCTTCTGGACTTGCTTCTCGATGTTCCAGGCTAGTCCGATGCCGATCATGCCGAGCACCAGCGGCTCTTTCCACGTGAAGGGGTGCTCTTTTTCGAGTTCCTTGCGCCGCGAGCGGTGCTCGGGGTGCGCCCGTGAGGGCATGTAGTTGCGTGGGTTGACTGGGGCGAGTTTTACCATTTTATTTTATTTATGTATATGGTATTGAATAGTTAGGAGGATTGTTTGTTTGTTTGTTCTTAACTCAGGTGAAGAATTTGTTTTAAGAGGCTGGTATATATTTTATTGGGTATTGGGTATTGGGTATTTAGTTATGATATAGAGAGAAAATATCTATGTGGGTTGCCCAGCCCACACTCTTATATATATATGTACACGCTAATCGACGAAGGGATCGTGATACAGACGAGTAGAACCCAATAGTCGCATGGCAGTAACCGAAGGACCGAAGGGAGACTCCACGGATGCATACATACATATGTACATACGTGTCGAATGCCATCATCGAACAAACGGGAATGCGGTTAATTCGATGGAGGAAGAAGGATCAGGGGTCAAGTTGAGATATGATGTCATGCCTAAGATCGGGAACAGGGGGGAGGAACTGTGGCTTATTCCCGATTTGGTCTGGCGGCAGCTTTTTTGGCTTTTTTTGCATTTCTGCATTTCTCATTTCTGAGCCAACCCCAGATCGATAGGAGAGATCTTAGTCTGCGGCTATGACGACGCTATCAAAGCCAACGCCAACGCCAACGCAAACAATTCCCCTCCCGCCCTGTCGTCATGTCATGTTGTTGCAATCTCACACAGAAAAAAGCACCGGTCCGCCACACGAAAACGGCCTTGTCATATTCGAGTGGAAGGTTGTGTAAGGCCGTACGAACTGTCATATCTATATTAAATTGTTGTTTCGAAACGGCGTGTTTATTTAATATATGCAAGCTGATAGATGATGGATTTAGCTGGTTTCTTTAAGTGTTCGGATTATCTGAAAAATGGAATATGTAGAAATACACCCTTAATGCCTCATCTTTTCGAATATACCTACGGCAACTCCCCTATATCTCACCGGCAAGGAATGATACCTAGCCCGGCTACCTGCTGGCGTAATTTTCGACCGCCAGGCGAGGTGAGGTCACCTCAAGCTCGCCCCTAAATGCTGACCAAGTCGGGCGCCTCAACGTGTTGGCCTCCTGTGGTCTTCCGACGTATCACATTCGACTGTCTGCGGGACTTTCGCCTAACAGCATCCAATCTACTGGATTAGGTGGTAAGGAGCAACGATTGTCCGTTCCGTGTGCGAGACCTTTTCTTATTGCGTATTGTTGTGGCTTCGTAGACTTTGCTCCGGTAGAGCATCGGTCAAGAAAGCCGCCCTTTTTTTCTTTTTTTCTTCTTTTTGGCTGAGCAAGACTGTAAAGAAATAGTTATATATATTTAAAGTAAAGGAAGGATGAACTTGTAATACTTAAGGAAACTTATTATTGTAGTGATTTAATTGCATGTTCATAATTGCTAATTGTTTCGTCATTTGAAGATATCTGCCAATCAGATAGCTTGACGGGCAGATAATCGGTCTCACAAAGAGACGTCCCCAAGACACCAACTTCTTGGCCCCTTTTTGAACTATCACGGGTGGGAGCAACATTATTCTTATGAGTTGACTATTATAAGCTTAAAGGCAGCATGATAGACATGACAGCTAATACGGTTTTCATTAGATATGAAAAAGACCCTATTTTGTCATTATATGTCTAATATCTCCTAGCAATAAGATCGACACGGTTCGAAGGGGGGCTACAGGCTATGTGTAGGTATGAGGAATCTATTTGAAGTTTTTTAACTAATATCTAAAGGATTCAAATATCTCAGTTACTGCAACATCTGATATATTGTCTATTAAACACTGGTCATGAAAATTACATTAACAATATTAAATCGTAGAATATAGATGACCTGAGTGAACGAGACTCCAAGGCTTTGGAATATAACGTAATTACGGTCTGGGATTTCGTGCTTCTCATCACACTTTTATCGTCAAGACCCAACTTATATGATTGGACAAGAATCACTACAACCCGGTTCATAGGTAGATAGCTCCCTTGGAATAATACTATAAAGCGGTAGAATCACTATACTCAAATATAAACCACCAGTCCCGAGCACTGAGTCCCGTGTCCTGTGTCGGCTTACACGAAATGTGCATAGAAAGACCCCGCCGTGCCATCGAATCCTAAGTAGTCCTACAATGTTGATATAACTGCTAGATATGAGTAGATTCAATTTGAAATAAGAATAATCGCATTTCGAATTTCAAATTCGTTATATTTACTACTGTACCTACTCTAAACTATTTCCCATATATGCATCTTCTCAGGGAACCACTAAGATAAGTAGGCTACATTTGAGCTTCTTTAGCTAAATCTCCCTGGTCATAGTAGACGGGATGTCAGGTACTATCGTTATTCAGGATGAGGACAACCACCAAGGTAAGCGGATGTAGCTTTTCACTATGAAGTATCTCATTCTTACGGGATGTATCGATATAGTTAGATTCCAATACAGCTGGCAAGCACATAGTACCGCCATTACAGACGGCGTGGCAGGTTTCACACCTTGGCAGTCCATCGACATATTCTTTAAACAGGTTTCTAAGTCTCCTGTGTTTTCATGGCCTGGGAATATAGAAAACACTCACCTCTTGATCGAGCTATTCGCCGGCGGTTACCGCCGGACCAACCCATAGGATTTCGGATCTGCAGTAGCGTTCTGATTTGTGTTCGAATGCCTCTCAGCTTCTGCTGATGGATCCGGGAGTGTCGTTAGGTTAATCGTACCACTATCTCGCGGATATATTGTACGATCTGATATCATCCCATTGCGACTGTTAGACTGTTCGTTGGTGCGAAGCGCTGTGAGCTTCTCAAAGCCGCACCAGTTCTTCGATGGAGAGTCTATTAGCGCTGGGAATTTAGAACAGCTTCCCAATACCTTTGTAGCATCTGCGGGAGGCTTGCTTTTGAAACACACCGACACGCCCGAGTCGCTGATAGTTTCTCTGGATCTCGAGCTGCGGTATCGCTTGTCGTTCCCATGGCTGTCGACTCAAGTACCTAGACGCAAAACACTGGCCATTGTCGACGGAGGGATTTCTAGTCCCGACCATGGAGGAACTGGAACAAGCATATACGCAGCAGCCGCAGCTTTAGGCATCGATATGGTTGTACTCGATAGACCTACCCATTGGATAAACGACCCACGCTATATCCACTGGCGAAAGTCATCTATTCCATTCGAGACACCGCTCCATGTTGACTGCGAATTTGTAACCCGAATTGTAGACGCAGTGCGTTCGTACGAAGGCCAAATCGATGGATTGGTTACGTTCCGTGACCATTACAAAGTTTTTGTTGCCGAAGCTGCCTTGAGGTTGTCGTTGCCTACGTATCCCCCATCAGCATACGAGATTGCCACCGACAAGTTCAAAACTAGTGTCTCTGAGGGGCATCAAGCATATCAAGCTTCCAATTTTGAGCAAGCCGCTAGAGTTGTACAGGAGCAGAACCTAGAGTTTCCATTAATCATAAAACCTTGCAATGGATTTCTCTCAGAGGGCGTGTTTAGAGCGGAGAGTTTTGCACAGATTGAGACCGGTATACAAGCTATAAACACCGAAAGGCACGGCGTAGAGTTTGTAATCGAGGAATACTGCGAAGGGCCCGAGGTAGATGCGAACTTTGTTCTTTGTGATGGAGAAGTAATCTTCTTCGAGGTATCCGATGACTTCCCTAAAGGTGTGGATGTTAATTGTTAAGGCAGTGTTAAGATCTTCATTGAGCTTGCTAATGTCCTCCCGTCTAAGCTTCCAGAAATTGAACTTGAAATACTTCGAGACGAGCTTCACCAGAGCCTACTCCGGGTGGGGTTCCGGGACGGGTTCTATCATCTAGAAGCTCGAGTTGAAAATTCTAGCATGAAGTACACGACGAAGAATGGTGTCCTAGATTAACAAGGCGCACCATTCCCGCTAAAGGACCACCGTCTGCTTGGTTGATCGAGATAAACCCGCGACTACCGGGAATCCAAGCCTCGGAGGCGATCAAGCATACGTATGGCATAGACTACTGGAGTCTCGGTTTATTGTTTCCGCTCAACGACAAAGACCGCATCAAGCAGCTCTCATACCCATTTGCATTTCCACCCCCGTATGAGAAGGGCTCGCAATACTGGTCTGAGATGGTGTTTATCCCGGTCGACAAAGGCGGGGTGTACGAATCTGGAGATGTGTGCGCAGAGCTCTTTGATAGGCGTCCTGATCTCGCGAGTTACATCTCGAAGAGCTTTTGCTTCCTGAAAAAAGGAGATCGCGTATTAGGTCCTGCGAAGGGGGTGAATTCCTGGGTAGCATATTTTAATGTCTATTCCCGAGAAAGTCGGGAACATCTGTTAGAAATTGTTGATTTTATTAGACGGGAGGTTTCATTTTCCATCGTGTAGGAGTAATCCGGACTCGTAAGCAGACAACGAGTTTCTATATTCTGGTTATATCGAAGTATATAGTTAGGTATTTTATTGAAGAAATATTTTATAATTATAGGTATATAGGTGTAGTTTCATTGGAAGGTTGTGAGGTAAAGAAAAGTTAATTGATAGATAAATGGTAGGCTTTGATTTTGATTAAGGCTGAGAAGCAGAGAGGTAAATGCAAAAGAAGAGACGAAGATGTGACGTCAATCCTTAAGGGTCTTTAAGTTAATTAAGTTTATTAGCGGCAGATCCCCTGACGAACTGCTAGAGCTGAGGCATTCAAGAGCTCTGATTGGCTAGCCCTAGAGACGTGGCTTCTTCTGCCGCGTCGTCTAGCACCTGCTGCTTGATCCTCTAAAAGTTGTAGGTGTTACATGTACCTACCTAATTATCGACATGCGACTTCTACATGAGGTAGTTTACAGATAAGCAAGCAAATTTAAAAAACAATTAAGTGACAACTAGCCAATGTAAACAATACATCACTTAATTATTCATACAATCTTACCATAATCCTTCTCTCGCTGGAAAATTTCTAGCAGGAAAAGCACCTCCAATGTGAACACCTTCACGTGCTTAATTTCCTATCGCGCCTGGGGATCGCAGCTATGGATCTTCTCAACTTGATCACCTCGATCTTGAAGGAGACGCCCCCGCATACACTATTTGCGGCGTTTGCAGCATTGGTCATTGTTGCATTCTACGGCGTATGAATCTCACCTATCTACTATAATATGATGTCTCATTAGTAGGCTAACTTAGCAGTAGCTCTACGCCGTACTCCATGTCATCGCACCTAAACCCCGAGGCGTTCTCCCTTCCGAAAAGACTTATATCACTACCACACCCACCGGAACTGAAAGACGGCAGCTTCCATGCTGGCATGACCGATGGCTAGCCGACCGACACGCAAGCGAGGCTAGGGTAAAAAATGACGATCCCACCCTAACCGACATCGCAGACACCGGATCAATCGAGCCTGCCGAAGTCCGTATGAGCGTAGTTTTCCCCGCCTACAACGAAGAAGACCGCATCCTACCGACCTTAGAAGAGGCAGTCGAATACCTCGACGCCACATTCGGCCGCGACCCTCGCCCCAAGCCTAGCGCCCTCCCCAAACGAGCCCCCGTCCCCCCTCACAGGCACGTTAAGAACGCGCCGCGCGAGGACCTGGCCGGATACGAGATCATCATCGTGAACGACGGCAGCAAGGACCGCACGGTCGAAGTAGCGCTCGACTTCGCGCGCAAGCATGAGCTCCACGACATCCTGCGCGTGGTGACGCTCGAGCGCAACCGCGGCAAGGGCGGCGGCGTGACGCACGGGCTACGACACGTAAGAGGCGAGTACGCGCTATTCGCGGACGCGGACGGGGCGTCTAAGTTCAGCGACCTGGGCAAGCTGGTCGAGGGGTGCGAGGAGGTCGTCGACGGCAGCCACCGGGGCGTGGCGATCGGAAGCCGTGGCCACCTAGTTGGCAGCGAAGCCGTCGTTAAGAGATCGGCTCTGCGCAACTTCCTCATGCGTTCGTTCCACCTCGTACTGACTATTTTGACACCGCCGGCCACTTCGCGCATCCGCGACACCCAGTGCGGCTTCAAGCTGTTCTCGCGCGCCGCTTTACCTCACATCGTGCCGTACATGCACGCCGAGGGCTGGATCTTCGACATCGAGATGCTTATGCTAGCCGAGTCGGCGCCTGCCGTCCCGGTGCTCGGCAGTGACGGCGCTGTTATTGGCAGTAGCCCCGGCATCAAGGTTGCCGAGGTGCCGATTGACTGGCACGAGGTCGGCGGGAGCAAGCTGAATGTTATACAGGACAGCATTAAGATGGCTATTGGCCTCGCTGTGCTACGGGCTAGCTGGATGATGGGCGTGTACCGGCGACGGTTGACGTAGGAGGAGACGTATAGAAAGGGCTCGGTGTACAAAATGATAGAATAGCGACAGGCTATGAATTAGCCCATGCTGATTATATAGAATCAGCGCAGTCATATTAGTTATACTGCATGGCGTTTGATTTCAACGTTGCATACCTAGATATCCGGTGGAATAAATAGAGAAAAATTTCCGCCTTGACTTATTTATCCTACTTGCTTTAAGTATGAGCGGTGATGTGAACTGCGATGTGATGATTACGACCTTTGCTTTTGAATATCCGTTGAAGACTTACGTATAACATCAAAGCATTTGTATGTGTATACACTTAATATTAGGATGAGACAGCAGACTATAAGTAGGTAGAAAGCCTACCAATTTAAGACATCCAAATTCATCTCACAAGCAAGCCCTTAAATCATTAAATAGTTCTTATCAATCTCATTTAAATCATTATAATTAAATACTGATATATATCCCGTTAAGCCGTAGATCTAATTATTCATCTTCCTCTCATGTCTCTTTCTCTTCTTCGCCGGGCGACTGATATCAAGCCCAAACATACCGAACAGAGAGACGTATGCATGTATGTGTGTATCATCTTCTGAAGAAAACACCCCCCCCCTTTTTCTCATAATTACTTGATAACGGACCTCAAAGTCCAGGTTCCAAGTCCGCGTTCCTACTACTTCTTCTTCTTCTTCATCAGGGTATACCGAGACCAAACTGCCTCTTCGAACCGTCGCCACATTACATCACATCACATCACATCACACTTGATTTTAGGTAGGTAGGTAGGTACCTAACGTATTATCAACCTCTTCCCCCCCAACCCATCTTACTTACTTACACAAACGCCTCCCGATACATGACGGGCAAAAACACCCGACTAGCCGTCCACAGGATCCAAAACGCGTTCCAGAGCAGCACCGGCACCTTCCAGAGCCCGGTAGCTTTCCAATCCAGCCAGATGGCGACGAAGGCGACGGAGAAGAAGTGGTACGCGAGGACCAGGGGGTCGGGGATCAGGCCGCCCAGCATGCCCATGGGGTCGCGGGTGACGCCGCGCTCGAAGTAGGCGAAGCAGCCGCGCTGCAGCTTGGCCAGCTCGCTGTTGCGCGCGGAGAACAGGCTGTACAGGGCCATGGCCAGGACGTTGATGATGGCGGTCAGCTTCTTGCGGCGCCAGTGGAAGGTGTCCATGGCGCGGGCGACGGCGGCGGCGTCGGACAGGTCGGGGATGTCGGCGAGCAGGTCGCGCAGCAGGACCACGTCGTTGAGGGCGACCGTCATGCCGCCGCCCGTCAGCGGGTGCCGCATGTTCATGGCGTCGCCGAGGATCACGAGCCCCGGCGTCGACGACTGCTTCGTGGGCGGCAGCCAGCTGTTGGGCATGCTCTGCGGGATCTTGGCGTCGCGGTCGAGCGCGGCTCGGAAGGACGGCTGGACCGAAGCGGGCAGCGCCGGCAGCACCACCTTGGACATGTAGCCGCGGACGCCGCCGTTGGCCGGGGCCGCCTCGGGCAGCTTCTCGGGCACGTCGACGAGGATGCGGGTCTCGCGCGTGCCGATCTGGTAGATGAGGACGGGGCTGGGGGCGCCGATGATGACGTGGCCGAAGCCGGGGCTGGGCAGTTGGCAGTCGATTAGTTCGAGGGCGTAGAACTTGCTGCGGACTACCGGAGTTTCGTTGATGTACTGCTTGCGGAAGCGGGAGGCGTAGCCGTCGGCGATGATAGTTAACTGGCCGAAGAAGCAGTCGGGCTCTTTCTCGCCGGTGGTGGCGTTGACGGTTCGCGTCTCGACGCCTAGGATTTCTGGGTTGTGGTCGCCCTTGACGGTGCCTATGGCTTCCGTCTCGAATACGCTGATGTTGGGGTGACTGAGACAGGCCTTGCGTAACTGTGAGATGAAGCGGCCGTGGTGGAAGCTTCGTCCCTGAGGCCGCGGCGGCTCGTCGCTCTTAACCTTTGCGCTCCCGTTCCCGTTCCCATTTGCCTTCTCGTCTTCGCCCACACCAAGTAGGCCTTGTATCTGGGGGTAGGGCATGCGGACATCTTTGCCGTAGAAGAAGACGTTGAAACCGTGACATGGCTGGCCGTCGATGTCGTCGATGGTGTGACCTAACCCCAGTTTCCGGAGAGAGTTTACACCGCCTGGCTGCATTAATTCGCCGACGATTCGGTTAGGTTCTTTCAGCCATCTCTCGAGGAGGATAACACTCCTGCCCTGCTCGGCTAGAGCATATGCAACAGCACACCCGAAGACGCCGGCACCGACTATTACGACCTCGGCCTCGTGGTGTCTAGCTCGTCGCTCGGCGAGCGTTTCTACGACGACTGTAGTTTCGCTCATGGGGAACGGTGGGGGGAGAGTGTTTAGTCGGAGGTAAGCTTTGTTATTAAAAGGTGTATGTATAAATTAATAGAGAGGTCAATGATAAAAATGGATTGTCTTGTCGGTGAGACGGTCTTTGTCTTAATAGGTGGGTATCGCAATAAATATTAAGGTTCTAAGAAATGCTCTGTAATAGAATAGAATGAGAGAACGGGATGGGACTTTTTATTTATTTATTTAAATACGGAATAAGAGGTAGTTAGTCATTTTAGGTAGAATACATAATAATTAGGGGTCGTTGGAGCTAAAGCGAAAAGGGTTGAGTTATAGAATTGTAAAATTGTAAAATTGTAAAATAGTGGTGAATAAAATAAATAAAACTAAATAAATCGATCTTCTCAGGTCATGATGGTTCGACGAATCGTCCCATCTATAGTGATATTCATGTTCTACCCCTTATCGGTTCACCACGCGATTCCAAAGATTCAAGCATCTCTTTTTTCTTTTCTTTTTCTTTTCCTCTTGTTCCTGGCTGGCACATGCTTGCCAAGCCCGAAAGCCAAATTGTTGGAACCCACTGAGCGGTGTTAATTATGTCAATGACCCATATTATCCCCACAGTCAATTGTCCAATGGGAAGATATTAGTTTGATACATGAGTACCTAGGTACTTTCACATACACACACCTTGATACACACACCTTGATAATATGCATAGTCTTCCAACTTGAGAAATGGCGAATTAAGTGGCTATCGAGTTGAAATTTAACTGGAAGGTAACACGGCAAGTAGGCAATAGTTATATATGTAATATAGGTATGTTTCAAAGATACCCTGTAATTATAACCAATTATATAGTTGCCTAGGGAAGTATATCGAGATATATACAAATAATAGGCAACACTACGCGACAGCTACTCTAAAGGACCGCTGCCTTTTCGTAAGGATTGTTGCCACTGTTGCTTATATAGCCTTTACCACTTTCCGACGCCTGCATGTCCGCCAATGCTTCGTTCATGATTTTAAGAGTCTCCTTGGCGATATGTTGACTTTCCGCCCTGGTCTCTCCCCGCCGTCTCGCTACCTCCTCCTTAGCATACTCTAGAATATCTACTATAGCATCGATAGTACGATCGGGGTTCATTTTCTTGACTAGTCTCGTAGTCGCTTTCAGATACATATATACAGATCTGTCTGCAGCATACTCGCTTTTGAGTAAATCTTTAATTAATTGCTCCATCCCTTTCAAATCCTGCAGTTTCGGGTAGGACATGAGCAGTGCCCTGAAGCACTGCCTTGAGAAGCAGAGATTCCCAGCCCCGCTCTTGTCCACTGCCAGGTTGCATAGCGAAACCGCCTTTTCGTAGTGGCCTAGCTTAACGCAGAACATGGCCATGTGGGTGAGCACATCTGGACTGATAACGATATGCAATGCTTCAAATTGAGTAATCAGATTCCGCATGTGAAGCAGAACGTCCGCTGCTCCCGCCTGAAGGTTATCGAGCTGGAATTTGATGAATGCTGATACTGCTGAGCTCACATCATCGCCACGTATGTGTGCAGCCTGAATCAATCTCATCGCAGAAGTAGAGGCATTCTTGCTACTCTTCAGTGTCGCTAATATAGCTAGGCGAAGGCAGTGCGGGCAAGGAGGCATCCCGTATTTTAGGGCACGCTGGTAGATCGAAATCGCCGTCGCTGGCTTGTTATTGCTTATTTCTTGATTCATTGCTTCGTAGACGTCTCGCCTATTGGTCGTCCTCCCAGCGTACGCCAACTTATCTACCGCAATATGAGATGGGCACAGTGCTCGGTTGACTCCACCATTCCTGGAGGTTTTGCCGACCCTTAGCGCAGCTTGACTTAATATGCGTTGGGTTACGTCGTCGACGAGGGACGCGTCGATCTTTTTGAATTCAGAACAGAGGGCTCGTAGTTCATGGTAGGGCATAGCCCATTTAGTCCGGCAGTTGTGGAGGAGTGAATTGCAGAAACTTGAATCCATGGCATATCCAGCTTTGCTACAGTATTGTAACCATGCCACAAAGCCTGGCATGTCGTGGCATTGTCCGTATTTGTTTGCTACCATCGTGACAATATACCGATGCATGCGTACCCCTAGAACGCTGGTATACTTCGATACAAATTCGCGGACCTCGGCAACTGGATGGCTCTCCGCGAATATTTTTAAGATTGGGATGAAAGCGTCGTCATATTCATTTTCTTGTCCACGCTTTAAAGTCTGCATCTCGACGAAAGCATTAAACACGCCATCCCAGTCTCCGGCTTCGGCCATTGGCAAAGCTATATGACCTCTCAAGGCGACGTCTGAGGCCATCTCGGGATACTTCCCAAGAAGCTCTTCGTAATATGACCTTGCCAAATCGTACTCTTTAGCCTTGATTGACAACTCGACCATTGTACGGTAAACTCCCTGCGGATGTGTGATTTTGTCTAGCAGCTCTAGAGATAACATCCCGTTAAAAAGTGCCTTCACTGTTGGAAAATCCTGGTTCCGATTCCAATGTGCATGTAGCAATTTCAGGATCCAACGGGTTCGTATTAAACCTTCACCTGGGCAGTCCATCCGATAGATAGCGTCGATTACGTGCTCAGCTTTCAACCCCTCCAGAGCCTCGACAGAGGAGACGGCGCAATCGACTATTGTGTAGTAGGATCTGCTATCAGGACTTGTCTTTGAGTAATTCAGTAAGAAGTATTTGAGTACACTCTTGTGATCGCGGTGTTCGTGAAGCTTTTCTATAGCCCACCCCGTAAATTCGGCTGCATTTTTGACAACACTAATTACTCTCCAGTAAATGTTATGGACAACGCGAAATTCACCCAACATGAGATTTTGCGCCATCAATTGCTTTCCAAAATCTTCTAATTCCTCAAAATGCACCTCGGGCTTTTCTTTAAATGCTGCTAGGAAGATGCTAGTTGCCGCAGATATGGCTTCTTTGGGAAGGTTTCCATTCTCATCTACCTGAAGTAGGTAATGGTTTATAAGAAGTATGGGCTGATGGGCGTAGTATTGGGACTCCTCGAGGGGACCAGCACTGGTTAATGAAATAAGGAGTTTAGCAGCATCTTCTAAACGGCCTTTTGAATGACAATCTTCAGAAAGTCGAATAGAAAGAGCAAACCATTCTTCGTCCAAATGCTGAGAATAACACGAAAGGCATGCTTCGGAGAATTTCTTAAGAGCTCGATCTAATCTTTCTTCGTCTTTACTAGCCAGAATACTAGTTATGTTTGCGACTGCTTGGGCGCGCTTATTTAGACGAGGCTTAAGAATTGGCGCAGGACTCGTAGGTTGATACATTCCCCAAGTCTTATGAGCATTGAATCCCATTTCCGGAAATCCTGTTGGCCGCCGAGTGCTATCTGAGGGGCGGACTGTGCCATATCGTGCGGTTTGGGAGGACGATGGTTCGGCTTGTGTAGTGGTTATCGACGAAGATTCTAAGACGCCTCCCGATTTCAGAGATACTAGAGGCTTTGCTTCTGAAGAAATATCCTCGGGGGAATGTCGTCGAGGACGGGATCTGGGCCGAGGGTCATCGTGTGTCCTGGCTATATCATCTTCCACTTGATGCCATTGGAATTGATCACCATCTGTGAAAGTTGCTTCGTCGAAGTGTACCGGAGATGGAACTGCCATGCCATGATATCTTTTAACCGACTTTAATTTCTCCTTATTTGATACGGCAGTCTTCAAAGTGCTTATTCGTCGCCTTCGGTCTTCGACTATGACGCCGATTGCGCATGAGGTACCTAGGGCAATCCCTCGGAGGGCATGGATCGCAGCCTTCGACGGGATAGGCAACGGGGGTGGCATATTTGCGAAGCGTGTGCTGCCATGTCGAGGAAATGGTTTAGATATTAACCCATAGCATTTTTAAGCTAAAGGTTTACAAGTACCTAATAGAGTGAGAATGCTATGCGCCTAGTGTTGCAGTCGAAATTGTATAGAAAGAGGCTTCGCGGGTTTGCGGACTTGCTGAATCATTTGATGGTACCATGATTTGATAGTGATATGATTGACGTGGGTCAACTGCAACAAAGGTTAGCTGCAAACAACTGGTCCAATTTTTTGCCTTAGAACCCCCCACCTTGCAGAATATTACCTGCACTCTAACTCTTCACATGATTGAATATAATAAATTTTGTATATGTGCATATGCAATTATATAGATTAGATACATCACAAGCACTTACATCTCATCTAGGTACCTTACCTACCTAGGTAATGTTCAAACACTAGGTTATATAATTCAAGATATTTTAAGATCAAATAAAATTGAGATTTCTATCCGTCCGTCTATTGTTTTCCTCATGCCCCCCGTCTTCCTTAAACGCCGTGCGCTTGTTTTGGGTTGTTATTACAATGCCCTTTAAACCCTCCACCGACACAGGATCCAACGCCCCCTCTTCATAAAGGTTGAGTTAAGTAGACATGTCTGATCTCTCTACCGGAAGCCATACCTCTAGTTTTCGCAATATGGTTTGATACAAGAACAACATGCAACCGCTTTGTACACTGGTCCAGACAAATCGCGGGCCAACTCCTCTGAACCATCCGCCAACACCTTCTGTTTTATAAATTAGCTTGAGCCCCTTCATTATCGAATCTTCGTCTAATGGAATAGCACCAGGCCGCGGTGTATGTGTAGAGGGTGATGATGTGGATATAGGGCGCTTTTGTTGCTTAGGTTGAGGTGGGGGTTGTGTCTGTTTTGAGGCTGACTCTTTAAGCCTCGACGTAGTCTCTCTAGCCGAGCGATCTTTAGGTTTGCTCACAACCGGGACGGGGTCGATCTGGGTTTGTAGCCGGGTCTTCACTACGTCCAGGGGACAGGTGAGCACTCCAGCTAATCCACCGCCGGCAGCTCCGGTTAGTAATTCTAACCGTACTCCAATCTCTCGGCTCTTCTTATATTCACGGGCCCAACTTTGAAATTGCTCGTAGAACATAAACTGCAAGGCGGAAAATGGAAGGTCTCGATATAGAGTTGCCTTATATCCAGAGAACAATTCCGAAATTCCCTCTGTCCTGACAATGGTTCTCGCAGCATCGAAAGTACCGCGATAGTTGTATCCGGACTTAAAATAAGGGTTGTTATACCGGCCCTGAAGCTGAAGGCGAGTCTTCAACACCTCGGAGGGTACGTAGACTATTGATGCAGCGAAGTCGCCGAGAAACCCTGAGAATTTGTTAGTATAGGCCAAGGACAAGCTTCGCCAAGGGTAACTCTAATGCATACCAGCTACCAGATAAGAGACATGAGACTGGATTCCATAGTCTAGCATATGCCGCTTGCTCCATTCATAGGTACCAAAGAAGAGAACTGTGCCGGGGAAAGAGCCCATCATAGCTGGGAGCCATCCTCCGTACAACCCACGTCGAATTCCTTCCTGGCGCCATATTGTATAATAAGATGATCCTAAAGAAGTATATTTAGGTGGCATATGCGGATCACCTTGTTGTCGAGTTTTGACGGTATCGAGCGAGTGCATCAACATATCACCAGTAGTTCCACCAAACCCTCCTGCGAGCATGGTCTGTGAATATAAAAAGAATTAGCATGTGTAGTCCTACGCTGATGCACTTATGCATTCACAATAGAAACACTCACGTGGATATAGGGTGGGCGCCCTTCCAATTCCCCATTGTCGAAGGTCATCTTATACCCGCGCGACTGCGTCGTAGAAGTGATAATTTACTCCAAAGATTTGTGCTCCGAAAGTCCATCATTGGTATCAGTAACTATCTAAAAAAGAAATGGGTCGTTCGGCAAGACCAGCAACGCTACTAGAATAACCGCGAGTTATTCGCTCATAGAAGTCGCTTATCTATACAAATCTTTCGAGACTTATTGTTGCGTGAGAGGCGATCGCGCTCGAAAGCGACCACCTACTGAATGTTGAATCCGAATAAGAGTAGATGGTGGGAAATTTTCCATGTACCAATAGCACTAAATCGTACCTAATCGGTCATATCGGTTTACGCGCGGTTTATCACGGTCATCGCGCCCGAGTTGGTGGGAGCCTGTGGACCTTATCCGGCTTTACCTTATCTCTTATCTGTAATAATCTGTACCTATCTAATGTACCGGTAGACTGGGAGGTCAGATTACAGCATCTTACGGTTATTTGCATACCAACAATCAGTTGACATCACACATGGTTGTAGGTATAAAAGCTTCATTACGTAGAGAGACTCAGCGAAAAGGAAGATTATAAAGATACCAATGAGTAAATAATTGTTATTTCGTTGTTTAGTTCCTAATATTTCCTGCATATTCCCACCACTGCACTCTACCGAATCTATGTAGAGGCCACACGATGTGGGTGACCTTGCCAGTTATAAGATTCGTCGAAATTGGTCCATAATCGTTGCTGTCCCTGCTCAAGCGCTCACCTCCGTCACCCTCAACCCAGACATGTCCCATTGGCACGCGGACTGTAGGAGAGGGATACGGACTTCGCGTTTTTATAATATCGCCTTCAAGCCCGACAATCCTCTTAACAGCCTCTACCTCTGGATCATAGGGGTTCCTAGAGCTGGTGTTAGCATCGCAGGAACTTAGACTTGCCATTGTAAAATCATACCAGAAAATAACAATCATGCCTCGCCGCAGCCCATACTGCGCATTCAACTTATACTTGACTACCACATCATTTCGAGTCGTCTGGTCCTTTTCCGCATTAAAAAAAGGATACATTGACGGCCCGTTGATCCAAGCTAGTTCTCCAATATAGTGGTTGAACATAGAAACCACAGGAATCCATGTTGCGAAAGCGAATAGACGGTAACCGAACCTGCCAGCATGTTGATGATCACGTTTGATTCGATTCCATATCGGCCGGAACGCCATTAGGCGTTATCAATGAAGACCTCAACCTGAAGAGAGATCTTAATGTCACTAAACAAAGTGCTGAAGAACAAGACGTTTTATAAACTTTGTCCTCATTACAACAATAAACTTCGATTTTCCATAAATGAATCAACAACCCACTAACGACCCCAATTAATAAATACCCCGAGTACCTATTGTAGAGAGATATCCTTGTATACAGCATATAATTTTACTAGCACCGCATAAGAAAATAAATGTTACAATCACTACGCCTCTTGAAGTCATCCTACTTGTACCTAATCTCCCAACATCAACTTAACGAGCAATTTACTAATATTTAAAACGGAATAAGCAGTATTAGGCAGTTAAGAAGCATAACCCTTACAAAGCAGCTTAAGTCGTTTCAAGGTACGAAGACAGGGGCAGCAACTTGAGTATTTACTTCATTTCGAAAAAAACAAAATGCTCTATTCGCATGCTAGGTACTTTTTATGACCCGTGAATGTCAAAGACCTCTAGGTTGGTACCTACCCTTTACCTAGCCGTACACCCCTTGCGGTGGAACTAATTGAAATGAACCAAAGTCGAACGATAGCTTAGACAGTCTCAGGGATGTTATCATCGCTCTCGCTAACACTCTCGTCTCCGCTGACCTCTGCGTTCTCACGTTCGCGCTTCTCCATCAGCGCCTGCAATTCGGCATCATCGGAGTCCGTCACCGCCTTGGGCTCCATCTTGACCACGAGTTGACCACCTGCGCTGGTGATAGTGCTGCGGATATCTACGATGGCTTCCTCCAGTCGGCTTATACCAACGTTCTTGTCTAGACACGTGCTTGTTAAGACGTAGAGCGGCGGGGAGACTAGTCTCACTTTCACCTGGTTCTCTTCGGTATTCCGCGCCTCCGCTGTTCTTAAGGCAGCCTTAACAGCATCGATTCCGTCGTATTCGAAGCAGGTGACCTCGATGTCGGCACGAACTTTCGTAGGCTGAGGCGTCAAGCGCTTTCCAATGTACGACTTCAGTTCTTCCGCTACCGGCTCGCTGGGGAATGTGATATCGCTCCAAACATCGGGGTTCCTAAAATTTAGGTTAGCCGCAAGGAAGTCATAACGCTAGGTGCCGATATACTCACGTTATAGAGAGCTTGAACGCGTCGATGGAGTGGCCGTATCTCTTGTTCAGTGGCCAAGCTATGCTCTCGTATAGGGTTTCGATGGGGGTTTGAGTCTTCTCGGCCACATGGCGCATGATGGAATGAACCATCTTGCTCTTGTTGTATCGTTCCTCACACTTAACGATATCCTCGGGAGAGACTCGGCGCTTCGAAAGATCGATATATCCTAACACCCACCAGTCAGTTTATCTGTACGCCATTGTATATATTCTTGCTGCCACACATACCCTTCTCTTTATCGACTCGGAGGACAACCACAACTTCATTGCGACCAACTCGGATGAGTTTCTGAATACTTCGAATACGACGCCTCGAAAGTTCAGACAGTAGAATCATGCCATCGATGTTATCATATTCGAGCAGCTTAACATAAGCACCCATATCGGCGATCTAAACTGGGTTAGGCAAAATTGATGTTGTATAATGGTGACCTACGAACCTGCTTCACATTGACCATAACAAAGCTATCGATCTCCGGATACTTCTCCTCGTAAAAGCGACAGTTTGTCAACGACATCTTGGGCGAAAATAGTAGTACTTGATCTTAAAAATGTCTGATGGGCCCAAGATCGCACGCGCGCAGGCGGGGTTTAAAATTTCTCTGCGGTTCGTAAATCCAGTATGATACTCCTTCGCCGACAGTTTCTTGACAATCCGTCTTTCTTTTGCGTTGTTGTCAGTATTGCGCGTTTCGACGTGGGCGAACTATGCTGGTATATCAATTATTATTTTCGTCTTGTGTAGGGAGTCACAAATTTGTCAATGATGGAAATCTTTATGACCTGAGCGTGGGGTGTGGCACCTAAATGCTTTTGGCGGGGTTAATAGTAATGGTGCGAATATTCGTACCCGGTAAAAGGTAGACAATTGGCTACACCTGCCAACTCTTCTAATCAACATCAACTCTAACCTAAGGTTAGCTGAGTACCTCCCAACCTAAGCTACGGAGGGCGGAAGAAATAGTTAGCCGTGTTCACACTAGTAACAAGGAGACCCACCTGAGCACCTTGGAAATCAACTAAGAAGTTCCACCAAATGCACATGTTTTCGGAGCTTTCTTTCCTCTAATAATTCTACTTTTTTTTACTCTTACTTTTCAACCATTTACATAGCCCAAATGTCTCTGAAGCCGCAAATCCGCTGGAATCCCTTTTCTAGCTCCAGCCACTCGGCAGACAGAGCTAAACCCTCGCCTTTTCACCGCGCAAAAGGATGATACTCTCATCATGATACTCTAGTCGTTGGGTAGAAGAAATATTTAAATTCTTTTTTTCAGAGGTCTCACAGGTCTTCACACATAATACATAACCATGGATTCGTCTAGCGCCACCGCCGTTGAGATGTCTCTCTCGCAAGCCGTATCGACTATTGCAAACAGCTCTTCAACTGCTATTGCTTCGGCTATTACGAGAGTAAACGATGTTGCGGATACCCAAGGCTCTTCTTCGTGGCTCGGGCTCATCGCTAGACTCGTTCTTTATATACTCCACATTCTCTCGACAATTTTGTACTGGAGTCTTAAGCTCACAACAATATCTGTGCCGACGTTACTGTTCACGTTGTTTTCCACGAGCTGGACAGTGACGATGAATGCCACAACCTTGTAATGGTTCCACTTGTTCCTCGTAGCTTTGGTGTACTAATACTTAGAAATAGGGCGTTGATAGTGTTACTCATGTTCGCTGCGGTCACTTGGGTTGTGAGATATAGATACTTGAATATGTATTCTCGTCTGCCTCCAGAACCACAGCGTAAAGAACCCGATCTAGATCTTTTCCCGGAGAGCCACGAAGAAGGTGCTAAACCTGGCTTAACCAACTATCTCGACGAGTTTCTTAGCGCCATCAAAATCTTTGGTTATCTCGAGCGCCCTGTGTTTCACGAGTTGACCAGGAGTATGCAGACCAGGAAGTTGATTGCTGGCGAGACGCTGAACCTAGAAGAGGAGAAAGGGTTCTGTCTTGTTGTAGACGGGCTGGTTGAGATCTTCGTCAAGTCTTCCAACCCCAACCAGTCATCCCGATCCACTGGACTCGATGAGAGCCCATCGCAGTCTTCTTTCTCAGACGATGAGCAATCCATCCCTGGTCAGCAACGATATCAGCTGCTGACCGAGGTGCGGAATGGCAACCCCATGTCATCCCTCTTCTCGATAATGTCTTTATTTACAGAAGATGTAAAGCTCAAGTTACCGTCTGAGGAGAGTCTGGAGCCCAACAGTGCCAACAGCCATTCCCGTCATGAACGTTTAGTCAGCGGTGGTTTTACCCATGAGCATGATATGGCGGAGTTTTTAACTAAAGCCTCGGATCTTGACCCAGTCCATGGCGGTCGAATCCCGGTTGACGAGTCTCAAGTCACGACGCCATCTTCTCCTACCCGGCCTAGGCTACCAAATATCCCCCCTATTTCCTTAGATGAACCGCAAGTGAGCCACACTCGACCTGCTATGAAAAGAACAGCTACCTCTGTCCATCCCGATATCATTGGAAGGGCGACAGTCGACACGACTATCGCGATCATACCTGCTAGTGCATTCCGTCGGCTGATTCGGGTTTATCCTAAAGCGACTGCTCACATCGTCCACGTCATCTTGTCTAGATTCCAGCGCGTCACTCTCGCTACTGCATACAACTATCTAGGGTTAACCAACGAGGTTCTTCATACAGAAAAGAACATGATTCGCTACGCTACTTGTCAGCTACCAAACATCCTTCGGGGTGATGCTTTAGAACGCCTTAAGGAAAAGTTTAAGCAGGAGAGGGAAAGAGCCGGCGAAGAGGAAAGTGGCAAAGGAATTGCTTTGCATAATGGATCTACTACAAGCCGTCGACGTAGGTCTTCGACGGGCTTACGTAAGGAGGCAGCCATGCAAGCAATGAGTCGTGCTAGACCTCGGTCTGTGGTAGCATCTACGATTGCACCGCCCCAAGAACGCCTCTCGATTCATACCCCTAGCCCTGGAGATCTGCTGGCTAACGTCCACTTAGCCCGCAGTGGGGGGGCAGGATCAAGTGGTACCTTAGAGATACCCATAGCAGAATCTTTCCAGCACTCAGATACCTTTCAGAGTGGAGATACAAGTCCTCTCGCTCGGCGTACTTTCAACCCATTCGCTACCCAGAAACGAGCTCGCTTGTCGATTGATCCTCGTGAGTCTGTTGATGAGGACAATCTGTTCAGAGTGTCTATACTAGAATGTGTTTTCAAAGCCTTAGGCATGAGCAGCAGTGGTTCCTCATCTAGAGGCCCGGAGTCTACGGAAGGGTCCCCGAGGCTTGTCTCCTATGACCAGAGAAGGCAGAAAGCTGTGTTCAGCAGTAACGCGTTTGGGTTCATGGATCCTTTCGATGGCTCGACTGACTGGGATGCTGAATCAATGACCTCTGGCGGAATTTCGTCAACTGGCACGCCTAATGCCCAGTTTCTTGCGGCTGACATGAAGCATGAAGTGGAAATTGTTTTCTTTGGACAGGGCTCTGTGTTAGTCGAGCAGGGAGAGCGAAGTCCAGGACTTTACTACGTCATTGACGGATTCCTCGATATTTGTGTCCCTGCAGAAGACTCGGGAAGCAATATCCTGAGCTCATCTAGTAGAACATCCACGACGGCGATGCATAAGGCGGAGTCCGAAGAAGCCGCTCGACGCCCGTCATCTTTTGCTCCAACCAAGAAGCCTGACAACAAAAGCACGTCTGATGCAAAACGGGGTGCGAAACCGGAACGCCGCCGAGTAGGACTCGTGAAACCCGGCGGTCTTGCAGGCTATGTTAGCACTGTTTCTTCATTCAGATCCTTCATCGACGTAGTTGCAAAAACGGATGTATATGTTGGCTTCATCCCGCGGGCAACATTGGAGAAGATTGTAGAGAGGTATCCAATTGTGCTCCTGACAATGGCAAAGAGACTCACGAACTTACTCCCGCGACTCATATTACATATCGATTTCGCCCTTGAATGGGTCCAAGTCAATGCTGGGCAAGTCCTATTCCGTAAAGATGAGGAAAGCGAGGCTATTTATATTGTTCTCAACGGAAGGTTGCGATTAGTAGAAGACCGAAAGGACGGTGGGATGAACGTTCGCGCGGAATTCGGCCAAGGTGATAGTGTTGGCGAACTAGAGGTCATGACTGAATCTACGCGTTCTGGAACTTTGCATGCTATTCGTGCGACGGAACTTGTCAAGTTTCCTCGTACCTTATTCAACAGCCTTGCCCAAGAGCATCCTAATATCACAATCAAAATTTCAAAGATCATCGCCTCTCGAATGCGGTTATTGGTCGATGATCCATCAAATCCCGCAGGGAAGGACGGGACTTCTGGCACATCTATCAATAAGAGTTCGTCTACGTTGAACATAAGGACCGTTGCTATTCTTCCAGTTAGGTCGGGTATCCCAGTTGTTGAATTTGGAAACCGCTTGATGAACGCTCTGGCACAAGTCGGCACACCAAACGGTGCAACTTCGCTGAACCAAGCCGCAATTCTCAGCCATCTTGGCAAACATGCATTCAATAAAATGGGAAAGCTAAAGCTAGCTCATTATCTTGCCGACCTTGAAGAGAAGTACGGATTGGTTGTTTACGTTGCTGGTAAGTTTAATTCGTTCCTTGTCCACGTCCTTTTTTTCCTTGGTATGATGAGCAAATCACACCCAGAGCGCCGTCTATGAAGGCTTTAAACTCTAATTTTTTCCTGACCATAACATACAAACTCTCTGCTTGATTTGGGCTTCAAATTATACGCAATTCTAATTAGAACTACTAGATACGAGTGTGACAGCTCCTTGGACCCAGACTTGTATCACGCAAGCAGACTGCATTCTGCTCGTAGGCCTGGCCGAAGGATCCCCTGAGATTGGCGAATACGAACGATTTATGCTTGGCATGAAGTCGACCGCCCGCAAAACACTAGTCCTCCTCCACACTGAGCGTTATTCGCCCCCTGGCCTGACGAGAGGTTGGTTAAGAAACCGTGTCTGGATTAATGGTGGACATCACCATCTACAGATGGTCTTCGAGTCTAACGCTGTTGCCGCACATCCGCCCTCTAGGAAGGCTGGGCCGACCTTAAAAGAGCGAGTACAAATTCTGCAGGCTGAGATACAGAAGTATACAGTTCAGAAGATACGACAAAGGCCTTATTACTCGCCCGACGCCCCTTATAAAGGTGACTTCCAAAGACTTGCCAGAAGACTCTGCGGCAAGTCTATTGGTCTTGTACTCGGAGGGGGTGGTGCCCGAGGTATTGCCCACGTTGGTATCATCAAGGCAATGGAAGAGGCCGGCATCCCTATTGATATCGTTGGTGGCACGTCGATCGGCTCCTTTATCGGGGCCCTTTATGCACGCCATGCTGACGTTGTGCCTATGTTTGGTCTAGCTAAAAAGTTCGCTGGGAGGATGGCAAGCATGTGGCGTTTTGCGTTCGATTTAACATATCCGTCCGCGTCGTACACAACTGGGCATGAGTTCAATCGTGGCATTTTCAAAACCTTTGGGAAGCACCAGATCGAAGACTTCTGGTTGGAGTATTACTGCAATACTGTCAACATCAGCAAGAGCAGGCAGGAATTCCATACTAGTGGATATGCTTGGCGATATGTGCGAGCATCTATGTCGTTGGCCGGTCTACTCCCACCTTTATGTGACGAAGGCAGTATGTTATTGGATGGCGGTTACATCGATAACCTCACGGTGTCCCATATGAAGTCTCTTGGTGCCTCTGTTATTTTTGCCATTGATGTAGGCGCCATAGATGATGATACGCCTCAATGTTACGGAGATTCGCTCTCGGGGTTCTGGGCGTTCTTCAACCGATGGAATCCTTTTTCAAACATTCCAAACCCTCCTACGCTAGCGGAGATTCAAGCTCGATTAGCCTACGTATCGAGTGTAGACGCCCTAGAGCGCGCCAAGATGATACCGGGATGTTTCTATATGCGCCCGCCGATCGATGAATATGGAACTTTAGAGTTCGGGAGGTTTGACGAAATCTATGATCTAGGATATAAATTTGGCAGGCAATACCTTGACCGCCTAAAGGATGATGGCGTGCTTCCATTAGTCGAAGAAACTGAGGCAAAGAAGGCATTGCGCAGGACGATGGCGCCCCGACGTGCGAGTATTTGATGATAGCGATCTTTAGTAGCGTTGTTATATATATTTGTTGTATACCCAGTCATCATCTCAGATTCGCATACCAAAATGAAGTCAATGAATCAAAATGAACCTCTATAGTTGATGTGCTTCAATATATAACTATCCAACGCAATGAAGATTATCTGAAGTATAGGTATGTATAAATGTGACGTAGAATTCCTAGTTGCCCTCCGAAATTATTGATAAGAAAAGGGAATGTTCAGGGTATGCATTATCGTAGAGAAGCTATATGGTACCATCCCAGCGGCCATGTTCTCTCTTTCAGGCTATATAAAAAATATCGTCGAGGCGATCACCCCTGAATGTCTTCATCCGAATGCCTACCTACCCCGCACGTAAATCACCAGTAGCCAAATATTTCGTTCCAGATAATATGATGGTTGAATATCACTACCAGTTTGGATGCTCGGAGATCCACGGAGGTTCAATGTGGTGATGAGACCGCCAGTCCCAGACGTACATAGCTACCCTGAGCTACCTCTTAAACCGAGGATATAAGTCGACATGGAGATAACCATAATTAAAGAGCTGATCGTCTTGTAATCCAGTATTTGGTATCTTTATCCCTTTCTATATATCTAACTGACCTCGATAAATGCTCATCTTCAAAGAGACATTACAACGATGAAAATCAAGGAGGTATTACCAGCATCTTGCCTAATAGGCATGGCGTTTTCTCAGTCGAAGTTAAAGATTAGTGAGGTCCAACTTGCGATATTCTCATTTACCAAATATACCTCTGACTTACGAGCAAAAAGTGCCATTGGGAGACAGTATAACTGAGATTACTTGTTGGAGGGCAAAGCTGTGGAATGACTTAAAAGTAAATAACTTGACGGACAAGATCGAGTTCGTCGGCTCGATGAACAATACTCAGAGTTGCGATACAGAAGACGGGGAATTTGGTAAGCAGCACCACGAAGGCCACACGGGTTATCTCGCGATCGATGTAGCGTACGATCATATCGACGGATGGCTCAATGATACTAAGCCTGACATCGTCATGTTTATGCTTGGTACGGACGACATCGCTCGAGGACGACGGTTGGAGGATGTCGTAGAGGCATACACGAATATGGTGCAATCGATGCGGCAGTACAATGAACACGTACATATTATCGTAGGCTTCTCCGTCTTCCATCTAAATCAACAGCCAGCCAGCCATTTTGAGACATAATACTAAAAATAATCTCCAAATAGGCCAACACCGTGGTTCCGCTACCAGTAAATATGAACCCCGTGAAGAGGCTCAACGACATGATCCCAGACTGGGCGGTCGAGCAGAACAAAACCGAGTCGCCGATCTACGTTAACGACATATACCCGTTCCCGAATACCTTCCTGAAAGACGGCATACATCCTAATGATGAGGGCGAGGACCGTATTGCCGATGGGTTGAATTCGCTCTTGACGTGGATTATTAATTCGAATTCGACGGGTAATACTACTGTGTCTGGTTGAAAAGGGGGGGTACCCCGGGGTGATATAGAAGGGGGTGTTAGGAGTATGGGAGATTGTGAGTTGAAAATATATACTTCTACATAGAGAATAAAACTATATACGAGGATCACGGTCGATATATGTCTACCATATCCCAAGAAGAACTTCGTCTGCTGTCGCTATCGAGGAAGCCTCATCTCTAGTCTCAGGACAGGGAATAGCAATGTTCAAGCAATATCTCCTAGTATGAACCTAGGACGGCATATGCAATCAACCGCATGCAGCCTCCCGACTATTTTATATTTGGCCCCATGTGCAGCAAACCGATGGCTAGCAGCAGCAAACTGTTATCACGTTGCCTCCTTAGAAATGAACGTCGTGATCTAAGTGATGAACAATTTCTTAGGCATCATAAAGGGTTACGGAGAAGACCCCTTTTACATAGGTCAGGTAGGTATTTTACTTGGTGGTCCGCATTCGTATATTCCACACATCACCAGTATGCTTACGCGCACATGCAGCAACCTTGACTCATCTTATACCAGTTATTCCGGACCCCCACGAAGAACACAAGTCGACATGGAAGTAAACCCAGCGCGGAGTACCTTAGGTAGTTAGTAGGGTTCTAAGCGCGATACTACCTAACGAAATATCTAGGTACCGTACCTTACTGATCGGCTAACCTGCCCTGGTCCCAGAACACGAGAAGCCATCCATCGACATCGATCACCCTTAAGCGAAGGCTTATTTATTTCCTTTCCCTTGACGCCAGACACTCCAATCTGACATTCACTCACTTATCTCCTTCCCCCTGTCCTATTTCTGAGAACGTGATCCCGGTTCGATTCGCTCGCCATAAGCCACCTCCACGAAATCCCACTTTAACGCCGACGTGCGGCCTGGCGTTGGCGCTCGTTACTGACTGCGATTGGCACTGTTGTGTTGGGGAGGGAGGGTCGCGTAGGATTAATCTGGTTGCTTACGGTAGCAAACAACCGCATTTCTGACGACTTGAGGATCTGATATATGATAGGTTTGCAGTTCTCGTAGAGGTAATAGATAGTCGTCCGCGTTACGGGCTACGAAAGTCGACTTGTGTTTGTTTTGGCCATTGGTTAACGTCGATGAACATACGAGAGCTGATCTAGGGGTCTTATTTCCCTTTAGCCAGCCTACCTACCTTAGGGCTCAATATATCGCTGCCGTAGGATTAGGATCTTTATGGATACCTCAGCATAGCATATTAAGAGGTACCTATGTAGATAGTCTGTGTGGTACACAAGCGATACGCCGTAAAGCGATATTATTCCTTAAGAAACATCTAGCGGTAAAGTATACGGCGTATGGCCATTCATCAATACCCAAGGAATAAGTAAGATTCTCTAAGTCCGAAGACACAACTATCAGCGTCTCTCTTGTGCTTATTCTCTAGCGTCAGCTCATGTCTCAGCTTACATGCATCACGATAGCTCTCCAGACGCACAACCTAGGAGAAACCTGCCAAACTAAGATTAGAACGGGGTAAGATTCTAGATCCCGCCATGGGGGACAAGGTTACATTCGGCCTATGGCAGTGCATATCAACCACCCATCATGCATCTTAGCGTGCAGATGCCATGCGGGACACGTTCGGCACGTCCCGACCTCCCCCGTTTTCGATGGAGGGGCTGTCGTTACGAGTTGCTCTAGGTGGTGAAAAGCTTCCTTTTCATACCAATATTGCGAGATAAACAGCTACGAATATCATGTCCCAGACGAACCGATGTATAATTTATAGCCTCGAGGCTAGAAGCTGTAATAGCTATTATACAGTTTCATCTAATAGCCCGTGTCGATCCATACTCCAGAAATAACTATCCGCTCTTGGTAACCCACATTAAACTCCTCGTAATGCTTCGTAATTATTGTAGATCTATAACTGCAGAATGTACAGGTATACGCTTTGGGAGGCCATCCCATGCCGCTAGGAAATAGATAAAATATACCATGATAAAAACAACTTGCAGATGCATTGCTGCTGTGTGTAAACCCGTGATGAATACTAATAGCCTTCGTCTAGTGTGCCGCAGTGGTGGGTCGTCTCCCAAAGATCCACCACTTTCTCCGTTCTCGTTTGTCTCTCGGTTTCTTGTGTAATTTCCTCGTTTTCAGTGTGAGCTCGGACGAGTCTTTACTGATCTCGCTGGTCTTCGGTTCAGCTACGTGGCTCGCTCGATCGAGTTCAGAAGCAGTGGGACCGGGGGCAGTTGAATTCGACTTGGTACGCTGTGACGCATCGATCGACAGCCTGTACTTATCATTGCCGCTGCTGGATGGCCTAGGTTTGGACAACCTACGTGATCTCTTTTGATGAGATGAAGTCGAAGGTACGATTGCATCTTGTTCCTTAACATCTTTTGCTGTCGTATCTGCAGGAGCTTTGCCTTTTTCCACCGAAAGGTCCTGTGGCGTTTTCGCACAAGGAACGCTAGTGGTTGTTGTCTTGTTAGTATTCTGTTCTAAGCCGGTAGCTTCTTCTGTAGAACATGGCGCAGGTGGAGGGGCCACGATGCAGGGCGGTCGAGGTGGTGCAATAGCGGGACCGATAGATGTAGTGGATGGACCAAGGGAGGATTCGCTTAAGATACTCGCCGAGGAAGTGCTCTTATCAGTTCTCTCGGCAGCAACGGAGACTGGCGGGATGGCCGTCTCTGTGCTAGATATATTTTTATTTTCTAGCTTATATAGTTTGTTCCCGGTCCCCTGGTTTGCTGTATGAGATGCTGAAAAATAGGCACTTTTGGTCGGCGGCGGATAGTACCGATCACTCTTCACAGGTGCCCCGACAGTTGTTTGAGAGACAGTGAAAGGCGTTTGATATGACTTCTCGCTAAACGAAAAACTTTTCTGAGAAAGGCTTGGCTGATAGCTAGAAGTATGCGAAAGGCGGTTGATGGCCTTGTTGTCCACCCTTGGTTCATCATTGGGGGTGCTTGATATTGCCGACGTTTCGTCAAGAGGCGCATCTGTTTAGAAATTAGAGAGAATGTACGTATACCGTGGCATAGGACTTTTACCTTTACTCGATGTAATACTGGAGTCTCCAAGAGATAATCTCGGAACCGATGATATAGATAAAGGGGATCGTATGTATTCCGGTTCTTTCCCCTTGCCGCTTATCCCGCTTCTCACGCTTCTTATGCTTTCCGGGTGATTCGAGTTGTTGAGACCTTTTTGGGAGCCAAGTATCTGCGGGGGGTGGTACGTGAGTTTAGGCCTGTCGTTTACGTTGTATGGTTGGTAGTTTTTTGGTAGAGGAAAGACAGGAGTTTTATAGATGGAGAACGAGTCTCGAACCCGTGGCATGCCGGCCGCCTTACATTCCGCCCTTGCCCGCTCGATATTTTGCTTGTTCAACTCGATTACCCTGGCATTGTCTGCCTCTCTTGCGCCTGGAGGGGCTACTAATAACATATCGCTAGCAGCATGCGTGACTACGTGCTTGTAAGGCACCTTAGCAGGTTCTTCCTTTGCCTTCTCTGTCACTTTTTCATCTTTCTTCGATTTTTTCTCTTTAGCTTGTAACCGTCGCTTCAATCTTGAAAATAGAGACATGGCTAATCCGGATTGTCTTAGGATTGTCGAATTAGAGTAATGTATATGTAGTCCCCAGGTTCGCAAACGTAGATTGATTTATGCCAGCATTAGCATCGGTATCGTCTTACTAGAAGGACTTAGATTACACGGTTTGACGACGGCCTTCATCCAGGGTAGGCAGACGGACCAAAGTAGCAATCGAAAAATACTATAGATAATATGATGATTCCGTAGCGAGTGTTAGGAATCATAGGAAGAATAAGAGCTAAAGTTGTCTGGTCATACATAAAATAAAGTAAAAAAAGAATAAGTCCAGTAACGAGTGTCGGAGGGAAAGAGTGTAAATGATAGGGAATGGAATGCCGGAAGCTACGACGGCGATGGGTAGAACCCGTATGAACTTCCTATAATATGAAAGATAATATGAGAGATAAGAGTTTCTCCTAGAGCCTTGAAGAGATTGAAACTACTTTATGTGAGCATACCTAAAGTTAGAGCCGAGGAAGAAAATGTATTTGAAGAGCAAGATAAATATTTATTGCCACTCCAACGATACAGAACCTATTTCCTTATCGTGTGAGGTCGCATCGACAAGACTTCCATGTGCGGCGATAGATACCTTAGATGCAGCAGGTATGCATAGACGACCCAAGAGTTCGTATTTCGGCCAGCGCATCGGGGGAATTATACTGCAAGAGTGCAAAAGTAGACATAAAGTAGGCATCTATTGGCTTTCTTGTACTATTAAATTCGTAACTCCACTTACCTTTATGCAGTTGCTTCAAGCATGACGATATATACCCAGACTCATGGGTTCGCAAAATGCCTCCAATGTTTCATTGGTACATTGGCAAGCATATTAGCGAACTTATCAGCCCCCAAGTAGTATTACTACCTACTGATCACGGTCAATTAGCAAGGCTAGGGTTGATGATAATGAGATTGGAGCTTATAAAATGTACCAATTCTTAAAAGCTAAGTGAAGCTGAAGTTATTACTTTAAAAGTTGAATATTAAGGAGATTAGGTGTGGAATAGGAGTGGGGTGTAAGTACATGTAAGGTACCTTGGATAAAGAGGTATTATAAGCCTTAGGTACCTAACTTTTTGTACCTTTCTATCCCCTCGGGTCAGATTAGGAGATATTTAGATGCATATATCTTACATAATTCGAGTTTCTGCTAGATGATCGAGATATACTAACCCATAGTCACAAATACTACATATTATAGTATACAAATACTTATTTCCATGTGCTTACCTTGGCTATTACCTGGTAATAAATATTATGTATTTCGAGATAAGATGTTATGAGTCGGACTTAAAATGAGTGTTCCGCGATTTATATGAACCTAACTAAGTATCCTATACTTTGATATTCATACACTACATGTTATAAAGATTCTAAGTAATATAGTTTTTAAGAGTGTAATTCGGGTAGATATCTGGTAAACTAGATTGATCTATTAAGCAGAGTCGAATTTATCTCATATTAAATAGAGATAGCACATGCTTAAGCTATCTATTAGGTACCCAACTAGACAACGGCTCAATCCTTAAAGAAGGATCTACTTCTCAAAGGGTTTAATATTGTGTAACGAGATATAACACATGTTAAAAGCCTCATTCGACTAGCGTTCCCTAAAGAACATGAATATACTTTTTAAATTTATTGGGACATTATATCAAATTAATATTTACATCATTGAAAACAAAAGGGGCCTGACTTCCTCCAGCTGAGATGGGTAAAGGACTCTATGCCACCACTTAAAGCAAAGCTAAGTCTATAATACCACGTATCCCGCAATATGCTTTATAGTTGCAACTACGCAACTACTTATGCCATTTCCTTGAACTTCCGGAATTCTATGTACTTTCGGGGAAGATCAGCAGCATTTCCTTATAAGAGAATGTTGTACAACGTCAAATGCGGACGTTTAGACAATAAGACTAACCAAATGCGACACCTCTCTATCATTGCGGACAATTCGATAGTGCCCCTTTGTATATGCAAAATATTCAAAGTAACTCTAAATCTCGAGTCCCTCCATTTCCACAACATGCTCCTTGTGTTGACATTTAGAAACTTCTCCAAACCCTTATGCTAGCATTTAAATTCGCCTTATAGAATTATAGAGATCTCGAGGGAATACTAGCAAGATGGTACGACCGCCTCCACTTAGTAAGACAACGTAGGTCAACCTTTGGCTATTATAATTAGAGACGGGCTGATATAATATTAGGCATATAGTCAGCTATGACCCGCCGGATAGTTCGAGACATTTGCTAGCAGACGGTTCACGTTGGAAAGCATCTGCAGGAGTAGGGAAAAGAGGCCCACCACAACCTGCGAATCGCTATAACCTACTCTTGTATCTTAAAGGTATAAGCCAAGATCAGGACGTTCAGCCTCTTGTTAGAAATGCCTTCATGAGTAGGAAAGATCTTGGGGTAGACTACGTACTATCAAACGCTGGAATATCAGAAACCAAGTTGCAAGGAAATGACCACGCGGCTGCTCTTATAGCTGAATGGGACGCTGTTATTGAGCTGGCCAGGATAATCTGGCAAGACCCAAACAATCTCGAAGACTGGATGACACACATGTTCTACGAGCAATTTCGAGGGCGAATTCTGAGAGATGACGAGACCAAAGCACAGACGCTAAGCCGAGTATTGGGATGGGCTGATAAATGGGCTGAAGTTCGTTACCGATACTTAAATCATTATCTGCGTGATGACCCAGACCACTGGATGAGAGCAGAGCAGAGGGCTTTTAGAGATGCCGGAGACCACGCTAACGAGATAGTTCACACATCCTCATTGCAGGATGACTGTCTACTAGCTGAATCAAAGTGGTTTGTACCTGTACACAGGGCATTGTTTTTTGATGTTTACCGAATAGGTGTTAGGGAGGGCCGGCGATTGGGTACGTATATTCATAACTGCCTCTATAATTCGACGTAGTTCTAATGTTGATATATAGTTTATCTCGCGAACTGGACCGATCTCCCAAGGGCTCTTAGGGAGATATTCAGATGGTCAATCGACTATATTAATCGTTATATTCATTGGCGGGAGGGATTGATGCGGGCGGAAACCAGAGATCACTTAAACGAAGCACGCCGCAATACTCAGTTATCAACCCAAGCAAAGCAGAACCAGAGAGTTCAATTCGCAAATCACATGAAAACGAGCTTAAGGGGCACAGACGAGGCATATACTAGATTTTTAGGTGTATTACGTGTCTTAATGATGGAGGCAAGGGACCGATTGAAACTCCAACGAATTTCGTGGGAGGAATTTTTGACATTAATTGATATGGTGAGGCATCAACTTCGGACCTGTCGTCTGAATCGCCACAACAATAACCGGAACTGGGATCTACGACAGAATTGGCCCAAGCATTCAGGCCAAGATGCTTTCCCACTAAAGCCTCAAACTCCAGATAACAGGTTTCTATTCTAATATAGACGGAGAGGTTGTCAATTTGTTGTATTATAAATTTACTTGAGCTTAACAAGGCAAGGTAACACGGTGCACTACTATATTGAATAAGGATGTCTATATTGGACTTCTTTGAATACCTGGTTCTAAATTTAGAAACTTGAGTATTGCGTGTGTCTTGGGTGAAGAGCGTCATTAAGATAGAATAATAAACGAGTAGAGCTAGTGTTATATGTTAAATGACCATATATGAATATTGCCGTTGATAAAATTAGCCACGCTGAGCGACAAAAAATATGGAGGGTTTTCGGGATTTAAAGAGTTGGTTGAAAGCACCTATGAAGATGTGAAGAAAGTAAGAGTATCCCCTTGGCTGGCATAAGACAGCAACTCCATAACTTTCAGTATTAATATATACGGATTGGCTAGAAAAGAAGGAAAGGCTCGTGCGGTACTAAGTTAACCAATAATATTTGCGGGTTGCGGTTTTAGAGATTAACCATAAGACTTTTTCCTATTATGTTAGTGAATGACGTTAAGCCTTATGTACTAATACTGAAAGTTATGGAGTTGCTGTCTTATGCCAGCCAAGGGGATATACCTGTTTCGATATGTGTGGCGCATTTAAGTCATTATATCTTACCTAATCCACGCTATATTCTATCAATAGGTACAATACTAGGCCAGTATGTACCTATAACGGATAGCTGCAGTACCTAACCTATAGGTCAGGTAGGTATAGCTTGCTAAGCGCCCCTCTGCCAAGATATTTAGGTATTTGGGTACCCAATTTCCCAGTATCCCCCCTGCTATTTCATCACGCACGGACCATCTGACATATATTCAAGAAGCAGTAGTCCGAAAGCTCCAAAAAATCCCGACTTTAAAAACAACAGCAACATTACCGTTACCGCAGGTCGTATTCCTGATGTCTTCATGTAATAAACATGTAGACATGTATACATTGGAACTTGGGATTATTGATAATATTCTGCCTTTTTACATTTTTGTCTGATTATTATTTTAACCTGATTATTATAATCTCATTATCATTTCCATAACTCTCATTGTCGCAATCTCGTCCTTGTCTTTCGCGCCTCACCCAAAAAAAATACGTCACAGTCTAATCTGGGCACGTCCCCCCCCCAAAACTAAGAGAAGGTCCTCTCCACCCTAGGCGAAACCAATCTAGACCCTGTCGCACGGGGAGGATAATCCTAACCTGGCTGCGGCTGCCTTGTCTACACTAAGTAGCCCGACGCTTTCTCGACATTCACATCTCACGTCGCCTCATATCGTCTCAAACCATATTCATCATCCGCTGTTCACCATCCACCCATCCACCCATTTAACCCACCACGAGCCACAAAGCCCCATCTTTGCTTGTTCTTAATCAATCACCCATTACACCTTGCTTTCATTCTCGGCCCGCGCGTCCCTTTTTTTTTTTTTTTTTTTTTTTAATTTGATAGTCCCGTCTTCACCTTGCCACCCCCCTCCGAACATAGATTTGTCGCGTGCGCGCCCATCAATTAGCGCGCCTATCTTAAGGAAAAAGTGGCAGCGCTCACCCTCCTTAGCCAGGCCGACACCGAATTATCCCTTCAACAACATTTAGATCTTGCACCAGATCTTTTACAGTATAATCGTCTGGCTGTCGACGTCGAACCTGACGTACCGTTGACGATGGCGGCACAGCCCGTGCCTCATCCGTCGACGGATAAGAAACGAGTAAAGGTCTACGAGTTGCGCAATAATGACTGGTTCGATCGGGGTACAGGCTTTTGTACCGCTGCTCTCAACATTGTAAGCATCTCTTAGCTCGCGACGCGCTTTGCGCGAACCTTACTATTCCATCGCATTGGTTCCCTTCCTTGCCTTTTGTATTCTATCGCTGCTAACGTAGAGACTGATATTACCTCAGTCCGAAGATGGCCACCAAAGAGATCCACGAGTAATTGTCGAGTCTGAAGACCAACCGGATCGCGTATTGCTCGAGACAAGGATTTGTAAGGAAGATGGTTTCCACAAACAGCAGGGTATGCCAATGGCTCAATATAAAAACTTTGCTATGAAGTGCATGATTATTGACAGTTATCTCTAGAAACCTTGATTGTCTGGACCGAACCTACCAATGGCGTCGATATGGCTCTCAGCTTTCAGGAAGCTGAAGGTTGCGCCATGATATGGTATGGCTAACCGCACGCACTTGATTCTGATATATCCATGGGGAAAAATAGTGACTAAACATGTTGTAGGAAGTTCATTAATAGTATCCAGCAGCAATACCAGTCTGTGAATGCGCCAGGTATATATATATATTGATTCGCCTCTATTCACTGATAGGCCGCTAATCTGGTCTTATGTAGACGATAGCCTGTCTGATGATCTCGCCATGGACGGTCTAAACCCGATTTCCCTCCCCCCGGCTTCGATGGCAAACCTAGCCGAAATAGAATCGCAAATGCGTGGGCTTAGTGGAACGGTAAATGGTCGCGATGCCCTCACTAAGTACGTTCTGGCGGAAGATTATATCGGCAAGCTAATCCCCTTGGTTTCCGACGCGGAGGACCTCGAAAGCCTCAACGATTTACATCGCCTTTGCAATATTATGAAGATCATTATTCTGCTCAACGATACTAGCATTATAGAGCACGCCGTATCGGACGAAAGTGTAATCGGCGTTGTCGGCGCGTTGGAATATGACCCGGATTTCCCGAGCCACAAGGCCAATCATCGGCAATGGTTGGAAGGAGAGGGCCGTTTCAAGGAGGTTGTGCAAATCGAGGATATCCAAATACTAAAGAAGATACACCAAACGTATCGGCTTCAGTATTTAAAGGATGTCGTCTTAGCGCGTATTCTAGACGATAACACCTTCTCAGTACTGAACTCGCTTATCTTCTTCAATCAGGTCGATATCGTACAACATCTCCAGTCAAATGCAGCCTTCCTCGCCGAGCTATTCAATATATTCAAGTCTCCTCAAACCGACCCTAGGCGTAAGAAGGAGGCAGTACTATTCATACAGCAATGCTGCGCTATTGCTAAAAACTTACAGCCGCCAGCCCGCCAGACTCTGTACAACAACTTTCTCGCTAATGGTCTACTTCAAGTCATTAACTTTGGCCTGCGACACGGCGATGTAGCAGTGCGAGTTGGTGCGACGGATATCCTGGTGTCTATGATCGATCACGACCCGCAGATGATAAGAGCTATGATCTACAGGCAACTTCAAGAGAAACAGCCACCTTTGACGGACTCGCTTATCGACTTGCTCTTGGTCGAAGTTGATTTAGGGGTTAAGTCGCAGATATCCGATGCTCTAAAGGTACTGCTTGACCAAGGTCCGCCAGTACAGCAGGAGGCGTTTACGAAGGCTAATGGCGAGTACGGAGTTCGAGCTGCATCCAGAATACCGCCAAGCGCAGATCCGCAGCAGGATAACTTTCTTAACACCTTTTACGAGAGGTCAGCGTCGAGACTATTCCAACCCCTAATAAACCTGGAGGGTCGAACAAGCATGGAGTTTTCAGTTCAGCAGGCCTCTATCTTCACATATCTTATCGAGATTCTCTGTTTCTTTATCCGCCAGCATCAACACCGTAGCAAATTCTTCGTCTTGAATAATGATATCGTTTCCCGCATCAGCCAACTTCTCAGTTGCCCGGAGAAATTCCTAAAACTTAGTGAGTTTCTTAGATACCAGGTATTTGTTTTGGGGATGCTAACCCTCTCTTAGTTGCCATCCGGTTCCTTCGACAGCTGATTGGCCTGCAAGACGAATTCTACGTAAAACATGTGTCGGAGAAGAAGGTTATCGGTCCAGTCCTCGACGTCCTCATTGAAACTATGCCAAGAGACAATTTACTTAGTTCCGCATGCTTGGAATTCTTCGAATTCGTCAGGAAAGAAAATGTCAAGGACTTAGTCAAGCATATTGTTGAGAACTACCGAGACAAGGTTCAGAGGCTTACCTACTTGGATCTCTTCAGGACCTTGATTACGCGATATGACCAGACTGGGGGATTCAGTGCTAATATGGACTACTTCATAGAAGTGGACGACGAGCCGAGAAGACGGGCAAATATAATTAATCCTAAGACTGGAGCGTTAATGGAACATATTGCTATGGACCAGGCCGAGGAAGAGTATTGGAACACGTCTGACGATGAAGAAGAGATGCAGGCAAAACCAGGAAATCGAACGACATGCACAAATGGAGAATCAAACGCGAAACCCCTGGTCGATTACGCTTCGGACGAGGAGGGCGATGAGAACTTGGATGCCGGGGCGCTTTCGGCTGACGAGGACAGACAAGATGATGGGCCTAAGAAAGCAGATGACAATTCTGGAGATGTTGCGCCTCCGCTGGAACGCCTGTCCGAGAAACGCCGACGCGAAGAAGATGAGGAAGATGACCTGAGTAAGATGGTCCAACACAAACGTCGAAATAGCTCGACCGCCAGTTCTAGCGCGTCAAGCGTATCCGGAGTTCTTCGCAAGAAGAGGAGTATCTCGGGTGCCAGAGATGCGGGAAGCGCACCAAGGAAGATCGCTATCAGTCTCTCTCCGAACCTAAAGGGCGGTGGCGGGCAGGGTCAAGGTCGATCAGACGACGAGGCATGATAAGACCAATAATCTATTATTTTCTTCTCGGGACCCTATTTACGTACTAGCATGGTTTGGTTTCGGTACGTCAGTGATGACAGGAAAGGCGGCCGGCGTTTGGCGAGAGGGATCTTTTCGACCCTGTGTCTAATAGGGATAGAGCCTAGATACTAGGAGCAAAGGAGATGAGAGTCTAGGAACAAGGACAGAACTTCGTGGCTCGAGGGTCCTACAGAAGCCGGGATTGGCTCTGTCTCGAAAGTTCTGCGATGGAAAGTGTATGTTGTGGTCTCCGATAACCACAGGCCTGGAGAATGTCATGTCACTGTATTACTATTATAAGCCACCCTGGCAAAATAGCCCCAGCGTCTGCTGGTACGCGGAACGGGCGGGCGGAGACTGAAAACAGGGGGTTGCACAAATTAAAACAATGATTACAAAAATAGGCATGTAATTCGCACCTTTAAAACTTAGCTACTATAGTCTGGCTACTCGAATCACTGGATGTGATCCTGTACGGTTCTCTTAGGAGAGAATACCGTTAATTATTGCAATGCGTTGACTTCATAACCTAGGCTTTGATTTATAGTTTAGAGCCCGCCTCTTCGTCGGGCGAGGAGATTTCTATAACGAGTTTACCAAATTGCTTCCCATGTCTTATGTCCTCGAACAGATCATCGAGAGCCTTTAAGTTATCGAGTCCCTTGACTACACGGCTCACAACAGGTCGTATCTGGTGCTTCCGCACAAATTCTACCATATCCCGGAACTCGGCGCGCGACCCCATCGTCGTGCCCCGGAGATCAACGTTCTTCATCACGGCCTGCATCAGCCAATCCATCTTAGGCCCGACCGTCATCCCGTAGATCGATATCACACCCCCCGCTTTTAATAGCCGCACCGTCTTAGCCACAATATCCCCTCCCGCACCGTCAACAACCAGATCCAGGTACGGCCGCGACGCGGGCAGTTGTGCTGCGAGCTGCTTCTCCCATCCGGCTTCCTTGTACGATATCCCGCCCTTGGCGCCCAGCGCGCGCGCTCGCTCTAGCTTCGAGGCGTCGCCCGACGTCACGTAGACATTGCAGCCGAGCGCGGTGGCGAATTGCAGCGTGCAGAGCGCTACGCCGCCGCCGATGCCTGTCACAAGGACGTTCCGGCCCGCGACGTCGGTAATGTCGCCGCCGAATCCCTTCATCACGAGGGCGCGCCACGCCGTCAGCCCGACGAGCGGGAACGCGGCTGCTTCGGGGGGAGACAGGTGCGGCGGGGCGAGCTCAACTTCGTCCGCGGGCACGAGCACAAAGTCCTGGCCCGCGCCGGCCGTGTACAGCGTGGTGCCGCCGATGACGCTGAACTTGCTCGGGTCCTCGGGGCCCGCGGGCGAGCTCGACCAGCCGCGGGACGGGGTCAGTACGACTTTCTGGCCGAGGAGGGCGGCGGAGTGCGATCCCGGGCCGGACTCGACGACGGTGCCGAAGCCGTCGGCTAGGAGCGGGTTGGTGAAGGATATCCCGGGGTATAGGTGTTGCCGGATGAAGAAGTCGCGGTGGTTGAGGGCCGCGGTGTGGATCCGGATTAGGACCTCGTTGGGGCCGGGTTTGGGCTTGGGGACTTGGACGATTTGGAGGCTGGGAGGGGGGTGTGTTAGTTTGGTGTGATGTGAGGGATGAGATGGGGTGGAAAAGGGGAGGGGGAGGGGGGGGGGTTACGGGTAGTAGACTTGGCCGGGCTTGCCGTCGACTTTCTTGATGATGAGAGCCTGTGGCATCTTGGGCGGGATTTTGTTAGTGGTTGGTTGGCTATACGATTACGATGATGGCTAGGTTAGGTACTATTATAGATACTGCCATTCAATTCAAATAAGTCGGGAGATGTTACATGGATGTAAGGGGTGATGTAGGAAGTAGTGCTGTCTATAAGTAGTAAAATACTAAGGTTAAAGTTAATGGTAATTGGCAATATATATATGTATGTATATTGTATACCTAAGTAAGGTATAACATGTAAGGAAGTCTATAGAGCTACCTTAGGTAAGGGTGCATCTAAACGTGGTTGAGAGTTGCTATATTCTACGGCTCTAATTTGTCAGCTCTGGGACGTCATTTACGATATTGGGCTAATCTTTCCCCGCGGGGTGCTATAAAACCTCGGTACCCTCCAGCCTACCTAGGTATAATAAAATGGACACCCGCAATTCTATATGCGCATGCTCGTCTGGTCTAAGCTACGTAATTCTGGTGGGGTAAAATAAGGTTATTTTAGAGATAGGTACCTCCTAGCCTAGGTTAGGTAGTACATAGGTGTATTATGTACTTAGTAGGTGCTTTCTATAGGAGCTTTATCTTTCATTTCTACCTTCCTAGGTTATTTCTTAGGTCAAAGGAGTGCACCTGCTAAGTATAATAAGATGCTCGAAGCTGGAAGGAAAGGGTACCTAACTTAAGGTACATAGAAAGAACCTTAGAAATTACCTTAGGTACCTGCGCTCATATGAAACTTGCCTTCTTCTCAATTGTATTAGACTTCGTCCCTGTAAACAAAACAAAGACATCATGCCCATATCCTAGAATTCGCATTCGGCTCGAGGTCCGAAAACGGCCATGACTTCTTGATTAAACCCTTTGACCCTGTGGCTGACATTCATTTCTTTCAAGCCTAGCTATGGTAGTGATCGTCAATACTCAATACCGTGGCATTGCTCTATCTCGTTGCCAAGTCTTCTCAACATTCTATTTCTAGAAATAGGCGAGACGTGGCGTCCGTAACTAGGTACTCTACATACCTATTCGGGCTTTGCTATCTTAATGCGACCGAGGCAAGCACGTGTATCCTAGGACTTATAATATCAACCACTGTTCCGAGTCTTTGGGTCCGTTAGTTCGATTTTAAAGGTTGCATAATACCGACGGTTGATAATCTAAGGGTTAGCAAACCAAGCTTGGCGAAATCTCACTCAGCTCTCATACAAAGCTCATATGCAAAGCTGCGAAGGTATCCGTGAAGACGGTAGATATATCTTATAGATAAGTTAGACGAGGAAGAGAGGTAATCAACGAATCCACGACCTGGGAACTTAGGATCCGTAATTCGGTTCCAAGGTTAAAGGCCCATAATTCAAAGCCGTTATCCCCACTCACTTCGGCGAGGCGCACGGATAAGATCCATGCGAGATCCCCGATACCCTTAACTCTTAGTGATCGCCGTCTACTACAGTATATACGCCAATATGCCAATACGTATATACTCATCAGCCTTGAGCTAAATTCCGGGTCCTCGTGCTAAAATATTAGCGTTTCACAATAACGTTCTCGAAACATGGATCAAATAATTCGAGGAGGATTTCGAAGTCGCGTAGAAGTCCCCGCGTGCAACCATCCGCTCACCCCCTTGCGCATAACGTGCCATCCTCAAGTCTGAAAGGGAGCATGGGACTACCAACTAATAGCATCTATGGAAATATCTATCCAGTCAGAACGTACAGAGTGAAATAGGAGGTCAATATGGCACCTATATAGCATGGAATTATATGTCGATATGATATAGATGCTGCTACACTAGCGTCGCCGACCGTTGAAATCGATATGGGACTTGTGCAGCGGGAGGACATGGATAGGGGAAATAAGGGAAAGTTCCCTAGACTACTAGGTCACCATGTGTTTGGGTACCCATCTCTACATCCGTTGCGGGTCCTTTTCTAGGATGTCTAGATTAAACGGAGAAGGGTCTTTGATGGAAACAAAGCTTCGAATGGACTAGAGTCGCCGACTCAACTATACAATATGACTCGAATATAATAACACACTATCAAGCTTTTCAAGTTCGAATTCACCACTGAAGATTCTTCGCCCATTCTTTTTAACTATTCCTACTGGAGCAGTTTGTTCTGCATCAAAGATACTACACGCTGGTATCTGAGAACATGTCTAGACCTTTCGTATCTGGCGTCGCCTTTGGTGCTGCTCTAACGGCAGCGGCGATTCACCTACCAGATGTCATCGTCGAGCAAATGACCTTTCAGAACTGGCACATGGTCGTCACATTCCTAACAGCTTCTGGTACTAGCACGTAAGACTATGTTTCTCCTTGATAAAAAATCATGATTACCTTCTCAAGGGCGTAGTGTAATAAATAACTAACCTCTGAAATAGTCTCCTTGTCAACACACTACAGCGGCTGGGTTATCTCCGCTTGAATCCGCGAGACTATTCGACACTCGGCATATTTGGCGCTCTCGATGGAAATATAATAGGAGGGTTGATTCTGGGTGCTGGCTTGGCCGTCTCTGGGTCCTGTCCAGGGACCGTTTTTGCACAAGTAGGGGCCGGTATCCGCTCTGGCCTCTATACACTCGGCGGAGGGATACTTGGTGGCATAATCTGGTCGGGTTTCCTGCGGCCGGCTCTTCGCAACCGGGCGAAGCCAAGTACAGAGCCATCGGGTGGTAAAAGCCATCACCATTTAACTTTAGACAAGTGGACGGGCACAAGCTACCTGGGAGTACTTGTTGCGGTCGAGACCTTGTTTGCGAGTGCCGTTGCAACGATAGTCTATCTTGCTTCCCCTGAATCTAGCGGATTGGTTGGTCCAGTCACAGGTGGTATCTTGATTGCAGGTTCTCAAACGGTTTCCATCGTCACACGAAAGTCTCTTCTAGGAACTTCAAGTTCCTTTGAGGAAGTCGGCGACTATTTTTGGTGGGCAGTAGGGCAGAGAGATAGGCCGAAGTCACACAGCGCCATCGCACTCACTACAGGTATGATCATAGGGGCACTAGCTGTTTCTCTTGCATCACCAACGGCGCATGTGACACCAGACATCACCATCGAGCCCATTAGAGCAATTCTTGGTGGCGTGCTCCTCGCAGTCGGTTCGAGGATGGCAGGCGGCTGCACGTCTGGTCATGGGATTTCCGGCATATCGCTTCTCTCGATCCCAAGCTTTGTTACTGTGGCTGCTATGTTTGCCGGGGGAGCTGGCATCGCCGCTATCATGGGGTAATCCAACCATTCAAAGAGCCGTGTTATTCTGTGAGGATCATATTCCCCTTGGGACGGATCTTACCATCTCGGAATAGACTATCCGATAGGGTAGGAACCTTCGTTGCACGCATGGATAATAGTGATTGTTTCGCGTTGTAGTTTCGTCTACTACGCTCCTACTCATCGGTAATAGCAAGGTAGCCGGTCCAGTTCACTTATCCCCGAGAGGCAAACGAGTTAATATATCGAGGCTAGCATAGTTCATCTAGGAGAAGGGTAAGGGGAATAGCCCTACTACAACCAGTACCTACTCAATAAAGCCCGGATTTAGAGAAGAACGGCGTAGTGCGCGTCGAATATTCGTCTTACTGAGCAGGGGATCATGAAAATACATACCTAAAGAGATCAGCGATGCTCACAAAATGGTCAAACCAAAGACGGGATACCACGAATATGGTGAGCATGTGAAGTAGGTAGTCGGGCGATAATACTCAGCCCGGGAAAGCCGGGTCGGCGACCGAATATATTTATAAGTCCTGAACTTGGATTTAAGGTACCCATTTTCCCTTCTGTGTCGCCGTGCGACGTCGGACTCCGGCATTACTACCAATGGAGGAGGTCCTGCAAAGTAGTATTGCACGGATGGGGGGGAGCGGGGGATAGTAAGCGTATAGAGTAATGTCTCGGCCATACCCGGCCAACCATCCCCCCCTTTTTATTAAAGGAAAGCCTCATTTGGTATAATACCTCCGCGCTTTTCTTATATATATTGGATACACATGGGCAGACACTGCCTCCCGCGTGTTACACTACGTTTAGGATATATGTGACGTATCGCGCTCCATCACAAGTCTTGATGCCTTGGTAGTTAAGGCACTGACTGCATGCTTGGAGTATTATAGTACCTCGGCGATTTGAGATGCATATACACATATACCTACCTACCTACCTACGGTATTTATTTATATAGCCTATTAACTACACACTATCTACCTCACCGCACGTGTCCGAAACACCAAGTCGTCTACTCCCTCCTCTGCTCGCCGACAACCACAACGGAGATATATCGCCGGAGGATTTGCCATGCGTGCATCATATCTAACGTACGTACGTACGCACTTCCTACTACCGACTGACCGCCACTTCGACGCTCTGCATGTCATACCAATACCAAGAATATAGCTTGCTCTTTCGACCATCCATGAGTCCATGAGCTCGACACATGTGTCGGTATATGTCCCTACCTACCTAGGTAAGTAAGTAACTCCTTACTTACCTTGCTCTCCCATCTCTTCTGACCGCTACTACGCATGCCTACCTATATCATATCATTGGATTAGTATAAAACAAGTACCCTAGCGAAAGGATCAACCTGTAGGTCAAGCAACCTATCTCGCCGAAAATAGCTATATTCATACGTCTGCTTCAAGTACCTACCTACCTAAGCATATGTGGGCATATATCTAGCTACACACCGACTAACTCGACCTTTAAAAACTCAATGTCCCCTTTTCCTTTTTTGTTTTATCCTCCCTTAGTATTCGATCCTGTGATGTACTCCGTATGCGGGATTACCGATGATCCACGTGCTGACAGGAATATATAGCTGAGGTACGTAACTGTAGCTTGGCTGCATATGGCCATCTGTGTAGGAATGTAGGCTGTACATAAAGATATTGCCGTTTATGAGTAAAATATTCCTGAGAGAGAACTACTTAAATCGAGATATCAATAACTTAAGAGATGAATACATGTCTAAATATACGACATACTAAGCTTATATACTATCATCGTAATATGATAACAACATATATGGACGCAAGCCTCGCTAGACTCCCACTCACCTTCCCAAGTTATGGGTCAGGAGTAGTAAATAGTAGGCTCAGTTCAAACATAGCACAAATATAAAAAGGCACAGCCAGGGAATTCAACAAGTTTGCAATAATGCGTAGTTATGTACTGTACAATTCATTACGTGAATAATTTAAAAGCGAATATCGAGCTATCTAGATAGGTAGGCTATCGGGCTGTCTCAACAAGGGGGCACCATAATATGCCAGAGTCCATTAGGCACGTTTCTCCCTCCCAGGAATGTCATGTGACCGTCATCGTAGATAGCAAGTTAGGAGATCGTTTTTCACCTTCAAAGGGAGGCCCGACGAACCCTGAACAGATTGTAAGGCATTACAATTCTGAACTGAAACCTTGGTGAAAATGGGTTAGGCTAGATTGCCTTGTCGATGGGGAGAATAGGGTAGTGGGTGTATTGTCAGTATTTTGTCATAAGAGAAGGGAAAATGATTCGATGCCCATCGAATGTCATCTGATGGTACAACAAATAGCAAGTGAACTTGGCCTTTTTAGAGGCAAACGTAGCTTCTTACAAATTAGTAGAGTATGGTGGGCGTGAGATTATCAACCTCGTACTCAACCCAGGTAATTGTTGGGGAGTAGAATTTAGTAGTTCAATTCACCACCTCCTCCACCTGCAACATGGTCGAGATCTTCGTAGCTCTTGAGGCTACGGCCTTGAACGGCTTCACGAGGACCGACGGCTGCTCCGCCTGCGGCACCATCGCCCCAGCGACCGGCACCACCCCTACCGCGGCCTGCACCCTGTCCATCCTGACCCCAACGTCCCTGCTGTTGCCGCCTGTCATACGGGCCGGTACGGTTTTGAAAACGTCCGGAATTAGCACCGCCACGACGGATAGGGCCTGCACCACGTTCCTCGCCTCCCGCAACCCACCCGGGGGCTTGGGCATTATGACCACCCGTGAAGAGCGGAGGCATCCCAGGAATGCTGGGGAAACCGGGGAACTGTGGGACCATATTGTTCATGGCGAAATTCTGGAGATTAAATCCGCGAGGAGTGCCCTGTTGAGTTTGACCATTGGAGGGCGGGAAATGGCCGTTGCTATTGGCATCAGTTCTCGAAGGCGCAATGTGAGCAGGATCAAGAACATATGCGTTGATAAGGTCAAACTAAATTCATGGTCAGTTGGGGCTTTCTTATCATCGAACAGTACTGAATTTGAATTACCTCTTGCTTCATAACCTCTAGCCAATCAGCGTGGCGCTTCTCCACGTGCTTCTTCCAAAAGTGATCCTCTTTGAAGAGCTTCGTGCACTCAGGAACTTTACATCTCCATTTGTGTTCATCTTCTTGTTTGACAAATTTGGAGAGTTCGTCATTGAGAACATCCTCGGTAGGCTTACCACCGAGTTTACGAATGTCTACTGACTCAGGCTCGAGGATTTGCATAATCTTGTCTTCGAACGTCTTAACCCACTTATACGCACGTTCAAGCTGCTGCTCAGATTTAGAAGATGCGTTACGGAATTTGCGATCAGGCTCAGGCGCCTCGCCTTCTTCCTCCTCTTCCTTCGATTCCTTAGGTTTCTTAGAAGGAAATGCATCTCCACTGGCACTAGCCCGTGCTACATTCTTGGCAGCGGAAGAGAGTGTGCTTCTGGGTCGACGAAGATGACCACCGGGACACTTTCGGGTCAATTCGTGAATAGAGTCGCTCTCAAAAACACAGAAGAAGCAGAAGTTGAAGACTCGGCGAAGATACTCAATCATAAGATCGAGCTGCTTCTTCTTTACCAGAATGTCTTCGTCATCGACTTCATCATCTATGGCACCCTCTTCGTCAGATTCGCCCATTTCTCCTTCTTCACCATCATCCATTGCCTCATCAAAGTCAAGATTACGATCCTTCTTAACCCTCTTCGCTGTCGGCGATGATATAGCCGGCTGTAAACTTCCAGCGCTGCGTAAGGTTTCCACTCTTTCTTCAATCCTAAGTGTAGCATTGAAATCTGAACCGAAATCTTCCTCGAACTTATTGACGAGTCGCTGAGCAAGGCCAAGATCTTTCTCGATTCTTTCAGGAGCAGAGAAGAGATCCCACAACGCCTTCTTGCGAGGATTGCTTGGGGGGTTGTGAACACCTACATGGCACACAAAGTCGCCACGAACTTCATCCTTGACGGTCTTACCATTAATAGCCTCAAGGGCCTTGTCAGCTGTTGTGGTAGCTACGGGTGATTCTACCTTCATCTCGTCTTCCTCTTCGTCTTTCGGATCCGCACGTTCAACAGGTGCTGCTGTCTCGGATGAAGGATGTAGCATTACCCAACCCATGCGGTGGTATCTTTTGCTGGGATTAGGATCGCTGAGGGATAGCCATTTGAATCCACCTTCCTCTTCTCCAAGATGCTCTTTGCAGAAGGTTTCTAGATTTTGGCGGCTAACGTGAGGAGCAATCGTCTTGATCAAGAGAGTAGGCTGATATAAGCTTTCATCCCGGAGATCGCTCCCGTTTGTGGGAACTAGATCGCCGACTCCTAGAACTTCGTTTGCGGCCGTGGCCTCGCCCTCTTCCTTTTCTACAATTCCACCGGCCCCGTTGCTTTCACTCTTGGGTATTCCCTCCAGAGAAAATTCGTCGAATGTGCCGGACTCTAAGTCTTGCTCCCATTGGCTATACGCACCACGACGAAATTCGTTCATCTGCTTGCGTAAGGGATCTCGGACTTCGGGGACGTAACGCTCGCGGAACCATTGCTCCTTCTTGTGTTCGGCAACGAAAGCTCTGGCCATTTTAGCTTGGAGCTCCTCCTTGTATGCGTCATAGGCAGCTTGTATTCTAGCCTTCTCTTTATCACGATCTTCTTGCGTGTCTCTACGAGGTCGCTCAGGGTCGCGTCTCCGACCAGTTCGGGCGCGCTCCTTCTCCTCTTTGATCTTCTCATTGGCTCGCCACCATTCGCCAAAGTAAGAGAATCCAACTTGGAAAGGCAATCTGACAGGATCTGTCAACGGATTCACAGTTGGTTGAGGAGGCTGAGGGCCTCCTGGGCCGGGAACATAACGGTCAATGTTCGCTGGAGGTGAATTGATGCGTCGCCTGTCATCTCGGTCACGGGGCACAGTGTGGTCCTCTCGGCCACGTCCTCTAGGCTCGTAGCGGTCAACTGGGGGAGGGGAGCGCGATCGATTACGTCGTGGGCGGTCATGGCCTATTATAGTCAGTCCCAATTTGAAGCTATATAAGTTGAACAAAATGCCATTTGAAATAGTATGTGGAACGAGGACATAGTATAATTCAACGAGCATATGATGTAACATGAATAAGAAAAAATCAGCATGTGATCGTAAACGCACCAGGTGAACGACCACGGTAGAAGCTGTCGCGAGACTCATCTTTGACGCGATCATCACGGCCACTCCAGCCGCGATCGGGGGGAGAACGACCGGAAGCGTCGCGATATGAGTACGAGTCCATCTTGTCTGCTCCCTGGGACACAATTGGCATTGACACTTCTTGGCTTGGGGATTCTCGGTTTCGCGTTATATTAAAGGGGTTCTTGGTGTCCTTTAACAATGCGACGGCGATGGCGTAGACGTTGGTTTTCTATATGCGATAATTGTCGGATGTTAGGTGATACCGATTACTTGTATTTGGAGTTGGACCTGTTCCCTATTGTTTGACGAGGCGATTGCCGTTAGAGAAACCATCTTGATAATGTTTGGGGTGAGCAATGAGAAGAATAAAAGGTATTGGTCTAGCAAGATCACGAGATAATGTGCATCGGCAAGCTAAATTGAGAAGCTGAGCATGGGCGGGAGCATGAGCTCTGCAATAAGCAAACCGAAAGTAGGGGAGCAAGGAAGACATAAAAAGTTTGTTCACGGCTTTTGGGAGGTGGACATGGAAAGCGGAATGATGGTTAGAGGAAGATGAGCTTCGGTCAAGGTGTACAGGTTTATAAAGGGGGAAGAGATCGTGAGGAAAACGGGGGGATAACAATGGGAGTGCTATAATAAAAGGCCATTTGATAAGAAGGAAGTAGTGAGAAGAAAGGATAGACGAACTATAAATGACGATGGCGGAGGATTCCTGAGGGCGCGATGTCCCAAGCTGGATGTCCGCTGATTGTTTGTAAAGGGAAGAGAAGTAAGTTGTTGGAGGTTTGGACGATCGACGGGTCCAACCAAAAACTATCCGGCGGACCAACCAAACTAACAACGGGAGGATGTGGCTAATCCCCGATGGCATGCGGCAGAGAATGTCGATAAAGAAAAGCGCGTCAGACAGGTATTAGTCAGCTGTTGTGGCGCGTTGTACGTGTCGAATAAAGTTGCGGCTAAAGGGGGATAGAAGGTTGGTTAAATGCAATGAACAGTGGGGCGCGTCGCATGACCAATGATACTTGTAACAAATATGTGCGATAAACCCATTGATGCGGCGGTTGCAAATTGATGTTTCGTTCCTGCCGTTATTAGCTTTACGTATTGGATACCTGCATATACCATGCATAACATCATATTTACCTCTCAACCTAGCTTAGTTTGCGACTTCCGCCGATATATCCATTTGCTATAGTAACGGCCGTTGCCGTATTAGAAACTTTAGCGTCGATACCAATTCAAATATTTCAAGGACAAATCGGAGGTTAGAAGCTTTGCATTAGCTTTAGACTTAAGGATGAAGCCACTTTGACCTTAAAACTAGGGATGTACCCGACGTAAAAATATCCTACGTCATTGCAACTTTGAGACTTAAGCCTCTTATTAATACCACGAGTGAACCTTACGTGCACATACCTTAGAATCTTAACTACCTAGACACATCAGGTTGGAGATAGACACATAAGGGGCGAGTAGTCTCTTAATACCTACAATATTCTAATATAGTATACGAACTTGGTACTCTCAAGATGACGGCGTACATTCCTCGTCTTAGCACAATACCGTACGATGTATTCGCGAACCCGGCCGCCTCGATACTGCTACCTATTGCGCTGGGTACTGCTGTAGGCTTTAGCTCTCGACGTACGTGCTTTATATTCCCAAGTATCAGGTTACCTGGATGTGCGCTGCTAACAGTAACACATACAGCAAAACAAACCCAAGCCACATATGCTGCCATGAAGCAGCCGCCGTTGCGACCTCCACCACAGGTTTTTGGTCCTGTCTGGACGGTACTCTACGGGTTAATGGGCTACGCAGCTCACCGCGTCGTGACGAAGTATCCGTCATCCTTCGCCTCGACGGACGACGTCCGCGCACTATATTCCGCGCAACTCGGCTTAAACTTGTTGTGGATGCCTCTCTTCTTCGGGCTACGAAAACCAGTTCTTGCGTTAGCCGACATTGTATCACTAGTCGGGCTAAACGGCTACCTAACATATCTGTACTTTTCAGTTGACAGCACAGCGGGCTGGTGTCAACTACCATACATGGTATGGTTAGGTTTTGCGACGTACCTAACAGCGGGCGTTGGGTATTTGAACAATTGGGATATATCGGAGGCTACATTGGCGAAGAGGATATAAGTGAAGGCTGGGCACGCTTTATCTGCTTTAGGCCAACCCTTATGAGACGTGTTTTGGATCTTGTAACTAGACTCATGCTCACGTAGAAACATCCTTACTCACTATCGTATGTGAGATATACGAGGCACCGCTCAATAGATCTATGACAACCAACTATGAATGATGACGCCTAAACGCCAGTGCTCCTAACGTTCGCTCTGTTTGTACCTTCTCTATCATACGTCGGTATATATCGATATATGGCTAAAATGTCATTCGAAGAATCATTCACATCGGAAAATACCGTTTTAGGCCATCAAAAACGATAAAGATGAACGCTGAGCTGGGTGCTGATCGCAGAACTGTAATACCGCATCCGCGATAGAGTCCGCGCAATCCGTGTTGATTCCACAATGCCTTCCCCTCCTGCCAAAACGTCCTAGGTTGAGTAGACTGGCCAACTGGTGCGGTCTGCATACGAGACTTGACGGTGTCGGCGGGAAAGAACAAGAAATTATAGGACATACCGGCAGAGGCGCCAGCGACAGCTTGTTGCCATAACGGCAATGCCTCTGTAGCCAAGATATCCTTCTCCGCTTGCGACGTAGCAGATCGCTCATTGAGGAGATAGAACATTTTTGTTGTGGTCTCTTTGGAACCGAACCAAGCTGCGCAGCCGCCGGATTCTCGGAGAAATGTACCCATTTGGCCATGCCAGAAGCCCTTTATGCCCTCGTGTTTGTATACATCTCGGATGACGGACATGATACGGGGGGGCCTCGGCGCTGCCCCATCTATACTAGTCGTTGTGGGCACTTGAATCTTGCATTTTACAAGTTCAATTGGTGTAAGGACGAAAGAGGTGAATGCTCCCGAAAAAGCGCCAGTAAACCATAATGCCGAAAGCGGAAGCACCCGATCGCGCGAAAAGTATCCCGACGCGTACACCACTTCGCGCCCTATGCGCTCGAAGAAGAAGAGGCTACTTGTCTCAGCCGCGGCTCCGAAAAGCGGCGCACTTATTCCACGATATAGCCCTAGAAAACCATCGGCTTTGATAGACTGCCGAAAGCAATCAAGCGGACCAGTATAACGAAGAGGGAGATGGTCCGGTTGAGACTGCAACCTAACCTTGACTGTGTCGAAAGGATATTCAATGTATTTGCCTACGATGCCAGCGGTCTTCTATTGTTAGAGTGCTCTAGAAATTGGATACGCATTGATTGGGAATCAAACTCACAGATCCATAAACAATATCTTGTACGGCTTCTAGTACAGCCGACCTTCCTTGAATAGAAGTCTGCGAGGGTTTCGCCGCCATTGTCTCTACTTCTGCGCTTGCCATATTTCCAGCGTTGAAGATCCAAAGAGTGGAGAGGCGCCGATATTAAACGCTTAGCTGGAATCCCAGGTCAGCCTTAGAACCACGAAGGAAAGCTGATTGCTAGAAATAAGACAGTCACGAATGATAGAAGCAGATGGGAGCGACGAAACCCAGGCTGAGTTACTGCTAGAACATATCGATACTATCGCGGGCGAACGTGGTGAAGTGGAGCTAGTTCTGAGGTCCGTAGCTTTTTTTTTTTTTTCTTTCTTTTATAGATGCGACGGACAATAGGTAGTCACCGCTTGTCACTAAGTGCTAAGTGGGTGCAAATGCCATTATTAAAGTAGCGCCTATCGGGCTATCTCGGCGACTAGGTTAGGTGAGAGAAATAAAAGACGAGAGGGTTTTTAAAAAGTGGGTGAGAACAAATTCATGGAACTGCCTAATTAAAAGTCATTATGTACAAGAAGTTGGAGGTTCCGAGAAGTCTTCGCTCGGTGAAAGTGTGTTATAACAAGGTAGTATGCAGTAGGTAACATGTAAGGTGGTAGGCAATTGTATGAAAGGTTCTGCCTCTTTTTTTATTAAAAATATGACAAAGGTCTTGCACATCTGAGTTTGGTAAAGCCATGTACAAGTAGAAAAAGAGTTGCATGGTCTTACTAAAACTACATATAGTGGCTAATATTGCTGTACATATAGTGGTAAACTTACCTAGGTACCTAAATTTAGCGGACAAGCCATTATCCGACCTTTAACTTAGCGTATAGACATAGTACCAATGATGTACCCATCAAGAATCAATCACCCAGCTAATTGGCTATCCTTCGTAATATAATTACCCTTAGGGTGACCGTATCTAAAGTATAAGGATGGCCGGGTCTAAAATAACTACCATACGTGCACAACTATTACTTTCAAAAAGATAATATATAAGGGAAGAGTAGCATTTTATATATCGTCATTAACGGCAGTCACAGCCACTCCATCAAAATGTGCCACGTACGAGACTACGTCAGTCCAGGTCTATCACGAGGTAGACTCGTGGAGCAAGAAGCAGGGAAACAACTCCATTGTTCCGCGAGGAACTCTAAGCTACCTATGAGAGCCTACGACTATACATACTGACAATGTTCTTTATCCCAGATGTCCCATCCAGAATCCTGACAAATCCACCAACTTCATGTAGTATACAGGAGACATTCAAGGAGTATACGGGAGACATACGAGGATGAGCATCGAGGATCGAGATCAGGCAGCTTGATGAATGTCAGCGAGATGCTTCCCATGTTTGTCGTTATGTATTCAAAGTTAGGGATTGCTTACCTTGAAGACAATTCGAAAGCCTACCTAGGATTTGGGATTGTCTTAGTTCACTCGAAGGTGGTAAGCTCCAGCATCGCGTCAAGATGCAATCCCAGCGCTGGAGAGACACCGGCTGTTTGTTCAGACCCGGTGCCCACCTCGTACCAAGAGGCTAAGAGACTTCGTGTCTCAATCACGCCGAATTCCTACGTCTGTGACGATCTTGGGAATCGGTTTTTTCACCGCGAGGTGGTGACTGTGGAAGTGCCCTTAGGACTCTACCCACTGCGAGATCTACCTTCGCCCCTAGATCTCGCCCGAGTTGACGGTTCAGCTCACGAATAAATTCATGGACTTGTCGCGCCAGATCAAGGGCATTCTCGCGGCCATCAGCAGAAACATCGTGGATGACAGGCACGATGGCGGCAGCAAGAGCGGCAGCAACACCACTCTGACAATCGTGGATCTTTCTGAGATGTTCCACTGTCTCACTCTTCAACTCAATAAGCAACTGCATGGTCACTTCGTGATTCCTACAATGCATATCATAAGACTTCAGATCATCCGCGCGACGTATGTCGTCGGATTTCTCTTTGTCACTCTGATATTTATTGTAGTATCTTTGTAAGGCCATCAAGAAAGCTTCATGATCAGAGGGCAGTGGGGACTTTGGAATTTCAAGCCCCAGTGAAGCTAGGAATAGCTTACACTTACGTTCAAACCATTTGCCCAACGGAGAATAGGCAAAAATAAGAGTTACAAGCCCGAATACAACGGGACAGACAAGATTAGCGATCACAATAAAGCCCGCCATGGCTAAAACGTTGCAGATAGGTAGTCAGAAAGTGAGTCTGCAAGTAGTATATCCGATTTGGTGATATAAAAAAAGGAGAAGAAGGAGAGGAAGAGGATGTAAGAGACAAATGTGCTTTATATTATATATCTCTGGTGTTCCTCCTCCATCGTTGAGATATCCGAATGGAAACTACAACCACTTCAATGTAGCAAGGTATCGTAGAAGGTAACGATCCACATTATCATATTCTGGAAACTACCCCTCGATGTCAAACAAACTAATGAACTTGGATTTCAAGATATCCTACTCTCGCCTTCCCCCAATTTCACGTCCGCCACGTCCCCTGGGCCCGAAAAGCCAAAGGAGATCACGTTGTACCTTCCCTACTGTCTAAATGACGTAGGAGTGTATTGCAGATTTTGGAGACCACTTGCCTGGTAATCTCCTTGGACTCGTTCATTCCGTTACATATGTACTATAACCTTAATAGCATAAATTTGCTCTTTCTTTCTTTCCCCAACTCAGATAAAGCTAATACTAGATGCAAATGATGTAAGTTATTCCTGACTAAAGTAACTACTGCCTACACGTAGGTATTAATATGGAAATAGAAACCCAGAACTTAGCCTACCTCCTTTGCTGGGGAGAGTTATAGTTGGAAGGTCACGACTGAGTACAGACCTAGGTAGGTAGGTAGTTTCGTGTCTGCCCCAGATACCCCTGGACTAGAGGCATTCATACAGAAAGCAGTAACCAGGGTCAATAAGTTTGACATTGAAGGGTAGGTAGGTAGTTGCCTAATATTTCAACAGTATCGATTCCAGAGTAAATATCACTAAGCTACCTATATTCGGGTTACAATGCCCATATTCGACTACTATTATGGTAATTTAGGAATGCATTGGATAGTTATAGGTGTGATGCACCGAATTAGTTTATGCAGTATGCTATTTCTAGATTAGATCTGTTCGATCTTTCATTAATACCGTACGTGCTATCTAGCAGCTCAATAGTTGTGTCGTGCACGACGCTGAATAGAATCGAATGAATGGAATAAAGTGTGTACCTTGGCCACGCCGCTCTGCTAGAGTACCTGATATTTGTTAAACTTTGCTAGCTACGACATTTTAACGAAACGGCCCCTTTTTGGTATAAAGTCTCAAACTGCCTCTATCCACTGACGCTTTATGTCACCACAAAGCCCTTTTAGTCCCTCTTGTTTGTGTAGGTCGAAGTCCACAGTGACGCGAGACATCATCTTCCATGTCGTATCAGGGGGTAACGAGCAAGTACCCAGATCATGGTATGTTATATACGCAATAACCAAGCCACTCATAGAATTGTTCCACGAAATTGAAACCTCCCAGTCAGTCTTGCAATATTTGCAACGTCCTGTACTCTGGTAAGCAGAATTTGAGGAGAGTTTTGTATGAATTTGAGGAAAGTCTGCGTATATGGGATTGTATCCGCCATTAGAGCCATTAATTATGCAATGATGGCATATATAACCAGATGTGTCTATATTGGTCATAAGGTCTTGTAGGGCCGCAATATTAACCTGTCGTTTCTCCAGTTTGTTTAAATAAACCGTTTTCGTACATGATAAAAAAAGCTCTTCACCAACCCACTTGGCTATCCGCGAATAATCGTTATACATTTCGCACTGCTGTTGCATGAATTCTATCCGCCTTATACGTTCCTTTCGCTTGACAGATAGACACGATAGGGGAACGCCATGTTCAGGGCCAAATAGTCGGTAGTTTCGAACAAGCCGAATGTCTTCGTAAGATATCTCTCCCCATTTGCCCTTATAAGTCATTGGGTCAAAATGTGAGAATTCGCCACAGTAAAGTATTGTGTGAAAGGATATAAGGCCGTTGTTGTCGAAGGGCAATAGTTTGTTTAAAAGAGGGGCATATATCAACCCTATAACCTCTTTCTCTAGTCTTATTAGAAGTATCTCTTTCGCTTGTGGGTCGAGTTGCATTACGTTTCTATGTATTATAGAAAACGTAGCTTTGCAAGTTAAAGCAAAGCATACCGCATCGACATTCGGAAGATGTTCGAAGATAAGATATATTATCTCGACAGGGAGGTTCATTAAGTATGACACGTCTTTTTGAGGTTGAATGGTATCATTTTTTCGGAAAAGACGGACAAATAAAAGTGAAAAGCAGCAATGCTTTCTCAATAAATTGTGGATCGTGTTGCGCATTATCACGATTCTTTCTTATTGCTGGTATTCGGGTAGGTTAGAGGACTTTATTATTGTGTATCTAAGGAAAAGAAAAATCATATGCACGAAAATAGGTACCTGACCTGTTATTTATAGATTACTATGGCCTCTCTATTAAGGGTTTGCAATGCCTTGATAATCAAAGCGGTTCGCGATGCTATGAACATATTTTCTCCTTTAGCTATAATATTTGAAGTAAAAAAAGGGGCGAGCTACCTCAAAGTATGTGTTGGCTATGTCGTGGAGCAAAGCTTATTAAAAATTGATTTGGCGTTACATTGAATTAAGCATCATCTTTTGTTAGTGCGGGGGAGGGGCTGACAGGTGGCAAAAAGACTCCTTTTCCAACAGACTCTATTATTAGCGCAGCTGTTACCAGCTGTAAGCTGAAGTGCAAGTTTAAATTTACTAAGTATATTTTTGCACCTTTTCCCGACTCCATGTACCAGGTAAATTAATGAAGCACAAGAATAATACATGTATCTACTACCTACCTAGGTACTTATATGCCTACGTCACCCGTATAAATACATCTCACCATGGCAAAAGATAAGAAGTCCAAGTCGGACTCTAAGAAGGCAAAACTTGCCGAGAAGAAGCAGAAGCAGGAAAAGAAAGCCCAGAAGAAGGAAAAGGTTAAGTCTTCAAAGGTCGAAGGGAGTGATGCCGAAGATGTCGATTTAGATGCGGTTCTTGCTGAATATAAGAAGGCTCAAGAGGAGTTTGTTAAGGTCACAGAGACCGTCTCCGAATCCCCTCCTAAGCCCCGGTCGTCCTCGACCTTCTTAGCTTCCCCTTCAAATAGCAACCAGCTGTTATTATTTGGTGGAGAAACCTGGAATGGAGCCCTTGCGAGTTTCTTCAATGATCTCAATATCTACTATACAGATAGAGATGAATGGCATTGCGTGACTTCACCAAATGCGCCCCTTCCACGATCCGGACATGCCTGGTGTAGAGGAGGAAATCAAAAAGACTCGGTTTTCTTATTCGGTGGAGAGTTTAGCAGGTCCGTCGCATAATACCTCTGTCATGCCATATAAAAGTGTTGTTGTTGCTTATAAGATCCTATACTAACATTGCACCACGTATAGTCCCAAGCAAGGTACATTTTATCACTACAATGATTTCTGGCGACTGGAGCCCAGCACTCGGGAATGGATGCGCATAGAAACTAAGGGCAAGACTCCTCCAGCAAGGAGTGGGCACCGTATGACTTACTATAAGAATTACATTATCCTCTTCGGCGGTACGTGAGAGACATCGCGTATTTATTAACGGGTTTGGATAAATGTGCTAACATCAAGTCAGGCTTTCAAGATACTTCTAATCAGACGAAGTATTTAAGTGATCTTTGGCTTTATGATACCCAGGTAGGTAATTTATTTTCGTAGGTCGTGTAGCAAGATTGGTACTAATGTTTGATACAGAATTTCGTCTGGCATAACCCTACGCTTCCACCAGCGCAGCTAAAACCAGACGCTAGGTCGTCCTTTACTTTTCTCCCTCATGAACAAGGCGCCGTATTATTTGGAGGCTACTCTAGAGTAAAGACAACTGTATCAGCTAATAAGTCGGCTAAGGGCGCATCGCAAGGGCAAAGAAACATTCTTAAACCATTAGTACACGAAGATTGCTTCTTCTTACGAATAACTCAACCCCCTACAGATTCTCCACCGAATACGCCACCAACCGTAAGGTGGGAGAAACGGAAGAAGCCAGCAAATACGCCTGCCCCAGCACGGGCTGGAGCAACTATGACTTACCACAAGGGACGTGGTATTCTTTTTGGCGGTGTTCACGATGTTGAGCAGAGCGAAGAGGGTATGGACAGCGAGTTTTTTAACCAGCTCTACGCATGGAACGTAGAACGAAACAGATTTTTTCCGTTGACACTACGCAAGTCAAGGGTCCAAAAGAAAGCCCCTGCATCGGAGCAGAGAGTTAGTAGGCGTGGCAGGGCTCAAGCAAATGAGGAGGAACTATTAAAGCAGCTTGCTGCTTTACAGGCTGGATCGTCTGTAGAAGACGCAGACGATATAGACATCGATCTAAAAGCTGGACAGGAGCCAGAAGAGCCAGAAAAGCCAACACGAGAGATGCCGGTATCCATGGATTTTCCACATCCACGATTTAATGCCCAATTGGCAGTGCAAGATGATGTGTTATACATCTATGGTGGTACTTATGAGGCGAAAGACCGGGAGTTTACGTTTGACGATTTGTACGCTGTCGATCTCGGCAAGATGGATGGCTGCAAGCAAGTCTTCAAGAGAGAAGACGATACTTGGGTCGTAAGAATTTCCGTTTTCCCATTATTAGTAACTTCAATTTGGTCTCTTTGGTCTAACATGAACACTATAGGGCTCCGACGATGAGGATGAAGACGAGGAGGACGAGGAGGACGATGATGAAGATGAAGATGAGGAGGATGATATTGAAATACCCGACGAAGAACCTAGTGTATTTGCATCACTAAGTAAACGCAAGAAGAAGCAGATAGACGAGGTTTCGGTGGCCGACACAGCATCTACTGCAGGATCTTCAATGTGGGACGATGAGTCAGAAGCCGGCACGGTTGCAACTACAGTTGATGATGGATTACCACATCCACGGGTATGTTTCTCTATAGACCACCCCTTTCGTAGCAAATAACTAACCTCGTATAGCCTTTTGAGTCCAGAAGGGATTTCTTCACCCGGACTTCGAACGAGTGGCAAGAAATTCTTATGACGAGCCTGAGATGGAAGGGCATTCAACCTGAATCTCTTACAGTTAAGGAGATTAAGACCAAAGCATTTGAGCTTAGCGAAGAAAAGTGGTGGGACTGTCGCGAGGAGATTACTGCCCTCGAAGATGAACAAGAAGCTGCTGGCATTGGTGAGGTTGTGTCACTAGCCGATAAAGGTGATTCAGGGGCTGGTGGTGTTGGTGGTGCTGGTCGAAGAAGATAATCTTCTTTTTTTTACTCTGAAGGAAAAGAAAGGAACGATGTCGTACATATATGTCAGTACATAAAAGAATAAATGAACAAAATCATTCGATATTAGTACATATATTCATGTAGTATATACAAGCTACCTATATGAGACTTTTTGATAATATTAAGTACCTAGTATTTATATGTTGAGTTACTTCGAGTAATTGACCTTAATAGATAACGGTTTGAATCGGAACCCGGGAGGGCCGCAGGTGATGATGGTGGGGCTTATGGGGTGTTCTGCCTGTAACGCCGATAAGATGTCCCCTATAACCTCTTAAACCTTAGGTTATGTAGGTACCTCCTAATAACCGCCACATCGCTTCCTATTACAAGGCAAAGAAAAAACGAATCATTTAGGTTCCAATACCTCTTAATCCAATGCTACTTCTCTATTCTCATCGTTAAGGGTTCATCATAAAACCAATTTACTTTAATCCGTTTATTAGCTTGGAAGAGCCGTAGGAAATTGAACCCTTCTCATCGATCCAAAACAACAACATTCTTTATACCATCTCTCTTGCAGCACGCGTCAAAGAATCATTAAATACTTCACAATTAAATCCCACCTATTGTTTCAACGGCTTTCTCGCATATCACGATGCCTCTTGGATTCGAACGAATCAACGCAAAAAAATCACAGCCAAATGACCGTATCGTCTTTATTAAACCCTTGGAAGGTCCCGACAAAGAGATCGCGCAGCAATTCTTAGAACGGATCGCAGCACAATGTTGTAAGTGTCAAATTAAACCTAGGTAGTCTTGATTATATACATAATATTAAATTAAAGTCGACTTCATTTACTAATCGCTAGTAGTACCAATTATGAAAGAACATCATATCTCAGTCGTATCCTTAGAAGAGTACGAACCAAACAGGGAGTTTGTTGGACGTAATTTCAATGCAGGAGAAGTTGTACAGCTAGTGTTGAAATCACTTTCTACCAGACAATGGCTACCCTTCAACTATGTCCAGATGGTGATGATGCACGAGTATGTATTCGTCTAAAATCTTATCTACGTTTAATGCTAACAGTGTCTTCAACAAGGCTAGCCCATTGCAAACAGATGAATCACTCCAAAGCATTTTGGGCTGTCAGAAATAGCTATGCAGATCAAATGAGAGTCCTATGGTCGCGCAAATACACTGGTGAGGGATTATGGGGAAAAGGCACGCTACTAGAAACTGGAGAGTTCGAGAAGAATACAGTATTGTTAGACAAAGATCTGCCGGAGCATCTGTGCGGCGGAACCTATCGTTCAAGGCGCAGAAAGCGAAAACAAAAGAAGCAATTATCTCATCAAGAACGAAAAGAGCGCCGAATTTTGAAGAAATTTGGTGCGAACGGAGTCGCTCTCGGCGAAGATGAAGCTATTAAAACCGAACTAGAGAAGGGAAAGAAGACTCAAGGCAAGCCCCGTGTAGCAGGAAGCAAACGCGGTCGGGAACTCAGAGCGGCTGCAGCCCTGGCACGGTTCGACCAGCAGAAGAAGACCGAAGAAACGAACGATGAACAAGACAGTGATGTCAAGAAAGAAGAAGGCAGCGAATCGGAGACGGCTAGCGATAGCGAGGGCGAAGCTGCCGTGGATATCAACGGTCGACAACTTGTTGATACTAAGGGCCATAATTTGATCAAAGTATGCGAGGACGAAGACGCTAGAGACGAAGATGTACAGAACGAACTTAAGGAGCTTTTCCAATCCACTATTGAAGTGAAGCCCGAGAAGCTCGAAGTGGTAGCACCGATAAGAACCATACCTCAGGCGACGGGATCAACGAAACGACGTGTTAGCGAGAAGAAGTCGAGTAAGACTATCAAGAGTTCCCCGTCCGAAGGGGCAAGCAGCGCTACTATTTCTATTAGTAGTGTCCCGAATTCATCAAGGGGCACTTGTCCCATGTGCTCGTTCGATAGTGGTTCAGGAGCTACTATATGTGGTATCTGTTCTCACGTTTTAGATCCCGGCAAGGTACCGAATTCGTGGAAATGCAGAAGCTCTTCTTGCCGGGACAGCTTGTATTTGAATGCCGGGGACTCGGGAATCTGTGGTGTTTGTGGTGGACGAAAAGGAGTGTAACCAACGTGTACACCGAATTCAATTAGACATATTGAACGTTTCTTTTAAAAGAGAATCTTCGACATTGGTTGGCTATTAAGTTCTTAATAAGGCGATGCACGTAATTCAACCTTGGACCTTTTTAATCCTTCCCGGCCTAGCTCATCTAACGTTGTTTTTTAATAGCTTACCGTAGGATCTTACGGCACCGAAATGCTTAACTTAAGTCAATCCATGGTAACGTGGTGATGAATTGGCTCCGAATCTCTAGCTGGTAGCATGGGGGTTCTAGAAGGGGGGAGGAGTTGGGAAGAGCTATCGGGAATTACAGGTTTCAGAAACATTGAAACAAACTTGGATTTGCTTGGATGGGTGGATTGAGACGATGTCGCCATTTGCCATTTGCCAGTTACCCCTGTATCAACCCCGACGCCACCGTTTCATGTTGGCTCGATCCCACCGATGTCTTTCAACGTTCGCATCTCTCTCCCGTCCTCTCGAAGGTATGTGATCTCCAGCGCTTATCTGGATGTGGCTGGAAGATAGAATCAAGACAGATCTCTCCCCCGGCCCTTCCTAACGAGGTAGATTGATGGTAAATCCCTTTTCATCGGACGAATTTGAATGAAATGATCGGACGGGATCCCCACATTCCGATATTCAAAGAGAGAGAGATACACGTGTGTATTAGTTATACTTGTAATGTTAGATATAGGTAAGTTAAGTTATCTAACAGGTAACTAACTATACAATATCGTCAGTTATTAAGAACTAACGTGTAAGAGCATGCGCTTTTACATAACACTTCTAGTTTGAAAACGGCCAAGCTGTTAGAATCGGTATCGTCTACCTACATACATACATAGTAGTTCACGGCCGAACATTCCACCCCTTGCGTGCCGCCGCCTCCACCCCGGACACCCTCGTCCCAAAAAAAAAGAGGCTCGTCACAGATTGATCGGCGAGCGTACCACTTGGGAACCAAGCCGCCGGGGGTCAGGGTTCTCCGCCCTGGCCTCGACTAGGATTGCGACTGGGCTGGCTGGGCTGGGGATCCGGAAATAGTCATGGTGTCCGTGGTTTGTGGTCCCTGTCTGTCTGCCCTGTGCCTTGATCGTTCCCTGTGTCATGTCATGTCTTGTCTCTCTCTCTTTTAAATTTTGAGCCTGGCCATTTCTCTACGCACACTCTTTTCGTAAAACTTCGTTTCTGCTTTAAGCCTTACCTCAAACCGTCGTCGATCTATCTAAATTTTCTTCTGCGGCTGGAAAAAGTGCAGGTCACCGCCTCGTTTTTTTTCTTCTTCTCTTTTTTCAACATTCCAGACTTGACGTCTGTTTCCTTCATACGTTCCTTCGACTGCTAAATTCACTCTTTTTTTGTTCATCTTCATCTTCGATTTCGTTCTTTTCTTTCTTTCTGAGCTAGACTCGAAAATTACCTTCTACCAGCCAAGATGCTTTCCACGACTCTTCTTCAGTCCCTTGTTCTGCTCGTCGCCGGCGCGAGTCTTTCGTCGGCAAGCCCCGTTTGGCCGCACTACTCGATCGACAGTGAGCACCTCGAAGTCCTTCACATGAGGGCCTCGACGTCGGTGAATCCGGCAGCGGTATCGGGCGTGGAGTGCATTGACCGAAATACGTAAGTTTTCATAGACTATAACTATATCTTTCCATCTACACGTGTAGCATAACTATAAGGACTCCAGCTAATTGTCAACGTAGAAACATCGTGTTCCACGATCAAAACGTAGCAGAACTTGCTATCTGTGGAGGCATCGCAGGGTCTATCCAGAAGTGCGGCGGTGCGCCCAAGACCACGACTGGTCGATCCGGCAGCGCCGAGTTCAAGCTGAGCGCGGCGACATCCGGCGCTACGATCAACATCTCCAAGGGCCGATGGGAGCAATGTATTCGCGCGGCCAGGGCTGTCTGCCCGACAGGCAGCATGAAGGGTACGTGTGCAGGCGGCGCATCAAGCGGCAACGTGGACTTCACGCTCGACTCGCCGTTGTAAAGGAGTGGACAGCCAATCAGTCCGCAGTGTACAAAAAAGTCTCGGAATCACTCGCATTATGACGGGATAACGGAGGACTATTAAAAAACAAGAGCTATGCTTTTCTTTTGTAGAGATTTGGCGGAAGGCGTACGTGTATAGGGTCTCGGATACCCTGGCGGACATCGGGACTCAGGGCGTTTGGCAGGTTTGGCGCGCAAACCCCCTTTTTTTCGTCTATGCGGCGCCGTCGTGGACATGGCTGCCGCGTTGGTTAGGTAGACCTGTATAAAAGATATACACACAAAACCTTTACCTCCAGCTGAACTGGAGGGTTGATGGAAACAAATGAACGCTGTATATACATTTCAACCAAAGAAACTCGTTTAAATGCTGAATTTGCTTTGTATTGTGACTGGGTATCTTTCCGACATAATTATTCTGCGCCTTGTCCTCTCAAATATATATAACACGGAATAATCGAGAACCCCCCTTTTATAACCGGACGCCTGAAGTCTTTCGCTAACCCATAAAGCAAAAATACCACTACCTAATATAAACTTCCCAATAGCTCAAGCTTCTTCTCACCCTAATCTATCTCTGTACCTACAGCCATAGCTCCCTATTCGAATTAAACTACACTAAATAGGTAGGTACCTAGGTACCCATATCACAACCCATACCGCGAAACGCACTCCTCGCGATGCGTCTCCAGACACTCCAGCGCGCACACCCGCACCCCGCACCGCATGCACCGCACGCGTCCCCAATACCCGCACACCTCGCAGAACACGCGCGCCGGGTACTTCCTCCCGTCGTCCGCTACCGTCCAGCGCCCGCGCGCCTCGGCGTAGTTCAGCGGCGGTGCCGATACCAAGGTCCGCAGCTCGGCTTCGGTGGGAAGTGCGGGCACGCGGGAGACGAGGAGGGGGTCGTCGTCTTGGGGATGCGTGGGGGGTTGTCCGGGGCGCGAGTACGGCGTTAGGAGCGACGAGGAGGAGGAGGAGGAGGGTAGATTGTCTTGGGGCGCTTCGGACATCTCGACGTCTTCTTCTTGTTTTACGGCTGGTGCGGCTTTGGAAATTGATGCCGAGCGGGATATGTTTGACTTGGAAGATCTTTTGCTGTTTTTTTGCTGGTGTTTTTCTGCTGCCGCACCACCACCACCACCACCACCACCCTTTTTCGAACTCCCTAGATTCGAAGAATTTGCGGCGGCTGCGGAAGCTGCGGAGGTTGGGTTGGACTTCTCTTGAGCGAGGAGGGCTTCGAAGTCGTCGAGGTGGTTTGCGAAGGTCTTCTGGGACTGTAGGATCTTGCGGACGTTGGGGGTGTGTTTCTTGACGGTTGTCTTGCTGCTGTTGCTTTTCGCTATGATGGGTATGCTCACGTCGCGGTGGTAATTATCGCGGTCGAGAGCCTCGATCTCCCTGCGCAGTTTGGCTTCTTGTCGAGCATCGGCATCGGCGTATATGGCACTGGTGTTTGTCACTTGGTTGCGAGCAGCTCGTTTTCTATTCCCCGTTTGGAGGGATGCAGCGGCTGCTGCTGCTAAGTGAGGGGCTGTATCAGGCACGTAGGCCCAGCCCGGGGCATTGGTAGTTTTGGTACTCGCGAGCTCTATTACGCCGAAGTTGTTCATCTTGACGATTTTTAGTTTTAGTTGAGGAAATGGGAGCTTTTTAGGTCCCTGCATCCTATGACGATCATCTTTTATCTAATTCTTTATCTACGGTGGGGCGTCTATTTAGTAAGACATAGTTACGATTATGTAAGTTTTTAGACTCATTACCCCTGAATGACCCCTTTTCTATAATGAATGTTGTTCTCGAGATTGAGACAGACAAACTCAATTCATTAACAATGAGAAGTGAATGAAAACAATTGTATATTAATATAACTAGGATTTTGGTAATTAATAAGTCTTCTTTCTTTTACTAACTTGATGATGGAAATTGACCTAGAAACCGAAATTTATATAGTTAACCTTGAAATTATTGCACAGCCTCCGGAGATTACAATATTGTTGTATCACATATATAATTGTCATATAATTATTACGATGCTTTTTCATGGATTCAATTTTCTATAGCTAAAATATGACTAGTTATAGGCAGTAAACTACCCATTTAGGTATCATTTCTTACGCCATGAGTATCATAACGCTTTCATTCTTCGTCTAGCTTTTCGGCTGCTGCCTCCCAGTCCTCTTCGACAGGTTGCTCCTCGATCTTCTTCCTTGGTTCTTTCCTCAGAGCGATGAACCCACCCCTACGCGGCATAGCAGAAGCTGCCGGAGTGGTAGCTGGCTTTGGGCGGGCGGAGCGGCGCATAACCGAACTCCAGCCCTCATTCCCTTTGCCTTGGGTATCTTTTTCGCTCCGTAATACATTCAAATGCTCATCCACATGACAGAGAGAAACCTCGCTGGCAAATCCCGAACTCGTAACCTTGGCTAATAAACTAGGTTTGAGAGATGAAAGCGAAGATTCTATATTTTGTGGACTTGGCGGACCAGAGCCCTTGATAACAACCTCGTTGGAAGGTAGGAAACTTGTCTCGAACTTTATATCTGGATAAGAAGCATACTCACGTTGAAGCGCTGAATCAAGTTCCTCGATAGTCAACCCAAATTGCGGTGCCGACAAAAGTAGAGCATTAAAAGGTTGTCTCGTCGAGATATCTTCACTAGCTGCTGCTGATGCTTTTGTAGGGAGGAGTTGTGCTAGGGACTTATTCTTTATACATTGTGAAAGCGTCTTCATTGGCGCGGATACGAATCGCGGTGTCTTGAAGAGACATACATGCCGATGAGGTTCTGGATCAGCACTTTCGCTGTCAAATCCGAAGTCTTCAGCAAGAGAATGAAGAAACGCTCGCTGAGAAGACTTCATTGGTTTAAACCGGATGAACTTTTGCGTCGAGTCTACTGCGAAGACGCGAAGTTCTCGTTCGTAAGTCTGTGCGAACTGCGGATCGTCCTTGTAAAGCCTTATAGTCGTATTAGAGTACGGCACATGATCATCCGTGTGAGTTAGTGGATCGATATTTAGGGCGCTTGCCAAGAGAGCATTTCGCTGTAATCGAAGGCATTCTTCATCACACTTAATCGTATCTCGTTGGGGCGATGAATTACGTTTCATTGCCAGACACCTAACTTCCTGCTTTCTACGTTGGCAGTCGCATGTGATAAATGTCCTGGCTTGACAAGGTTTGTCCTCTTTGCACGGGTATGGGGCATGGCACTGTTCAGCATCCAAATGCCCACAACTCCGTTTCTTACCGCAGGGCTGTTTACATCGAGACCCTGCGATATCAGCATCTTCACATTCACCTAGACGGTGGCAGGTCTTCTCGCACGTGTGAGCGCCGCATTTGAGCTTCTTCCCGCAGGGCAAGCCGCAAAGTGGCTCTTCAAACCAGCAAGGCTGGTTCTTTAGCGCTTTCTTACCGCAGACGCATCGTTTCTCAACTAAGAACGGACATTTCGGACACAGCTCTCTATCGAGGTGGCAATTATGAGATACCTGGGGGTGACCGCACGGGCGAGGCCTCGTACAGTCGAAGCGACATTCTGGCACTTGTGTACCACAAGGCTGCGGTGGTTGGAGAATCGTTCGGCCACAGTTGCAGCTGATTTCCTCGAAAATGGCTTCAGGACATGAAGGACAAGGTCCCTTGTGACACATTTGTTGACATTGGTGTCTTCCACATTTTAAAGCTCGTCCACAGGGGCGAGTACAAATGTGTTCCGCTTCTACCTCATTATTTATTGGACCAGCGTTCCTGTTCTTCCGCCTGGCGGCTGCTCGTTCCATTGCCTTCTTTTCTCCGGAGCAGCAATGTTCGCCATGCTCATGTCTCCCACAATTGAGCTGAACCCTGCAAATCCTCATGCACTCGGGAGTCGCAATTGTTCCTTGGTGGCAGATCGAGGCCGTCTTCGTCCGACCACATCTGCAGTTAATCTCCATTATCTGCATACATGGCGCACAAGGTCCAGTATGGCAAGTGTCTTGGCAAGAATGACCGCACGACAATGGTTTGTTGCACGTTTTCCCGCAATTAGGAATCGGATCTTCGCAACTCTCCCTTGGCTGGTCTAGAATATCGACTAGTGGTGTTTTCCCGCACGGACAGTGGGAAATCGAATCAGGAGAGAACGGGCAATGCTCGTCCTTCTCATCTTGAGGATGACAGCTCTGTTTACAGCGATGCTTTTGGCAATCAAAGAATCTGTCACAAACAGAATTGCAATCAAAAGTACCCCAGTACCAATGATCAGGTAAATCCTCGTTCTCCACATCATCTTCCGTCTTGACTTGGCCGCGATTATAGGATTCTCGTCTGTCACCACGCTGTTCGCAAGGAATGTTTTTGGACTCTCGGCTACAATAACAGAGAGAGAAGACAGGAATATCACAACTGCCGCAGAGGCCGGAATGACATTCCCTTTGGCATTCATGCTCTCCACAGGGAAGTATATCTCCGCAGACTCCGTGACAACTCCATCCATTAACATAATCCGTCTCGCCACAGCGTTTGGTAGACGTAAGTTTACCACAGAAACAGGATTGAGTCGGCCCCATGAGCTGGCAAGGTGGACAGGGGCCAGCATGGCATTCGAGGGGACATGGGTGAGGACAAGTCGCCCTGGGTTTTGAGCATGTTTGGCCACAACTATGGGGGCCAACCCCAGGAACCGATCGAGGGTTGATCTCCTTACCACACCAACAGTGATAAGTAGTAGGCTCGTCGGTCAAAGGGGAATTACATCCCGGACACCTCCAGTTGATTTGGTCTGAATTAATTGTCCGGTTGGAGAACCATTTCTTAACACAAGTCATATGCGTTACGGTCCAGCATATAGAGCATGACCAGACCTTCGAGTTCCGCAGAACCTCATTTGTGCAAATCACGCATTCGTATTGCCCATTATCTATATCCTGAGAAATACGTGTAGTAAGATCAGAGGCATTAGATTTCGAAGCTTTTCTCCCACCACTGTTCTTCGCCTGAGGTTTTATGGCGGTACTATTACTTCGGTCAGCTAATGGTTGACCGGGAACAAACTCCGTAACATTAGCATTTAAGGACGTCGAACTCGTAGCATCAGACTCCCCGGTGCTGGTTGTCAGGTGACCGCCAAAGTTTCGTGGTCTACTCATTGTCGCTCTCTGGGCATTTTCACCACGTCCTCTCCTTTGGCCCCTGAAGGCTCTCCGACCTCCATCACCTCGACTGGTGGTATTTGAGGGCGCAGTAGCCGGAGAAGCGACGGAAGTTTCAGGATTTGCTGGTAACGTCTCGTTCCTTTCGACAGCTTGTAGATTACGCTGACCTCGGTTGCCGCGGCCTCCACGGCTCCCACGGCCCCCACGACTACCGGACGTTCTCCCTCCTCGAGGGCGATGGCCACGATTCCTCGATGTTGAATTTGACGGCAGTTCAGAATGTTGCGAACCCTCCATTGTTGTTCCGTCCATAGTTGATAACTTCAAATAAGTTTATTCAAGGTTACCTAAGGTATCTTAGGTAGGTAGTCTAACGGCTGAGGGGTGGTTATGACTAGACCGCCTTGTAATGCGCTTTTTGAAATACAGCGGCTTTAAAAAATGCGAAAATCAACGACTCGTTGATATAAACGTTTGTAAGTAGCGCTTACGCAATGCTGCGCGGCAAGATGTGAATTAAAGAGAGACGTCTGGAAAAAGAAAATAGAGAATGATTTCGTGAAATTCGTGAGTTAATGGATGATAAAACTCGGATACCACTTTCAAGACTTCATAAAGCCGTTTGTGGCGGATAGCTTAGCTTATATCCACCTAGAACAAAATATGTGTGAGGCAACAATAGATATGTTAAAACACAGTCCTTGTATAGTATTATGAGATCATTATGTGTAGTATGCAAGGCTATGAGTCAAAGTCGAAAAAGGATGGCTAAATTCGGATTTAGTGGAGATTTCGTAAGAGTCGAGGCTTTGCTAGACTTTTAGACCCTAAAGTCCTTGACCCAACAAACGAAAGATCGTAAGGTTGCGACCCGTTATCTAGGCGGTATCCACTATTGCCGTCTAACCGAGGTGAGTTTTAGTGCTCGCGGCCACCGGCCACTATGAAGACGCGGGAACTACACTAGTGTACGACCGGGGATTAAGTAATAGCACGCCTCAATTAGAATGACATTTCCAATACCTATTCCAATCCTTTCCATTTTGAAAAACTTCTCTTCCGAATTTAAGACCGCGGATTCCCATTAATTCCATATTACTGTAGATGTCTCGGAATATCGATTACCCGCATCAAGATATATCAGACTCTACGATAAACCATCATTCGCCAACTCACATGACGCGAGTGACGCGAAATTCTAGTTGACTTCTAGATTTTATCAGATATTAAACCAATGAATGTTAAGTGGTCGATATACCCCGATTTTAAAGTTGACAGCCTGCTGGAGAGCTGAGGAGCTTTCGGCCCTATTCAACAGGACTCGAACTTGTGTGTGGCTGTTTTTCACTCGCTACGACGCTAACTTGAAGTCCCTTACTTATGAGGGCTTCCTTGCTGGCTTCTGCACTTCTGTGTTTACTCGGTTACTCAAGTTCCAATTCATTATAATGTAACAAAGAGCAGCCTGCATATAGTTACGGGCACCAACTATCTATCACGTGTGCTGAGTGGCGTCAAGGAAGTCAATTTGATTGCTTCTCTATCACTTATCACCTAGAAGTCTCGTATCCCTAAAGCTTAGGGTGGCGATAAATTAACTAGAGTAAGGGTTGTAAGTAGTAGTTAGAAGCTGACGATGAAATATAGAGAAGTTCACATACTTGATGTAGGCTAATTTGAGGTAACTAGCCTAATTATAAGACGGTGCTACCCGTCTCTAGCAACGAGGTCTTTAACAGCAAGAGCTTCGTGGAAATTTCTCTTAGGGATTCTCCAATGTTCTCCAACTCGCGGAAATACGCCTCTTAAAATTGCCCATGGGCGCTGAAAGTTGCGTATCAATTTTCGGAAGGGATGCATGTATTGGGCAGCTAAAGTCAAATTTAGTAGCAAAAAGCAACCTTATGGAAAAAATATCATAACGTTACAGTTTCCTGCAGCATAAAATCCGTGAGCTGACAGTGTCAACCAAGAACGAGAACTCTTAGGCTTCTGCTATTGGTTCAAACAAGATAAGAAAGCCATTCACAATCAACATACATGCAGCCAACCTCGTATGCAGCATTGGCACTGGGAGACCTGCATTAAAGAGACTACCTGCCGTCCGTGTCTGCTCGAAATGCAATCCAACCCGATATCAACTACATCTTATCGTCATCTGGTGAATTATGTACTTAGGTGTATACTAATCAGCCTCCGATATAGTGCTTGTTTCCTAGTCAAATTTGCTTATTATTCCCGTTATCTGAATTTCAAAAATTTTAATAACTTTTAGGAATATAATGCTTCTAATAACCAGGTAACTACCACAGGTCGGCTTGCTAATAACTTCATAAAGAAGTATTTGGAGAAGGAAGGAAGTCTATGGTTAACTAATAATTAAGTGGCTTAAATAGTTTGATGAGGCTAATGCAGCCTATAGAAAAGAGACACTGGTCGCACCGTTCGTCGCCTAGTTAGATGATGCAACGGTCAAAAGCCACATCATTAAAGAGGTAAGCGCCGGATTGGCGGTTGCTTCTTAGGTAACTTCCGCTCAATACAACATCCCGAGGTCTTTACTTTCATGATACATACCTACATGTATGTCATTGCTCAATCCCTTGCAAGTGCATACAATATGTACATTCAATTCTTCAGATGACAAGTATGGGATGGGCATGCACATGGGCATGTACAACCCAGACGGTGTTGAACGTCTTAGGTACTACCTGGGGTATTAACAGGAGTCCGTAACTCTTTACTTTTAACAATACCAAGAGGTAGTCTTTCATTTCTCTTCTTGGGCGCTTAGGTGCGTCATTAGAAACAGGCATGTTGACATGCATATTAACCCATAGCTTTACGTGAGCCTTATGCCGCGTTTCTAAGGTTACCATATCTTATTACCCTTGTTGCCATGCGTTTTCCCACGCTCTTTAATCCTTACCCCTGAACTCGTATCAATCAACACCCCTTATCGGCTTGTCTCCAAGAGTTCGACATACTTATCATCTGAGGTAGCTAGGCATATTCTCAACCGACCTACCAGATTGCCCGCTAGTCTAAGACGATATCACTTTCTGGATCGGGGACTGTCACCATTAGATTTGTTTCGATACGAGAGGGAACGGAAAGGGATAATTAGAACCCTTCCTCCCCCACGACTGAGCTCATCGTAAGATACTGGCGCATCTTCGAGAAAAGGGCAATACTACGCACCTGTACAAGAATACTTCTACGTTTCTAGCGGAGTCTGGACTCTCTTTTTCGCACCCCTTCAACCGACTTACGCCAGTGTGGAGATTAGACATTGCTATTAAGCGATGGCATGAATGCTGCTATTGGTCTTGTCATCCACCTGATTCGGACCCCTAACTATACTACATCCCGGAGTGGGTTACAATGAGGTCTAGCCGATTCCATTACCATGGGGAAAGTATAATAGCATCTTGTATTATGGTAAGACCAAGACTATATATATCCTTACAGTTTTTCGTGAACAATTCCTCGGGCGTCCTATGCAATTCCTATCCCCACGGCTTCAGACTTATAAAACCGAAGTTTGTGGATAGGCCCTTAGGCTTCTTAGGAAGTTTTCCATCATGCGGACTACTCAAGCCTTGTCGTCACTTTTCTTTGCTATATCCTTAATATCAACATCTTTCTCTATAGAACAGCAAACAGTCCTAGGAGTTGATCAACTCGACGGAAAATGGCGCTACAAAGGTTGTTATGTGTAAGTAACTTGCCCCTCAGGCAATGAGCGTCGATACTAAGTGACTCCAAGTGACGCTGGTCGGATGATCAATGTAGCCGCAACTTGTTCGGATACTACGACCCTGGAGAGTTGTGTCGCGTTCTGCGATAGTAGGGGGTTTGCTTACGCCGGAGCTAAATATCATAACGAGTGCCGTGAGTTTACTCCCTACCTAACCGTGGTCCTATTCGTATTAATTATTGCTAGATTGCGGGAATGAATTAACCAATGAGACGGTGGAAGAGAGAAAGTGCCCAACAGGTTGCTCGGGCAATAACACAGAGGCATGTGAAGGTTCAAATTGGTTGACCTTATTCTTCAACCCGTATAACGCAGGCCCCAGGCCAAATCTCGATATTCCAGACTGGATGCATATTGGCTGCTACTCGTGAGTCTCTTGTCCTCCGCCATTGGTATAGGCATGACCCTGCTAGGCCTCAGCCTCAATTTGCTTCAAGTTGTAATTAACACGTTCCACAAGCGAGGGAATCGACGGCCGATGCTTGACGTATAAGGCACCAATCTTTACCTTACCGGTCAACGCAGAGATCTGTACTTCTGTATGTCGTGCTACTGGTTACACCTTTGCCGGTACCAAGAATGGCGATGAATGCTGTAAGCCACTGTGTGACTTCTTTAACTTGGGTGGCATCAACTTACTAGTAACAGATTGCGGCAATACTATTGCAAATGGCGCCGTATTAACCGATGGCTGTGATACAGTTTGTAATGTACGACCCTTCAGACATACTTCAATGCCCTTTCTATTGTACTACATGACCAGGCTATATGTTTTCGATCGTCCATAAACAATAAACTTCTAAGGACGGCACTATAGAGTACAAATCGCATTTATTGGGTGTTATTACTAACATCGCGTACCATAGGCAAATGATCCCGAGGTATGCGGCGGACCCGACCGCTTAAATGTATATAACTTCAAAAGTACGTCTAGCAGATCCACCCTCTCCAGCACTCCTTTAAAAGTGACGAGCTCGCCCATCGTTGCTCATTCAATTGTCCCGAGAGATGTTACCACTGAGCCGATTGTTACTGGCACAAGCAGCGCTTCGTCCGCAAGCTCAAGTCCTACGGCGCCTTCACAGCCCTCCGTCATAGGTGATTACATTTGGTATGGCTGCCAGACTGAAGCTACTAACATCCGTGCACTGAGCCTGTATACCTACGCCGATGATGCTATGACATTAGGTAGCTGTCAGGCCTTCTGCAGCGGCAAGGGGACAACGTACTTTGGTGTTGAGTATGCCCGCGAATGCTACTGTGGCAACAAATTCGAAACAGGTTCTCTCGAAGCTCCTGAAAGCGATTGCAATATGCTTTGTGCTGGAGACCAGTGGGCATATTGCGGTAGTGGCAATCGCCTCTCTGTATATATCAAAAACGGAACTTCGGAAGCGACAACTACTAGTGGTTCGGGTCCGACTAGTAGTGATCCCGGGACACCAGAACCTACGGGGTTTCCTGATGGCTGGACAGACCAGGGCTGTTGGCAAGATGGGCCCAATGGTCGTATCATGCCAACTTTCCAAGCTCCCGACGACCCTCAGTTGACGCCACAGAAATGTGCGCAACTCTGTGCTGATGACGGATATACGGTGTCAGGTACTGAGTACTATACGCAGTGCTTCTGTAGTAATGCTATATATAATGGTGGCGTCCGAGGCGAAGACACTTCGAAATGCTCGACACCTTGCGGAGGTAATAGTCAAGTCATGTGCGGAGGTGCCGGATACTTGTCCATCTACTCGAAAGGTACACCGGAAACGTTCAAAGAGCCCGCTCCGGTAAAAGAAGTGAACGGTACTTGGACGTATCAAGGCTGTTACGAGGACAATGTTAATAATCAGAGGACCCTTTTTTGGTCCTTAAGGTTCCCTACCCCCATGACCCCTGAGCAGTGTCTGGGTAAATGCGCTTCTTTTGGCTATGCCGCCGGCGGTATGGAGTATGGCGAAGAATGTTATTGTGGTGACCCTATGGACGTTGATGCTTCAGGTGCCACAGTAAGGCCTGAGAGCGAATGCAATATCGTATGTGCCGGAAATGCCTCCGCGATATGTGGAGGTGGTGCTCGGCTTTCAATGTACTATTGGACTGGCGAAACCCCCCTTTATGTGTTTAATTACCCCCAAGGAAATGATGCAGGTTCCTACTCCAACCTAGTCGGCGGTGTCGTTACCCCTCTAATGACTATGCAATCGATCACCGGCAAGGTTACCTTCCTGGAGAAATGGGGAACTGGCGCAGCAAATAGCACGGGGGCCTATGAACTGGACCTTAGCCGGCTCGATGATTTCGATGCTGCCTGGAGAACCATGCACGTTAAGACTGATATCTTCTGCTCTGCGGGAGTCATTCTGCCCGACAAGGCAGGACGACAGCTTACCGTCGGTGGCTGGTCCCTCGATTCGACATATGGCATCCGTCTATACGCGCCTGATGGATCGGACGGCGTAAAGGGTACAAACGACTGGGAAGAAAATGTCAACACTCTAAAGCTTCAGAGAGGACGATGGTACCCAAGCGCTATGCTTATGGCGAACGGGTCCATTTTAGTCGTTGGTGGTGAGATTGGTTCAAACGACAGGCCCGAACCTTCTCTTGAGATTCTTCCCAACGTTGGTCCCTATCTTTACATGGACTGGCTTGAACGTACAGATCCGAATAATCTATATCCATTTTTGGCAGTCCTTCCCGGCGGTGGAATTTTTGTTGCGTATTGGAACGAAGCCAGAATCCTGGACGAAGTTACCTTTGACACGATACAGACTTTACCGAACATGCCTGGCGCTGTCAACGATGACCTTGGGGGCCGTACTTATCCTCTTGAGGGGGCTGCTGTTCTCTTGCCTCAGTTTGCCCCATATACGGATCCCCTTGGTATCCTCTTATGCGGTGGTTCGACCGATGGCCATTCTGCTCTCGACAATTGCGTATCTATGTACCCCGAAGCGCCCAACCCCGAATGGACTCTCGAGCGTATGCCTTCCAAGCGTGTCATGAGTTGCATGGCACCCTTGCCAGATGGAACCTATCTTATTGCCAACGGTGCCCACGAAGGCGTTGCCGGTTTCGGTCTTGCGGATGATCCCAACTACAATGCTATCCTATACGATCCATTTAAGCCAATTGGCTCCCGTATGTCCGTCATGGCCAACACAACCGTCGCGCGTCTCTACCACAGCGAAGCTATCACTCTCCTCGACGGCCGCGTCCTGATTACGGGCTCTGACCCCCAGGATGGCAAACACCCACAGGAGATCCGCGTTGAAGTCTTCACACCTCCATACCTCTACAGCAATAAACCACGCCCGTCCTTCACCATCACGAACAAAGATTGGGATTACAATGAGGAAGTTAGCTTCGACCTAGGTGAAGAACCTGAGGGAGAGATCAAAGTCTCGCTGCTTGGAGCAGTATCTAGCACCCATGGCAATTCGATGGGAGCGCGAACCCTGTTCCCGGAGGTCTCGTGCTACGGCACTAAGTGTACCGTCGTTGCACCCCCGAGGGTCCACATCGCTCCCGCGGGGTGGTACCAGATGTATGTTTTACAAGATGACATACCGGCTGTCGGTACCTATGTTCGTATCGGAGGCGACCCGGGTAAGCTTGGAAATTGGCCGCAAGGCGATGACTTTACTCGACCGGGCGTCTGAAAAACCAACACGCTTGCTGTTCTTAGAATACTTAACTCTAGTGCTTAGTGTTTATTTTCATCGGGAATGGCTAGGGAGGTTTGACGAAAAAACCCGGATAGGCTTGGTTTGATTCAGAGTAAAGGGGCTGGACTAGGAACTGGAAAGGAAAGTGAAGGAAAAGCGTGGAATTGGCAGTACAGAAAATCCGCCGTTATATCCTATTAGTATCAGTAATAGATAATATTTATACCGCGCCTAGTATCTCGTTTCCTTTGCGTTGTCCTTGTTATGATCTAGACAGGGCAGGATTTATTATTGTATCTGTTTATCCAAGTAGCCTACTCTATTCACCTCTAGGTATAAGTTTTAGTAACGCCCGCATTGGGAAATCCATTAAGCAATAAGTAATAAGTCCCATATGACATCCTCACCAAAATATTTCCAAACTGCACAGGCCCGCATCTCAAGGTTAACTACAAGTAAGTCGTCGGACAATCCCGCTACCTGGTTGCCAGGCGACGCCGATAAGACATAAGTAACGCGTTAGCAACACATTCTCTCACCCCTGATCAGTGACTGTCTGTGTTGGTCAAATTGGTCGTGGCCGGGCAGCTGTTAAAGAGGGTTAGAAATAACTCCTCGGGGAGTTTTTCGGAGGACTTGGGTTCGAGCCACTGTCGGGGCGGCAGGCAGACCAACTGTTCAGGTCAATCGACAGTGGTTTGGATTCTAGGTTCCGAGCTTTTTTGCAATTTTTCTCTTTTTATTATTTTTATTTAATTAGGTACCTTTCTTTTCACTTTATTATGTTTCAAGTTTCTGTTATGTTCTATCTTATACAACTACTAGGTCGCTATGCTGAATTTCGCGATGTCTTCGTCCTCCGTGTATGCAAGCGTGGATGCTATATCCGAGTAGATGGAGACGGAACTCCGACATTTTAAGTACTACAATGGCGGACGTAGATTAGTATGTTTGTACTTGGTTCGGAAATGGCGTAGAGGCGTATGTATGACATACATGAAAGGGCTTTCTCTAACAAAGGCGATCTGATACATCACAGATTGTTAGAGCAGTACATTCTCATTCGGTACGGCCATGGTAATGATCCCTTAGGTAACTTTTTTGTCCTGTCAAAATTGGCCCTCGGTCTCGGGTTGAGAACGTTGTCGTCAGGCAGGCTTGGCAACAGTTTATCGATGCGTATTCCGGGGCTTTAACTGGCTTAGACATGATTTTAGAAAAGGAACTGATCTACATTATTCAGTAGTAAATTCGGTGTCTACTCATTGCTGTATTACGGCTTATCACGATAATCGTGTCTTATATATAGTCCGTAGACGCAAGACACATACGCGATAAAAATACGTGAAGGTCCAATTGATGATCTGGAAATCGAGAGCTTACGTTATGTCTTGACGTGAAGTGGCACATCTGAACGGACCAGCCCCTATAGCCCCAATAGTGACCGTGATAAAAGGTAATATAAAAAAAAATAACGCAAACGGCTGACCTGTAAATGAAGCTGAGGCTGGTGTCGCAGTTTGCCCTTTGAGGTGAAGTATCTTCATTGCTTAAAGGTGTTACATAGTCGGCTCCCATATTCTTATAGAGATACATGGCGATATTGTGTTGGGTGATAATGATCTAGTTTAGTAGGCGCAATGTCGAAAACTACCTAGACATTGTTGGTAATATTAGTTGGATTACGAGTCACCTCGTTATTTTAACGGAGCCAAATTGCATATTTCGCCCATGTCTCGGCCAACTAAGGTTCATTGTACTGAGGGCCTCTTTTCCTGGACGCCATGACCTCCATCATGGCCCAGCAATGGATCATCAGCCTGGTTTAGTTCTCACTCAGCAAGCCTTGTTCGAAGCGTCTTAGCATCATGAAGCTGCACGTGGAGGATTCTCGGCGATTTAATTAGTGTAATGCAGCCCCAATGTCTTAAGGATTGACGCTTGTGATCAAGTTGAAAGTACACGGCAGAGGCAAGACAGTCAGGTGGCATGTTAAAAGCCACGATTCCAAATGGCACGTTTGATCGTTAAATTTATCCATCTTATCTTTTCTTTCCATCGCCAAATTGCCATGCCACAAACAACTAGCTGAAGAAACAAACCAACCCCCCTCACCCCGCCACCATCGAGACGGCCTACGATGGAAAGGTCGAAATTTTCTCACGAACATAGTCGATAACACTTTCTCAGGTCAGCCTCGGCCGGAATTAGATAGGCCATAGCATCAACTCCTTCAAAATACGTCTCCTTTGTTAGCAGCACAAAGCCCTGGTTATTGTCTAATGATATTGTCTATGGGTGATAATATTCGAGTACCAAAAGACTACCTAGACGAACTAAACCTCACATCTATGTATACAGAAGACGGGTGTAAGTACTGGCAACCAAATTTATTAACATGCACACGTACAAATTCTATTTTAAATGCCTACCTAAGGTAGATGTGTGTGACCACGTAAAACTAGTATAATCTCATATGTATTTAATAAGAACATATACACTTTGTATTCTACCTATTTCACATCACTCTACTTAATTTCCAGGTACCTAAGCATAAGGTTCATTCTTTGACGATTGCCTCTACCATACCGTCGCCACCCACTTCCGGGGATGGCCAGACTTTAACAACTTCGAAGCCGGCCGTCTCCAACAATTCGCGCCATTGTCGCTCAGTACGTTCCATGCCTGCGTTGAAACACATCATCGTCATGTCAAGCATAGCGTAGAGTGGGGAAGCTCCAGTTTCTGGTATGATCATTTCGTGAAGGAGTAGTTTCGAATACCCGGGCTTCATGGCGTCTCTTACATGCTTCAATATTTCCAAGCATTTATAATCAGACCAGTCATGTAATATGTGATGGTAGTAGTATGCCCTTGCACCTAAGCGAGCGTCAACAAGACGGGGTATTGGGGAAGAGTAAGAAGTGAAAGTAAGCATACCTTTAATGGGTTGTTCAGCGAAGAAGTCGTAGTACATCGGGTCAATCGCAGGATCAAGTTCTTCAATCGTATCGATCACAAAGTCTTGAAGTACCAATCGACCCTTATGGGGATATCTCTCGTGGAAGGCGATAAGATCATGGCCTTTACCACCGCCAATGTCTACAAGTAAGGCCGAATCTGGTACCGCGCCATCGATCAACTCTTGGATTGGGTACCAGTCAAGCCATATCTTTCTCGATCCCAATGTACTTCCCATGAAATTATTAAAGTCCTTCTGAACTTGAGGGATCGAGTTGAAAAGTTGGAAGGTTGTCAATTTCGTTTGAAAGGCATATTGCATAAATCCGTCATTCGGATCCGTCGGACATCTATAACCAGCTTCTTTGAGGTATTTCGGCGCCTTGCTGGCGGCTCCCATTACCATGTCACCACTTGTAAGCCTCAGCAAAGAGTGCCCTGAAGTAGAATGTAACAAACAAAAAAGAAAACAAAAAAAAAACTCACACCATTCGAATTCCAGCAGAGATTCCCTTACTGGCCATGGCCTTGGTTATTGGAGTAGCTTGCCATGTTTCTTCGCCAACTTCGTCCAAAAGATTCACCGAGGCCAGAACCCGAAGTAGTCGAGCTAGAATCGTTAGCAATAGCAGCCCATGATATTGAATAGATCGTACTTATAAGTAACGCTTCTCCACCAGAGAGCGAAGCGAGTTCTTCAGAAGTGATTGCTCTATTATGCTTCACAATATGATCCAAAATGTTCATATCGACAACGATTCTCGCAGCAATTGGAACAAGAGGCTTGTTTTAGCTTATTAGCATGAGTACTACAGCGTTGGGAAGTATAACTGAAGTCGACTGAATTACGGAAATGATCATTTCGGTAGCAACATCTTCTGGCCGCTCTAGACTCATGGTGAGTTTTCTGCTTAATCGTATAGCTTCAGCTCTGATGGATTGGTCATTAGCCAGCTCAAGTTTCGAGCTGAGGCTATTGAGCTGTTCGATAAGGGTGGCAATACTGCCTGAATCAACGGGGTTTGCGGTCATCTCCAGGTAATTGTCAATGTATTAACATGTAAGTTAATGGATTTCAAGAACGAAGCTGCTTAGAATACGAAAAGGCTTCGAAGTGGTGAGTGAGAAAATATTGGAACTATCAGTGAGTGGAGCTTCTACTCATGGACTTTCGTTATGTAGATACCTTTGTATTTAGTACTAATGTCAAGGGTAAGCCAGATATGTATGTTCCCAATTTCAGATGCGCCTTCTTACTCCATTTCTCATAAGCGAATGGTATTTGACAGTGGCTGAGGCTACACATTGCCCGGTTACGCCGATTCAGGCAAGGGAGGCAACTAATCTACACGTGTACTTAGGTATCTAGGCTGTCATAAATTCTATACCTTTATGTAGTCGGAATTAAGCTATGTAATGTACTGACCTGACCTTTTCGTATATCGAGATAACCGCCTAGTCAGTATTCTAGAACAAAGAGCATGTTCAGTATGTATAACTAGACGTAGACCTTCGTAGTTAGGTTAGAGTTCCTTGCGGAGCAACAAAGTTATTTTAATGCTGTTTGGTTTCACCTCGTGATACGCCCATCTTGTAGCCATTCTAAAATTGAGGGCAGAAGTGAGCTTCTCATTGCTTATAAGGCATTGTTTCTTTCAACTCGTTAAATACAAATGGCATATAAGCAATACAAGTATCACCTACGGGGGAAACTCACAACTACCTTGGCTTTGTTTCCAATCTCATTCTTTGAAAGTCGACGTATTCTCTTTCGTATGTACTCTAGAATACCGTTATCCAAATATGGATACAACAACGAGTAAACCATCCACACGTTTAGGTACCCTTATTATCAGTTTAACTTGGATATTATTTGTCTTTTCTACTGCCGTAGTTGTGTTCCGGCTGTACGTGCGCCTTCGTCTCCGCCCTATTAGAAAGCTTGCGGCTGATGATTATATTGTCATCACTACCTATGCAAGTACCTCCATTATTTATTTGTATCTTCGCAGTCTAACACGTTACCTCTCTAGTTAATAAGTATAGCAAATAACATATTCGTAACTATTTCCGCAGCCTGGGGCTTAGGGCAACATATCGATGCATTTGTACACGACCCTCAAAGTATTCAATATGTCATAAAATGGGTATTCCTGAGCGAAGGTACCGCCATTATGAGTGCTGGATTCTGTCGTATATCATACGCTATCCTGCTTCTGAGCATCACACCGCCATCAAAAAGGCCCCGTAGGTTTCTATGGACTATTATCGGCATCCAGTTCATAATTGATGTGGCAGCTGTAATCATCAGCTATATTCAGTGCAGTCCTATCGAGGCGTTCTGGAATACTTCTATTGATGGCCACTGCTGGCCTCCATACGTGCAGCAATACGCGGGCTTTTTCCAAGGTTGTAAGCAGCTTCGTTACAGCACTTAAACAAATACTCCTAGACTAATCCTTTACAGCGGTATGCTCTACCGTGGATTTAGTCCTCGCATTGTTTCCAGCATCTTTGTTCTGGAAATTGAACATGAAATGGCAACAGAAGGCGTACCTAAGCGGCATTATGGGAGTAGGCCTTATGTAAGTACGATTACCCCCATCAACAGGAAACGTATATTCTAACAAGTGCTCCACATTGAAAGTGCTATGGCGGCTTCGATTGCTAAAACAGTGAATCTGAGGGCATTCACAACAACGCAAGATCTTACATGTGAGTTATACCAGTCATTGCAGGGAAGCGTATATTAACTGGATGAATTCCGTTAGTTGCAATGGCAGAGCCAGCAATTTGGTGGACGTAAGCAATTCGCACCTCCTTTGTCAATATTCTAGCAATTAAACCCTCATTGGTTTACTAATAAATAGACCAGCGTGGAAGCCAACCTTATCCTCATTACCGTCTCAGTGCCAACTCTAACACCAATTCTCATGCCACAGAAATCTCGAACAGATGCTCCAAGAGATGTAAATATTAATACATTCAACTTGTGGAAGCTAGCGCAAGCCCAAAAGAAGCCGGGACCTGAGGACTCGCTTGAACGACTTCAAGAGGAGGCACTTGTCAGCAGTGAGGTTAGCTGCAACATTGATACACATAACAACGAGCTTGATGCTTATCACATGAATTATCAAGGAGAACGTGGTATACGGAGAGACGTTACTGTATCGGTGACTTATAGTCCGGGCATTAGACATAATTATGAACCTGTCACATAGTAGATAAATACTGGTTGAGATGTCAAAAGAAGTTGTCAGTGCTAGTTTTCGCCCAGAGGGTGAGGAGGTGAAAACTAGTACTATATAAAAGTTCCAATAACCCGACAAGGGTGCCTTATAGACAAGACTTTTGAAAGGGCCACCCGTACGGGCTTAAACGGTGTAAAGCGGTCCGGCCTGGGGTTAAAGGTTTTAAGGCTACTATTCCCGCGAACCAAGGAGTATATACCTAGACAATACGGACCAACAGTTATACCGACCGAAAGCCATGATAGTAACTAGTAGATAGGCTAGAGTGCATCAAGATGGCTAAGAAATATGCTATGGGTCGATCACCATGGGGTAAGATGTCATATTACTAGGGGTTTAAATCAGAGCCAAGTTATCAAAATATAAATTCAGGCTTTATTCGCTTGTAAGATATCAGTTAACCCATCATCTGAGATTCATCGATAAGGCTGAACCGAGTATATAAACCAGAAACCCAAAGACATTCCGTAACGACAGTAGCAATAATGGCTTCCCCCTACGACATCCAGACGTACCTCCTTGACCGGGCCAATATCCATGACACAGTGACACGGCTAGTAAGTAAATCCGGTATCCAGGTGCTTTAAACAAATTTCGAGTGGCTAAAATAACTAATATACTATTTCTCAACAAGACTTTCAACTGCGACCGAAAGTCGACAGACGGCCTCATCAAAGACGTATACGCTCCCCAAGTCGCCCTCGACTACACTTCCGTGTTTGGCGGTCAACCATTTGAGACGACTAAGGAGGAGTGGGCCAAGACTATTACTTCGGCGGCAGCCAGCTTTGACAAGTGCCAGCATATAGTTACGTAAGTTGCCCTTACAATCATATATCTCCTTTCTCTGTAAGATGTTAGATAGAAGCTCATTAAATTATTATAGGGGTCTCATCATAGAACTCCCACAACCCTTCAACAATGCTACCAGGCCTGACAAGTGCCGGGTTTTCGCCAACGCAACCGGCCACATGGTTCGTCAGGCAGCGAGAGGCGGGCCTATAATGCATGACGGCGTGAGTCTACTTCTCCTATTTATTTACCTTGGTATTTCAATTAGGATCAGCTAATAAAATATCCATAATCAGGCTCAATTTGACCTCGATGTCATTAGAATTCGAGAGCTGGAGCAAAAAGGGGAGAACCCCTGGCGAATCAGCAAGCAGGTCGTTGAGATCTTTTGGGAGCAAGGCAATAGGGATGTCATCGTGGACAAAGTTGCGGATATTGGAAATTAAGTCTTCAAGGTATAATAGCTTTATTGAGACCTAGATTACCGTGAAAGTGCTCCGCTCATAGTAGCGTAGACGTCCTCTGAGGATGAGAAAAGAGGCAATTTGCCTAATAAGGGCCTCCGCCGTAGCGGTGGACTGATGGTACTGCTATAGTTGGGCGTCTGAGCCATTAGATGAATATATGACCCTAATCATAAGCCGCACGAAAATTTTATACTTACCGAATATTAGGTCAAGTACTCTATATACTACACTGGCTATAGGAGTGTTTTCACTTCTGTAGAAGTTTACCCGTGCGTTCAACGTAGCCGTGTAACTACACCTCTATGTCACTCTAGTCATCATCAGCCAAGCCTCTTATATATTTAACTGCCCAAGACTTCCTCTCGATATTTCTTAGCTTGAATAAGCGTGTAATTTATCTTTTATCCACCTCTAATACCAATTCGACATCTTCCCACGAAGCAACAATAGCTCACGGTCTAGATCCCTCATCATACCACCGGAGCACCTCCAAGCGCGCCCTCCAATCTAGTTAATATTACCTACCGCCCCAAGTCCACATTGCATTCCGTCCACCATCAGCGGCACGATCTGCTCACCAAGCCATATCGTAACATATAAACATGTCCCCAAGCGGCGTCAAAGCAATTCCTCGACCCTCCATCTCGCACCCCGCAAGTCTCCGGGGTAGTAGATGATCTCGACGCATCCTCACGTCAGCATCCTGCCAGGAACCAAGAGGGCCAGATTCCAAATGACGGTGTCATACATAACATAGAGAACGATTGTGACGTTAGCCCCCGAGCGACATTGCAGTAGGCTCGGGGCATATCGACCGAATCGGAACGAGAGTAGAATACAAGTGTGCTAATCATGCCACTTAAAGCTACAGTATTGACAGCTATGGAGGTGGGTGGTTGTTCCTTTAATAAGTGTCACTGAGGCGAAGAACATCGGCTTACTAAGTAATTCAGACCTGGTCTTGGCCATGTGTGTCTCAGGGGTTGGAACACCTCGTAGAGGGGGGGGACTGTTTCTGCTCGAAGCAGGTCTACCACGTGCTCTCCAAGCATTGGCGCTTGTGCCTAGCAATTGATGATTTCGGTATTGTTTAGAGTAGATATGTTAGCTACATATGGGCGGATTGCTGCAGTCGCATTTACATAGGCCTGTTGTCCTCGTTGTTAGACGCGTAGGCGACCACGGGAGTTTTGATGTGGGCCAAATTAAGTCGACCTTCTGTATGTTAGATGAGTTTTGAGGGAATTCTATTTCGCTCTTATGACTACGCCTAGATATGTGTAATATGTGCTGCATTCTAGAGCTATATGAATTCCGCCCCTTTCAGCCCCCGATATTTTGACGCGATAGACGACATGAAAACGTGTTGTTAGACGCGAACACATGATACTAAGTTGTGACCTAAGAGGTCTCAGCCATTGTAGTATACTATCAAGTTGCATATCTGCAACGCTGCGGATCTCGATGCTGATTGCAGAGAGTCCGGGTAAGGCCATTTTATTCATTGGCCTTGCCAAGGGGATCTCTACGGCGCAGTAGCTTAATTAATAATTATCCCCATTTTATCGTAGACTGTTCCTTAATTTCAGCTACTTGAACTTGACGTGTTCGGGCATAAAATTCGTAAAAAAGGAATCAGCATATGACCGTAATAGGCAGTTGGTTTGGTATAGAAATTGTATGCGATAGATTTGGTGGATCAATTGACAACATATATAGAATTGGGAGGCTATACATGTACATGAACCCAAATTAATAGCAACTATTGAAATCTTGCATGTTACGCAGGTATATAAAAAATAATAGGAAATCTTCGAATACCTAGTCCTTTTACTTGATCAAGAGACTGTAAGCTCGGTAATTCGGTAGGCAACGTTGGGGCCGATGCACGTCGTTCAAGATGGCCAATAAACCCAAAGCTACGAGATGAAATAGATAGATGTGACCCTAGGATCAGTCAGGCAGCTATCATTGGTGTTATTCGGTAGCAGGCCCGAGTGGCTTGTCAGCCTTAGATCTGTTACGCTTTAGTAACTCCACACACCTAACTTTAGACTTATAATTAGCACTGCCACCCCTTGACCTTGACCTTGACCCCTACCCCTGATACCTCCCCATAAGAGCGATCCTCGGCCGGCTCGACCACGCTGCTGGTCAACATGATGGATGTCGTCGGGTGGTACCGGATTTAGTGAGAAGGTATCAGGTCCGAACATCGAGACATAATAGGATCTAGCTTTAGCTTTAATCGGCATGTTTCGGTTAGAAAGGTCGCCTTAAAACCCAGCTCCTCGCTGCTAGGTAGATACATGTAGACAGGTAATTATATACCTAGAGGTAGTCAGATAGTCTTTCGAGGAGCTACGCAATAGTGAAACCACTCTGACTGCGCCGACTTCATCCTGTACCCAAGTAGATTGTAAGGAGTCTGTTTTCTCGACGCAGCTGGGTCATCTTTTACTTATTATTAATTATCCCTTCGCTCCACCGCCCTACCCTCCGCCTTTCTCGTCGAATGCCGTTTCCTCTATGAGTTGAGATGCCGATAGATATTCGAGATCACTTTTCCTCCTCACGATGAAATCTATAGCTTCGTGCAATTTTGACACATGTCCAGTCGCCGCATCCCCATATGGCTACCCGCCAAGTGCAGCAGCGGGGGTCATCTTCTTCGTCATTCACCTTGGATCCTTCGTCGCCTGCCTGGTTTACTCATTCTACCTAGCCGAGAGGAATAGATGGTTGGAATTTAGTATTCCAATCTCTCTAGGCTGTCTTCTCGAGAGTATCGGCTATGCTATGCGAATCGGAAGTTCGACTGATCCGTGGAACGTGTCTTTATACGCAGCGTCAACAGCGTTTATGATAATACCGCCGGCCTTCATATCGGCAGCGTCAGTAGAATTCCTCTCTTCTTACTGGACATTCTTAGCTACTGAATAATATGCTGACTTATTTAAAGCATCTACTTTACCGTACCCGAAGCAATCAAAATCTTAGGCACGGAGCACTCGCCAATCAACGTCTCGCGCTATGCTCTCCTAACCTGGATCGACGCGTTTGGGTTTCTTTTCCAATTCATCGGAATCATCGTCTCCTTCTCAGACCTTTCTTCCGACACGGGCCTTGGTCATAACGCTCGCGTCGGCAGTCCCATTATCGCCACTGGTATGGTGATACAAGCCATTTCCTTGATCATTTATATAATGCTTTTCGGCATCGTCTTACTTCGAGCCGCCGTAGCAAACAGCCAATTTGGATACACGACGTTCCATCCGGTTCATGGTTTCGTCCCCATGGCACACAGATTCAAATTCTTCCTTGCGATGCTGCTGGTTTCCGCCATGTGCCTCTTCGCGAGAGCGCTCTACCAGGCAATAGTACTAGCCAATGGACTAGAGAGTTACACTGCGAAGAATCAGGCGTTATTTGCGGGCTTAGACAGCTTTCTTGTTGCGGAAGCCGTTGTTGGATTGTGTGTTGCACATCCCGTAACATTCTTACGGGACGGAATAGAAAAGAGACTAGGCAGCAGAAGTGCAAGCGCGATGACGGAGGAGCAGAGGATAAGCCAATTTATGGGAGGCCAATATGCGGAAAGTCAGTATAGACAGAGCCAACTCACGGAGAGTCAATCCGTGGAGGACCAACATTTGGATGTTCAAAACAGGGAGAGTCAATATAGGCAGAGCCAATTTAGGGCGAGCCAGTATAGTATGAGCCAGTATAGCATGGCTAGTAGCCGCAGCACAATGGAGCCAATAGGGCCAATAGGAGGAGGCCAGACTCCGTGGAGCAGTACAACTCGCATCGTATAAAGCATTAATTAAAAAAAAGAATTGGCGGAATCGACCTCATTACGTACGGGCCTGGTTGTTGACTGAACCGAACAACTTGGCTTATTTATAAAACCAGTGAGAAGGATCGCTAACCAAACTGGGAGGTTATGTTTCTATGTGAGTATCTTCGTCTTTGGCAGCGGGTATGTAGGTCACCATTGCCTTACTTGCACCCTCGACACAATACTGCACAACCTCGATCTTAGTCCCATCGGGGACCAGCTTGGCGATTTGCCTCAGATCGCTTGTGCGTGGAAGGTAAAGGGCATGGTCCATAGTTCTGTAGGCGCCATGTAATTGGGCCAAGCTATAGGGCTCCATGGTATTCAGATCGAATATTTCATCGGTCCTGTAACCTGGCCCACCCCAGGGCGGCGATGCGAATACAGCCGTGGATGCCACATCTACTCGTAAGTCATCCTCTAGCTTGTCTGGCGAGTTCACCAAAGCATCAAGATACTTAAAGCTGTCACCTAGGACCCAGATGATATGGTCAGCCACACCATGCAAGGAAGCGTTATGCTGCGCACAGGCAAGAGTGGCTGCATCTAGCTCAATGGCGATCACCTTGTTCCAGCGGGGCGTTGAGCCGTCTTCAGCTGTAGCCAAGGCAAGGGCAATAGAATTCGCCCCTACGCCAGCAAATGCATCTATGATTGTAGTCTTTGACTCGCTAATAATAGAACCCATCTCTCGCGCGATTTGGCTAGAATAAGAATAGTGTCAGATCGTATCGAGACTGGGATTATACGGAATAGGATCCGAGTGGGAATCGAGATATGAAACTTACTTCGCAACTGGTTCGGGGGTCACGCCAAACCAGGCATCTTCAGTCATGTAGATACCCTCATCATAATAAGGAAAAATTGTGTATCTTTGCTGCCAGTACCTATAGTTTTCGACTACGTAAGTAAACCATCTATATAAGTTGCAAGTCCTCTACTTCAACAACTCACTTTTGTAGGTCCCAAGGCACTTCGCCCAGACGAGTCCAATGATGACAGTCGTTAGTCAGGGGGAGCGTGTTCACTCGTTTCATCTTGAGAGTGCTGGATCGGTATGCATGAGCTGCCTGATTCGTATTGATCTTGAAAAACTTGAAGATGGGTAATTAATTAGATTGCTTTATGGGTCTTTGGTGTATATATCAAATATCAGAATTGTATAAAATACTGAATAAGCAAAATTGATGTAGATTTCTTGATGTTGAAGTGAAGGAGGCTAACAGTGATTGTAGATACTTCAGTACGGATCCATAGGCCCACTTCAGCTATAAACAGAAGCTTTGACCACTACTAATATTTAGCGCATAGCCGGCGTAAGGCTAATAGCAAGCTAGGAAATGACAGCTTTCTTGATAGGCTATGACTTTCATGTGAACCAAACAGGCGCATACCAACATCTGAAATTAACTTTGTAGGTTAGATAACCAAACAATAGACTTCTATAACTTAAACTACCTAAGTTACCTACACTATTACTTTACATATGAGCCCACAGCGACGCATATAATATGTTCAACGCCTTAAACCGGTACCTCTCGCGCCTCGACGGCGACGCGCGGCCGCAGCGAAAAGACGGCCACGGATACGGCTTCCAAGTATTGCGCAACACGAACCTCGAGCTAGGAATCGAGCCATGGTTCGACTTTATCGTTGGAATCAACGGCCGTGTAATTGTACGCCCCCCCCCTTGCCCCGCCCCCTAAAATCCACAAGTCCTCTCTATGTAGTAGCAAGAAGAAGAAGAAGAAGACATATAAGATAACTAACAACGAGTCGCAAACAGGACAACCCCGACCCCCGACTCTTCGCCCAAGAAATCCGCAACTGCGCCGGCAGCAGCGTCGCCCTCGGGCTCTGGAGCGCCAAGGGCCAGCGCACGCGAGTCCTACACGTCCCCGTCCCAGCCGATACGCGATCGCTCGGCCTCTCGCTGCAATGGACGCCGCTCGACGTCGCTTCGAACGTCTGGCACGTGCTAGACGTAGCCTCGAACTCGCCCGCCGACCACGCCGGCTTGCTGCCGTATAGCGATTACATATTAGGTACTCCAGACGGTGTGCTGCACGGAGAGGGCGGGCTGGGCGAATTGGTAGACGACTATGTGGGCCGCCCGCTGAGGCTGTGGGTGTATAACAACGAGTACAATGTCACGCGCGAGGTCGAGATCGTGCCGAGCCGCGAGTGGGGTGGTGAAGGCGCTCTGGGTTGTGTTCTAGGATACGGCGCGCTACATCGTCTTCCTGCGCCTTTAAGTGAGCCGGTTAATGCGCCGGGCGAGACTATGTTCGATGGTGATAGCAGCGGTGGTGCAAATGCCAATGTTGGCGCCGGCGCAGATCAATTCACGACATTAGCTCCGCCGAGCGATACGGCAGCTAATGCGTTCGTCCCGGCAGCATCGCCGGATTTCCTTGTCCCCGCGCAACTAGTTAGCAATACCCCTCCACCGGCAGGTAGTGCGCCGCCACGCAGTAAGAAGAAGGAGAGGCACAACCACGCTCCGAAGAGGTTGATGGACGACTACTTTGCGGAAGAGGAGAAGAAGAGCAGGGAACTGGATCGAAACATTTCTGCAAGCAAGACACCACCGCCACCGCCTCCTAAAGCCGGTGGTCCTCCCCCGAGAGCACCGCCAAAGGCCGAGGAAACGAAAGCCAACAGCGGGGATGATGATGTCGACTAGACGTAGTGTCACGATTTGAATGGAGATATAATACAGCAAAAAGTTCAAAGAAGCACGATTTATTCATTTGCTTGCTATACATAGTCGTGACTTTAACGTTTCTCCTAATACGGAGATTTTCCGCCTTATAATTCGAATCCAGCAGCCATTGAAGTTCCACACAGGTCTCGATATCCCTCCTGCGAGCTGCCCTGTTTAGTTTATGAAGTTGACGCAGAAAAAATGTAGGATTAGGCTGCCGACGACGTAATCTGCAAAAGCCCTATACGAAGATATTAGCCTCATATATCTGATCATAGAACTAGGTAGGATGCATACCTTTCTGGTGATACCGAAGGGAACTCGGACTTGTTCGCTTCTGTAGTCTGTATGCGTAGTGATGCTATTCCCACCGTTAGCACCCCAATCAGTCTCCCATGCCTTGTCCTATCCAATTCGTTTTAGAAAACGTACCGGTAAGGACGAATTGGCCAACTGTCGCCGAGAAGCCCGAGAGGAAAGCGTTGAATGGCTATAAACATCAAGTACTAGTTAGCAAGCTCTTCTAAGAGCATGGTGAAGTAAGTAGTAAGATACATACGTAATTGCCCGCCAAGACACAATACGCAAATTGTAGACCACCGACAACAACCAAAAATGCCATGAAGACGTCAAGCAGCTTGGTGCGTTGAGGCGTCGCCTTCTGGTAGTGCTCGATTATATTCCATGCTACTTGGTCGATCGCCTGCGAACCGCTAGTGCTAGTCTTGGCTACGGCGACGCTGGGAGCTGTCGTAGGTGCTGCTGGTGCGACTGGCGCGGGCGCAGATACGGGTGCAGGAGCTGTAGCAGCAGCGGACTTTTTAGGCGCCATCGTGGTTATGTCGAGTCTAGTACTACTGCTGGTTGGTTGGTAAAGGTGTGAATCAGATTTGAAGGGTACTTGTCGAGTTATTGTTCAGTCGTCGAAAATAATGGGTCCGGGATTGCGTGTAAGGGACACGAAAGCTTCAAAAAGTTCACGGTTCACATTAATGATAAAGCAACCAATAAAACGGGTTTACAGTGGATATGTTAAGTCAGGTACCATGGGGTAAATGTGGCTAGTATGATAGAGCTTCCGCCACAGTACCTAGTACAGCTACTTTGTATCCAATTGAATTTCGAGTCTTGGCCAGGTCGCATCCCCTCGGTGCTGCGGCCCCGGGGGTCCGGCCTTCCGAGCTCGTCATCTATGATACCTACAGCCTTCGCCTTTGTTTAACTTTACGAACTTGACTTCTAGCAACGCCAATTGACATCAAGCAAAGCTATAGAATCTCATATCTTTCGATTAAAAGACTCTACAACCTCTAGGTTATCAATTTTCGAGACAGAATGGTAAGTTAAACAAATCCGATGATCCGTCAGAGCTAACGCGGGGTTCCGTGGCAGGCTCTAGAGACTATCGCATTTATCTTGGGCGCCTTGACTGCAAGCGGCGGTACGATAGGCTACGTCAAGACGGGATCTGTCCCCTCTGTCATAGCTGGCTTAACAGTCGGTATATTGTGTATGTCAAGAGTTACCAAGTCAAGACGAGACTGATTTATAATGTGTATTAAACTAACTTGATATCGCAAAGATGCCTTGGGAGGTTATCGTTTGCAATCGCGTCAGTCTTTCGGTATCGAACTCGCTCTCCTCGCCTCCGTTGTCCTTGGTGGGGCCTCTATTCCCCGAGCCCTCCGTAGCGGAAAGCCGGTCCCGACTGTTCTAAGCTTCATTTCCGCCTTCGGTCTATTGACCTTTGGTAATGCCTTCAGAAAGACTTTGTGAGGGAGTGGTTGATTGTAGTGTGGGTCGATTATTCTGTGATAATTTGTGGCGCAACGGATTCAGGTCAACCAGTATGTAGCTGTCAAATTGAAAGGATGTTCTGTAAACAAGTTTTTGGGGCCGTGATCAGAGTAGAGTATAAACACCATCCAAGTATCCCCTTGCGAAAAGACCAACCTGCCGGTGTAAACCAAGCCAAAATGCTATAACCCTTTTTAGAACGCCATGCCATGCCATGCTAAACTCAAGAATACCCTCGACATATTCTCGCTCTAATATAGGAGACTAGTAGGTTTCGCCGTATAGGTATTCGTTACGAGTTCTCGTCTATATCAGCCCATGCCGACTTAATCTTGTCGCGTTTGGCTTTAGCAACTTCTCGGTTCTTTGCGGTACGTTTTACTCGTTCGGCTCGGAGGCATAGGGTAACTTGATGTTTGGCATCGTTGCACATGCCCATTGACTTCCAGAGGAACCCTCTAGCGTGACATTCTTCAAGGGCGGTCATAACCTCCTCGCAGGCTACGAGATATGCCCATTAGTTATTTTATTCGTAAGTATTCATAGACTAAAAGACATAAAAACATACCAATGTTATCCTTTGTATGTAAGTGCGGATGCATATTTACACTTCTTGGAAAATACACTTCGAGACGGGGTTGTAGGAAGATGATCTGACTGATCTTAATGGTGCCACTCTCAGTCGCAAACCAACCAAAAATTAGTTGCGACAGGAACAAATTTAGATAAAGCATGGGCCACTTTTATAGGCCCCACAATCACCCCTCCAGCCCTTCTAACCCCTCCAATGAATTAATTTATAGTTGCTCACTACAACAAACGTCAATTAATTCAAAAGCTGCTAGATAAAAGTTAATCTTATCTTAAGACACCTAGGTTACCAGTATATTACTCTCATACACAACTCCCCGTATCAACTCCCGTCTCTTTGTAGTGTCAACTACATAAAATCATAGTAATGGCATCTAAGGGGATATCGGCTAAGAAGCAGCAAGGTGTGTCACTAAGAACAACTTACATGAAAACCAAGAGCTTCCACTGATTTTATCTCGCAGAGCTGCAAACAACATATTCAAACTATAAGAATACCCTGCAGCAACTGGCTCAGAAGATTGGTGATGTTGAGCAAGAAGCCGAAGAACACAAGTTCGTGAGACTCTTTCTCTACCCTCTCATTCTTGACATCACGGAACCACATTCGTGAGCTCCCTGGCATGGCACGGCATGGCAATCCGCTCGCATGGCCTCAGCCCTACCAGGGTTCTTTTTTCTCTAGCGTCTTGACTAGATCATCTCACAAACCTCACCGCTTCATTTACTGAACTCACCGCTAATCCGTCAACTATTCGGTATCGCTAGGCTTGTTCTTGATACCTTGGAACCACTTCCGCGGGATCGCAAGTGCTTCCGCATGATCAACGGCGTGCTGGTGGAGCGGACAGTCCAGGACGTAATCCCTGCTTTGAAGACCAATGCTGAAGGGTTGAAGAAGGTGCTCGACGACTTAGTCAAGCAGTACAAGATCAAACAGGACGATTTAGAAAAGTGGAAGGTACGTCACCTTCTCAAACTTGGAATATCCGGCTTATCTAGCTTAATGACCCTACTCCATTTCGATTGCCATAAACTTACATGACCGTTTGAACAGAAGAAGAACAACATCCAGGTTGTACAGTCGTGACGCAGTCTCGGCGCTGCAATGCAGAGGAATGATTATAGAAACCATGCTAGGGTTACGATACGGATAGACGTGTTTTCGAGGCCCTCGATAGACGTTCTGAAATGAATAGGCTAATGGATGATTACCAAGTCAGACAGCATCTAAGTACGACTGATTCATAGAGTGCGTTGGTCTTTAGGCACTATGACTATATTAAGAGACTCGATCGAGATCGAGCCGGACTGACTTGTTGCACGACGCTGAGATGGATGAGATGGTGCCATATAGCCCTCGCCTTGAAGTCGTCGGCAAAGGCACGGCGATATCGAAAAGATGGTGTTGATGCGTTGTACAATTGGAGGTGCAGGCGGCGGAGCCTAGCGTCAAGGGCGTCTCAGTGCCCAACGACAGGCTTCTGTCAAGGCTGTCATGATCAACGTTTGCAAGCGGTAGTGATTGGAGGGTAGGCCGCGGAAAGGGTTGGCTGTCTTGACTGGTCGTAAATGATCTGATCAAATAGGGCGGCTTACGCTGACTATGCATCTACGAGGCACACTGATATAGCCTGCCATCAATACAACACCCCTGCACCGTATTAAAATTCGAAGAATATGGCCTGAAGAGATGATGGACTACATATGGATATTATCTGCCTCGTTTATCGGCAGATGTTCCGAGGGCGGGGTCCCTGACATGCGCTTAGGAACTCCACATGCCACATGACGATTTCCTTAGAGTGACGGCGATGCTCGGGTGGTCGAGTGACAACGTGTCGCTGATGACAATGATCTGCCTGCCTGAAACAGGAGTGACGGTCCTCCTACATAGTAGACTGCGCAAACCGCGACTCGCCCACCTAAGACGTGCATAACATGAGATAACATAAGTTCGTGGAGGGGAGTGACGATAAAGACTACTACGATCCTAATTGAAAAGCTCGGCCCAACACATGGTAGGTAGTCTGCAAGTGCTAGGTTGCCTTGGACGTGATACGGAATTCCCGGGCAGCTTTAGCAGGACGAAAGGTACGGCGCAATGCTTGCTGTATGTAGGTCGCTCGATCGAAGAAGTAAATCTTCAGCTGGCTTGAATAGGGAACTACACACGAGTACTTCTGAGCTTCGCACGGCTGCACGGCTGCACCTCTGCCCAAGTGTCAGCAGGGTGTTGATCCGGAGGGGAAGATGGGGGGGGGAATATCCCACGTCCCTTTCCGAACCGGACGGGAGAGTCTCGGAGCTGTTTTGATTTTTGATATAGCAGCGCATTAACTTCGTAGATGCACATTATATTTGTCGCCAATGAGTTGCTTTCCCAGCACAGCGGTAACTCTCATTTTAGTGCATCCTAGAGCGAATCTTAGTTTAGATGGGATATTTAAACATTACATCTGCTAAGTACCGCATTCGACGGCTACAAGGCTACTTTCGCATTTTCGCATCCGACGATTGGGCATCCATGGGATCGTACGTAGGTATATATGTGGGTTCGTAGGACACAGTTAGGCCGCATACAACGTGCATGTCGGTAGGTACCAGGTGCTCAAGCGTACAGATTTGAGGTCGACCAAGTACGCAAGTACGGTGGTATGTAGCACCTAAGCTTTGCAGGGCTGGCCGGCCAAGAAAAGAAGACTCGATTTGATGGGCTACCAGGATTAAGCGATGACGGCGATATCGCCATGGAAGCTTTCAAAGCCTATCATTTTCTTCTCCACATTCCGGGACAGGAAGAAGCTCCTGAATTAGAATTACGATTTTACTTCCAATCAGAACCGAATTTTGGTGCTAGGTATTGCAATTGGCCGGTAAAGGGTATTAATGCGAACCCCTAACCTACCTAAGGTCATCTTTACAGCCAGTCGTCATCTTCTTCATCTCTAGATGCTGAAATAGTTATCCAAACAGATGTCGCGGCCCCCAAGATCGAAGAGCCATAAGCCAGGCCGCGCTTCCTGTTCCTGTCGGGTAAGCACATACATCGGACAGCTGTTTATTTCGGGGATTGTCGAATCAGCGATGGAATCACCCCTCCACTCCGTCCCGCGTCGAAGGTGAGTTGCGTTAGATAGGTATCACAACGACCGCAACGACCGCATGGGGTGAGCGACAACGGATGTTTGGCAAAGATTTTAAGATGCCGATAATATGAAAAATAGGGCTGCCTATATCTCAGAGCATCATGCGCTCAGCCAACTTTGGGGTAAGTTGACTTCACCGCTTAATGTATGAGATGCATCGGCCGGCTTGGTCCGTAGAGGGGGAATGGGCCGGTGTGACGGATATGATGGCATATTACAGTCCAACAGTATCGTTGCGTCTAAAGACCCGAAAGCCACTTGCGACTTGCGACTTGAGCTGAAAAATCAAATCAAGATAGCTAAGGGAGGGATTTATGCGCAGATTTCAGGTTTGAAGTAACCCTTGAGGACGAAAATTGTTCCTGAGTATATTTAATGTTAAGTCCACGAGTATTAGTATGTTAGGTACGTAAGCCTTAAGGTATCGATGTTTGATCGAGGTAAATACATTAGTAATATTAGTTAAATGTATAGAAGTAAGTTAGGTACTTCCAATCTGTCGATTTGTAATTGAAGCAAGCACGATACATACCATACATGTTTATACATATAAGCTACCTTGTGTACTTTCTAAATATGTATGGGAGTACGGATTATAGGAATATTGCCATCTACTATTACCCTTTCCCATTTTCTATACATGCGTCAACTTGTTGTCCTGTTTTCTTCCAATATTATCTCTTCATTCGTGTACAAGTCAAACAGCTGTCCTTGACTCATTAATTCTTAATTAATTTCTATTATTAACGTCCAATCTTTTCCCTCGCTTTATTAGTTATGTTGCGGTTCTTCCTCAAGCGGTTTCCTGCACGTTCCCCACGTAAATGCGAGCTTCAATGTTTCTATGAGACGTGCATGACCTATTTGCCAGGTAGTTAATATACTAAGATGATTCATTATCCACATCTCTGGTCATTATATCTACCTTTTAACTTATACGCGCAAAAGAAATACGAGGTATCATGTTGGTTTGTTTTATTCTTGACTTGCGGCTCGTATCCTAAGTATGCCTTATAGTATCTATGAAATATAGCTACCTAGGTAGTGAATCAATACCAAGCTTAATATCGGCAAGCCGAGCCAGACGCTGGTTTTCTTTTTGAATCTATATCTTACCCAGATACTTAACGAATAGCCTACGTAATTATAACAAGGAATAATGGGAACTTATGTCGTTTGTACATACATACCATGTTGGATGATAATGCGCTATGCGGCCAGCCCGTAGAAAAATCCACTCCTGTGCATTTAACTTCGAGCTGGAGTTTTCCAGAAAACGGCCCCCAGTTTTTGTCAAAACTGAAAGTCTTGTTTCTTTGTCGTATGTTCCTTACATTTTAACTAACAAGTCTTCTTGAATATTTGCCCATAGAGAAAGAGCGAGAGAGATTCTGACCAAGTTTAATTTTTGGTGTAACCCATACCGTACACATCCACCACACCCTTACGAAAAAAATCAACTTTTGCCGGACTACCTACTATAGTAAAACGTTGATGAGCTAGTTAACTACTGTAGCTACTGTAACTTATGACAAACCACGTACTGTTTGTAAGGGTTATAAGGCAGCCGCATTTGTCCACTGCCGACCCCGAACGTTAATTCCTCATACTTGGGAGAGAATCCATTAACCCCACGTACCAGGCACCATACATACATCAATTTTATGTACCATTTTACATACATCCAACCTGCACAATGCAGTAAGGTGATCTTGCTTCGAAGAACTGGGTACCGTAGTTATCCCCGCCACCCTAGCGCTAGGAAGTTAGGAGGTTAGGAAACTGCGAAGTACATAGCAATTAAGACTGGCTTCGACAGCTGGAAGATAGGGTATTATACGGAAGGTGCTGGTAATATGTAGGTAGGTACAGATTTGTAGAAGGTAGAAGGTAGGCACGTTCGCATACCTGTTAGCATAGGTAGTTAGGAATTAGGAAGTTTAGTCTGTCTACCTAGGTAGGTATTAGTTAGTAGGTATTACTTAGAAGGAAACAGCGGGTCTCCCAAGTAACGCAACCCTCGGCGTCTTCTCAGGGAAGAAGGACCCGCAGCAAATCCCCGCTTCCCTTTTCCAAACCCGGACCGGTTAGGTACTTTTGTACCTCAGATCGCATCCTGTCCCATTCTCCCACATCCACATCTCTTTTTGTGACTTTGTACCGTACACCAAACACCACCCAACCACACTACTCACACTACTTACTCACTACACACTACACACTTACACACTACACTACACTACACCACGCTACAGTATACTACCTACACTATACCAAGCCCAGGCTTGCTGCATACACATCCATACACGTCCCGTACATACCCTTACATATCGCCCGTTGCTGCAGATTCCGTCATAGCCTGAAGTTCGCGACAGGGCGTGCCAGCGGGACAAGTAAATAGCTCTAGGTCATAATTCTGGGACCCGCGCGACAGGGCAGGATTGACGCACTCGTCTGCAGCTAAGCCGCGCTCAGTTGCAAGCCCTACCACTTGCAACGTGTCAGAGGCAGGGACACATCATCTCTACCTTGTAACCAGCTGTGCGAGCTGGCAGTCCAAGAAAATTTTACAAGAAGCTACCACCCGCTGCAGGTAGCCAAATATGTCGGATTCCCCCCAATCTCCTCCAAAGGACGTTGAGCCAGGTGTACAGTCACCCGACGATGAAGCACAAATGAACGACCCTCAGGACCCACACGGCTCTGGCCTTGCCTATGAGTTCGAGGTAAAAGAGCAGGACAGGTGGTTGCCCATAGCCAATGGTGAGTTGAGACCCTCTCCGACTCTTGTCTCTGATTTGGTGCACCCGAGTCTGCTTTTGGGATCTGGCCTGCAAGCTTCGAAGAGTATCGCTCCTGCGGAGCTCTGACCGCGGCGCGTCCGTCAATTGGTGCTTTATGGGCCCCCTTAGCTCGAGACAGCCGTGCATCAGCAGAAGGCGTCCATGTCTCACGATTCGTCGTCTAAGTCGCCAGAAGCGCCTCGCGCTTCTAAAGCCGACAGGTATGATGTTTACGATGCTAACATACGAAACTTCGCTCCAGTTGCCCGGATCATGAAAACCGCACTACCCGAGAATGCTAAGATCGCAAAAGAAGCAAAGGAGTGTATGCAGGAGTGCGTGAGCGAGTTCATCTCCTTCATTACCAGCGAAGGTGAGCGTGCAACTTTATTTTTCATCTCGCTAGCCTTTATTCCTCCTGATGCAAGCGAAGACTAACACCGTACACAGCATCGGAGAAATGCCACCAGGAGAAAAGGAAAACCGTTAACGGCGAAGACATCCTATTCGCTATGACGTCTCTGGGCTTCGAGAACTATGCGGAAGCATTGAAGATCTACCTGTCTAAATACCGAGAGGTACTGTTTCCGCCGGCGTCCCTTGCTTCGAGGCGTGCACGCCGCCTGTGCCCGACATTGCTTATGAGTAGTGCTAACCAATGACTAGCAGTCCCAGTCCAACCGGGGTGAAAACCAGCAGAACAGGCCGAACAGCCAGGGTTACGGAGCCAGCGCGCCGAGCGGATCCGGTGCTGCTGGAACCTCGGGATTTCAAGGAGGTGACGGGACGGGAGGCATCGGCGAATCAAGCGAAGGCTATATTTACGCCCAGCCTAGTCACAACGGCGCGGCCGGCGAGACCTATTAAGTTTCGCGCCAAGCGTCCGTAGACGAGATAACCGGGTTATAGAACCTCGACCTGATTTCTAATATCTAGTTTGAGACGGTCTATACTACTTTCAAGTGTGTATAACTACTAGGATTCTGAGGGTTTCGGCGCATTCATCCCCAGATTGGTTCTTCGGATCAGGGATGAGTGTCCATCTTTTACCCCCTGTATATGGACTCGCAATGGATGGCGATGGAAAGGGGGGACTGCGCGTTAAAAAAAGGATCTGGTTTCGCACTTTTTCACTTCGATAGATTCCCCGAGGCGTTCTTCCCCCCCTATTCGGTTCTCAACGTTTCTCATGATCAGTCTTGAGATTCCGCGTCAGTTTACATTCGGCAGTTATTCTAGCTTCACGAGGGTTGGAGAACAGACCAATTCTCGAAGCATTACAAGCTACCTATATAGCATTATTTCATTATGTTGAGAAACGAATTTACTTTATGATTTTCCCCTCTGGTATATTTAATAGGTTGTTACTATGTTGGCTTAACTATAGCTATAAACCCTCACAAAACAGATTTTTAATAAGGGTTCCTACGGAAGTTCTTACAGGTCATTTATGATTATTATATTAAAGATCAAATTCTTTGAGCACTGGTAAAAGAACTAAACTTTATCTTAGTCCTTGATTGATATATTAGGGGAGCTCATTAGTATATATTGATGCTTTATGAGGTTTGGAGGTTTGTGTAAGTCGATTGGTCTAACAAAAATCTACTCAGGTACCTTGGTGCCTACTACAGGTACCTAAGGTACGTAAGCACCTAGCACCTATGTAGCATGGAAATTATAGAGCTTACATAATGCACAGACCATTTGATACAGGCCCGTCGTTGCCCCTCCTACTTGTCATCAAAAGACCCCTGTTTTTTTTTTCTGTGGATGCGGGCGTGCATATCGCTGAAATTTTGTGATTTTTCTTCTTCTAAAAATTCTCTTCACAGCCTTGCCGATTCGCGTCAACCTCGCGATCTTACCATAAAATAGCACTAGGACCAGTATGCCGGAGTACTGCATAATAGAGTCTACGGTGGTTTGGACTTGGTATTCGATAGCAGACTTGAAAACAACCTAAAATTCTGTAAACAAACCTCTATGTCACTCGTTATGACCAGCGCCACCCCGCAGCAGCTCGCTCGGCCGCCGGCGAAGGCCATTCCGCTTAAACCCATATTGAAGTCGTCTTCATCATTACTCAACACTAAAAGAACTAGCGATGACGCTGGCCTCGACAGTGATAGCATGGAAGCTCCCGAGAGTCCCCGAAAACGCCAGAAAGTAGAGTTCGATTTAAACAATATCGAGATTCACGAGATTGGAATACGATCAGTAGACGAAGTAAAACAGGAGGTTAGAAAGGCCTTGGATCGCCATGATCAGGGAGACGACGAGGACTACGACATATTGAAAGAGACGCTATCTGGAAAGCAGTCGTTATATGAAGATGACGAAGACGAGGATGCGGATCCTACTTTACCAGCAAAGCGACGTCAGGAACTTAAGGTTTACTTGATCTCACTTGCAAGCTTCTCTCCTCGTCTAGGTAGATCATGCGACGGTCTGGTTAAGAGCATTTTACAATGCCAATGGCTTGGGCGGGACGAGCAATTTGCGAAAATCTACGTCCAATTCCTCGCGGCTCTCGTCAGTGCGCAAGGCGCCCGTTTAACACAAGTCTTATCATCCATCGTCGACAAATTTACCGATTCTCGACCCTCTGATTGGGCGGTTCCTACCTACCCTAGCGTCAACCGTGAGACTGCTCAAGAAAGACTTCACATTGCACTACGATACCTAATACAATTATTTCCCGCCGCCAAGCCTGTCCTAGAGCATCTTACAGCTACTAAGTACCCCTTCCATGACGAGTCAAAGCGTATGCATTTGGTATATGTCGACAATCTTTTGAGACTACGATCATACTGCCCTGATCTGAAGACTGAGATCATGGACCTGATCGTCAGCCGCCTAGTAAAAATCGACGTGGAAATGCAAATGGACCTGGACGATATGGACGATAGGCTTACTACAATGGTGGCGATGGCTCTCCGTTCTTCTCGAGAGAATAGAAATCAGGACGAAGAAGATGAGGATGAGAGCGACACTGAGTCGATAGACAGCGATGAGTCTGAAGATGACGAGTATACGCGCGTGAAAACAGCAAAAGAGAATATCGAGAAGATGGATTCTGTTCTTGATACCCTCTTCGAGCTCTATACGCCTAGCTTCGCTGACCCGGACTCGGACGAAGCTCTAGAGGCGTTTGAGGACCTACTATCCGAATTCTCGAACATCATCTTACCTACAATTAAATCAAGACATACTCAGTTCCTAATCTTCCATTTTGGCCAGAAATCTGAGAGGCTCATGGACGCGTTCTGCGGCACATGTATCAACATTGCTTTCGAATCTCAACGTCCAATGGTGCTACAGCAGGCGGCGTCCGCCTATTTAGCGAGCTTCGTCGCTCGTGGAGCACACGTGCCAGGTCATATTGTCGTAAAGATCTTTGAAGTTCTAGGTTTCCACTTAGATCAGATGCGAGCCCTCTACGAGATATCATGCCGTGGGCCTGACGTCCGCCGATATGCGCCATTCTACTCGCTAGTACAAGCGTTGATGTATGTTTTCTGCTTCCGATGGCCGGATCTCATCAAGTCGGTACCCGAAGAGGTCGATACAGATGACCTTTCATCGTATCTAGGCCAGGAGATCGAATGGGAGCCGGAGATCAAAGATATCATGCGTCGTAATATCCATTCGAAGCTGAATCCACTCAAAGTCTGCTCGCCAGTGATCGTGGATGAGTTCGCAAAGCTAGCCCATCGGTTTGGATTCATGTATGTGTACCCAACTATCGAGTCGAATAAGCGACTTCGTCTATCACAGTTCTCAGTCGGTGCATACTCTAGCGGAGGTGCCCTACGCGATCTATCTTTCGATATGAACGATGAGAGCTGGCAGCAGCTAGGATCCTTCTTCCCATTCGACCCGTATCAACTCCCAGTAAGTAAGCGGTGGGTAGAGCAGGATTACCTACCATGGCGGTCTATACCCGGCCTCGACCGAGACGAGCAGGATGAGGATATTGACGAGGAGGAACGAGATGATGAGAACGAAGAAGTGGACGAAGATACCGCCACAGAAGAAGAGCCTAGCGAGGACAAATAGTTACCTACCTAGGTTAGGTACTTGATGTAGATTCTACGATATGCATTTAATCGGCGTTGGTACTTGGTAAGGAGGGGCTGGACAAAAAAAAGGGAATGATACCTGTATTTAGGGATGGCGCTCTCGGTCAGAATTTGACCGTAATGATTTGATATATGTTTCTAGGATGTTGAGCGTTTTCCCCTTCCTAGTCGATCACGCCTTTTTACATCCGAAGTTAGATATATGTTGGTCTCTAACTTGCTTATCCGCTTTATAGTAGAGAACCTTATGAGACTTGTATACTACATACATACATACATGTACTCGCCGCAATTATTGTATTTCGGCACGAGTTCTATAATAACTAACTTGAGATTCTATAAAGACAAAAAAAATAAAATGGAATCAATTAAGTTTTTAGGTTATAAATCATTATTTCCTTTTATGCCTTGTTGCCTTTAGTATTATATTATAACCCCTGCACGTGCGTCTGGAAAGTTTTCGTTCGATTCTTAGAAGAGGAGACGGAGATTCCAAATCACTGGCCTCTACAACCCCCTGGAACTGGAATAGCCCCACGTTTCTGCTTATGCTTACTTGTTCCCGTTGCTTTGTAGCCGCACCACCGCCATAACGATAACAGTGAAAAATCCATTACTCGTCACATGCGGTACCACTGTCCCGGGTAACACCACCTTAGCGTCGTGTAGTCTTTGCTAAGATATTGATTGTTGTTGTGTGTGCGTGTGTGTGTGTGTGTAGTAGGAAATATGGCCAGCTCATCGTTGGAAGGAGAGGAGGAAACGGGTAGCATTGCGGCGGAAGATAATCGCAGTACTAAAAGTGGCAGATCGAGACCCTCGTTTACCGACTATTGGAAACGCACGAAGCAGGCGGCGAGACATATTACCTTCGTCTCGAGTAATCCGGAACAAAGCACAGGTATGTGATTATATGTCATATGTCATATTGTACATACATATGCTGCTCAAACGGGCTGGGAGTATTTGTCATAGGGCTGAGGCCGTCGCGTGCCAAGCATAGTATTGGTTGGTAACAGAAATAAAAATCACGGCGCCCGCGTTGGCTGGTTGCTGTAGGTGTTGTGCACCAACGAACGCAGACTATTGCGGGCCTTAGGGGATGGTAAGGTTAATAGGGGCGGGACGAAGCAGCCAAGAATACTAATGGATGTCCTGTTTGTTTTCTCTGTTTTATCCCCCCTATACGGACAATAAGTAGCACGCACATCTTGGCTTCATGTTACCTTCGTCTGGCCCTAGTAGACGACCTGCATCTTGCTAGTGGTCATACAGCGCAGATAGGAGCTTACTAGACTGCATATGTTTATTTTCATATTTCCACATATATATATCTATGTATATGTATCTCAGACATATATATATGGCCATGTCGTATATCGTACTAGTCAAGACTAACACTTGGCTATTCTACACAGGACCCAGGAAGACAGATTCAAACCAGGAGGACGAGGACGAGGACGACGATCAGCAGGAGGACCAACACCAGAGCGCGCAAGCCAAGGCGCTAGCTCGACGACAGCAGGTGCGCAAGGCACAGAAACAGCATCGCCAGAGAAAAGTCAACTACACCAACCAGCTCGAGATGGACGTCGCCAAGCTGCGCGACCTGATAGAGCAGACGGAGCGAGAGAGTCTCGCCATCAGGAACGAGAACGAGACTATCCGCCGCCGTCTGCTCAGAAACCCGGCTCCAGCACCAGCTCCGGTTCCGGTTCCGGTTCCGGCTCCGCAGGCTAGTCTGATGATGCCGCCGCCGCCGACGTCGACGTATAGGTCTTCGACGTCCCTGCCGGAGTACACCGTCAGTCTTATTAACTCGTCCGAAGCCCTGGACAAGCCCATGTTCCAAGTCCAGCGGGTGTCGGCGCAGCAGTCGTCGTGGTCTCCGCTCGGCGGGTTCGCAGGCGAGCAGATGGCTTCTGGTGCGGGTCGTGGGTTTGAAAGTGCTGGGGTAAGGGGGAGGAGGTTGTTGACGCAGACGGAGACTGATCAGGCGATCAATTTTATCCTAGAGTACGAATTATTCTTTTTTGTTTTTGTTGCTCTTATTATATATATATATGTATAGGGGGAGTCTCTGCCCCTAGCCCTTGGCAAAGCTAACACGGTCGAACATAGACTCGAACGCATCTGCTGGAACCACTTCCACCCCTCGATGTACAACCACAACGACTACGACCCAGAAGCGCGCGAACACGGGCACTCGCTCATGGTCAGCACGATGGCGCTGCGTAGCGCACCACCAGAAGCATGGGCACAAATCAGCGCGGAAAAGGCTCGACAGGCCTCACTCCCCTCCCAATCCCACTCAGCACCTCCTCCCTCCCTACCTACTTTCCCCTTAGACACCCATACCCACACCCACTCTTCCCACTCTTCCTCCCCCCATCCCCATCCCCATCCTCACATCCACCCCCACAGCCACGCCAACATAATAACATCCTGGCCCACCCCCAGCACCTCCAGCGCCGACCTCACCCTCGAGAACCTGCGCGGCCTAGCCGCCGCCCTGAACCCCAACCCGGAAGAGTCCGCCGAGCTGGCCCCCGTGCAGGCCTGGTTCGAGATAGCGCGTCTATACGGCGGCGTCGCGGCCCTCCTGCACGACGCCGCGCGTCTGGAACGTCTGCGCTCCGAAATGGCCGCCGTCGTCGACTGCATACACTACGGCGCTGTGATCCGGCGCGCCGATTTCGAGAGTACGCTTCAGAGGGTTATGGGGCCTCCTGTTGGAGGGGGTGGGGGTGGGGGTGCTGTGCCGGGTGGGTATTCTGAAGGAGGCTTTATTTGATGATATCTAGGTAGATATGCTATTAGGTTAGGTGCTGAACGCCTGGGTGGATGGGGGGAGAGGAGGAAGGGAGAAGCAAGGCGAAGGAAAATAAAATTTGTTTACGGCATAGGGAGAGGACGAGATTTACGTGTATATATATACGACTGGAAGTAGGGCAGAGCATACAATGTGAATAGCGCTGGATTAGGTTGGATTTCTAGAAACAATATAAAAGTTGTCCGGAGAGTTTGCATAAGTATAGAAAAGCAGTCCTAGAGAATCATTCTACATTATGAAGATTAATCAACGTACGGAGCCTGAGTTTTGTAAAAGGAGATAAGTTAATTATCTCCCGAGAGCTCTATACTACCCAGTTACCGTATAATCAAATCAAGGCATATCGCCGTGTAAATCTACAGCACTAATATGATGTTTAACAAGTTGTCATCTACTTTATTCACCTATCTCACTAACGTTCTAATCCGCTCGCGGGTAAAGTGTTACACAGCTAGGTCCAATACGCGGGATAACCCTCGACCCGCCCCTTATACTCCCCCAGTTAGCTACAATTACAAGGCTTTAACAATCGTCCGCTCATCAAACAAGTCTCTCAACAGACTGTCCACACACGTCTCGACGTCCAACGTACCCATGGCATACGTGGACTCAAATGCGTAGATACTCAGCTGTGCGAAGAACGGCCGCAATATCTTGGCTACCAGCTCGTCCTTTCTGTCTACTGTCAATTCATCGCTGATACCTCCCGGGAGGCCTAGAAGCGGCCTGCGCTGAGGTGGTCCGCTTATAGTTGTCGCGGCTGCCGATTCTGTCTGTAAGGCTGCGGTGGTTACATTGGATGCTACGTTGCCTAGTTCTTCGGACAGCTCATCTACGAGTGCTACCGGCTGGTAGCTAGGAGATCGGTAGATGGAGTCGATGGTATCCGTGACGAAAAGCCACTCGTGTAACTGGAAGTCGTCTGGTGCTGCAGCGATGAGCAGATCTAATAGCTTGCAGGCCTGTAGAATGGACGTGTTGCTAAAAGTGTCCGATGAGGCGCTATTGTCTGGCGCTGCCACAGAGGATATAGCTGCGTGTAACTCTGCATTGATGGTTGGCCATATAGGCGCAAGATGGATAACGGAAGTCCGAAGTACAAGGGCACGGACCACCATATAAATCTCGGCGCGCGTAGTTGAGGAAGGCGAAGATGTAGATGTCGCCGCTAGGAGCTCGATAAGGCGCTCGAGGATAAGCGGAAGGTCTGTAACGAACGTGTCTGTACCACACGCAAGAATTATAGTGGCAACGCGGCGCAGATTGAGCTGTGTCTTTCGGTCCGCTTCTAATCTTGCCGAAGTAGCACCTACTCCGAAGACTATACCGGCTGTTGTGGGTGGTGTTATTCGTCCTAGTATTTCCGGCATCCGTTCCTTATCTGCAACTGTCCAAAGTTTTAATAGGGGTAACCAGTCGCTTCGTACTAGAATAACGGACGAGTTGAAGAATCTAGAATCGTTAAAAGCGTCACCGATATCCTTCTTCCAGGTTTTCTGATTATTTGGGAGCCTGGTCAACTCTTGAAGTAGAGTTAATGTGCTCTTGGAAATAGTGTCGGGAAAGGCCTTTGAACGGATAGAGGGGCCAATCACGTTTGTAGAAATAGCGCCTGCTGCTGTCAAAACGCGATCAGATTCTACGAGGATTTTGGGTAGGTTAGGCACGATGTGAGATAAGATGCCGACCACGTCATCTGCCCTCTCGGCTGGCAATATAAGACGACTCTCACCGACTTTGGACTTCTCCGACTGTAGGGGTGATTGGCCATCTGTAAAGGACGCTGGTCTCGTGGTGAAAATAGCTGTCAGCAGTCTCAGAAAAAGATCCTAATTTAGTGTCAGCAGTAAGTTCAACATCTTTGGAATATATATAGAATACGTACCCCGAGCTCCCTTCGCATCTTTCTTTGCTCCCCGAAGTTTGTGTTGTCGACCTTCTCTCCTAGAATTGCTGCGAATTCCAAGAGACTTGGTAATGTCTGCCTGTGCGGGAAAGGATTGCCTAATAGATCTCTTAAGAAGATCATACAATCTTGCCAGATTTCGTCCATCGCGTCATCTTCAAGAGACCGAGCATAATCAACTAAGAAGATGACTAGATCTGTATCTTGTAGTTCGATAGTTAATGTTGACTTCCTAGATGTCTCTAACGCGCTCGGGTTTGATCGGCTATATATCGCGTTAAAGATAGCGGGGATAGTATGCCTTGGACGAGATCCATCCAGAGCAGGGAGTAAATTGAATACTTCCGAGTGTTTTGTTGTGTCAGGATCAGTCAAGGAATTCCGCCAGATATCAACTACCGTCTCTAAGCATTCTAATGCTTCGGCGGCGAATACGTGTTCTAGTAGGCGTCTAGCCCGGTTTCGCATGCGCAGCGATGTGTATTTGAACGAGGAAGCCGAGTCAATATCTAGGCTAGTAGCTTCGCTTCCTTGTCCCCAAGACCAGATCTTGAAGCACATCCGGACAGCATCCTGGAAGGCAAGCAGAACAGTCAGCCTGTCATTGGCTGTCGCGCTTCGAGACTGAGGAGCATCTGAGTTGAACACACCAGATACCATGTTCCCGAAGAATCCTTGAGGCTGATCAGGACTCTTTATAGCCTGAACCCTAGCTTCTGCGGCCAGCAGTTGGTCATGCGCCTTAGCGAGAACTTGCTCGAGTGCGTTGAGTAATGATATAAGAGTCGATTCCGGAGCGTTAATCCGCTCTGGTGGCTTCCCATTTTGCTTAAAAGTCTCTTGTAGGTTGCCAAATGTACCGGCAACCTGACCGCAAAGCGTTTCCACTAAAGGAATAAGAACTTGGAAGATAGAGTCTGAATAGAAGGGCAAGCACTCTGTGAGGAAGCCTACCCAGCTGTCTAGGACAGGCCGACTACTGGACGACTCAAGACCGGCTTGTATACATTTAATTAATGAAGGCGGTGGTGGGGTTATCTCAGGAAAATGCTCGAGGGATGCTGCAGACAACCGCACGCTACCGGATGCGTAGCTCATAGCCCGCTTCTCTCCCATTGGCGAAGACGGTGGTTCCACGGGTGATGCATCTCGAAGTTTCAGCGCGTCGAAGGTGACGTCGAGTAGAAGTACTTGAATATACGGGTCAGGTCCTCCAAGGGACTGGGTGAGACGATCAATTAAGGTGTCTTCTAATTTTAGACGAGACAATCCATCCGCGTAAGGATTTAATAGAATCTGGTGTAGAAAATTCAATGCGCAACGATGAAGTTGAGTTATTCGAAGCTGTAGGTGCTTATCACTCGGAAGTATATTGCCAGCAATACATCGCATGCAAACGCGTAGGAAGAATTCTAGGAGGGATAAGCTATTTTCCGTACCAGCTAGTTGCTATTAGTGAAGATTCAAAAACTCTCTCATATGGAGTTATCTCACCTATTTCTATTAGACTCTGATTAGGTTCCTCAATTGTTCTCGTCGCAAGGACTCCCCAGAACGCGTCGGGGGCCCACCGGAATATGTTGGACAAGGTACGAAGATAATAGAGTGCTAGGTCAAGGTCATCTTCCGCTGAGAATTCAACAGATTGGCTCGACCCAACGGGATTAGCCGACGGAGGGAAAGTTCGAAGGAACTTAAGTTGCGATATTTTTGTGACGAAAATCGAGAATAGCCTAGGTTAGGTGTTTGTATTAGCTACGTAGCTCTTGTTACTTGTTTGGTAAGGGTTCAACATACTTATCAATACCAACCATGGTGTTCAACCAATTCTTTACCATCATAAATAATTGGCTTCGTTCATCTAGTAAAGAATCAAGCATTAAAAATAGGGGCCTAGTGAGCATGACGTCGTAGTGATCCATTCCAGACAGTCGAGTCGCCGGTCTAAATTCACTAATAGGGGTCTTTGGACCTCTTCGGTCAGAATGAGAGGCGTTATCTTGTAACGTATGAGACCATAAGATGGTATAACTCCGGCCTGGGTCGGCCGGTCTTATGGCGAATGTGCCTGTCACATCATCCTTAAGCATCAAATCAGCAATCACCGCTTCAATATCGCGGTTCGAAGTTGTGAGGGCTGTTTGCAATTGCCAGAGGCATCTCACAGTTTCGACATGATACTTCGGTTCTGTCAAAGATAAGAAGCCCCACGCGTGGCGAACTAACGGCTCAACTAGATCTGATAGGTGAGCTATCGGTATTCGCTCACCGGTATAAAGTTGCGTAGAGAGAAAAAGGATTGATTTAAACGAGATGAAGGGTATGTTAGGTGCTGATAACCGTGCTTGCATAGCAGAGAGTAGTTTTGCGGTATCTATCGTATACTCTTCGGGGATTTTAGATAGAAGAAGCCCCATGAGTCGGCTTCTAACGGATATCGCGGCCTCCTGGTTGGTGGTCGTTAGACTGTCGCAGGTCAGGCCGCACGCCTTTTCAATAAGGAGAGCTCCTACGGTCCGCGGCGCAAAAGGCGCTGGTGTAGCCTCGAGATTTCCTTGATCGGCGTCATAGAAGTTCTTAACCCTTTTAAGGACCTCGCTGTTTGACATAGAGGCCACTACCGGCCCCTCCATGGATCCAACCGAGCCTCGCTCTCCTGACCTGTTTGGGAACGCTCGCTGAGGAACGAGCTCGATTAAATTACGAGCAATATCGAGCGCCTGGGACTGAACAGCCGAGGCGCCGCTTCCATTTGGTGTTTTAGATGCGCTTCTATGGTCTCTTACGTCCTCGAGCATTGCTAAGATAGACAGGGCAGTTAGAGGCGCGTGGACGGTTATCATTTCCTCATCCCGGATATTAAAATGTGTCATGATAAATTGGACAAGTGCCAATTTCTCATTACGTTCTGCGTCCGTCGCATTACCCTGACCAACGGCTTGAGCCATAAGCCCTATCATTTCACCGAATATGAGACCGCTCTCGACGCCGTCAAAGAAAACACTCGCACTGCGTAACACTTCATTGAACTCGGCCTTGCTAGAAGCTCTATTTTCGAAATTCTTAACACTGACCATTACGGGCAGGAAGATTTCCGGCACTACCAGGCCACCTATCTCCCACCTATCCATGAGTGATAGACATATTCGGTATGGCTGGGCTCTTTCTGTAGGATTACTATTATAAGCGGTATTGATCATTGATAATAATGCTCGAGTTAGAGGATGCAACCCGTATTCTTCGAAATAACTCGTTTTGGAACCAAGAAACCCATGCTGGTCGGTGGGAGAAGTGGGTGACTTCGGGCCACTCTCTTGTTCTTGGCTTGAAGGTTCGGGTCCTAAAAACCAAGCCCAAAGTCGCCGATTGAGACTCATATCCCTCCGGATGACAACACAAGCAGCGGCTCGAAGCAGAAGCTCTAGGTCGTCACTCTTGACCCTCTTCTGTAGCACCTTCGAGTGTAGTGGAAGATGTGTAACCAGAAGGTCCAGAAAACCTCGTTGTATGAGGAGCTGTTCGTCTCCTAATCCGGATGCGAAGCATCTAAGGAGTAAACCCGGTTCAGGAGAAGTTACAAGATTCGAAAGCTCAGACGACAGCGCATCGGCCTCGGTCTCTTGGGCTTTATTTGGGTTTACCTCCTGAGTGATCGGGTGCCCTAGTTTTGGTAGTCTGCGAATGAGATAGGCAAGAGCACCAGGTCGCCGGCTCTGGCCTGTGATTGTAGCCAGAAAGAAACACTGCCAGAAGAAATCATCTCCGGTCGAATCTGTTGACGTAAGGTCCCTACAATTTGGAGGTCGGATAACCACCTTGAATTTCTCTAATATCTTGAGCGTTCGGTCAAAATCTTCGCTCGTTTCGTCTTCTAATCCAGGTAGAAGAGCTAAAATAACACTCTTCATTGCCGGCCGTAACGACCTAGGATCTACATGAAGAACATGGGCTTCGAGGAGATCGAGGAACGGCGCCCTAACGGTTAAGGACGCAAACGATAAGGTGGGCGCAAGACCTGGAAGGTAAAGAGGAAGGTCCTTGGACAGGCCATCTTTTCCTATAATTGAGAATACATAGGTATAGACCTCGAGTGCTTTCTGGTGTACACCGGAAGGGAGCGAAGGGTTTAAACATTGCGAGAGGCGCTTTGCGACTAGAGTTTTGGAGGGGATGGATGTTATACTAGCTTGACGTGCTTGTAAGGCCTATAAGAAATATGTTAGCTTAATATTGATTCGCAATAGTTACAGATATAAGATATATGTATGAGGCGAAGCTCTTACTTTAAGCAGCCTACTTAAGAAGGATATATAATCCGCCCATTCTTCTAAAGCTGTATCAAACAGCGACAGGGCTCGCTCAACGCCTGACGCGTACTTTCGGTAGTGCTTATCTTTTATAGGTGTATCCTCTACAGTTTAACTATGTTAGCAAGGCATGAGTAGTTGAAGAGGAATATTGGCATTGGTGTGAAGTACCTGCGCCTAGTTGATTTCTCCATTGTCTTACAATAGGTGTATTTTGTCCAGAGCTATCGGGAGAGATGGAACGACGAGGACCAGGTTCGAGTGCCATAATAATTAACGTAGCTGATACTAAGGAGGCACAAGTCGTAAGACCATAGGGTCGCGTTCAAGACAAGAAAAATCGAGGCGCATATCTTTGCCGCGGCGCATCTGTTTTGTGAGTTTCGTTTGTGGTTCAAGAAAGGGCCACAAGACGATAGGTACAAGTAATAAGGCATAGGCTGAAATAATTGAAGCGCATTGGATCTTTTTTTGCGAATTACGTTGCAGGCACCCGCTAAACCGCTAAACCGGTACAAGTTACATCCCGTTCAACTTGTCAGGGTACTTCCCGATTGCATAAAAGCGGTACCTCGAAACAGGGCAGGTTTTAGAGCTATCTCATTGGCTACACTCCCCAGCTTTATGCTAAAGATATCTCCCTTTCCGAAACCACCACTAGAATTAGGATAACCAGGGATGACGTTTAAGGGTAGATAACGATAAGGTGATCCACCATTTCCACCACTTTAACTCCTGTATTGTAACTTTAGAGTAAGCTAAGCTATTACATACTTCTTGGACTTGATACCTAGGTATAATTAATTTCTCAACCTCTTCTCCTAATGAGAGCGTATCATAAAATGGCGATAGATAGTTGAGATTAAATGCGACTTACTATTCGATAAACTAAAAAAAAGGATGATACAGCGAATCTTTACGGAAACGGAGGTACGATGAGCGCGGAGAATGCTGGCTCATCAGGGGACGCTGCCGCCTTAGGCGGAGAACGGCCTCCCCCTTTACCTCCTAGACCGTCTCAAACACAAGTCAATGATTCAACTACGGCAGTGCCGGAGAGGCCGAACTTATCGTCAAAACCGACTACTGCAATTTCATCTATGAATATCCAGACGCTTTCATTTCCAGATGGGTCACGTGGAACCTTCTCGACAGTCGGGGAGAATAATTCTCAAGGCACGGAGCAAACGTCTAGTTCGACAAATGCCGGGGCAGCAAGCGTGGGCTTTAATTCCATGGGCAATGACATAGACGAGTCTATGAGTATCATGAGTCTTGCACCTACTTTACGACCACCGGGAGACTTAGAGAGTCTACTTGTCGGAGACATGAGCAAGAAGAGTCCCGCGTGGATGCTCTTACATTCGCAGTCCGCAGCTGTGCAGCCCTTTGAAACTATCAGGGCCGATGAGGGTACGATTTTCGCCGATTTCGCCCGCGAATTCGATGACATACCCGAACCCGGCGAGTCCTGGAGCGACGAGGCCAGACTAAAACTTTGGAAGTCTAAGCTCAAACACTTTATGATTTTATCGTCGGCTGGCAAACCGATATATAGTAGATATGGGGACCTGGAAATGATCAACTCTTCAATGGGCGTTGTACAAACCATCATCTCGTTTTATCAGGGGGCTAAGAACCCTCTTTTAGGTTTTTCTGCTGGAAGTACTCGGTTCGTTATCGTGACAGAAGGTCCCCTTTACCTCGTCGCTATAAGTAAGCTTGGAGAGAGCGACTCTCAGTTGAGGGCTCAACTTGACGCCCTCTACATGCAAATCCTATCAACCTTGACGCTCCCAACTCTCACTAATATTTTCGCTAATCGGCCATCCACCGATCTACGGAAACCTCTACAGGGTACTGAGTCGTTACTCTCCTCTTTGGCGGATAGTTTCACTAGAGGATCTCCATCTGCTCTATTAGGAGCGCTGGAATGTTTAAGACTGAGGAAATCGCACCGACACGCCATCAATAATGCTTTTCTAAAGACCAAGACCGAAAAACTCCTCTACGGTCTAATAGTCGCAGGCGGAAGGCTAGTCAGCGTCATCCGGCCACGGCGCCACTCCCTTCACCCAAGCGACCTACAGCTTATTTTCAATATGCTATTTGAGTCTGGCGGTGTTAAAGCTGGAGGCGGTGAAAATTGGATCCCACTCTGCTTGCCAGCTTTCAACAACCGCGGTTATCTTTACATGTATGTTAGTTTTCTGGATGTTGATCCAGAGTCGGAGAGAAACTTAAGTGCGGCTAGCGAGGAGATTGCAATTATATTAATAAGCCCGGATAAAGAGAGCTTTTTCGACCTACAAAACATGCGAGACGACGTCGTAGCCGAACTAAAGAAAAAAGGACATCTAGACATAATCAAAACTGCAGCACAGCAGGGACGCCCAAAAATGAACGAGATCGCACCAGGAACCCACATCAGCCACTTCTTATTCAAGTCGCGGGCCAACGTCCAGTTCTGCATGCCCTCTCTGCGCCCAACATTTTCCAACCTCATCTCCCACCGGCGACTCATGTCCCTTTACCACAACCTGCACTCCACCATCCACGCCAAGCACACGCACGTAAAAGTTCTGCACTGCGTCGGGGAGGACACCACATCGCTAGCGTGGATCACGCCGATATTTGAGTTCTACTGCGTAGCCGGGCCCAACGCCTCGCGAACCGTCATGACGCAGGGCGCTAATAAGATCATGCAGTGGGCGAAGCGCGAGGAGGAGCGGTTGTTTATTATAGGCGGAGGCGTGTTTTGAAAAACAGAAAAATCAAAATTACCATTATTAATTATCATCGCGAATTACGCATTGCAATCTCTCCCCTATCCTCGCCTCGCCTGTAAGTGCCTAAGATAGGTATTGATGAAATCCTCGGCTTTTAATCGGATAACTGTCGCCATCGTATATGGTGCCTTAAGCAAGGCACCCACCCGTATCCTGCGGGCTTATAATAGCCTGGAAAACCACTGGCTCGTGCTGCTGGGAGTCTTCTTGCTGGCTCGCTCGCCGTTCGCCCCGGCGTTGTATGAGGCTCCCCTGCTCGAGGTAGTGCTTTTAGGTGCAGACAAGAAGCCATTATCGTACGGATCCTTGGGTGTGTGTCTGCTCGGGCGAGATCCAGAGTGGGCCCTCGTTCGCCGCAAGGGATTCTTATCCCCGTTGCTATTCCTATTCCTGCCACGCCTCGCAGCTCGTCGGGGCCGCGATGTCGGATTCGCAGAGTTAGATCCAGGTGCTTTTTGCCGGGAACGAAGGGGTTCGCTCGGCAACTCGTTCAGCTCGATTTCCTCTTGTCCGACATTCCCATTAGCCATGTCGGGTGGAGGCGTCGTGTCGAGCCCGAAGAAGGCTTTTATCTTTTGCCAAGTATCGGCGGCGATCTTGTGGCATGTTCCCTCCTGTGCGTTTAGGTGCTTGGTTAGAATTTGGTCTTGTCTTGGGGCTGGGGTTTGAAGGATGAGAACTAGAACTAGAACTAGAACTAGAACTTACCTTCCAGGGCCAAATCCTATCTCTCTTTCCTTGAGCCCTCTGGCTTTTCTGGCTAGGCGTAGACGCGTGTCTGTTCTCGCTCCTTTGTCCGCTGGTAGCTCTGTGTGCAGTACCATTCGTAGGTCTGCTTGCCGACCCGTTGGATTTCCCATTGGCCATTCCGTCTGCTACTCCCTTCACAGGCTCATTTGCCTGGTTGTTCGCCAGCTTCGGCTCACTGCTTCCGTTCAGTCGTATGTTGGGGTTTCCTTGGTAGTCCTGCTGTTGACTGCTGCTGGTGCTGCTTTGACCCTGGTAGTTGGATGAAAGCGGTGTTCTGTGCAAATAATCTTGAACCGACGACACGGCAGGTGCAGAGCGCTTTCCTTGGTTAACATGAGATGGATCCGGCTTCACATCTTCTACTCCTCCGAACTGAGGTGGTGGGGGTAGTTGTTCGATAAACCTCGTCCCTTGCGACAGCTGCTTTATCGTCACGGGATAAGGTATCGCATCATTTGCCGACGAACTTAATGTAGAAGAGCTGATCTCGTTGCGAAGTCCCTTCTCACGGTACTTGAAATAAGGGCTAGGTGGGCGAGACGAGTCCAGTGCAGAAAGGTCGATGTACTGGGCGGCGCTGCGGTGAAGTGATGGTTCAGCTGGGTATTCAGATGCAGGCGTAGAGGAATAAGATCGGTTTTGTGCATCAATATCGACATCAAATATAGATAAATTATTCTTGCTTAGCATAGTGTTGGCATCGCCGAACATAGGCAGGTGATTTCCGTAAGGGTCTATCATGGCTGCTTTCTTGCCGTTGGTATGCAAGAACGTAGGTTGTTGCTGGCTAGAAGAGCCCGTAGGAGATGATGCCATTCCGATCGTATGTATCTGCACTTTTAAAATACTCAGATACGTAAAGATGAGTCGGTTTTATTCTCGTTTCAATCGGTGCTAGTTATTGTTTGAGTGAAGAATGTTAGGGGGACTTAGCGACGAATTTCATTGCTAAGCAATAGTTTGCCCAAATAACTAGCACTTATCTACCACTGCTTTAATGTGAACGAATGTAACAAGTATGCTAAGCATAGATTCCCGATTATGATGCTGTTATCAGCAAGTTAATCTAAGAACCTAGCTAAACATATGTTATTAAGTATTAAGCTATTACTCAAGTAGAGAAAGGGAGAAAATGGGAAGAATGGGAGGAACAGATCAAAAGGGGGGAAGAAGTGCGAACAAGCCCTTCATATTAGAGTATGAGCGCAACTTATACTAGTCCCTCCTCAGCTTTAGCTATGACAAGACGAAGGTTATAATGCTGTCGAGTGCACTTAGTCACAGTTTGAATAATCACAATGCACACCAAAGTATACACATACTTCTCTATATTCTATAGCATCTGCTTAGATGTTAAATATAGCTGATTTAATCGCTATCTCCAGTCTTCTCTCAGACCTCTTTATCCCCAACAGATAATCATGTAGAAAATTTTATCTCTCTACCTAGCTCTTGTCTTGATTATTCACCGGAGCTAAATTCAGCATGTAATTTCAGTCAAAAATCTAGGGAAGCTCAGGATCAGTTATAAAGTCTGGGCCATCAAGTACGTCATGTTGTTGGAGACTATTATAAAGTGAACACAAAGGTAGCTAGCTACTGCAAGTACATGGCATGCTCAAAGTCTCACCAAACCCGATCTACCCTGCTTAAGGGGACCCTCAACGACGGTTTATACCAAGTTTCCTACCCCATTACTACCGATCCGACTACAGCAAGCAAACATGGAAAAGCATCCGTCCGGACCTGACCGGCGATGGGTCCAAAATTTGTTCCAAAAACTGGCTGATTAAGACCTATTTGTAGTGTAATCCAACGAAGGTCGAACCTATGGTTTTGAGACTTTCTGTTACGGACAACTAAGTGACTAGGTTAAGGTAATATTCCAACCCTGTTTCGTTTTTCAGGCATCGCGATTCTTTTTTGCGCATGCTCGCACTGCTGTTCTAGCGTTTTTGACCCATTTGAGGATTCTGGACCGTACCCTTCGACTAAATCCAGCTCGACCGTAGTTTCCTCGAATTGAATGCCCATCTCTCGAAGCGGATTGGCGACTGACGATATTAATATTTGATGGCGTAACACCTCGACTCGTCTTATTTCCCATCCCGCCCTGCTCGATAGTCGTGTCTGTTATCGTTGAAACTGGCCCTGGAGGTCGTGCTAACAGACAATGAAGGTCCGATAAACGTCTTCTCAAGCCCCGAGGCTGTCTGACATTAGAGCTTGCACGAGTTTCCATAGATCGTGAATCATATAGTGGTTTATTCCGAGCTTCTCTATTCGCCAGCGATGTCCGTTGTTCAAATTGAGGTGCTGCTTCTTTTGGTGGGTCAATGTCAGATGTGCCCCTAGTAGAAGAGTCCTCAATGCATTGTGGTTGCGGCGACTTTCCGTTTATTGAAGAAGGGGTAGGACTTAAGTTGGTTGAGAATGTGAACAAGTCCCTCGGATTTTGTCGTGTAATGCCATTTGTATGATCTCGTGCCTCTCCATCTACATTCCGGCGAACTCTAGCGGACGGGGCAGTACTAGCAACAGTGCTTCTGGATGATCTAAGTCTCAACTTATTCCTACTTCTCGTTCGAATACCACGATCGGCGTTTTGACCCCTAAGATATGTATGAGGAGTTCCAGAAGGCCAATATCGCTCCATATCATTATTATAGAACCCTGTTCCGGAGGCGATTGTAGCATCCGAGCTATTGGAAGTTTTAATTCTGAGTCTCAACTTTGGAGCACTTTTATGTAATCGTATTGCTCGATTATCTTTGAGATCGCACTCCGGTACTCTGACTACAGCATCTTTAAACTGAAGGAGGGTAGGAGACTTAGAAAATTTAAATGGGGCGAGAACCTCGACAAAGTCAGTATCGCTACTTGACGTGCTCTGTATACTTGGTGTTGGGGGTGGCATATAATCAGGATCTCCAGGCAAAGGTGGTAGGGCTTTCATTAGTTGAGGTATGCTGTTCTTCAGCTTTAGTTGACGCGCAGGTGAAATCGGTTTCGGTGAGACGATAGGTGTAGTAGAACAAGATGGCGAGATATAAGGAAAGCCTTCGTTGTCATCTCTGGGCAAGCTGCTGGTGCTAATTCTGGGGACTGCCTGGTTCCTCTTATGACGCTGGAACCGCTGTCTCTGTACGACTGTTGTCTGGGTTGCTGAGGATGAGATAGTATTACCGTCTCTAATTCCACCGTGCTTGTTTTCCCTGTTTTCCCTATTAGCGGCAAATGTGGCATTATCACGAGTATTATATTCGCGGGTGCCGGAACCACTTATGACCGTCATTCCAAGGTCACCACTCCGAGTCGCAGTTCTACTACAATCTGAATAAGCACGGGCTATCGTGCCGAATCCATTTTGAGCCTCGTATTCGGTATCGTGCCTGATGGACTTCGAGAGCTCTTGAGTTGGTTCAGAACATGGTCGTTTTATGATGGAGTGGTCTTGAAAACTTCGATTGGCTTGTCCTTCAGCTGGGTCCCCTACACCACTTTCTCCTACTTCATCTTCGTTTAGAGTCTCGCCCTGGGTGTCGTCCCTTAATATGACTCCTTGCTCGCTTCGAATTGTAGGAGCTCTACCACCTAGGACCTGGACCTGTCTCTCTGGAGAATGTGCCTTCGTCTTCGGTGTAGCTGTCAAGCGATAGTCCGCGTATCTATATGTTGGAGCGTCTCTTGACTCTAGATCAAGACTTGGGTTGAATGTATCCATAGAATCTCTACCTACTTGCGACGGCAATAGGTCAATATCACTTCCCCTTTCTAGCCTCCTATCCGTCTCTAAGCCGTCAAATGCGATGGATCTACTCTCGGAACGGATGGAACCGGTGCGGCAACGGGAAGGTACTCGATCCACCGTAGCTTGATAGTCTTCTACGCGACGCCCGTTCGTATCGTTCAAAGCTTCGAGCCCGTCTACCCTGCCAGGACTGCCACTACCAGCTTCAAAAAATGCCGAATCCCGCTCTCCAAATGCAACCGCTAGATTCTCATCGGAGTCCTGTAGTACTAGTGGGCGGTGACAATTGGATACGCGAGTAGGGACCGGAGCGAAAGGTTGAACTGGAGTTATAGCGCGCGGTTGTTTATTCTCGAACCCTTCGGTATAGTCGTAGTAACGTGGTACAGTAGTGGAAAGTCCACTCGGACCAACTCTAGGCGTGTGTGGCGTCCTGTGGTACATATTCACAAGTGAGGTAAGACTCGACGTCCTAGACGAAGAACTGTCGAACCTTTCGCGACACGGGGCATTATAAGATGCCATCGAGGCCGTGGAATGGGTCCGAATTGAAGAGGGTCTAGGTGGCCTATTACGGCTAAGAGGCGGCAGACCTTGTGAGGGTAGCGAAACAGTGGATAAATTGACGTCTGCTCGGAGACCTAGAGGAGCAGGTCTTCGTGGTGTAGGGGGGTAAGAGGGTTTGTATGGGCCATGGACAGTTCTCTGAAGCACATTGGTAAGAATTTAATAATTCCACATAGGGATTTTAATACTTACATATGAGGCTCGATCAATTTCCACCATACGACTATAGTCAACTCGCCCGCTTTCTGTAAGGGCCGGAGAAGCTGGGCGAACTCCAGGTCGCTTCAAACGCGTTGGATATGGGAAGGGCGATCGAGGACGTTGAAGCGGACCTCCACTAGCCTGACTCTGCAAAGTCGTTGTCGACTTATGATGAGAAAGGTGGCGGGATCCACACGTAGTCATTGAATATGAGCGCAGTCCAATGTCATCTGAACATGTGGGGGTCAATGTGCTTGTAGTGGATTTATGACTCTCCGAGTCGTGCATTGAAATTATTTCAGAGGCAGTGTCTCTACATAGGGAAATTTTGCCATTATTCCGACGTTGTAGCTCTTCAATAGAAGGACGAGGTGATGGGCGTTGTTGACTGATTTCAGAAAACGTACCTCTTCGTTGCGGCAACGGAGGCACAGGTTTAATGCTGAAAATCCCGATATCTCCCGTCTCTGTCGTAGTTTTTAGCATGCTCTCCAATGCACCCGGCGAAGGTAGCAAAACGGAATTCTCGTTGACACTTCGGAGAGGTTTGTGCAATGGGCGAACAGGGGATGGCCCGTGAGCAGATCGCCCATGAGAATAACTACTATGAAGAGTGCCATGACTTGAGCTATGCCGCGGCAAGCGATGATGATCCATCAGGAGAAGTGGTTCAGATGGAGAGGTCGGCACAGGAGCAAAGAAGAACACTAGATGATGAAATTAAAAAAAAAAAATTATTTGGGTTCGACATGGGGTTAAGAAGAGATCCTAGTTGGCTGGACCTAGAGCGACATCGAGCCTAATTTTTGGGTCTAGAGGCTTCGTCGGTTCACAAAGTCGCCAGACGAGATATGATGTTGAAGTCGGACAAAGTGGGAAAATGTCTGTGGTATTGCGAGAGTACCTATACACTTCATGTAGTACTAAAAGGTAGACAACTTCAAGCGTGCAAAAAGGTATTCAAAGGAAAGTCAAATCACCAAATTCCTTAGATGTGGTAGTTAGAGGAAACAGAGGAAACTGAAAAGGTAAGAGCACTTCTCATCTGACTACTCACCTGATCAAATACTAATCGTAACTTCTTAATACGCCAACTCGTAGATACCTTCCATATAAAAGCCGCTACCTACCCCTTTTAAGCTTTATGTAAGAGAGAGGGGCCGACATTATTAACCATCTATATCTTATAAGTAACCATAACTCTCACGGTATACCCAGATATCGAAAGATACATGAGTCTATATATCAACACGACATTTTCTAGTTCCTTTTAGAACTATTTCTTTTCTACACTTAAGCTATGATAAAAGCTAAAAGAAGCATTTCTTATTAACCCTATGCGAGTTATGAGTAGTAGCATAGATACCATTAAGTGTTTAGTAGTTATTATTAGATGTTTTATACGTAATTTTTATAGTAGCATAACTATTCATCTCCAAATAATTCGAAATATCCGGTACACTTTTGAATTTTCTACACGGGCAATTGTATAATGTATTTGAAATCTAGAGAAAGCTCGGAGGGAATTAAATACTGACCTAAGTATTTGCATTTTGAGATACTATGTAATTTATTAATCCTACTTCGTCCGCTCATATGCCTACCTGACCAGCTACTAAATGTAATTCTTTCAAGCGTACCTAAACTAATAAACATGACCTACTCAGGTTGTTATACTAACATATTAACTTTAGTCTCGAGAAATTAATAACGTTAAATCAAGCGAAATCGATAGTTAGCATGACTACTTGCAATTTCTCATTGAAGATGCTATAGGAAGTGGTAGCGTCGCAAAGACCAAATTTATTACAACGTTCAGGGTCCTGAGATGGGGCTCATTTTCAGCCTCGCTGCGGAATGGACTGCAATCTATGCAATAAATCTGGCAGCGTGCATTAATCAACATTCCATATGCAGGGATGGTAGATGTGATCAATGGAATAAGCTGCCGATATAGATATGCATATCACAAGGTCTCATATGTAGTCGATAATCCCCTTGATTTGTAACGAATCAATCCCTAGTACGACAATTTAGTAACCACCTGATAACAGCAGCCATTCAGCCATTCAGCCATTGCTTTAACGTTAGAAAGTTGACAACTGGCCAGTTGGAATACATTAGGTAGAGATTGATACATCCAAGTATTCATAAGTCACATCGACGGGTTTATGAACCGAGCCTACCGGGTATTGTGACTTCCGTCATTATATTCGTTTAAATCCTCGAGCCCTTCCTTCCGGAATTACTGATCTGGGTGTTGATCTGACTTAATTTATTTGCGATTGAGGCATCTGAGTGGGGTTGGTAGCAAGGTACGTCGTACATATAGAATTAGGTGGATTCGTTGCAGGGGTTCCCCAAAAATCCCATCGGATAGGTGGCGGTGCGCTCTCCGTACATGGTACTTTCTCAGATTTTTAGTGGCAAGAGGGGCAGAAAAGAGAACACTTGTCATTAAGTTTGCCCATCAATTAAACTCCACACTGCTTGATAAGCTTGTTTAGCTCTATCTAGAGGTGGGGCCTTTCTATGTCCCTGCATTTCTAATAATTGTCTAGGCCATCTGCTAGAGCTGCGTAAGCCACAGATATTTAGTAGATATTTAGTGGGCACGGTTCTGAACTATCTGATGATTAAGCTTGGGGTTGGACAGACTGTGGCCAGATATTCGGAACCATTCAGCCATTTATCCAACTTTGTCAATCTTCTCCAAATTCACCTTCCCTGTTCTCAAGGGGACACATATGCCATTGTAGGAGAATACAAAACGTCTTCATCTACATTCTACGTTCACTTCAGTTTTTTTTCTCCGATAGTTCATTGCTCTTCTACGTAGCCAGTGGTAATATTATAGGTGCGTTAAACTAATTTTTTTTTTCTATCTCCATGGTTATCCCCCCACTGCATTTCTACAGGCTTCCCTAGTTCTATTTCTGCAACCTCCTCCACCTAGATATCGCAATCTGAGATAGCTAACCTAGTCGATTACTATTCAGGTGCTTCACCATGTACACGGCTCGGAACTTTCTTTTTGGCCTGCTTGCAGCCAGCACAGGCGTTCATGCTGCAGATGCTGCATCAGATGTCACACAACTAACCAAGGACACCTTTGAGGAATTCGTCAAGGGCAATGGCCTCGTTCTAGCAGAGTGTAAGTTGTGCTTCTAACCACGAGGTATCAGAGCTGTAGCTAATACTCTGTGTAGTCTTCGCTCCCTGGTGTGGCCACTGCAAGGCGCTCGCGCCTGAGTACGAAGAGGCCGCTACTACGTTGAAGGAGAAGGCGATCAAGTTGGCTAAGGTCGATTGCACAGAGGAGAGCGAACTCTGCCAAACATATGGCGTCGAGGGTTACCCAACGCTCAAGATCTTCCGTGGTCTAGAGAGCATCACTCCTTACACCGGACAAAGGAAAGCTGCTGCGTAAGTAATCCACTGTATCCAATTACGTCCGCTTGTAATTGCTGACTTGACTTATAGAATCACTTCATACATGATCAAGCAGTCCCTCCCCGCCGTTTCGCTTCTGACCTCGGAAACCCTCGAGGACTTCAAGACCGCCGACAAGGTTGTCTTGGTTGCTTACATCGACGCCTCTGACAAGGCCTCCAACGAGACTTACACCAAAGTTGCTGAGAAGTATAGGGACTCTTACCTTTTTGGTGCCACTAATGATGCTGCATTGGCTGAGGCCGAGGGTGTTAAGGCACCGGCCGTTGTTCTATACAAGCAGTTCGATGAGGGCAAGGCTACCTTCTCGGAGAAGTTCGACGAGGAGGCTATTGAGAAGTTCGCTAAGGTTGCCTCCACACCCCTGATTGGTGAGGTCGGCCCTGACACCTACTCCGGCTACATGTCTGCCGGTATCCCTCTTGCCTACATCTTCTCCGAGACTGCCGAGGAGCGAAAGGAACTCAGCGATGCTCTCAAGCCCGTCGCCGAGAAGTACCGTGGCAAGATCAACTTTGCTACCATCGATGCCCAGGCTTTCGGTGCTCACGCCAACAACCTTAACCTCAAGGCCGATAAATTCCCGTCCTTCGCCATCCAGGAGACCGTTAAGAACCAGAAGTTTCCCTTCGACCAAGAGAAGGAGATTACCTATGACACTATCAGCACTTTCGTTGACGACTTCGCGGCTGGAAAGATTGAGCCTAGCCTTAAGTCTGAGCCGATTCCTGAGAAGCAGGAGGGCGCGGTCACCGTCGTTGTTGGCAAGACGTACGAGGAGATTGTCTTGGATGACACCAAGGATGTCTTGATTGAGTTCTACGCTCCCTGGTGCGGTCACTGCAAGGCTCTCGCCCCTAAGTACGAGGACCTTGCTTCTCTGTACAGCAAGAGTGAGTTCAAGGACAAGGTCGTCATCGCAAAGGTTGACGCCACTGCCAACGACGTGCCGGATGAGATCCAGGGTTTCCCCACCATCAAGTTGTACCCCGCTGGCGCCAAGGACCAGCCGGTCAACTACTCTGGTAGCCGAACTGTTGAGGATCTGATCAAGTTTGTTAAGGAGAACGGCAAATACAAGGCCGAGGTGTCGGAGGGACAAGAGGAAGAGACCCCCGCTTCCCCCGCTGCAACTGAATCCAAGTCTACCAGCAGCGAGGCTGCGCAGACGACGCACGACGAGTTGTAAACTAAGGAATCGAGAATAAGTCAAGAAAAAGCAAATGTACACTTTCTAGTTATACGAACCGGACACCTTAATCGGCCGGTACGTTGGGTCATTGGGACTGGGATACGAATGTTGACTTCAGGTAGTTCAGCATAAAGGGTCATGAATTTTCCGTTTATATGTTTCATGATTGTTTTGGTCTTAATTTTGGTCTTAATGATGGTTTTGATGCTGTTTATTGATAATGTGCTGTACGTAGTAAGGTAATATTTCTAGCCTTACGTACCTACCTAACAAAATGTAGTACACATCAGCAGATCAGGCACCTAAATGTAGTAGTAGCAGTAGCCAACCAAGAGGACTCGTTTAGTGAGCTGTTCCCGAGATTGACCAACTATCAAGGTCCTGCCGAGAAATATCCGTGGCCTGAGTAAGTTTAGGACCCACCTTGGGAACTCTTAACTCAATTAATTGACGTTCTCTTTGAAGCTCTTTGGCCACCCAACTTTAAAACAACATTGACTTTAGTGGAATCAATTTAAACATCGCGCACGGAAATATATAAATTTCGTTGTTCGAGAACCATGGCGTCGAAGGTTTTACTAGGCCGACTTCAAAGCGCCTCCATGGCCGTTCCAATGCGCGCTACACGCAGCTTCCATGCGACAGCACGAACGATGGCCGACGCAACTACTCCCTTACCTGTTCGCAAGCCCGTGGGTGCCTTTCGTGGAGGGTGAGTTATATGTACGATAATAGAAGGGTTTACTTAGAGACTAATGGCACATGAATTGCGACAGACTCTTTGGTTTCCTCCTCGGTTCGACTCTCGCGGGTGCTGGCATTTACAGCTATGTCCTGTCAGTATAACCTCGCAATTACGTTCTATAGGTCTCTAGAATCCATGAATACGCTCTATGCGAATACATGACGTTTATATCATAGGGATTCCAACCAAAAGCATCGTTTATATGAACAGGCGAGAATAAAATACTAACCTTAAGTTCAATAGACGAGAATATAAGGCCTCCAACGAGTTATTAACGGAGGACATCTATGTGCGTTACTGCATTTGATTATTCCGAATCTTGCGTTTTTCTTTCCAGCTTTGGAGTTGGGGACCACTTTTAGCGATTTCTTTTCCTAGCCATGAATTCCTCCTTATCCTCCTCTCTCTCGACCTCGACTCCTTCGGAAGCAACACCCCGACTGACTTGTGGTGTCCGGAAAACAGGCTCTACAGGCTGCATGCCAACGACTGAACACGTACGTACAGCAACTCGAAGATAAGATGGACGCCGCGGAAAGGAAAAAGAAGTAAACGGACGGACGGGCAGGGTCGGATATAGGGCATGGACGACTGGATAGGTGATGGGGGGTAATGGTGTAGGAATATGGGCATCGTACATACATTTCTCGACACTGAAAGCAACATGCAAAGGGTTCGCACCTCAAAAGAACATTAGTTTTTTGTCAGCTAGCGGGGAGTTAAAAGCATTGATGGCTAAACTATACAGTAACAAGAGCACATTTATAATGGTTCTGCAAGACTATGCATTTCATATCTATGCTACTTCCCGTCCTCGGAAACCGTACATTACGCAACATGTCTGCTTCAATATGCTTGAACCATAGATATACAGGTGCCTTCCTTAAAATTGGTTCAATACCTAATGTAGCTTTTTATTGACTACCTGTTACACCACATCTCAACATATCCGACAGCTCCCGGATCTCAGCTTAGGTAGATTCCGGAGAGGTTCCACTTTTAACCGGGCCGGGCCGCATGCACTTATGAACTGTGGCCAGATGTTTCTAAAGTACGATTCGGTGGTCTGATTAATGAAATTTTGTCCGAATAACTATTTTCTAACTTAGGTGCTATTTCCCTCTTGTGCTGCCAGGCATCTCGTTGTTGAGTTTTACTAGCCAAAGCGCAAAAAAGGTTGGGCAACCAGTTTTTTTATTGCTTGCCAATCACACAAATTCTACCTGCTCATCAAGTTGAATAAGTTTTTAACAATTTTATACAAGTAGCGAGAAGTAGTAGGAATGATACTTGAAGTTATATTACCTATGTGTTAACATGAAAAAATATTACCAATAGATATTTCGTGAACCAGAACGTCAAGTCATTCAAAATGACAAAAAGAAAAAGTTAAACAAAAAAAAGGAGAGAATGTGTGTGTGCGCAAGCTATGAGTTCTCATTATCCTAAAGCTTTTCAACCCCCATAAGACATCTCACTAATCTTAGGAGATAGCTACCTAAATAAGAACATTGTGGTGAACTTCAAACTTTTAATGCGCAGCAGCTTCGGTTAAAACTTCGAGAAGGACATAATACACCGAGAATAAATTTACAGGAATGCTGACAGTACGGCAGCTGAAAAAAAAAAGTTCCATCTTCAGCCCTATGTAAAACCGCGTAGTGGTGCGTTCATGTTCTTATGAGGATCGACATGCACGTGTGAGATGGGGTACATCTCAAAATACCGAGCATAAGATGCTTGGATATGGGAACGAGGAAGGATGGCGGAGCTAATTCACATATGGGTCTATCGAGGCTTATATGTTTTGAATAGTTTGAATGGCAAATAATAGTACCAACACGATCAACGCTTGACCTAGTATCGACTACGTACTAATAAGTATTATAGGCTGATATATACCGAGCTCCATAAGTTGTGGATCACTTATTGCAACACTCGTTACACGTGAAGGCTGACTTTTATCCATATTTTTATTGTTTTCGGTCCTTCGAATGCTTCCTTGTACCAATTAAGAGTAGGCTGGGTTGCCAAGCAGAATCCAAAATCTGACTATACGTCAGAGTGTTTAGGATACTAAATGAAGCCAAGGATGGAACAGAGAAGGACGCTACTGAACGTCGATCATTTAAATATCTACGCCCCTTGGGGAGTGCGAGGGGAACTCGCCTACGGCGATGCTGGAAGTCTTGTCTTCATTTAACATCCAGCTACTGTCTGAAGTAGCTATGTCTCGATGGCATCGGTAGATCACCACCATGGCTCCGAACCTTACAGCACGCTCGAGGTGCAAAGCGTAGAGGCTTCGAATCCACAGGTCCTAGAGGGTTCAAACAAAGAAGTGGTACCTCATCCAGAAAGTGAATATCCGCAGCCAGTCTCCACACTCAACGCATGGGATGCTCCAGAAGTGAAGGGCGTCGATACGGAGGCAGCAATTGCCCAGGGACAGAATGACGGCAATGCGAAGCGAAGGATATGTGGACTATTACCACGCACCTTTTACATTGTCCTAGCGGTTGTCATACTAATTATAATCGGAGCCATCGCCGGAGGTGTTGCTGGAGGCTTGTCTAGCAGCCACAGCGATTCGAGTTCAACGCCAGACCCGGGACCAGAACCGGGGACGACAGAAAATGTTAATATCCTAAGTACATCAAAACTTGCGGCTTCCAACTGGACAGACTCCCAAGGCAATACTCACAGACACGTGTTTTTTCAAGATCCTTACAATGCTATCATTACTCGGCAGTGGGACTCGGAGAATAAGACGTGGACGACAAAGAACGTCAGCCAGCTACTATCATCATCGACTACGGGACCTATTCACCCAATCCCGGGGACGTCCCTGGCTTGCGCGTCTGCTGATAATAGATGGGGTTCCCTGTACGAGGTGCACGTCTGGTTCTCAGAGGCTTCGACCGACCCAGACCCTACCATTAGTTGGGTGAATTTGAACAATCCGGTCGGAAACCCCAATTTCTGGACATATAGTTCGTCGATACTTCGGACATGGAATAACACTCAGCTATCGGTGGCTTGGCAGCGCTGTCCGAGAGAAAACTGCGTAGGAAACTGGATTCTCGCATACCAGGGGCGAGAGGGGTTCATTAGGATCGCAAATGCCAGCAATTGGGATAACAACACAGAGCCGGTAATTAGAGCCAACGCCGTTTCTGCCGGGGCTAGCCTAGCTTTGGTACCGTCGCTTAATGGGACTTATGTCCATGGACTGACGCTTGCTTCCCAAAGGAGGCCGAGTTCGATGGGCAAGACGACGTTCATAGGAGATTGGAACTGGAAGCAAGATGGTAAGGTCGGGTTCTCATCACACGCGAAGCCTATGCTAACCGATACTAGATGGAACGATATTAGACGATGTTGACCCTCTAATGACACGGCAATTCGCCGCTACTACGATGAATAACTGGAACGAAGCGCTTTTCGTCGCCCTATCTACAGACGGGGGTGTAAAGGGGGCTCGATGGGATGGGACAAGCTATAATGCGATTCCGCAGATTAACTTTGTTGACGGAGAGTCTACGAACTTCTCCGCTATTGCGATGACGACGGACGCGACGTTCTACGGGATATCTGATGACCAGATATGGGAATATACAGTCGATACGTCGGATCCATCCACTTTCACGCTTGCTGGAAAGGTATACCCGTAGTTAGTGAGCAGTAATTTAGATTAAAATCAAAAGGCGTGAAATGAATGAATGAATTCTATCTAGCCATGATGCTCGAGTAAAATTACGGTAGCCTCCTGTTCTTAGTAGTTATGATAGTCAATATTGTTGAGATAGGGATACGTCGGTTTATACCAGACGAAGTCATGGATTCGGGAGAATATGCCTAAAGTAAGCTTGCATGGCAAGGGATTTACTTAAATTAATGACTGCACTAGACCTACCAGCAAGGATGCTGACCTTGTCGGTCTCAACGTACATCGTCGGCGTTGAGACCGACAAGGTCAGCATCCTTACTAATTCAGATAGCTATCTAGTGACGGAATTTGGCCAGAGGTTGGACTGAACCGCCTTCTTGATCGATCTAATGACATATTATAATCTTTTATAATACATCATTAGATCGATCAAGAAGGCGGTTACCTCAAAGCAGTGTGTCCTATTGCGTAGAGCGATAACAAAAATGCCCTTGCCTTTGTATTTAATCTTCCGGCGTGCCTGTGCGACTGGCCAATTCATCCCCCTAAACCATGCCCCTATTCCTATACTTGCAATAGCGCGTCATGTGCCGTCGCAAGTTATCACCCCGTCGTTTGAACTTCTTCTCACACTGAGGACATTGGTCCTCCTCCTGCTGGTGGATCGACTGTACGTGGCGGCGTAGGTCTCGTGCTTCTGAGAAACACCGGTCGCATTGGGTGCAACGGTGATTTCTCTCGTGTCGTCTATTATGTGTACTGTGAAGTGGTGAGTACGAACTCCTATCTCTTCCTCTTTATCATGGAAGACATACTTTAACTTGCCCTGGGAAGGGAAGGAGACGTCACATGTCTCGCACACGAAATCCGGTCCCGTAAGATTTTCTGCTGAGCCCTTTTCTGAACGCGTGCCCGTGGATAGTCCACTTTGCTCCTCTTCTAATAAGGAAGGCTGCCCAGCACTAGGATCAATGAAGTTCAGTGACGACAGGTCTAAATCCGAGCCCATATTTGGATCGAAGTCCAATTCGGTTTGGCTGATATCGGCGAACTGGGCTTCCAAAGGCTGCCCGGGTGAAAGGCTGTACTCGTCATCACCACCATGAGTGACGTTGAGTCTCCCTACCAACCAGTTCGACATCGGGAACTGGCCAGGCATCGGCACGCCAGACCACTCATCCTCCAGCTCTCCACAACTCTCACCTCCACTCCCCCCCAGACATACATCCGGACATACACCCGGACGTACATCTGAACATATATCTGGATTCACATCTGGATACACCTCCGGACATACATCCGGATCTATATCCGGATGTATCTCTGGAAGACACTCCCCCAATATCCCCCCTGGATCGTCCCCTGTATAGTAATCGAGAACATTAAAGCCTCCGGGAAATCCGAAGAGGTCAGGAGACGCCTCCAGTCCAACAAAAGCGCCCTCGAGACCGGCCTCAAACGGTATTTCGTCAGAGCCTCTACTTGCCTGACTACTGCTGCATCGTTCCGAAATTGAGTACGAGGGAGGACAGTCTTTGCCCTCCCTCGGGAGTCACTATGAATATTGTAACAATCGACGAAGCTTGACTTAGCTATAGAAAAGGGCTGTTAGTCATACTGAAGCTAGATATATATATATATATCTGTATCATGATAAAGACTCACTTTGACGAAGGTTGAGGAGCGATCTCCCGACTCCCCCCTCCGAAATGCTTAGCAAGAAGAAAGGAAAATCTGACGGCTGGAGTTTGCGCGGGGTGTTTATATGCGAAGGTGGTGCGAGGACCTCTTTAGGCCAATGTGATCGGATAAGGCTCTGAGGCCGCACGAAAATTAAGCCGGTTCAATGCAAGTTGTGTTACTTCTTAGGACGCCATTGTCCGCATATGACGCGAATCCGGGGACGTAATCCAATCATCGCGTTAATTATGTGCAGGAGGCGCATGAGGCCCAGCCAATAAGAGAGACATTGACGGATGTCGACGGCCAATTCTTACACCGAATATACACCTGATGCGCCCGGTCGAATAGTTTAGGTTACCATCTACCATCTTCCATCATCATCTATCATATCTCATCCTCTTCCACTTAAGAAAACTTATAGTTAAGTAAATTCTAATCTCACTATCACGTGAGTTCGCTCATATTTATATGAGGCTATCCAGACTTATTGTTATCCCCCCCTTTTTACCAATTAGCTTCGGGCTGGCCGGTTGAGATTGCTATATATTCTCATATATATCTATCCAGATTAGGCACTCTATTCGTTTGTTTTAGTGGGGAATCTGACTGCGGTCAACAGTGATTTATTTTTGTAGATAGCCGCGTTGTGCACGGTAGTTCAAATACTTGACCCCTGTTAATATGGCCGATCATTCAATAATTCATGCTACTAAATCCAAAAATTCGTTAAGAATGGACGAGGCTATACTACTTTCTTTAAAAGTTTCGAAATATTCCCCTTCTCCGCCTCTTTAACACAACTCTTAAACCTAGGCGGTCAAGATCCGGAGCCGTCCATTACTAATTCGGACAACATCCCGAGAATACTACTCTGCCACGATACCACGCCAGAACTATACCCTCTCGTTTTTTCATGTGCTTCTTACAAGGGAAACCCTTGAAGCGGCCTTCAAGATATTACTAGTTTCAAGTGGTGGAACAGCATGAAGTGCGCCACATTAGGGCCGGACTTTTTACAACTTCAATCTTAGGTTAACTAGGCAGGTAGGTAACTACCTAGGCAGCTAGATTTCTCTTACGAGTCTAACAGTTGGTCGACTTATCTTTGTTTGCTAACTCACTAAGAGACAAAGTTCCATATCAGTATGACGTCTTAAACCAATCTCGTACTCTCATAACCCACCTCAACCAGCCTTACGTATAAGCCGAATTAATTAGGATCCGCTGGGCCGGATCTGACATACATTACAAGTGGGCTTGTTTCCATAGTTGGTCGATTTTACGATACTTGGCGATCAAAGTGTAGCATTAGAATCCATATCACGATATGTGTGAAGCATTGACGTGTAATTTGGGGGGGGTTATGCCCTATGAAATCGAGTAGGGCTACCCTAGGCAGCAGGTAGCGTCATATCAAACCTATAATAAAAGGCCTTGTTGATATACATATAGAAAGTCCGTATGTATATGAGACCCGAATTCCCGCATTTCGCGTGGCTAAGACAAGGATATAATCTACCTGGTTCATATATATGCCTACCTAACCTACCTCATATATAAAAATAAACGACCCTCGGAGACGGAGCACAAACATCACACACCCCTCGACAATGGAACTTCTACAAGTTCGAACGACGCTCGTCGAGTTCATCCGGGCCGGACTGGCACCGCTTGCTCTAATTGTAATAATAGACCTGTCCTTGAGCTTTATAGTCAAAACTAATATCCACAGATTGTCGGTTTTTGGGCATATCAGATAATATACAACCTTTATTTTCACCCGCTCTCTAAGATTCCAGGTCCTCGGATCGCCGCTATTAGCGACGTAGGTTCAACACTATGTATTATATATAGGTAACTGGGCTCAATACTTATGGATATTATAGATTCCGTACTGTTCGTGGATTCTCGGAGGTCGCCAACCTTACAAGTTACTTGAACTACATAATAAATATGGTATGTTGGTCACATATATATGTATGAATATAATGGAGCTGATGACATAGGCCACGTTGTCCGCGTCGCACCAAACGAGGTGTCCTTCAACACCGCACAGTCATGGAAAGACATCTATGGCCAAAAGCCCGGTCGCCAAATATTCATAAAGGGAACATTCTACGACGGCGGCAACTTCGCTGGAAACGGAACCAGTTCGATTATAAGCGAGAGAAGACCGGAATTCCACAAGGAGATGCGAAGTGGTCTAGCTGGCGCATTTTCAGATCGCGCCATTGTAGAGCAAGAATCGCTTGTTGCTACCTCCGTTGATAAACTTATCCGGCTAGTTGGTATGAAAGGCTCCACGGAAATGGGGGTTGATATATCGACACTGTTCGAGTCGATGACTTTTGATATTACCGGCGATCTTGCCTTCGGAGAGACATTTGGTGCGCTGGACAATGGTGAGTCTTTACTTTTTGCTTGAAATTCTTCAACTGGCCTCTAGCTAAAAGGACAACACAGATGAACGACACCCTTGGATATCCACAACCCTGGATGGTTTGATGCAAGGAGTGTTTATAGATATTTTCAGCCGCTATCCCACTCTCGGCGCAATTCTCCGTGTACTCATGCGCTCCAAATTCAACAAAGCCGTGGAGGGTGTCAGAACCAACGAACGATTATGCTACGAACTTGTTAAAAGGTATGTGTAGAATAAACCTAACGCTTAACTCATTGTTGTTACACATATGTACTAACTCCAACAAGGCGGATAACAAGAAAAACAGATCGCAAAGACTTTTTAACCCGAATTCTCGAGGACAGAGATCCTAGGATCGTATCGGATAGGCAAATTGCTGCTCACGCCTCCGACTTTGTCGTTGCTGGGAGTGATACAACCGCGTCTAGTCTGGCTGCCATAGTCTACTACCTCCTGCAAAACACATACACCCTGGCGAAGCTGACAGACGAAATCCGAGGAACGTTTAAGAGATACTCAGACATTGGCTATCTTTCCACAGCGTCGATGCCATATCTTCGTGCGGTCATCCTAGAAGGAATGCGTTTATACCCCCCAACACCAATGGGCCTCCCTCGTCTTGTACCAGATGGTGGAGATATAGTCGATGGCTGTCCTCTTCCTGGAGGGGTACGTTATACTAGCTTCTATCGAGTACCGTAAAGAAACTTGCTGACTTCTTCATAGATCACCGTGTATACGAGTCCTCTTTCAGCCTGTCTAGCCTCGGCAAACTTCCAAGACCCATGGTCATTTAAGCCGGAAAGGTGGCTCGAATCTGACGGAAGCGACAGCCTAGATTGCAGTCAGCCATGGTCATTAGGCCCCAGAGGGTGTATTGGTAGAAATCTGGCATGGCTAGAGTTGCGAACTACGCTCGCGAAGTTGCTCTGGGTCTATGACTTACAACTTGTCGATCCAACTCTTGATTGGCACGGCGAGTCTCGGATGCAGACCTCGTTATGGCAAAAGCCAGCATTAATGGTCCGTGCCCATAATAGGGGGGTTAATACTGAATGAGCACACAAGGGGTGGCTAATCTATTCAATAAAAGATAAATAAATAAATAAAGAAAAAAGGAACAAAAAAATATTACCAGGTGCCGGATTCGAACCGACCTCTCCTTCATAGCAGTTCCATCATCTATTCATGTATGCTCTTGGTTGTGACTCAGCCTTCCACTTGTCTCCTCGTGTACTAACTAGTACACGTTGTCATTGACTTTGTTTTGACCGCATTAGTCCACTGAGCTAACTAGAACATCAGGAACTACTATTCCTCAGGCGACTTCACCAACAGTCTGACCCGGCTTGAAAGGTGATCTTTATTATGGTATATAACCTTTATCTAACTCAGGTATGTGACCTGACAGCCGACTGACACAACACTCTGCGCCTGGCACCCTAGCATTCGACAACTGCCACCACTATACTAACCTTTATATTATGCATTACTATGGGTGTACATGTGAAGTTGTTGTCATGTCATTGTCAGGCCTCTTCACTTATTCTTTCCATTGGTAGACGCTCTTGTCCTGGTCCTCAGCATAGTAATGTTTATACTATGATTTGCTCTAGAAGTGATGCGGCTTGTGTATTAAAAGTACATATAGTTCAAGATAAGTTGAGAATATTCCCATCGTAAGTCGTGCTTCTTAATATCTCTCCCTATTTTACCAAAATAGAATCCAGCTTATCTCCCACTCAACTTTTCGCCAAGAGCACACCTCTCTTCCAGCAACTCGTTAAACCATTTTGTCATTTGTTGAATTGGTGCGTGTCCCAATCCTTCAACGATCAAAGCCTTCCCAGGGTTCAGATACTCGATCAACTTCCTACCATGATCCACCGGGATCATCCTATCTACAGTTCCATGCAACACCATAATCCTTTCCCTAGATACCCGGTCCGCCAAATCTCTCAGCTGTTCAGGGCTCTTTCGGTGAAACCCACCAGCGACGGCTTGTAGTAGAAACCCGTTCTTGCTCCGCCGCATATGTATCTCTTGCGCTGCAAATCGCTCATAGTTGTTATCAAACTTCCCGTACCCGCCAGCAGGTATTTCGCACTTTGATGTTTTCTCGCTCGGCAGCTCTGTCTCGTCTGGGGCTATGAGCCAGTCCTCTGGGAAACAGCCATTTGCCGTTGAGCGGATCTCACTCTCGAGACTTCTAGGGAACAAAGCACCAAGGCGGCCCATACTCTCCGTAAATGTGCCATTGTTCTCTAACTTGGCCGCGGTACAATGCAGGTTCAGACTAGCAATGCGCTCTGGCACTAGTACTGCAACCTCCTGAGCAATCATGCCGCCCACTGTAGTTCTTTGAATTAATGACCATTATACATCTATAGGGCAGTATATTCATATGTGGCTTGAGTAAAGGGACCGTCCTCGAAGGTCTCTATAAGAAAAAGAGGGGCTAAAGGGGGGGAGTGGAGGGGGGTGAGATTGGAAGATACATACTACTGCCACCCGAGATATGAAGTTGACGATCTGCCATCCAACCGAGATGATCCAGAACTTCAAGCAAATCACGCGCCATCTCCGACGTACTATACCGCATCACCGGTTTATCCGACTCGCCTGCACCACGATTATCGAAGACGAGCACGGAGTACCTGTCTCCACGTTCGTGGCCGAAATACAGGGTTTGCTGCTGCCAATCCGCCTTCGCCAGGCCAATGCCACCGATGAGCTAATAATGTTAGGGCCATCATCATAAGGAATTGACAGGTTAATAAGGACACTTACAATAAGCTTGATAGGCCCTTCACCATGGATCTCCCAGCTGATATTCAGGGGCCCCCCTCTCTCAGCAGCGACAGGCAAGAGGCCGTACTGATGCGGCTGGAGTCTCCATATTGCCGTCGGGAATGCCGGGGTCTTTGATACTGCTTCTAGCGATGGAAAGACCATATTTATCTACTTGATATATCAACAGTGAACATTAGGTGCCTTAAGTATGTACGAACTATACTTGGCTAATATGAGTTACATATACTAAAGTGAGGTTCAACCAAGGGGATCTCTATGCATAAACGGCTAATAGGTATTTGAGAGACAGGCAAATGATTAAAATATCAAATCCAAGAGTAAAACCTCGGGGCCAGTTAAATCTATAGCTTCTTCAGCTGAATCGTATAACCCGATCAGCTCTGACTTAGCCTCGAAACGTATTGTTAACCTATCCGTGCTAATGCAAGACAATTTCTTCAAGGTCCGGGATTTTGCGGAGAGGATCCAAGATCAATCGGGGTCCGACCAAATCCGGATCTTGGTATTTGCTTTTCACCTAAGAGATACTACTGTAGGGCTGGATAGAAGGATTAAATTAGAATGTGAAACTGCTGAGGTAGTATTTTTTGTTAATCAGCTATCGCCGATATAACCATAGACTTGCTAATAAGTAGTAGTTACATTCGCGCTCACAAGTCAACTAAAATGAATAACAGTTTCCCTTCATTTCATTGAAATGTCTTGTATTGAAAATTATATAAACAGGTTAATAACGTACCCTCGAGCCCTAGATCGTCTAATCGTTCTGTATCTTCAACTACGTTGTGTGTAGCAAGACTCGTATGTCGAAGTCATACTATTTACCGTAAGTTCAAATTGCAGAGCCTCAAGATGAGTCAAGGTTGCAATTTACCCCAATACCTTCTACCTCGACTGCAGAGAAAAATGTTAAAACGACCCCCCTAGCCGACTTTCGGTTCGAGTAAAACTGACTCAGAGAGTTATTCTTCTGAAGGGGTCTAACTGGACAGACAAACATATCACATGGCCTGAGTTGAGCCTAACAATGTCTAAGATAAAAAAAAAAAAAGATGATGTTGGATGAAAAAAAGGTTGGGCGGGATTGATTGATTATTGGAATCGAAGATATTGATTCGCTAAGCTGACAAGTACTGGCCTCACGGTCTACATTCAATCGAGCTAATGAATGAGTCACTGGGTTGGGCTAATTTCTCTGATTGTAAAAGCGACTGGGCCTGAGTTGTAAGACCATAAGCACAATATAATAAGAATTATCGAATCGGGTCTTTACCCTTATCCAAGACTTTAAAGCCTGGTTATTCCGTCGTTCAACTTCATCGATTCAATTCAGGGCCGGGTGGTGATGATGATAACAAGTGGCTTTTGACATTCTTAGCCAAGATATGCCGCTTAGACGTCGAATAGGCCTTGAAGGTTTCGTAATCTCTACTTTATATGGCTACCTATATAAAGCTTTTAAGGGCGAGACGTACAAAGATGAAGTATGGAACAATCGGCGATGGCAAATGAATGTAACTTCTTCATCTTAGAGAAGCCCTGCTGATAGGTGACACGTATTGCGGCGCAAGAGACTTGCATAAATCGACTTCAGTTGGTCCCGATAAGCGCGCAAAGGGACTGTGTTAGCATTTAGCCGCAGGATTTGTTGCTGACAGAATCCTACGAATTTGGGTCCTTTTCCCCGGAACGTGAACCGTAGAAGTCTTATGAGATATTGTGTCATTAGAGCATATTGCTACATTCCATTTAGCAATCCGAATATTTGAAAACACCAATCGTCTGTCATGCATAAGAATATCAATATACTATATTCTATAGGTAAGACCCATCACGTAATCTGACGTGAAGGTAGGGGTATCTTTCAAGGTAAACGATTAAAAAGGACGATTGGCCTTGACAAACCCAACACCCAATTTTGCCCGGTCGTCCAAAATATTGAAGCATCCTTCTCAATTAACATTATGATTTCTCATCCCCGGCATTATTGGATATGAAATCTGATATGGCCTCAAAGTATCCCTCCTCCAATACGCTAGAATTATGATCGCCACCCGGTAACGGCTTCCATATCTTAGTGGGTGTAGTAGCTAGTTCGTATAGTTTCCTCATGTGGGAGGGTCTAAGACAGGTGACGTTAGCCGACAAATCAGCTGAGCTTTTCAACTGAGACATGCCAAGTCTGCCGCGTGGAGGGGCTCTATATCAGGAACAATGCTTTAATCCGCGCTCGAAAGGGAGCTCAGGTTTTGTGGATGGTTGTTTAAATCATCATATGGTTTTTTGTCTTGTAAAGAAATATGGTGGAACGAATATGGTTAACTTACGGGACGATCTCATCTTGAAGGCCACTCAAGAATAATATAGGAACTTCTGTTATAGACGGCAAAATAGACTCGCTTGGCCAGACTTGGTGACACAACATAGTCAAATACTTCGCCGGGGGGATAACGGATGGAATTAATGATCGCATGGAGAGAAACGTATTCTCCAATATCAAACCAACAATATCTCCCGCATGTTGGTTCTTCGATACCAACTTAATACTGACGGCTCCTCCCAAACTCTGTCCGTAAACAACAAGCTTGTGACTGCTCGTTTCAGCTCGACTTCGTAGATAATCTAGGGCGGTCTGGGCATCGATTGCGATCCCTTTCTCATCCGGCTCTCCGGTCGATAAACCGTAGCCCCGATACTCGAGCATAAAGACATTACAACCGATATAGTTGATGAGCATGCGGGCTATGGGTAGCCGATGTCCGATATTGCCAGCATTACCGTGGAACATTAAAATAGTACACTTGGAATTACGACCACCTTTCGGGCCGCGTATATAGAACGCCGATAGTTTCTCGCCATCGTTGGTAGGTATAACTAATTCTTCAAAATCTTTGATACCAAATTGCGAAGGTCGAGGTACATTAGTTCGAGCATTCGGGGGCATGTGAGATGGGTATATTAGCGCTCTGTAAGGGGGGGCAAGGTGGTTAGCTTTCTATAGCACATGATACGTTCAGGTTAAAGTGGTGGGTGGTATACGGCAGAGAGCCGGGCTGCTCACTTTTGCTTGAAGTATAGTAGGGTTGTTAGAACGGCGGCAACACCCTGAGTGACATTTGTTAGCTCGGTTGCGGCTCGGCATTGTCTGGCAATGGCGATTTGCGTGTTTCGACATGCTCGGAAGAACTTTGAAGTAGACGAGGTGGATGCCGAAGACTGGAAAGAAGATGAGCGTGAAGGCATACCGTGGAGGCCAAAGCTGGCAAACGCATGTAAGCGGCCACGGTACAAAGGAGCGAGGCGGCCTGCTCCAGATAGCTCAGATGTGACGATGATGCTCCTGAAGGAGACATGGCCTAACCAAAGTAGCCCGGACTTTTAGTTCTAGGAGAAAGAGCGAACGGAAGGGAGATATGAAAGAATTGCTTATACTATTAATGTACAGTACTAGCCAAAATACATGAAACGCACAAAAGGAGTACCTAGGGGAAAGGCTTGCATTCGTTCTTGTGGAGCGGAGGGTCTTGACTCGCGAATTTGGGAATTTGGGAATTGATGACGGGAATATCGGGCAGGGGTTTTGTTGGTCGGTTGGTTGGTTGGGTCTTTGAAAAAGTCTTGGAAGTGAAAGAACATCCAGTTAGAAAAATCTCAAACACCCGCAAACAACAGGTGAGCCACGGTCGAACTTGCCCGGGGATCGATTTTACCAGGTAGTTGTAGGCAAACTTTAGTGCTGAAATAGCTAAACCTAGCTAAACCTAGCAAGCTTCCGCTAGCTTTAAAGTACATTGTTACATGCTAACCACTTCTTACCTAGATCTCAATTACCATTGGGTTTTAGACTTTTGAGGCGGTCCATTAACTCCATTCTGGCTGGCGGTCTCATCACTTTTCTTCTTCTGGTCTTACGATCACTCTCGTGTAAGTATCTCACGTAATTACCGATATTTCTAAGTGAAGTCGATCGTTTCCATACCTGGCTATCAATATATATAACATGATCATACATAGACAGGGCAACAAAGTCTTATTGGAAAATGAAAATATGCATAGGTCTTCAGAATTAAATATTAGTGCATAAAGATATTTATTACTTTAGGGATGGTCACGAGATTGAATAATTATAGATCACAACTTACAAGCGCCAGGTCCCCCAATCTTAGCGTTCCGTAATGGTTTTGGATTGATATAAACAACGCTAAACCAGATCGTCATTGGTCAAAAGTTTCGATGCCGTTCCGTTCCTGGTCTGTCTCTACTTTTATACATAGTGCATACCTTGAGTTAGGTAGTATCAGTAAGAGAGTCGGCTCTTCTCGAATCTCACCAGTTACCAACTTAGGAATATCTTATTAATTAAGATAATGCTAAAAGTATGGGTCGATTTACCGACCTACCTTGTTTGTACCGTTGCATGCATTAACCCTCGTAAATGACGAACGTTATGCGCGTCGGCTCTACATACTCAGTCAATGTCAAGTTATAGGATGAATATATGATAAAATAAGCACTTAAGGCTACAATTAGGACTATGCCCTTGCCTTTGGGTACATGATATTGGGTACGGATATATGTATGTACGTAAGGCATCTACCTAGGATGTAGGTACCTTACCTTAGCTACATGTATACTATATCCTATATCCTTGGCTGTTGAATAAGCGAATCAGCACTCTCGTTACTTCCAATGCTAAAGATCATCCTGGGCATTGTCGCAGCTCTAGCGCCTGTTGACAGCTGCCCCTCTCGGTAACCAACTGACCCCAAATTGAGAAAGACCCGCAAGCGCATAACGCAACGGCGCCCAACGCGAAAAACTTCAATGAAATTTGCACATTTGCACACCCGAGGTCTTGAAAAAAAAATATTATCGCAAGAATCTTAGATCCCTCATTATCGGGTCGCAAGATAATTATTCTTGTTGAGCTTTCTAGCCGAACTTGTTTACTCTTTTAAACTTGGTATACTCACTCCAATTCTGCTTCCGCCTCCAAATTCCTTTAATTCCCTTTCCGCGATCCTGTAATAGATCAGCTTGCAGTCGTTACCCCGGACGAGATCGCTCTTTGTTCTAATAATAAAGAGAGCTTTGACTTGGGGCGATAATTAACTGCCCAGCTAACATCAGCCCCGATTAGAGTTCTGGTTTTCAGGATTCTGAATACGTCCGGTTCCGTCCTCGTTGGCATTTATCACCATTTACCTATCACCATCGACTGAGAGGAGTCATACTTGATTGTCCAATTATATGATTTGGTGTTTACAACGACGTACTTGTGAGCAGCATTAAGACGAAATACTTAAAAGTGTATCGTTCCAACAAACTGTGGCACCTTGAGCCGGGAAAAACACCACAATCCATAGTAATCCTGTCATACGGGCTAGGAACGCGCCGTCTATCATCATTACTATATCGTTCCCGAGTTGGAATTCCCAGATCCTGATCAGCCGGGTTCCCTTTTCGTCCTATCAGCGCAGGTCTCTTATCCGACTTCGCCCATCTGCACTTATCTGACGTTGCGCTGCACTGCCATATCTGCCATATCTTTATCTGCCAGTTCCAAGGTCCCTAAGAAAAAAAAGAGGCAAAACAGAAAATATCAACAAATTTAACACTTGACCACTCACAGCCAAGCTACACGCACGAAATCGTGCAGCTGCGCGCCAATCAGCATCTTACATATCTTACATATCCGACAGCACATCACTTCTAGACCATTCAGAGACATGGTTTCCTTTTCGTGTGAGGTAATATTGCCAATTCTATCATTTTAAATCCCCCCCCCAAAGGGCCCCCCCGGTGTGCCTGACATCACGGCTTTCAACCCTCCCTTCTGGTGTTTTCTGGTGTTCCCTTTCGAGCAACACACGACGTTTCGCGTTGCGTTGCCCCCCTTTAGCTCTTCAGATCTTTCGCGCCATCCCTCCGATCACCATACATATACTATACATAGCCAATACATCACCTGGGCATTGACCATCCACCATCCTTCACACCCACTTACCGTTACCCCCTGTTTATATTTACCCCATAATATTGGAACCGCCGCTCTGTCTCGTCTCCTGATCTCGCCCACCCCTCTGCCCCTCCAACCAGATAAAACACACGCCCCCTGAAACCAATTGCGTTCTCCGTATCCCTCATCGCATCTTTTAAACCCACTATCTCTTTGCATTGTACTTTTATCCAACTAACTCGACCTCTTCTCTCCACAGGCTTGTGGTGACGTTTTAACCAAAAAGAAACTCGACCCACACAGAAATCGTTGTTACGGCGCTTCCTTTACCTGCATTGATTGTATGGTACATTTTCCCGGAACTGAATATCGCGCGCATAGTGTAGGTCGCAAGTCTATCTTCTAAATGAAACAAGTCTAACGTGTATCTCTCGATCAGAGTTGCATGTCAGAAGAACAAAAATACCAAGGCTCTCTATACAAACCCAAGAGACAGAAATCCAACGGCGTCGAATCCTACGATAGAACTGAGGCTATGGCTCATAACGCATACGTCGAAGACGTGACCGAGGAATATGAAGATTACCGGCGATACGAAGTTCACGATGGCGAAGATGGACACATAGGAACAATGCCACCGCCGGAAGCGCCTACTCCCCCCCCTGCCGCCTCTGATGATCCCAATCTGAACGTCTTTGACTTCCTGGATACGCCAACCGTTTCTAATGTCAACCTACAATTTTTCGATAACCCTGCACCACCCAGTGGCGGCCGACAGCTCGTGCGCTTCGAACAGGCCACGGAAGATTACGTAGACTCGACAGGATATATGGTCGACGACGGTGCAATGGTCCATTACGGAACTGGCTCCGTTCCCGCTAACGCGCTCGAGACGCCAGCACCTAAGCTCCAGCGAAGAAAGACGAAGGATAGCGACGGAAAGAAGACTAAGAAACGCAAGCAACTGCACATCGAAACGCCTGGACCTTTGGCGTTGGAAGCGGTGCATGGCGACGAAATAATGACTGATGCGCCACCTGTATTACACTCGGGCTTGACCGGCGGTCTGAACCGTATGATGCGCCCGTCTCAATTCCCTCCATCGCCAGATTACTCCGGAGGCGACGGAGCCGAGAAATCACCAACGGCCCCTATTAGGAAGACAAAACATAAGTCCCACAAGTCTAAATCTAGTCGGACAGATACAATCAGCGGAGGACTCAGGGCTTTCATATCGGGAACTTCAAAGTCGAAGGTGTCTAAGAAGCGAAAGCATTCATCAGATAAAGATAAAAACGAAAAGAAATCGAAAAATCACCATCGCTCGAGTTCCGACAAAGCCCCAAAGCTAATCGAATATAAAACGAAATCAGGGGATGAGAAGGACGGGGAGTCGGGTCAGATGATTCTTTACCGACCGAGATCCGACCTGTTTCTGAGTCTGTGTAGCAAGGGCCCAGAAAGCGAACGAGGCTGCAGCGTGAACAAGGCTCTGAAGAGATTCCACCGCGAACGATCGGAGTCGGGTACCAGCCTGGGCAAGTCAGTGGAGGAGAAGGAGCTCTGGCGGTCATTACGTATGCGTCGTAATGAACAGGGAGAGATTGTCTTGTTCTCGGTTGAAGTCTGAGAACATGTATTGATGAAGAAGAAAAGAGAAATGGCGTTCTAATAGGGTTGTTTTCTGGGGAATTAATGTGATACCTACGTGCGGAATGGCGGATTAGGGGAAAACGGGGAAGGACGGACAATCTGGGATCCGTCGGTTTTCCACATGGAAACCTGGCTGCTTCTGAGCTGGTCTTGAAGCCTCATTATAGAGGAGGTCGTGTAAGGAATAGCAGAGCGGGTCGGCTCGGATTGGTTATCGGCTTGTCATCACTACCTGTACGTTTCTCGGTTGTCCTTTTCGAATGTTTGAGTATGGGCACGCAGGTAATGTGGAGGATAAGAGGATGGAAAGAGTATTAGAATTTCCGATCACATGTAGAGCATATCTATTGTCTCCAATATATGAACGTCGTCAAATCTTTTGTTTTTTTCATTATAATAAACATCGCGATGCTATGGTGTATTATTCCTTCCTGGCTATGATATAAAAAACTTGGCCCCTATTCTTATTAGACATACAACAAACGTCATTATCAAACAGCCCGCAGTGGTAAAATATGCTGGACTAAAGCCTCGCGACGGCATAGCGGACATTCGGGTTTCTCGCGGACCCAGTCGCCAATGCAAGCCCAGCAGAAGACGTGACCGCATGGTGTGGCGGACGGATCTTTAAGCTCTTCGAGACACAACGTGCATTTGCGCTGCTGTGTACCCTTGATCCAACGCATACCCTTCTCGTCAGACAAGTCGTATCGGGGATTGCCGGTGCCTCCCGGCGGTGCTGGCGTGTGCGTCGCAGCCAAGACATCGATGCGAGTGGCGCCCTGGGAAGAGCCGGCAGCCGTTGCGAGGAGGAGCTCGTTATTAGAAGCGTAGGTATTGCCGTCGAGCGATACGGCGAGTATGCCATCGGGTCTGGCGCGCTCGGAACTAGCTGGGGAAGAGGGGGATGCGGAAGCAAACGCGGTCCGCACATGCAGATATCCTTGCACGGCCATCTGCACGGCTAGCAGCACGCCTAGAAGCTCGTACCCGGCGCGGTCGGACGACTCGCCCACCTTGCGCGTGAACACGTACCGCAGACCTGCGACCCGCTTCGCTAGCTCGTAGTACGACCCGCCGAAGTAGAATAGCGCGAGGCTGACGGCGTGGACGTGGGACTCGGAGGTTAGCGAGGGGAGGTGCGTGAGGAGGTAGGCTTGCAGCTTGTAGGACCAAGTCTGCTGCCGTTTGGTTTTCAGCTTGGCGTTGATTTCATCGGCGCTCGTCGTCGTTGTTGACGAGAGCCCTAGGTTCTGCTGCAGACGCGCGCGTATCCGGGCGCGGAGCTTGGGGAGCAGACGGGATAACCCGTACGGCGCGAGGATGCTCCCGGCGATGTAGAGGGCGCGGCGGTTCAGCGCGGGCAGAGCGCCGGTCTCGGATTCGACTTGGACTAGGCCGCAGTACTCCTCGCCGAGCGTGCGGTTGCCGAGGAGGGTTGTGAGGGTGAGGTACAGGAGGTCGGCGAGGGTGCGGGACTCGGGGGCCCAGGCGTGGGCGGAACGGGCGCCGAGGAGGTGTCGGTGCAGGTCGGCGATTTGGTTCGTGAGAAGGCCTTGGAAGTAGGCGTCTTTTTGGTGGGCGCGGATTATGTCGGGAGCGAAAGCATAGGGGTATGGGGAGGATGAGGTGGAGGATGGTGATGATGATGTCGGCGGTTCTGATGGGGAGAGAGAGGAGGATGGAGTACTGGAGGGCGGCGGTGGCGCTGTGTCGGTTGCCATTGTGGTAAAGTGCTATAATATGTTTGGTCGTGATGGCATATCAACAGAGATTTAAAGGCTCTCTAGCATATATAATTAAATCAATTAATTATATCGTTGATATTAAGGGTAGTATAAAACGACACGTCGTCTTGTTCGTTTGTAAAAAATTGTTGAAGCTGTAAAGTTCTAAATTGTGAAGCAGGTGAAGCAGTCAATATGCGATGCACCTGCAAGTATGTATTGTGAACCTCGGCGATTGGGTTAACCGTTCTTACCTCTACCACAGGCTAAGCCAGCCAGGGGTTTCGGCTGCTTCAACGCTAGCGCGGCAGGGATCCACGGTACTTCGTTATGGGTTAGCCTACCTAACCTAATGTAGTACCACGCCAAGGTGACGTCGCCAATATGTACATATGCTAAATTTCAAAAAAAAAAACGGTAATTATCTGGCATGTACGAATAATCGACCCTTATCTAGTATTTATGTACTAACAATTGACAAACATCGTTCACCAATTACACCCCGCGAACAAAGATATTCACGACCTCGGTATCTCACCAGTTCCCAATTCAAATTCTACGACCCCCGATCTCACTCGTTATCGTCCGTCTGGACTTTTGTTACGGAGCAGGGTCTCGATGCTAGGTTCTCAGAGTCGGCAGCGCCATGGACGGTGATCCAGCAGTCGAGCCGGAGCTTGACTCCTTCAGCTTGACGTTTCCCCTACCGTACCGCGTCGCCTTTATAATCGTGCTAGGTGCGTGTTTCCCCTCTACTTATTCCCCCATTCATTCATTCATACATACATACTCTCCACCAATTCGACACTAATATCCTCAAACAGCGGTCTGGGCTTGGGGCATCAACCTACACTACCTATACCTATCCGGCATCGACGTGCCCTCGCTGATCCGGTACCCGGGCCGGTCCTCGCCGCACCACCCGACGCACCACCTATCTACCTACCGCCTAGCCACCGTGCTCTCCGCCGTCTTCGCTTTCGCCCTGCTCGTCTTCTGGGCCTTTACGCATCGCGACCCGGACTTGGTGCTAGCCTGGGACTGGCTCCCATTGCTGTACCTGGCCGTGCTCATCGGCATCCTCGTCTTCGCGCCCTTCTTCAAGTCGCTATCGCATAGCGGGCGCACGCGTCTGCGCTCCACGCTCCGCCGCATTAGTGTCGGCGGGCTCGCCGAGGCCAAGGATGGCAAGTTTGGCGATATCCTGCTGGCTGATGTGCTGACTAGCTACGCCAAGGTCTTCGCGGACCTGTACGTTGCGCTATGCATGTTCTTCCGGTCCGAGGGTAGCGCGACTGCGCGCCCGGACCGTGGCTGCGGAGGCACTTTCATGGTGCCGATTGTCATGGCGGTGCCTTCGCTTATCCGTCTGCGCCAGTGCCTCATCGAGTACGGCCGGGTGCGGCGCGGGCGTATCACCGAGTCCACGGGCTGGGGTGGCCAGCATCTAGCCAACGCGCTCAAGTATTCCACCGCGTTTCCCGTGATCATTTTCAGCACGTTGCAGCGGAACTCTACGGGTGGACAACCTCCGCCCATTGGTTACTACCGGGCGTGGATTGTAGCCTGCATCGTCAATTCTCTGTACAGTTTCTACTGGGACGTAGCTAAGGATTGGGACTTAACACTATTCGACGCAAAAGCGAGGAGCGTACCAGACCTAACGGCGTTCGGTCTACGGCGGCGTCTGCATGTCGGGCCACCGGCGTTGTACTACGGCGTCATCGCGATGGACCTGATGCTACGGTGCACGTGGAGTTTAAAGATAAGCCCGCATCTAGGCCGGATGGCTGACTGGGAGGGATCCATCTTTGTGATCGAGTTGCTCGAAGTCTTCCGCCGATGGGTGTGGATATTTTTCCGTGTCGAGACCGAATGGATCCGTAATATGAACGTCGCCGGCCCTGGTGCTGACGACATCCTGCTCCCAGACTACCACAATAACAATATTCAAGGCCCCAGATATCAAGATGACGACTAGGAGCGGAGCATCGGACGAGGGCGGTCACGAAATGGGATCAGAAGATAGATCTATCGAAATCTAATAAAAGGGATACTACAGAGGGGTGCCTTCACGTTATAAGAATCATGAGAATAGAATAGGGGGTGCGTATATCTGTCCTATATATGCTCACGTGTCGGCGTCATAGTTGCATTGCAGGCGTTGTTTATTAGATTAGGTACGGTTAAGCAGGTAGGCTGTTGATTGCTAGCTAATAGAATATTAGGATATGCTAATCAGGTATATCATCATTGGAGGCGTAGATATATATAGTGAATTTTCCTGAGGCCATTATTGACAGACGTTTCACATGTAAATAGTTGACTCACTGCATACTTCTAACTTGAGACTACGTTTACCAATGCTTTTCTTTAGGTTTTTGACTTCAGTTATTCATTTTGAATTCATCAGATGCGCACATGCGACTACCTACAGTTCAGTAGGTCTATAAAACGACTGCCCCTTGGTATCCTGTTCTTCCCGCCCCCTTTTCCCATGCGATGGTTTGATATAAGTACACGTACGCCAAAAGCACCGCAAGCGCCAAGGCTATGCTCTTCCCAGTTGCATATCCAATGCGACTAGTGACCCAGTGGAAATTCGAGAGGAAGTAGTGACAATAGATATAGACAGCCAGAATGCTAATTGCAGCAACCGTCGACGGCCGCCACGGTATTCTATACTATAGAAACGACGCGAACCACGGCCGTTTTATGGTGGTAGGCTGCTTTAGCTTATTCAGGCAATACGAGCCATAATTCCTTGGTGACGGCCCGGGACATTCGCAACGGCACCCAATGCCGTTATCCTCCTCCGCCGCCCACGTTCCGCTCCCGAGTAGCTGTGACTCTGGGAGTTGTCCGCCTGGCGCGTTGGCCGGACATTGGTATAGGAGAGCATGTCGATATCCGAAATCCTCGAAATGGTGTACCTTTCGCGGGTCTGCAAGCATCGCTATGGCAAGAGAGTGCACTGCCGCGTCGCCCCACTACAACGTTATTAGTTTGATAGTCTTCAATCCAGCACCGGAATCCTAGATTCTATTGTACCACTTACCCGCTCAAAGTAAAATCCTCCCTTCTTATCTAAGTAGTCGAAGAGGTCTTGGTACGCCCTTGTTCGGAAGAAATCCATATCGGCAATCTCGAAGTTGCTCCAGTAGTGGCACAGACTCCACGCATCGCCGTACGCATCGCGATTCGGCAACCAGCTCATGAATCGCCGGAATGGGTACGGCATCCATGAAGCTGATACCGTAGCCTTCCAGAGGCTGCTCGTGGGAATGCCCATCATCTCCTTCCAGTCGGCGATCGAGCGGTATAAACCCGGGCATGACTTTCCCACTTCCCATAACGCAATCGTAAACCCGTAGACCTTCTTATGTCGTGCCATATGTACAAAGGGATCGTACGTGATCGCGCAGGTAAAGTCGACGTCAGGTTCGAGTCGCCAGTACCATTTGTACTTCTTTAGCACATCGAGCTGATAAAATTTGCTTCAAGGTTCGTCAGTTCGGATGGTGATTCTAAATGCGAAATGCGAAATGCGCTATACGCTACGTCCGTAACTCTCCTCTCTACACGGGATGAAACTTACCCCGAATAAAAGCGACACATATGGTGGTACCCTTCTTCCCCAGCATGTGGGATACCCCTTTCTCCTTGCTCCTTAATATTTTGCTTTGCTGCATCTATATCTACACCCTCTGGAAACGTCCATTGCGCCTGGGGTATAACATCAAAGGTGGCTAGTCCTCGGGCCGTTTTATTTAGAACCTCTATGAAGTTGGGATCCCATTTCTCATCGTTTAGGAATACGTATGGATAGTCGAACCACCTGTTGAATTGCTGTTCTATCGAGGTAACTGTCCTGTTGGCTTTCTCCAGTTCATTATTCCGTGCAAGCATTACCAAAGCCGCATTTTCTCGTTTTGCGCTGACGTCGGGCTCCTGGCACGAGGTGAAAAACGGTGCATCAAGCTCGCTCGCAGGTCGTGGCACGCTATATTGCCATTGGTGTACGACAACCTCGAAAATAAAAGGTCCAGCGACAGTAAGTATCAGCCAGAGTGGCAGTCGTCGTGCGGGACGGATAATCCGTCGTAACATGGTACGGGTTCTGTCCTCGTGCCCTTCTCAGATCATGGTCCAAGTGTGTCTTCCTGCAAATTCGAGGAAAACGTCGGGGGGAAATGATATCGATAGCCAGGATGGGATCGATTGGACTATGACAAATGATAAATCAAAATAATGCAGGGGGGGACAAGAGAAAAGGGAGAAAGGGTCCTCAGCATGTATAAAAAAAAAAGAGGGCAACGAAAAGGCAACAGAATCCACACACGCGCCTGATAAAAGTCTACAAGTTGTGGTTTTCCAACCGATTAGGACTGATTACCTCCAGGCTGCAGGCTGTAGGCTGTAGGCTGCAGTCTCGGGGTTAAGCCTCTGCGGCACAGAAAGCCAGAAAGCTGAGAGGTGCCAGGAAGATGGACTGGGCTTTCTGGGTTGGCTTGGATGCTGGATGGATGGCAGATGGCAATTGGTAGATGAGGCTGAGCCGCAACAAAATTGGACGGGGATGCAACACAAAGCGTGGAGAATTAAGTAAAAATAGGAGAAATCTTTCATTTTAATGAGCCACGGTCCTTGTATTATGGTCTTATGGTTTTGACACCAAAATCCAATTGTCGGTGAGTGATAATAGATGGGATTTTCCCACCGTCAGCGGTTAGTACTACATTTCTCTTTTGTTGTGAATTTGAATGTTGTAGAGGTTTAGTTTGATTTTGTTTAGTTTGGTTTCTCTTGCCTGGTGACATTTCAATGTTGGATGGATGGAAGTCTTTGAATAGGAGGTACATGTGTATGTACTACATGTACTACATGTACTTTAGCTTCCATTGGTGCTTCGTACACGTGTGTACCTCCTAAGGTACCTAAATGAGGTATGCAACTTCCAAGCTTGGTATTCAAAGTGCGATATAATCATGATTGCCGAAGGAACGAACTGATTAGTACGATAATTGAAACTTGATGTAGGTACATGCCCTAGAATGCTTGCAATATCCGTAAGGCAGTAGTGTTATAATTCGCTATTCAGGGTAGCACAGCCGCGTCATAGTCCATCACATAGAAAAGACCTGCACAACGTGAAGATACTTGAAGCACCACACTATATCCCCAAGTTATTTGAAACATGTACCGATCAGCCCTACGTCTAGCTTATAAAGATCTTGTAAATAAATACATTGTTACAATGAATATATCTAATATTCTCGTGAATAGTAGGATTCGGATATCTTTAATTGCCATAGACCGTGATATTAAATATATCAATAATATATTAATAAAGTGAAATAGTTTAAGTATTGCTAGTTAACGCTCTAGTTATACGATCCGAAAGTTTAAGTACCCAAGGCTTCGGATGATACCTAGAAGCCGAGCTCAAGCTATGTGCGGAATACCCGGACTCCGATATGCAAGCCCCCCACCTTTGCCGAACCGCCCGCGATTTAACTCTTGCTTATCTCTAACCTACTAAACTGCCTCCTAGGTATATAAGCCTATCCTTCAACATCACTCTTATAATTCCGTCATAGGCCATACATACATATACGCCATACTTTGAGTTGATACGATATCGTCTTCTTATTGCGTAGCTTGCGTTTGTCAATTTAAAACCCAATGGACTTCGTCAACCATCGCGTAGCCCAAGAGGCCGCTAAAGACCCCTCTGAGATCTAGTGCGTTCTTATAACTACTTACCTACCCTATAGCCGAAACTTAAGCTAACAAAGCTATCGCAGTACCGGTCTCGTCACGCCTCTCAATATCATACTCCTCCTCATCACCCTATACACGACGTACCTACTCTATAAACCCTCCCCTCCAGTATCGTTTCCGCGCGAACCGCCTGCCATCGTCTTCCGAACATTCACCCCACACACCCTACTACACTTTAACGGAGAGGAGGGCAAACCGGTGTACTTAGCAGTACGCGGCCGTGTCTTCGACGTCACGAGCGGTCGTAACTTCTACGGTCCCGGTGGTCCCTACGAGAATTTCGCTGGTCGCGATGCTTCGCGCGGCCTTGCGTTCCATAGCTTCGACGAGGAGATGCTGACCAAGGATCTCGATGGGCCTCTAGATAAACTAGAGGGCCTTGGACCCGAGGAGTGGGAGAGCTTGCAGGGCTGGGAGGAGAGATTCAACAGCAAGTATATGGTTGTTGGAAAACTGGTTGCCGCGGCTGATGCGTAAAATGGTCTCGACCGAACCTACGGAGGCTAAATTAGATGGGACGAATTATGGTAATGTTCTTGAGCGCTCGGTCTTTTATTTACGGCTAGTGTTAGCTACCTCTATTACTATCTACAGATGGAAAATAAAGGATTTTTACCTATGAAGATGCTCAGTCAAGTTCAAGCCCATGCTAATATTTGTTTGCTTTAACTATTTATATGCATAGAAAATTTCATTGCCTAATGTGCATTATGATAGATCATAATCGACATCTTGATATAAGAAAAGTCTATTTTGCAAGACGAGATAGTTGTTCGCCAACATTCTTGGACTATAACTCTCTCTTTTACAATTGTATTCCATGTTCGAGTTCCGTTAACAAGGTAACTATATATATATTACAACGTAAATATCTTAGGTTCTTGTGGGATTTTCGTCATATGGCCGTTGGGTACACTGTACGCTGTCTATTGTTAGATGTATATATATTACCCTGTAATTGTTGTTTGCCTGTTGTCTCGTTCTTCACGGATGACAACCTCCACACCTCCACTAGAAACTATCGTGTAGAACACAACCTAACGAGATTTTTTATCAACTTCTACCTAGGTAAGGTACCCTGTCCTTGCGTTCCCCGGCAGTTCTACTGTCTTGATACATTTCCACCGCCCACGATTCCAAGGCAGAAAAGAAGTTGGAAACACGTGTACCTACCTATTTACTCTAGCTAGGTTACTCGAACCTCTTTACCAGCTCCTTTTCCCCTCAAAATGAACTAGGTACTGCCTTCATCTAATAGAATCCCCCACTACCAATAATCTCTACCTAAAAGTAAAGACAACTTGAATCATATTTGCCATGATGTCCTCCCTTATCCTCATCCTTCTGTCCTTCATTTCGCAGGCAGCTGCCTACCCTACAGCGGATACCAATGCTGGCATTTCAAACCTTACATCTCTTGCCGATGGAATCTGGCCTACAAATCTTCCGAATGGCACTGTCGTATTCAACAATGTGACAGCAGGCGATGAGCGTGTAAGTTAGCTGAAAAATTGGCTTCTATTCCGTCCAATTTCGTGCTGCCCCTTTAACACGTCACTACTCCCCCCTTTCCTAAATTACAGCAAATTCTAACAAAGCCTATCAGTTCAACGAGCATTGGCAATACGACAACTCCGATGAGTGTAAATGGGCCATGAGCTATATCCCCTTCGTCAGTTCCGAGTGCACAGAGTATTGCGACGCCGACACCTACAACTGGGGTAAACAGTATCACCGCCTCCGCTACCATATGTGAGAAGCTACGATAGTCCCATATTCTCCATAAGAGCCTTCGGTACTAACACCGCTTAAATCAATTTAGCAGGCTTTCGGGGAACGGTCAGGACCCCCACCTCTGGTGTGACAACTTTAGGGTGAGAATGATGCGCGACTGTGCCGTCCGGAAACCCGACTTCTTCAACTGCAATACTGGCAGAGCTCCAGCGTCACCTATGCTGGATAGCTGGGCTGCCACACCCGCTGGAGTCGTGAAAGCGACCGGCATCAACCTTAGATTCGACTTTAGTCCATACTGGAACTCCCGTGACGCACAGCACGACTGTGTTAGATCGGCTATCCGTGAAGCAACTTGCGCTGGAACGGTTTTCACCAACGGTCTTAGATGCATCCCTGTGTTGTATAAGTCTCCGAACGCAGGTACCGTAAGTGAAAGATCTTTGCGCATAAGCAATGTCTTGATACTAATCCTATAATATTATCTTTAGGCCGAGTTTGACGAGTCCTACGTACCACCTAATCCGCGGTGTCTCTATACCTATGAGGTCCCGGAAGAGTCAACATGAACAAGCCTAGTATAAGAGTAAAGTGGGCATATCCGAATGAATCCCTATGTATGCTGTAGCCATGGAAGTCACTCTCTACCGGTAGTTGAATACAATTTGCCTCTTTCGATATATCATGCTGAACAGTGAATTTATAATGAATAGCTCAATATGATAGAAATTCAATGTATATCAAGCCATCGATCTCAATTGGATATACTATAAAATGAAAGGTGCCTATCTATTGAGTACCTGAGACAAATAGAGTTCTTTCCCCTCTTACGAGTCAGTGTACTCCTTATGGTAAAATTTTAGACATTCCTTAGGAATATATGGGTGGGAAAATCAATAAAACCTGCTCATAGGAATAGTATATGTCGACTACAGAAGTCCCCTGTTATCATCCCTCGATGCCGTCAAGTTACCGCTATATTTATTACACATATCTTACTATTGTTAAAACGATGTAGTTGTGGGAAATGAAGCTACTAAGAGGTCAATAAATCTAGGAACTTTAACACTGGATAATTAATATATCCCTCTACCTCAAGAGCCGTATATAGTTTCGATATGAGGTCATGGTTGATACGCGAGACGTTGCTGTGATATATGGTTACAATTTTCAATTTCATGTTCAGGGGTTAATCCCTACGGATAGAGCCAATGGATTGAAACCCCTTATATCAACTTCTATACGCGTGATATATCTTTCGTGGCGTACCAAACTCCTAATTTTTATAACTACTAACCTAGAGATATCCAATATAGTCAATCTTCATATCACGTAATTCAGTATCTTTTAAATTTATGACCTCGTTGGTAATCTAAATGTGATATGAATCGTGGGCTAATATGGGGAAATTGATATTTCCAGCTATGGAGCTACAATCCACATTCGCGAAATTCTACGTGTCCAATTAGGAGCCACCGGTCTGCGAACTCCTTCAGACTATTTAACCGGCTAGCTGTAGATATCAAAATGTCGTCGATTATCATAGTAAGACGATTCCACGTGATTCTATATAATTAATAACTAACAACATCTCTATGCCAGATTAGGTACGTGTTCGTATTCTTTATTAGTTGCTCACCAAGAGGTTAGTCTGGACTTGGCTAGCGACTAAACATTCGATGCCGACTAGTTTCTGATCTATGCCGTTGGTGTCTTGTTCCATCCCGTATCTGAATCCTACCTGTAAAACCAACAGCGCTATTTAAACTATCCACTTCTCCTCATTTTCAGATGCATTCGAGGTTACCAAGATATTTATCCAAGGTCTTCAATCACTCTCCTAATATGGCCAATCACGACGAGTCCACGCCCGCGCCCACCACCACCTCCCCTACTGCTGTTTCTCCTATTGCTTCTCCTACTGCTTCTCCCGCTGCTTCCCCCACTACTGCTGCTCCCGTATCTCCGAAGCCAGAGGCGGCGACTTTAGATAAACCAACTACATCGGCTGAGTCCGCTAGCCCTGCGGAACACTCAACGCCGAATGTAGTACCAGGATGGACAGATGAGCCAATCGAGGCCGCTCCACATGTAAGAAGATCTGACGTTCGAAGCCACTAGTTTAAGAAAAGCTGTAGCACGTATAGTTTGACTGACAATTGTCTACAAGGAGGAGGGCGATAATTATGATGATGCAGATTCTGCTCTAGGAGAAGGTGATACGTAAGAAGTGCCTTTTCTTAATAAGAGATGCCCTGCCGAAGCTAGAATAGCTATAACAAGATAAAAACACAAGTCTAACAAGAAGCCGATAGTGCAAGTTCGACAGCATCTCTGACTGAGAGTGTTCTTGAATATCGCACACTTAATGGTCGTACGTATAATAGCGGCAGGCATGGAACTGATAAGTACTGGGGACCCAACGATGAACGACAAAATGAAGCTATGGACATGAAGTAAGCCGCAATGATCTGAAGTGACTTAAATCCTCTAATATCTTCTTAGCCATCATTTCTTGACCCTCTGTCTGGGTGGCAATCTTTTCCTAGCCCCTTTAAAGGATGATGTAGAAGTGAGCGTATATATATATCTACCTTAGTAGGAGTTTGACTAACATTCTACAGCGAGTACTCGACATTGGTACTGGAACAGGTGAATTGACCCTCAAAAGTAAACCCTGGCTTATTACTAACCAACTATTCAGGATTATGGCCAATGTAATCAAATTGTCCTACGCCATATTGTATTCGGAACACTAATAAGGCTTTAGTGATATGGGAGACGAATACCCAAACTGTGAGGTTATTGGAACGGATCTATCACCGATCCAACCAACTTGGTGTCCACCTAACGTCAAATTCGAAATTGACGACCTGGAACAAGAATGGACATATGCTCCCAATAGCTTTGACTACATACATATCCGGTACATGGTAGGTAGCGTGTCGGATTGGCCGAAGTTATTCAGGCAAGCATTCAGAGCGCTCAAACCCGGCGGATGGATCGAGAGTTTTGAAGTCGAAGCCGACTACCGTAGTGACGATGGCACCCTAAAACCCGACTCGGCTATGATCATGTGGCGCGACTTATTCACCGAAGGCGGCAAGAAGCTAGGCTACTCGTTTACTCTTCTCTCGGATGACGTCCAGAGGAAAGGGATTGAAGACGCTGGTTTCGTCGACTTAACGGTTAAGGATATTAAGGTGTGTCGTTTGGCTTTTCCGAGTTTAGGTCATCCAACTTTTCTAATCATATTAGGTACCTATGGGTCCCTGGCCGGCAGATCCGAAGTTGAAGGAGATTGGACAGTGGGCTCAATATACTCTTGAGCAGGACCTAGAGGGTGAGTGGCTTCCTCCCAATTTACTGCCGGTTTGATAAATCTGTTAGTTAGAAGCTGACATGTTCTCATAGGTTTCGTCATGTTTATGTGGAACACGGTCCTAGGCCGCTCGTTAGAGGAAATGCAAGTATTCCTCGCAACTTTCCGTAAAGAATTACGGTCTAGCAGGACGATTCACGCATACCTACCACAGCGGGTTGTATATGCGCGAAAGCCAGAGGCTGCGTAGATGAACTCTTGAAATAGTGATCGATGAAGCATTAAGTAAGTACCTAAGGCTCTTAACTGATAGCGTCGAGAGGGTTACAGAAAAACGGATGATGCTCAAAAAATTTAATTGTTGATATCTTTAACGATATTTTAGTATATATAAGACTTGGTTAACTTACGTATAATCGATTATCTACCTTAGGATATTATCTGTAGTCATAAATGGCACGTGGTATTCTGCTTTTCCCTTTCAGTTGTTGAAGAGCCTATTCAGGTAAATTGCACGACGTATCTAAAGCATCTATTGGTCGAATTAAATTGCTAAATTTAGTTCCATCCATGTGATATATGATATAATATATATGTCGTATAGTTTGCCTGTAGATATCCCTGTTTCTGCTCGGTCCTCCGAAGTATGATTCGGACTGCGGAGTTACTTGGATCACCTAAAATAGCTATCACCCTATAACTATCTCAGTCTTTTTGTAGTTATAACTTTTAGAGCTGATGAGTATATACTCTTTTACCTTTCTACATAGTAAAAGTTTAGCACTTGAGGCTTTTCTGTATCTACCCACTTTCTCTCCGAGTATTCTCCTGAATAGTATTCAACTAGTAACTAAAGTGTTCGTCACACTTATATCAAACTTATACCTCCCAATACTACAATTAACCCCCAATGCATAATTCTAGTTTCGAATCTCCGCGTGCTATGGCTCGTTGACGGTCCGGCAGCACCGTTTGCAAACTGTACGAAGAAATCGTTTGTTAAGCCCGCAGGTGTGCATATCGTCCCCGCAGCACAGTCCATCACGGCGCTCCACTGTCCAGCCGCACAGCGCTGCCACTGATTCGTAAGGCAGTTCCATTGACCCTCGGACCCTTCACACGATGATCCCTCTTCCATTTGTCTTTTTTCAATCGTGGCGTTGCCATATCTGCTTCCGGAGTTGCTTATTTCCGGTTGGTCTGTAAAATCCGAGACTGAGGATAGTGGTTTTGTAGGTGATGCTAACGCTAACGGCGATGCGAGGACTAATGGTGCTAACAAGTGTAACATGTTTATGAGTAATATGATCGTTATTGATCTGGAGTATCTTTCTCGAGAAGGCATCGTGATGTGTATGAGGTAAGTAAGGGATATGAAGGCGATGTTTTTGGTTGTAAGCTCTGTTCTATAATAATGCGCTTAGGACTATGAAATGAGTCAAGCATTAGTAAATAACATACATTACGCACGATAGAGTTATTAAATAACCATAGTTACTGCTCCTATGGAAATGTTATAATTGCTTTTATACGCCTTGCTGTTGTGCTTGCTCACCGCTGTATTACGTGGCTTCCAATCGGCACTGCTACCCGATCCGAACGTGGGCATATTCAATTGGCGAAGAAGCTTCGAAGAAATCTAATTGCAGTAAGTCATACCTAGGTTTCTATGATATAACAGTATGAGAAGATGCTGAATTCTAGTCTTCGTGTGACTCTACCTTTGGTGTGTGGATAATGTATTTGACTACTTGCTACGATTGGATGAATGATAATGAAACGAGGTGAATGCATTAAGTAGAGGTAGCTATTAATCCTTCGTATGATGAGGGTATACTTTGTATTAATTCTAAGTAGAAAAGCCTGATATATGTCTCTGGTTGCGCATGCTTGAACTTTGTGAATCGTCCAGACCCGACTCAGGATCTGGTTCATTGCGCCTCCTTCCGAAGGAGCGAAGTGCTCTTCTGGATACCATACTATCGAAAATAGAAGTGGGAGTTAAGAGTGTTAACAATATAACCTCATCTTCTCCCCTAGCTCCCTCGTGGTAATTATTCGTAGCCCTGCCGTGGAGATACGAATCTTGAAGATTTCTATTTTGAAAGTTCTTGAGGGCCATTTCCTTCATGCCCTAGGCTATCTATACAAGCTTCTCGCTCAATCCTATAATGCTCAGATTCGGTTTCAACAAGAGTCTGTACAATTCTAGATTCACGTTGATCAAACTTCGTGCGTATCCTAGCG